CGACTACAGGTGTCTCACCATTCTTCGCCAACAAGGGTTATCATCCAAAGTTGTCCATTACGCTGGAACAGGTGCAGGAAGCGGAGGTCAATGAGTATGCGTCCAACCTCAAGGAGCTACATGCGTACCTCCAGGAACGCATCGAGGTAGCTAACAAGGTCTATGCGAAGTACGCGAACCAAAAACGCCAGGAGGCCCCGGACTGGAAGGAGGGTGATCAAGTCTGGCTAAATATGGAGAACGTCAGGACTAGACGACCCATGAAGAAGCTAGACCACAAGTGGACAGGTCCCTATACAGTTTTGTCGAAAGTAGGAAGTCATGCCTACCGACTGGACCTCCCTGGAGACCTCCACAAGATTCACAATGTGTTCCATGTCGACAGGCTGAAACCCCACTTCCATGACAAATTCAAACGCCAGACCTCCCCGCCCCCCCCAATCTTCATAAAAGGGAAGACGGAGCATTTCGTCGAGGACATCCTTGACTCTAAACCCAAGAAGGGACGACCGGAGGAAGTGGAATACCTCGTAAAATGGGAAGGGTATAATGATGAGTTCAACTCCTGGGTAGGATGGGAAGGTATGGTGGGCTCGATCGAGCTCCTACGTAGCTGGCACAAACACCACCCGAGGAAACGCCAGCCATCGCGTCTGCAATGGGCCTCGTTGGAACGGGAAGCACGGGAAGACGAGGAGGAGGGATCGGGAAGGTAGAAGGGAGTAGAGGGGGGGGAACGACAACAATGAGGACACGACGGGGACCACAACCCCATATTCACGATTTTCTAACGACAACTGCATTGGAGGGCTCACGAGACCTGAATGCACGACGATTTTAATCTCATTGGTTTTCACATTTCACACAATACGACGAAGGTTTTGATTATTCAACAAAAAAAGAAAAGAACAAGCAAGCAAAATATTTAACAGAGGACAATAAAACTACAAAATGAATGCTACAATGACTCCTCCTTGACGATTCCCTGACCCACCGCCAACTCGGTACCTTCCCTCGCCACAGCAATCCTTCCGGCATAAGACTCCTCCGTCTCATACAGCTCGTCATCATCACCAGTTAGATCGATGGATAGGCTGGCGACGGACCCAAAAAGGAGGGGAGGAACTGGGGAACAAGGAGGAGGAGAAGGGGAGGTCGGCGACTCCTGCTCCGACAGGAACAGAGGGACTGGGGGATGGGAACCCGCAGAGGGAGAAGACACCTGGACAATGGGCGCCTCGAGGGACTGCTCGACGTTTGCCTCGCCTGACGACTCGGGAACTGGCCCCATTGACGACATGGGGACTGGAGGATCAGGAACAGGCAACGGGGTATCGGTGATATGATGGATGTATTGTAACATCAACTGCTCCCAGTCAGCAGTCAGCTGGTCAATACTGGGAAGGGCAGGAACAATGTCGTCCCACCTTCCAGCGCCATCACTATGAGGAAGAGCCGTCGACAGTGCGAACATTCGTCGGTGAAGAGGGGGCTCCAAAGAGCTATCGGGAGGAGGAGCGAAACCCGCGTGTTGAGCAGCCGTCAGGAAGGGACCGTCGTTGTCGAATCGGGAATGCTCCAGGACCATACGATAAAGACCCTCATCTTCATCGACAGCATTGTTAAAAAACCATTGAATACTGCTTAAGGACCGCATGTACATGTCACCGTGGACACCTCGAGCCGCCTGCATGTAATCCAGACCCAACTGGAAGTTGTGAACGACAGTGTCGAGATCGTCAGAGTCGAGACCGCGACGAAGGAAGGCCACCACGGCTTCAATAATCGCCCCAAGATAACGATAGTGGTGATGAAGAACCGTGGCAGGTTCGGAGCGGTACAAACGATGAGCGAAGGTGGCGACACGACGGAGGTCTTCACGAGCCTTATGAAGGTCCCCTTCAAGTTGTGAGAGAGGGGGCAAGACGACTTCGTAGTAACCCTCATCAGGGTACTCCTTGATCATTTGTTCGACAAATGCGGCACGACCGCGGGCGCGGTGGACCTCCTCTTGCAACTCCTCTACTAGACGACGTTGACGTGTCGCCAAAGCATTGGACTCGTCAACAACACCTTGTTGATACAGCAGGCTGGTCGTCAAATGCGAGTTCCTACGAGTAGAAGTGGACAACTTTTCCTCGGCGACCTTCCGCTCTCTAATGGCGTCTTCAAGACCCCCCTGTAACTTCTGAAAACGTTCCAAGAGACTCTGAATGGAGAATTAAACGAGAAGGAAAGAATTAGAGGGAAAACAGAATACGCACTCGATCAGGAGGTCCAGGTAGGGCCTCATCCAAAGCACGGAATTGGTCCAACACACGACGGTACTCCACTTGTTGCTCGCGTACCTCACGACTAGAAGATCGTAGCTGCTCTACCTCCCGCTGCCGAGATTCGAGAGCATGGGAAGTATCCCGAAGAGCAGAAGTGAGGGAGGAATTCTCCCGCTGAGAGTCAGATAATTGGGACTCCAGCAATCGAACCCGAGCAGCGAGGCGCTGATTTTCAGCACGATAAGGATGAGTAGCAAGGGCGCGAGGTACTAAGGTGGGACGAGGAACAGGAGGCATATTGGAAGAAAGTAGGTCCTGTCCTGTACCCTTTATAGAGGAAGAAACGGCAGGTTGCTGAACCAAACCGGACTGAGCCCCAGCAACAGCCGCCAAGCGAACCAGATTGCTGTGACCCTGCACCGACAGATCAGCATCGGGTACCTCCATTGAGGAGGGAAAGGCGCGAGGAGGGAGGGGAGTAGAAGTGGTAACTGGCAGCGAACGGACTGGAGGGACCACCAGTCGAACGCGACGAGGAGACTCCTCAGCCGTCTCCTGCACAGGGGACCTACGACGGGGACGCTTTTTAGAAGCATTCGACCGAACCTTTTTGCTGGAGGGACCAGCCACAGGCAAAGGGGAAAGGTCGCGCTTACGCTTAGCAGCGACGGCTGCCTCCTCCTGTTGCAAAGCGAGGAAGTCCCGCAACTCCTGCTGGTCGACGTCAGCAGCGTCCTGATCGTCAAGCATGTTCAACTCGAGGAGGGTAGAGGTCGAAGAAGTACGTTCATGAAGGGCAGCGTCATATTGACGCCATGTAACCATAGGAATACCCCAAGTCGATTGGTGTGCAGGAGTCCCGTGTAGTTCCAAGAACCTACGACTATATGCGAGATCCTGGTTGCAGCGACAAGCGAAGTACTGATAACGAAGGATCTTGCCCAAACTACAAGTCTTCTTCACGGAGCAGTTCGTACATCGAGGGGAATTTGGCAGAACCTTGCACTTAGCCGGAGATTTGGAACAGTTGGAGCAAGGGGAAGCTACCTCCGCCAAGAGAGGCCACAAAGGATCGTCTTGACAGTAACCCGATAGCGGCTTACCAGTGTTAAAAACCGTCTCGAACAACTGCAACTGTGGACGAGACGGAAATTCGATGGTGAAGGCCAGCTGGTCCTGTTCGGCCTCCCCATCAGACTCAAGATCAGGGGAAGGTACCTCTCCAATAGTAGTAAGGATAGGTAGTTGAGGGGAGCGAGTGCGGGAGCTGGAGCGACGAAGGGGAGCAGACATCACAGTTGAAGGAGTTTAACTCGTAGAACTGGCGTGGTGGAAGAAGTGGGAAAAGCAGGTACCTGACGGACTTCAACAAGAAAATTTTCGGGTACCACGTGAATGTCAGGTGACCTTACAGGAAACGCGACGAACCATCGCGAGGGCGCGAAGGGGTTAGAAGGGGGGTAATGTCATGCCCTGACCACAACCAACCAGTCCCAGCACCATCCCACATGCTTCCTTACACCTCCCCAAGACATCCGACCTCCCCAAGACATCCGACCTCCCCAAGACAGGACCACGGGTACTACGCACCTCCCCAAGACAGGACCACGGGTAATACGCACCTCCCCAAGACTATCCTGACAACCTCCCGACACGCGTACGAAACTCCTTAGCACCAGCCCCATTAAGTACAAATCTCGATCACCTGTCTCCTTCGACTACTGCCTCATGTCCCTAGGTTCCGATGTTCCCTTGTTCACTTCCCATACCTATTTAAGTAGCTCCGTAACGTCTCCAAGCGCCAGCTTGGTATATTTTGAACACACACCCTTTTGCATAGGTCCAGTCCCTGTCCCTTTGTACCTGCTAACCATACGGATTTCTCTTTCCTCTCTGTTTCTCTACCTCTATTTCTCTCTACTTCTGTCTATTGTCTCTCTGATCGTCGGTACGATCGAATATACGCTTTTACTTCAAGTCTAAGCCTTCCGAGTGAGTCCCCGAGCTCCCTCGAACATTACTAAAGCTCCCCAACGCCTACCCGCTTGGTGAGCTACTCTTCCCCAAACCTCCCAGAGCTCCCTAGCTACTTCGTAAGCTTCGGGACCTCGATCTAGGTAACGTCGAAGCTACCCCTCACGTCGAACTACGTACTGCTTCTCCGTTACCACCTCCCACACTCGAGGACGACCATCCTCCAACCTAGCCCCCAGGGACCTACCCTCCCTGGCATATCCCTTCTCGGGAGCTTACACCCTCGAGACCCAGTTGCATAAACTACCTACTCGACTCTATATTGACGTTCTAGCGAGTACAACTCCTACTACGCAATATCTTACGGTCCCGCACTCGTCCCGACCCTCCCTACGCATTAGGGACCTCCCTGGACCTCCTAGGAACCCCTCAAGGGTCACCATCTCGTCGTTCCAACCACTACTAGGTCATTCCCGTCCTCGGTCGCGGTTCTCGTAGCTCCCTTCGAGCTCCAGCCTGCTCCTAGCACGCTACAACATAAACCTCCACCTACCAAAACCTACCCTAAGACCTATTTTGACCCAGGTCTTACAACGTCGACTTCAGCCTCAACACCCCAAGCACAAGCAGAAATTTGTCTTCTTCGAGTTCAAACCTGGACGCGTCTCTGCCTGTGCTTGGGGTGGTGCAGCGAAGATGGACGCGCTCCACTTCGACCAGCCTGACTGACCAAGGGCTCCTTCTAGGCCACCTATGTCGCTTGAATTGGAGGAAGCATTCCGGCACATACATCAAGTGGACGTGGATGTGGATAGTGCCGTGTTGATGGAAAATGCTTGTGAACGAGTTTATCAGGTGGGAGTAGATGAGAGCGATCTATCTGAAGTTGAGGAGGATGGCGACGAAGAGTCGAACACGGTCCGTTTATCCACGATGCGTCAGGAAGCCGTACGGGAAGCGAGGGAAAACGACGGGTCTGTCTGTGCCTGCACCCAACGGCCCATCTCTCCTCCCCACTCAACTCACATGGCAACACCTCACAACCCCTCTCCAACCCCATTGCTTGCCGTATACTCCCTTATACAAGGGAAACACCCTTCCGCTCCTCCTCCCTCCGCGCCTCCTCCTTCCGCGGCTCCTTTTTCCACGCCTCCTCCTTCCACGCCCCCTCCTTCCGCGCCTCCTTCTTCAGCCTCCCCCCGTTCCGCATCTCATTCAGAGAACCAAGATGCCTCCTCCAGGCCTGCAAAGAAGCAGAAGCTGCAGGATCCTCGAAATCGCCACCGTCGTGACAAGCGGGCACAACGACGTGCAGAATCGGGCATTCCTGCGGGCCTAAACCTGGCCCACAAGAAGCACGTCTTGTCGGCTCACGAGATGACAAGTCGCTTGCAGAGCGCCACGTTACCAGCTGCTTCAGGCGGCTTTATTGGAGTCGAAGCTGACTGGTACGGTGCCCAGGCGCGGAGAGAGTTGGAGCAGATGAAGGAGCGGGGTTTTTGGCTAGTGGAATGGCGAGCTGGGTACATCACTACGCGCCTTCATGGTTTCTGATCTGACAGCTGAGTGCTAGAAAAGGTGTGCCTCTTGTTGACGCAGAGCATCGTGTCATGGTTTGCATGCTTAATGGGCCAGATGATCCAGGTTATCAGCAAGCTGTTGAGGAGATGACAGAAAGCATCCTGAAGGCCTCCGAAGAGACCGACTAGCAAAAGAAGGAGAAACGGCACAAATGCGGACATTTTCCGGCTCTTGCTCGAGGAATTTCGTACGGCAAAGGGCAGCATGAGCCTATGCGGTTGGTGGGGGACCGGCAGCCAATGATGGAGGAGTTATTTAACAAGAGCTGCTTCAAACGGGTGGCAGGCTTTCAAAACGGTGAGTTGTCAAGACCTCTTATGTCTGCGTTCCGGGTTCGAACCACCTGTAGCTGCATTTGCAACATGGTACCCCAAGAATTATGCAGAGCACGTACGACTCAACGCCCAACTGGATGCAAAACTACCTCACCTGTGAAGAAATTTCAAAAATAGTATATACCTCTGCATGACAGTCAACTTCGGCCCTTCTACCTGGACACACATTCATACAGATGCAAAAAATGACGTCCGGATTCCCTGCGCTATAACTACCGGCGGAAAGTATGACTACAAACAGAGCGGACACCTCATCCTTTGGGACTTTAAACTTATTTTAGAATTTCCTCCAGGTGCTACGATACTTCTGCCTTCGGCGCTGATTCGCCACTCCAATCTCCCATTAGCAGACGGGGAAACGCGGGTCTCAGTCACCCAGTACACTGCAGGTGGCATCCGTCGTTGGCTGGAGTATGGTGGAAGAACAGAGGACGAATTTCGTACCCAAGACCCCCAAGGATTTGCACACACTTGGGCAAAACATCGCGAGGGTTGGACACAAGGCTTAAATCTTTTTAGTACCTTAGACAAGCTGAAGTCCTGTACATTCTAATACACATACTCCATATTTTTTACATCAATGTCTATAAGCTATGTGTCTGAAGTCGAATCAAGAGGTAAGTTTCTGGGCTACTTGCTCTCGGAATAACTTCCTACGAGCTGCGTGAAAGCTCTCTACAGTAGACTCTAGTTGGCACCTCAAAGCAGGGGCCAACTTCGGGCCTACAGGAGGCTTCAGCAGTCCGAGAGCTTCCTCCCTTGCAGCAAAAGGGTCATGCTCATTGAGCAAAACACTTGCCGCTTTTCCACGCACCAACTTTTCCCTTGCTAACTCAATCTCCAGTTCCTCGATCCTCTTAGCCTGCTTCAAAGATTGGTCTCTGCTGAATCGCAACTCCAGCTCTTCAATCCTGTTTAACAACCTCAAGTGCTCTTCCCTATGCTCAATCTCAGACCTAATCTGTACATCGAAGACCTGGAGTCGCATCTCGTTGATCATGTACGAATGCTTCTGGTTATGAATCACGGATTGAGTCTGGAGCTTCCGGTTTTCAGTAATCTCGTCCTCGATTTTAAGGATATACACGCGACTGTTGTGCAACTCGGTTTGAGTAACATCAAGACACCCCGTAGACTGGACTGTCTGCATGTCTGCTGAGAACTTGACTCTGCGGATGAACTTGTCCAATGCAATAAGCCTTGATATATAGCTCTCGGGGGCAGATTTAGGAGCTCGAGCTGGATATTTGTCGCCCCCTTGAACTGATAAACTTGATCAGATACGGTGAGCTCATCCAAGGATTGGTCTTACCAGCTGAATTGTTGAATGGACGGGCAGCTTCCTTTGTTGAGCTGCTGGCATGGTGAACTCTGTTTTTAACACAGCCCACATCTATGTTGCAGGCAATACATAGGGACGCCAAGTAGCCTTCTGAAGCAATACTATCCATGTCCATCTCCGACAAGGGGCTGTATAATCGGGTGGGTGACAAATTCTGGGGGATATAATGGCTACTTACAAGCCAGCTTGTATGAGAACTTCGTCCAGGGTTCCAGGGACAGTGTTCCGCATGAGATCCACGACCATGTCTTCTGGACTAATGTCCGTACTCATAACGTGGTTGTTTTTGACAATAAGTGGCAGCACTGGAGGGATGGAATTTTATATCTGCAGAGAATGAAACCACCGACTCATCCGATTTTTGGCATCATCGCACGTGTTTCAACCAGGACTTTTTTTTTTCAACCTTGCACCTTGTTTCATTCTGCCATGTTGTTCAATTTTGACCCCCCTTTGACCTTTGCACCACCTATTCCAGATCCTCCTGTTTCTTCTCAAAATTCTAACTCTCATACACGCCCTTACTCTGCTTTTTTTCGACGTGCCGACACCCCAGCGGTCACGAGCACACTGGGTGCCACTCCTAGGCTCCATGGAGACCTTGCAACTTCAACTCACAGACCATACACACCCTCGATTCCAGGCAGACTACCTCAACAAGTGGCTTATAATAATGGAAGTTTGCCACCCCTCAAGACATCCACAAGTGCTCAAGATCCTGTTCGTTCTAGAACTGCACTGGGTTTGTCTGTCCAACAGTATTTTCTTTTTATCATATAAAAATCAGAATATTTTATTACAGAAGAATACGATGACTACCCCCTAAGTCCGACAGTATCTGGGTTTTCACACTCTGTACCCGGACCAGAACCTACGAGTAACTGGTATTTTGTCTCAAGGTTTATTTCATCTAATATAGCTGCTGTAGATTCACTTCACGAAGAGGAATATGATGAACTCGATGATTAAGATGCCCTCACATCTGCACCTATGCTGAGCTGTAATGAAGAGTCAGCGGCTCGGCTAAACAACAGCAGGACCCGTACAAGTACAAGGCCAGAGCATGAAACCTCAGCCCTAATGACCTGGGTTGACGAAATCAGACCTCAGTTCATTCTTGAGCCCAGTCAAGTGCGCGAAATCAAAGGCATGGTCATGGTAAGTGTAGTTCATGGACATTTACATATACTTGAACAGATTTCTGCAGCTTGCTCAAGGGGTGGATATGGAGCTGTTGAAACTTCACCTTCTGACACATGCTGCAATATGTCGCATGGAGAATAAAAATTGTGCCAACAATTCTGAGTCCTCTGCAGTCAAGGAAGTGGTCGATGTCGCAATGAAACAGCTTTCAAAGCACGTGGAAATACCAGGAGATATCAAGGTAAACTGTTATTCATGGTTTTAACACCCCTCATGCAACATTTCAGCTTATTCTTCGCACGATTGCTCGTGAGGAATGTGCAAATCCTGCCCGTGGATCTTACTGTGAAGTGGGAAATGCAGTCTGGGTGCGTTCCATCCTTTCCTTTTGACGTGATCTCAACGTGTTCAACAAATTTTAAGCAAGATGTAAAGCTGAAGCTACAACTCATGACCTGACCGAAATGCTTGCAAAGACCAAAACCAAAGCCGCGTTAAAGAAAGCCGCCAAAGCAGCAGGAAATAAAATGCTTCAACAATTCTGAGATGATGTACGTTGGTTTTTTTGTTCAAAATTCCCATCATAACTGCAAATTCGTAGATCATGACAACCCTTGTTGTTGATGAGAGTGGAAAAAAGGAAACTCTCAACTTGGAGAAGGCAACACATACACTCTGCAAGAAATATGCAAAGGGTGGTGGGGGTGGGTCATTGCATCAGTTCCATTTTGCTATGATTGGGAGTTGAATCTTTGTCCTTCTCCTCACATTCCACTAACTTCATTGGCACATAGCGATGTTTTATGCGTGAATTTGAGTGCAAGGTGCAAGGACCTGTTTTCAAGAGACGAAAGACCAACAATGGAGGATGTCAAGCACAGGATGATGCCTTCTGGGGTCGATTCGACAAATTTTTGAAGGAGAAGATTGATGCTTATGGCCAGAATATGAAAGAGGACCGATGGAAGGCGTAGGTCATTTTTTACAACTGCGCCTACACAATATTCACTCAGATTGTCTGGAAAGGTATCTCACTGAGACCGTGCAGGCTGACTGGGAACTGTTTGGAAAGCCGAGCAACACCCTGCTTCCTGCACTTCCCTTTGTGGTTAGCAGTACCGAACCAACAACAGGCCGTGCACCCCTTACAGAGGTTCCTAACAGGAACAATAGAGCTTCTGGTGCTGTAGGAAATGGGTCCGAAATCCACGAAGAGGAGTACACATATTTCTAATACATATGTAGCTGCGTCGTTTCTGTCAGTAGAATGTAATACCTGATATTCGAAATATTTTATGAACAGCCATATATTTTCTGCAACGGAGATTATCGGATTCAGTTCCGGAAACCATCAAAACAAGCAAATTTTATGGATGTGCAGGACTGATTCAATTTGAGTGCAGACTATATCTATCCATTTCTGAAATACCATGGATAGAATGGTGTCAAGTACATATCGACTACAGTGCATAATCTGAAGTTTGATTAGATACAACTACTCGACCTTTTTAGAATGTGACCATACTTGATTTTGCCCAGGGATCATCATCTGAGAGATGATTAATTGATAGATTCCCTGCTTGACTGTGTACTATGTACTGGCTGGGTAAGGAAATATGCCAGTGATCAGAACTGTTAAGATCATGTACACCAACCACCGGAGCGACATGCTGAGACATGGTTTTGACACCTGCCCAAACCTAGCCTTCGCCAGGAGTTTACTAATGTGGAATCAGCTGAACCCAGGATGTGAACACTGGGTGTGTGTTGAATGGGTGGTGGGGTACCTCCTCAACACCCTTGACTACTTCATCACATATTGTGCACCCTCAACATCTGATCCTGCTCCCAGGACTGGCCTCAAGCCATTTGCATACATGGACTCTGACCACACTGGATGCCAGGACATATATAGATCAACTTTGGGGTACATCTTCTTCCTGGCCAGTGCCCCTGTATCATGGTGCTCAAAAAAACAGGCAACCGTGACATTATCAACAATGGAATTGGAATACATTGGACTCTCCCGGGCCATGCAACAGGCAGTGTGGTTAACCTCCTTCCTCTCAGAGGTGGACATGGCTCAGAAGGGACCAGTCAACATGTTGGGAGACAACTTTGGTTCCATCTGCCCTTACCAAGAACTCCAAGCGGCATGCGCTGGTCAAACATATCAAAATGCGACACTACTACATCCAAGAGAAAGTGTCAAGCAGTGAAGTCAGCATCCAGCAGATACAATCAGGGGAGAATGTGGCTGATATATGCACTAAGGCCCTCAACAGTACAATTCATTCAAAACTAATTCATCTACTTGGACTGGATTGTACAGAGTAGGGGGGTGTTGGGGTATACTCCATATACACTTAGTAACAGAACTACAGTACAGTACAGGAGTATTTATACTAACTAATTGGTGCATTACTGGTTCCTACTGGTTTGAGTCTATGTTAATATAAGTCAGTAGATCTGATGCAACCCTGCTCAATCCTGCGACAACATGCAGGCAAAAACGACTCATGTGCCCAACGGCCACTGGTTTTGACTCCATAGTACTTAGGATAGGGATGACATCCGTCGCGAAATCTGGGATAAGCTGTGCCGTCGTGGGAGAGGTTCAGGTTGTTAAATTGCGCAACGACCTTCAAGGCCGTTCTTGTGTAACTTTCTACCATCACTCTGCTGGTCAGAGACGGTTAATACATACCCTTCTCCCCCCCTTGCCAATTCAGTTCTTTTTGGAAAGCCCTCCTCTTCACCTGAGTCTCCTTCCTCATTTTCATTTAACCCAATGCTGCTTCCGATCCGGCTCATTGTCATCGTCGGCGTCGGCGTCTCATTGTTCGTCGGTAGTGCCACCGCCGTAGGCCCGTCACGACAGGACAGACACTATCGAAATCTCCAGGTGAGTCTTAAAGCTTACAGCGTAATAACGCGTACACACACCCCCGTGTCACTCACGACTGAGAACCAATTATATTATATGGTTATTGTAGCAACCTTGGATCGGAGAACGACTCGAGTGCTCTGGTCAAACCAACGAGAAGGTTTTCAGCAAGTTTCCTTTTTTGAATCCCAAAAAAAAAGCTTTCCTTCTCATATATATCTTGTTTGTTTATATATCTTTTAGAGAAAGACCTCACGAAAGAATTGCAGAACATCCAACTCCTCACTGACAAAGGGGAAAACAGCAGAGGCGTCTTCGCCTTCCCACCTGGCGCCTCGTATCGACTTCCATCTGGTGAAAAAGTTCCTGGAGATTCTCTAATCGTGAAACTCCTGGATATGAACGAAGACAGCGACGTGTGCGAAGTCAATATCCTCCGTCGTATAGGCCTTTTACGCGATTGGGGAATCATGGAATATCAAACTAGTTATGATGAAGAAGAAACCCTGGAATATGGTGTTCTTGTCATGGACAAAGTCCCCGGGAAATCTTTGCATAATTATGACTGGTGGGCACGTCTTGAGAAGGATAAGCAGAGAGAGATTTTGGAGAAGGCTCTCAATGATCTTGAGAAGAAAGTTTATGGGTATGTTGCACACTCGGGGTTTCTTTATGCGTAAGTTTTGCTCTTTTTTCCAGTGTCCGAGAATCATTCGTGCTGATCGTTCTTTCTTTCCCAAAAGTGACTTGACTATGGACAATATGCTCGTCGAGATCGACACCGATGCGAAGACAAATACCCATTCATTCAAAGAGGCGCATCTTGTGGATTTCGGCCATGAGGGTATTTACACTCTCCGACCCGGAATACCATCAAAGGAAGTATTCGTGAGTGACTTTCTTTGTTGCTAGTTACTTTTTCAACTGCCCGAAAGATCTCGCTTACATACTCTGTGGGATTGAATTTTTCTCAGGATTCATGGTTTTATGAACGAATCAATATCCAATGGGCCGAATTTCTCGAAAAAGAAAAGTGGGCGGAGTTTCGTAGTCCTGGGACTTTTGCTGCTGCTTCCGGGGTAGCAGGATCAAGTGGTGCAGGGCGGAAGAGGCCAGCGGATGGTGCAGACGATACAGATAGAATGAAGGGGTCGAAATTGAAGAAAAGTCATACGCGCAGGTACTCGAAGCTCAGGTTGACGTAGAATCTCGTAGTGAAATTGGGCAGGCGTAAGCTAGGGGAAAAAACAATCGGCGGATAGTTAGGCAATAGTTCACGAGTGTCATTCCACAGTAATTGTATCCTGAATGAATTCCTCCCATGCATTGATGAGTGATAGATAGTAAACAGATTTGAAAGGCAGAAAAAACAGTTTTCATTCAGCAAGTAGGGGTTCATGGTATGGTATGTAGTCGTTACACATTAGGCGTTTCGTTCGTTCATTCGTTCCTCCATCCAACCATATTCAGAAAGAATCTCATCGTATGTAGTAATGGTAGTACAGCTTACGTTTTGTCCTTCATTTAATCCATCCTCTTCTCATCAACAACCCTCCACATCCACCTCCTCACCACAGTCTCCAGCATCTCTTCCCACCCTTCCTCCTGCTTCGCCACGATCCGCGCGTCGAACATCACCGGAGGCTCGTCTGTCGCGAACTTTTTCTGGAACAGCGGAAGCGGGGAGGGTAGGGGTGTGTGCGTTGGAGGTGTATTTGATATATTCGGAGTTGTTGCTGTGGTTCCAGTGCCGGCTTTGGGTTTGATAGATAATGCTTGAGTTGGAACGAGAATAGGAAGCATGTATCTCAATTTCAGGGCACTGTAACAGAACAAAGAAGATGGTAAGTATGATTATCTCAGTCCTAAAATTGACAAAGGAAGAAGAAGATAACCCACCCAACCCATAATCGCAGATTATCAGACCTCCGGAATGTCCATCCGATTTTTTGACTCTCGCCGGTCTGTTCCGCCTTCTCTGCCTCTGCTCTCTGCAGAGCCAGGATATCATGAATCCCTTCTTTGTTGATATACCCCCACGGTTTCTTCGACTTGCGTACGCCGGTATTGTACGCTACGCATAGAAGCTGGCCGGAGGAGAGTGACTGAAGGAATGCGGTGTGGGCAGTGGGTGATGAGGATGGTGGATCTGTTGGGAGGGCAGAGTGTAAATGTGAGGGAAGGAGATGGAGGAGGATCGATCGTGCGCGGTCTGTATATATCGATTAAGCATTAGAAGCCAGAAAAGGAAGTTCTACCCCGGGGCACGAACCTAAATCACTATTTACGAACGCCAGCCGTTGCGCCCATTCAGGTAACGCATCGTCCTCCAAAACGCTATTCTCTTCTTCTTCCACATCATCTTCTGCATTATCGTCCACTTCGATTCGAGTCTCTTCATTCTCAGCCTCTTCGGAGATACCCTCCATCTGTTGAGGCTCGTCGGTGAGATTTACCCTGTCCAATAGTTCAGGCAACATTCCCGTTGACACTCGTCGGCGTTCGCCTGAACCAGAACCAGTTTTTGTCTCCGCAAGCCCAATCCCGGTACCCGCACGACTTATAGTCCGACTTTCCACATCGCCTGCGCTGACTCTTCGCTTCGCACTATTCCTGCTCCTACTCCTCCCTTTATCCCTCATCCTCCTTCGTTCTCTCTCCCATCCTCGCTGTTCACCACGCGCATTTTTAGTGCCTTGGAATAGAACTTCGTCAACCAGGTCGAGGTACTCCCCAACTAGTTTTCGTTCATTCGGGAGTTGACTAAGAGTAATGTCCTGTTGATATAGCCACCCACTGCCGAGTACCAACCTCTCGTCCCATCGATCTTTCTTCTCCTTCGTCGCGTCTTCGTCGACAGAAAACGAGTCGGCGTCTAGATCTTCCCAAACAGGAACAGTCTCATACCGCCCGTTGACTTGCACTAGGGAAAACGCTACCGACGTGTCTTTATCGACTTCATGTACCGCCGCTTCGGTAGCTAATTCTTCTTCTTCACGGGAGGAAGACGCTCCTCCCGCGCCGGCTTTAGATCCTCCACCATCACTCTGCGCATCATATGCATCATCACTGAGCGGTAACCGTGTCTTTTCCTCCAACTCGCGCAGCACAGCAAGGACTTCCAACGCCGACCGACGAATGAGCGTCAGCGGGTCAGGCTCATGCTGTGATGTGGATCTATCTCCTCGTGATGACTGTCCAGATTCTCGAGGACCGAGTCGATTTGACCTGAAATGCTCACTGGTAGTTCCACTGGATCCAGTCGATTCGTCTGGTTGGGATAACAAATAATTACGCGTAGAGCGAATTGCGTGGGTGGTAGTCTGGAGGACGTCTAATACGTCGATAGGGTTATCGTGAATGTCTGATGCGTCAAGATCGATGCACCATGCGCGAGATACAGCTGTCAAGTCACCGACTACGCCTGGTAGAAGTGTTTCTGGATCGATTTCGGTGGATTTGACATGGGGAGTCAAGAGAGAATCTGGCTGGGAGTTGGCAACGACGGGAGTGGGTGGCAGGAGTAAATCAGATATGGAAGTTATTGATGAAGTTCCAGGACTGTGTATACTGGACCCAATGGCTGGAACAAGACCATGATGTAGTTTGTCGAGAGGTCTGTGTAGAAATAATTTCATCGTTACGGTAAATTGGTACGTACGACTAATGACAACTTACTTCTTCTTAGACTTCAAACCGGCTTTGGTAAAATAATATTGCAGGTGTTCAATACTTCCAAGTGCCATGACACTTCCACGTTTCGCAGCACTCCTACTGAACGGCTTTTGCGTCTTATTGGTCGAGTTCACATGAGGATAGATTGCTGTTTGCCTCCGCGTTTTCTTTGAAGCTCCTGGTCCTGACGAGACGGAGGACGTATCAGGAGAAGATAATTGTCCTGTTGAGCCTGTGGACTCTGGTGTCAAAGCTGACGGTGTAGTCGGTGTAGAGGATTCTGAATTCATCGCTTTGTAGGTCGTGGACGTTGGTCAGCGCGTCAGCCTTGGGATAATAAAATGGGCGTCTGTAGGCGTCTATCGAGAGCAATTTAGTACCCACGATCCGGCACGGCTGTCTTCCAATAATTTTCTATGGAGCCGAACCCATTTCGTCAACATACGCCGGCTTTCTCCTCTCCCTTGAACTACTTAGCCGTACCCGACGTGTCCTGGCTCCTTCACCCACAAAATGAGCTCACAATCCTCCGCAGCGACGGCGTTTGTTGATCGCGTGCAAAATTTTGTTTCTGAAAATAAGCAAGCGATCCTCATAGGCACCGCGGCTGCTGCTATTGCTGTCGGTGGTGTTGCTTATTATGCTTCTACGTCGTCTTCCAGGTCCAAAACTGACTTGGAAAAAGGTGAAAAGGGAGAGAGGAAGGATAGAAAGTCAAGAAAGAAGAAGAAAGGTGTGAACGATGCTGACGGGCCTATTCTCGAAGAGCGAAAGGCAAAGGTTGAGGATGATGAAGGTTAGTCTCGTTACTGCTACACGCGCTATTGGTCAAGGCACTTTCCTGTGCTTACTATCCACCTATAGATGACCTTTCAAAATACACTGCGGAGGTCGTCGCTGCATTACCGGAGGAGGTAAGTTCCTATCAGCAAGATACGTCTTACATATACAAATCATCAGCCTAGGAACGCTCAAGAATAGCAGGATTGTTCAAAGCTCAAGGAAATGACGCTTACAAAAGCCGCGACTTTGCTACCGCTGCGAAACTGTATAGCCGTGCGATAGAGACAACACCAAAAGCCGAACCTGTGTTCTACAGTAACCGTGCTGCATGTGTGTATAAATTCTCTGCGTCTCCTCGATTGAACAGGCTATTGATCAATGTTTGTGTGCATGAAGGCTACATGAACATGGCTCCACCAAAGTATGAATTGGTCGTCCAGGACTGCGACGAGGCTATTAAGCTTGATCCCAACTATGTCAAAGCTCTCAACAGGCGAGCGATGGCGTTTGAGGCCCTTGAACAGTATTCTGAAGCTTTGCGCGGTACGCCTCTGTAGTTCAAATATCTCTCACTCATTCAACTCATTCATTTATGATCATATCAGACTTCACCGCAACAACCGTCCTTGAAAAATTCACCAACCAAGCCACCCCGCTCGCCGTTGAGCGCGTTCTTAAAACTATGTCCACGAAAAACGCCCAAGATATACTCAAATCAAGAGGACCCAAACTTCCTCCGGCCACATTCATCTCTGCATACTTTGCTGCCTTCCGGCCACGAGATTTGCCTGCTTTACCAGAAGCTCCCTCAGAAGGAGACCAGACGCTGATTGAATCATTCAAGGCGCTGGAAGAGCATGATTATCAGCGCTCGTTCGAGTTGATTCAAAGAGCACTAGAGACAGGTGTTTCATGGGATGTTGGGAAGTCAGAGGCGTTGAATCTAAGGGGGACATACAAGTATGTACATAGCTTTTTGAAGGTCTGATATAACGTACTCACATATGATTGCAGGTTCCTCATTGGAGATGTCGAGGGAGCCAAAGACGACTTAAATGAATCCATCCAGCTCGTGGCTTCCTTCACTCAAAGCCTTGTCAAGATCGCGAGTGTGTACATGGAGCAGGGTCAAACTGACAAAGCTTTTGAATGCTTTGAAGAGGCGATCAAACATAACCCAGAGGATCCAGATATTTATTATCATCGTGGCCAAGGTAAGAGCGTTCTTATCTTATCTCATACTACAGTTTATAACCCGTCGCTGTGAAGTGCTCTTCATCATGAACAAATTCGACGATGCAGCGAAGAATTACACCAAATCCACCGAGCTTGATGATAATTTTGTGTTCAGCCATATTCAGCTAGCCGTTGCGCAGTACAAGGCAGGCAATCTGGCTAATGCAATGGCTCAATTCCGAAGGACAATGAAAACTTTCCCGCAACGGAGCGAGCCTCTCAACTATTAGTGGGTATCTATTTACCCTCGTCTATCGAGTAGGTTCTGATAAACATTGGATATTCTGTAGTGGCGAACTTCTGCTGGATCAGCAACGTTATCAAGACGCAATCGAAAAGTTCGACAAGGCAGTCGAAATTGAAAAGTCAAAGTAGGTGTCTCTTTCTGATCGATACAAAACCCTCAATTCAAACCCAAATTACAACCTACAGAAATCCTCAGAATGTCCTCCCGCTCGTCAACAAGGGCCTTACCCTCTTTCAAATGGATCAAAACATCGGCGCTGCCGAGCGATGCTGTAACGAAGCCCTTCGAATCGACCCAGAATGCGAGGCCGCGGTGGCGACACTCGCTCAGCTAAGTTTACAGCAAGGTCTCGTGGATACGGCTATCAAGTATTTCGAAAAGTCAGCGGAATTAGCAAGGACGGAACAGGAGCTTGCGGGGGCGTTGACTTATCAATACGTCAGTTGACCAACTTTATTTTCAGTCAATAATTTTGCTCATTGTTTTGCTATCTAACTATGGATGTATGGATGTGACGTACAGGCGACCAAAGCACAAATCGAGTTTGCGAAGAATTACCCGATGTTGGCATCTCAAATGAACGCGATGGCTCAGGCTATGTAGAGACGGCTCTTGTTTTTTTCGTGGCCATCATCCATGCTGTCATCCATACTCTGAGGCGCCACGCACACTATATCTATCTAGTATTGTATCCACGACTTATTCTTCTGTTTCGATCTGCCCATGCGAAATCAAAGCAAACCCTCGCTCTCGTTTCTAATATCCGAATGACCGAACAAAGATAATCGAAGTCAGGTCAGGTTTCATTTGGTAAGTTTCGAGACCAATAGATTGCGTGCAGTCTTCACGACTGCTATTCACTCCTTCCTTAAATGAATATCAGTAGTGGCGTATCATAGCGAGACCAATGTTACATAGGTATGTCGTTGTCAGTTTGCTTGAATCGATAGAAAAGAATGTGTTATGGTTCAATAATTGACAAGCTTTAGAACCTGTGCCTTTGCCACAGTGGCTTGCTTTGCTTGCACCATGTACTACAGCAGGGCTTGTGGGGGGCAAGCCCCTAAGCCCCCACCTGCTCAGGACCTCCATATGCTATCTAAGTGAAGGATGGTGAATTGCTGTGGAACCTTCAAATCAACCAAGTTCAAAGTGTTCCTGCACATCAAGAATATTCAATTCCATGGTAGCAAGCAAGGCGATTGAGCACATCTAATGAAAATCAAAACGGCTTAGAATACCACACTGCTATCTTATTCAGGACTGGAAGAGTCACTAAGTACATGATGATCATGAATTTCTCAAGTCAAAAGTCTCCGAATTATTTCTCAGGGTCTACTTACATAGTACTATTCATATTCAATTAAGTATGCTAGGCTACTAGCATAATTCAAATCTTCTCATTGAATTTGATACAGTAATTGGGTTGTCAAGAAACTAAAAGGCTGAACTTGAAGTTTCGAAGTCTTATATAGTCTGTATGTAGTACTAGTGTGGCCAATCTTTGAACTTAGCTAGATACAGTTGTAGATTGTGATTACTGGAAGACCCTGCATTTGAGCAATTTTCTGGATGTGGCATAAGAAGGCAGATTTGGTTAGAGGTTGGAGTGTGACATGTCTTCCTGAGAGGTGCTTGTAGGCAAACAGGTGGTCTGAGGGTCCTGGGTCATTCACTCTGAGTTGGTTTTGAAGCCACCAATCTGGGTCCGAGGAGCCAAGGCTGCTTAGAGAAGTAGATATCTTCTCCTTCAGATTGGTTCAATTTGGTTCGAGGGCTGTGTAGAATGGTGGTCTTGAAACCATTTCATGAATTTGTGAAGGGGTGATGTGATTGTTGGCAGAGAAGTCTCTCAGGTTAGGAACTGTGAGTTCTCCAACTCTGGCTGCACAGTAAAAACTAGTGGTAAGACAACCTCCACAGGCTGCATCAAAAGGATTGTTAGGGTTGAGTCCGGTTAGTATGCTTTCAATGTAACTAATGGTGAAGGGAAGTCTTTTCTTTCACTAAGAACGCTTGGGCTGTAAATGCTCTGCCCCTTGAATCATAGTGTCAATTGGAGCTTTGTCAATTTTCCACTCTATGCCATGTATGATATGCCAAGTGTGTACACCATGGACATAATTTTTCACCGAGGTGCCTGTGTAGTGTTGCAATCCAAGATTGGAGGAGGTTGAGGCTGCAGGGTGCACGTTGAAGTTCGGGAATTTTGCGGGAGTCACAGAATACATGGAAAGTGAGGAGGCTGGAAGTGTATGTCTCAAGGGTGCTTTTAGCAAATCCTGCAGTGAGAACTGATTGAACACACTCAGCAAACTCATCTAGAAGGTCAAGAGAGTGACCAGTGGTGTCACGGAAGGTGCGCTTGGAGGCAAGGCACCATTTTGCTAATCATTCATGAGCTGGACAATGTGGACATAGTATGGAAAGAATGGATGTTAAATTGGATGGGTATCTATTCACAGTAGATGTTTGTATGTAACGTAGAGGGGCAGAACTAGTATTGGGGTATTGGGAGGTCGCAGGGCAATTATCAGGCATTCTCAAAGGCGGCAAGGAGTCTGCCTTCTTCTTCAAGTCTCGATTGAATTCAAGCCTTTCATGGGAGCGCTTCGGCCTAGATGAGAGGCTGTACATCTGCAAAACATGTATACTCGCTAACGAGCTTGCCTTGTTTTTGTGTGAAAGAGAAAGGAAGGAATCTAATGGGCACTCCAACCAACCAATCTAATACACAATATGCGAGTTCACTGCTATCAAATTTATTTAATAGCAAGGGGTAGCGTTGGCAAAGGTTCTGCAAAGCTTTGAGAGCTAAGTAAGAAGCTTCGATCAATCAATTTGAATCGTTCTAAGGATTCAGTATATTCCTTTGATTAAGGTAGATTCAGCACAATTTGTGCTTTGATTGTATTGATATGGGTATATCAAGAATTGGGGGTTCAAATCAAAGTAAATTAAAACCAAAACACACAGACCCCTACAGAGGGCTAGAACTATGTGCTGGCACAACCACACAGCGTGATTTGCCCTTAAGACCAACGACTGATCCTAAGTTTGAAGAATACCCAACAACTGGATATACTTCTCGCAGTCACAAGGAGCAGAACACGATGTTCCTATACTCACAAGTGCCGGGCCCGAATGGCTGCTAGCGAAGAGGTTTCAGTCTGGCGGGAGTGTGTCTTTCCTTTTTACGGATTAGCACTGCAACGTCGTCCCAAAATCACTTGTATTCCAGATACATCGGATTGCTATTTATACCTACAGAGGATAGAATTGTACAGTACAATTAATTTAATACAATAAACGTTCGGAACCGCAAGGAAACTTCTACAATCGGTCAGATACCATTTAATTTGAATCTACAGGTCCTTATTTGGCCCATATTGGTTCCAAGATTCTAGTATACCTCCAAACATAGGTAGGCACTTCGATATTCATTTAATTGTTTTTAGAGAATGACTCAAATGGTGTTCAATTGTCATCGTTGTTCAACACTTACTTCGATTGTTTGTCACCTCGTCCGGAGGCAAATCAGCTCTCCTCGATTCTAATCCTATCAATCTGATTCATCTGGATTAAACTAATTGCTTCTCTCTTTCAATAGACACCCATTGTGCCTATACTCTATCAAGGGAGTTACGCATAGTATTCATTTAATTGCATTCTTCAATATTTTCTACGTCAGGACTCTTTGACATTCATTTGATATGTCTTCGGAGCCTCGCAGTACTTTGATCGTTTTTCTAGTCATTTTCCTCAACCATGCAACCTGATTGGTCTATTAGACTAAATTGCAGTCTTTTAGATTAATGCATGATCTCGTTCTAGAAGGAGTATTTGATAATTCCTGAGTTCTAGAAAGTCATTTCGAGTCAATCCTCGGCTCATGGTCACTTGAGTAAGTTCTTCCAAACTCCTGCCAGTGTAAGGTCCAATAAGAATACCCTTGGTATGTCATACGTTGACACGCCTAAATTTTGGCTAGACATCTATGCTGTGAATTGTGACATTTTCACGTATAGATTTGTATCGAGAGGACTGTAATTGAGACCCAGATTGACAGTCAAAGTCAATACTGAATCAGTCTAATAAGTTGAAGGGACCATATACCCATACTACCACAAGTTGGTTAGTTTACCCATCCCCGATACTACCTACGGATAGCAGTCTACCTGTTTGTCAAGCAGGATTATACCAGACTCGGACTACATCCGAAGGATGACCATTCACGTATGACATACCAAGGGTATTCTTATTGGACCTTACACTGGCAGGAGTTTGGAAGAACTTACTCAAGTGACCATGAACCGAGGATTGACTCGAAATGACTTTCTAGAACTCAGGAATTATCAAATACTCCTTCTAGAACAAGATCATGCATTAATCTAAAGGACTGCGATTTAGTCTAATAGACCAATCAAGTTGCATGGTTGAGGAAAATGACTAGAAGAACGATCGAAGTACTGCGAGGCTCCGAAGACATATCAAATGAATGTCAAAGAGTCCTGACGTAGAAAATATTGAAGAATGCAATTAAATGAATACTATGTGTAACTCCCTTGATTGAGTATAGGCACAATGGGTGTCTATTGAAAGAGAGAAGCAATTAGTTTAATCCAGATGAATCAGATTGATAGGATTAGAATCGAGGAGAGCTGATTTGCCTCCGGACGAGATGACAAACGATCGAAGTAAGTGTTGAACCGCAATGACAGTTGAACACCATTCGAGTCATTCTCTAAAAACAATTAAATTAAATGAATATTGAAGTACCTACCTATGTTTGGAGGTATACTAGAATCTTGGAACCAATATGGACCAAATAAGGACATGTAGATTCAAATTAAATGGTATCTGACTGAGTGTAGAAGTTTCCTTGCGGTTCCGAACGTTTATTGTATTAAATTAATTGTACCATGCGACTCTATATTCTGTATGTATAAATAGCGATCCGATGTATCTGGAATACAAGTGATTTTGGGACGACGTTGCAGTGCTAATCCGTAAAAAGGAAAGACACACTCCCGCCAGACTGAAACCTCTTCGCTAGCAGCCATTCGGGCCCGGCACTTGTGAGTATAGGAACATCGTGTTCTGCTCCTTGTGACTGCGAGAAGTATATCCAGTTGTTGGGTATTCTTCGAACTTAGGATCAGTCGTTGGTCTTAAGGGCAAATCACGCTGTGTGGTTGTGCCAGCACATAGTTCTAGCCCTCTGTAGGGGTCTGTGTGTTTCGGTTTTAATTTACTTTGATTCAAACCCCCAATTCTTGATATACCCAAATCAATACAAACCAAAGCACAAATTGTGCTGAATCTACCTTGATCAAAGGAATATATCGAATCCTTAGAACGATTCAAATTGATTGATCAAAGCTTCGTACTTAGCTCTCAAAGCTTTGCGGAACCTTTGCCAACGCTACCCCTTGCTATTAAATAAATTTGATAGCAGTGAACTCGCATATTGTGTATTAGATTGGTTGGTTGGAGTGCCCATTAGATTCCTTCCTTTCTCTTTCACACAAAAACGAGGCAAGCTCGTTAACGTGAATGGTCATCCTTCGGATGTAGTCCGAGTCTGGTATAATCCTGCTTGACAAACAGGTAGACTGCTATCCAAAGGTAGTATCGGGGATGGGTAAACTAACCAACTTGTGGTAGTATGGGTATATGGTCCCTTCAACTTGTTAGACTGATTCAGTATTGACTTTGACTGTCAATCTGGGTCTCAATTACAGACCTCTCAATACAAATCTATACGTGAAAATGTCACAATTCACAGCATAGACGTCTAGCCAAAATTTAGGCGTGTCATCGCCAGAGCAAGGATACTAGCTGGAGAGCGCTTTCCAGTGACAAAAGCACCCAAAGCAAAAATCAAAGCCTGCTCTGGGTGCTTTCACTGCTGGGAAGTGCTCCCAAGTGCTCTGAGCTGCTTTTGGCTATTTAGCCGAACATACAGGTTTTGCAGATGTAGCTATGGTGAGGGTTTTGGAGAGCAAGTTTGGCTGGGGAGAGTGGTTTGTCATAGTCAATGATGAAGTCAGAGAGGTATTGTGGGATGGGAATACAAGGGAGGAGGAATTTGAGAGGACCAATGTTTCCTCATGAGAAGGGATCAGCTGGGTTATTGGCACTTGGGATGTAGCAGGTGTGGACAATTAGGATTCTAATCCAAAAATGATCATTTACCCATTTTGTTAGCAGGCTGAGGCCTCTACCTCTGCAGATTTCTACACCTGCATCTGTGACACAACCATATGCACTGCCGGCTGAGGAAAGACCGAATATGACCCTGGTGTCAATACAGAATTGGTCAGAGTCTAGCTGAATTACTGCACCCACTGACTGCAAATGGTGCAATGGGACCATGCAGTAGGCTTCTGACAGGTCTCTGACTGCACCTTGTGCGTTTGGTGGCAGAGTCCACATGCGATTGCAGGCCACTGCACCACCGTGCATGGCAAAAACTCGGCTCCTTTCTTGGGGTTTATTAAATATTATGGAATCAAAAAAACAGGGCGCCTGAAATGTTTTTTGGGAACAAAATAAAAGCAAATTTACATAAACTACAGTATCTATGGAGTAATAGGGAGTAACTGAGTGAGATGCTGTGAGACTAGAAAAAATAATTGTGACAGAGTCACAGTCCCGTGATATCCCGTGCCAGTCACAAAAAATCAATTCAGTGTTACTTTTGTCCAAACAAGGAGAAACTCCTACCATAAAAGGAAATTAATTTTGTATGGAGTGCCGTATATAAGGACAATACTTCCGTAAACTACAGCCTCGTAATAGGAGTTGACAGGTGTTGGCAAATGTGCCCCAAAAGCATGGATAGAGGGATGAATCAATGTTGGAGTGTATGGAGGAGATGGAGATGGGATTGTGAGGGAAAGAGAGGTTTTCAAGCAGATGGAACTTTCCTGGTTTTCTAAATTTGGGAATCATAGATATAGGAGACATTTGGAAGGGACCTATTGTTTCTTCGAGGATGTGTCTAGAGAATGGCCCAATCCATCATTTTAGGTTGACATCATTATTTACAATTGATTCGAAGGCTTTTATGAACTCAGGATCATCTAGCTTATTATGAGGGGAGAATGTATGGTTGATTGGGGGAATACTGATTTTGAAGCCAAAATGAATTGAATTTGATAGAGTTGGGTATTTGGAGAGTAGTCTGAGTTCTGAAAGAGCCAGATGCCATGCTTCTGTGTTCAAGGGTGTGCAAATGCAAGTTCTACTGTCCTTCAGGGCAGTTTTCAGCTCCATGACTGGAGTGAGCAGCAGTGCTTCTCAGGGTGCATCCATTAGGACACTGCCAGTCTGCACACAGTTTGAGTCCCACGTAGGTGCCACTTGAGATTTCCAGTTGCAGAGGACCACTTGTTTTCCATTCCATGGTGTGGTTCATGAATACCAGCAGATGTCATATTTATCCCTGCCAAGGCACCTGTGATACTGCAAGAGTTTTGACTGATTGGCTTTGCAAAAGGAGCATGGAAAATTGGGTGTGTAGTCCTCCTCTTGCTTGATGTTACTAGCTTTGTGAGGGGACGTGGATGGGTAAGGATTGCACCTGGATTTAGAGGGCCTTGATTGGTGATGAGATGTAATGAGGCACCCCAGGAATGGTGCTGGGTGATGACTGCCTGCATCTCTGGTTGGCATAGGTAGTGTGGCAAGGGATTGGAGTTTGGGTGGTGTTGGCAAAAATTTACTGTTAGCAAGATTGTAATAGCAGTCAAGGGTTGTTGGGATGGTTAGCAGTGAGGCATGCAATTAGTGTTGGTGGCGATTAGTGGGAGGGAGATAGTTAGAGATAGTGTTTAACCGGAGGGAGATAAGTAGAGATAGCATTTAGCAGGAGGGAGATAGGTAGAGATAGCGTTTAGCAGTGAGTATTGGTGGGGATTTGTAGTAATTAGTAAAGAGACTATGGGAGAGGGGAAGGGGAAGACATACCCTTTAAGGCTTTAGCATGATCTTGGCTTCAAATTTTGTTGTGACACTCATCAAGTGTTTCCTCTATAATTACGGCCAGGTCAAAGGGATCCCCCTTTTCATTATCCTTGTACCAAGAGAGACATGTTTCTGCTTGATAGAGGGCCATTGTGTGTTCGCTGTTGGTTTTCCTTAACTCTGGGTGCATTTCCATGTTGACAAAGAATTGCACAAACATATTGACATGTTTGTCAGGGAAAGCACCAAGGGAAAGGGCACCAAGGAAGCCACTTTTGGCTTGCATAACCTGGTTCCAGGTGAGATGAAGGTCTGGGAGGGCATTGGGGGAAGCGCAAATGGAGGTTGTGGAGACAAGGGTGAGGGAGGCATTTGATGCTATCGCGGGGTCGCTCTGGAATTCAAAGCAGTTATTGTCTACCACTTCCCTCATTTGCTCCCTGGCTTCTCTCTTGGCATCTGGCAGAAAGTACCAGAGTGGTACATATTTGCAAGTCGACATTAGCTTTTTGGCATAAGAGTGGTAGTGGTGCGGAACGGAACAATGGCCAACACCTTGTTTGAAATTCGGGAGGGGGGTTCATTTCTTTTCCATCTCCTTTGCCAGCTCCGCTTCTTTCTCTCTTTCTCCTGCCTCGCATAGTCTTTAGTGCACGCTTATTGTGGAAAATCACTAATTTATTTGTACATGTGTACAAAAGGAACTGCTTCAATTGTTGGTGGCAGATAGACCTTGACAAGCAAGGTGATGGGTGTAATCCAAAAGTATGAGAGTGCAAGGTGCCAACTAAGGGAGTTTAGGGGCTCGCCCCCAACAAGCTGTGAACCCTGCTGTAGCACACGGTGCGAGCAATGCAAGCCACCGCGGCTAAGGTACGGGTTCTAAAGCTTGTATATGGGATTTGATGATTACTGTACAGAGACAATAATATACGACCATCGTGACAAGAATGCCCTCAGGCTCTTTTGAGTACATAACTTACTGATATGATACATATATATACATATTTCAATGTTCACATAGATACACCTAAATCCCATACATCTTTTCACATATTTACACCCTATATTCCCGGCCAAGCAGGTGCACTATCGTATTCACTAGCATTTACACCATAAACACCTTCATTCTGCATCAGTTCCACCCATTGCACATCCATTTCAGATACACCGTAAACACCTTCATTCTGCATCAGTTCCACCCATTGCACATCCATTTCAGGAAAGGGGATCTGGTTTGTGCTTGCATTGTGTCCGGAAGCATTCTGTCCACCGACATGTCTCCAGCCTTGATTCGTTCCTGGTTGGACAGAAGGATCAGATTCATGCGCTTGTGTCGACGTCCACGAAGGCCTTGCGTCGTAGCCACCTCTACGGTGTACAGCTAATGGATTAAGGCGACTCTCTCTGTCATTCCAGCACACATGCTGAGTGGCAGACCCTGTAGACGAAGGACCATGATTCCAAGCAGGTGCCCCGTTTTGCGAAGTGGCCAAGTTGTATTCGAATGGGACTCCCGAGCGAGTAGAGACACTATTATTAAGGAGTGAATGTCGGCCGACCGGCAAGGCACGCTCAGATTGAGGCTGGAAAGTACGGTTATTAGATGGACCTGGCACAGAAAACGAGGGAGAATTGGATGGGTAGGATGAGAATGAGTGTTCGGATTGTTGGTCGGAGTGTGGAGGATTGATATACCAGTCATTCGAGGACGTGGTTGATTCTTGTCGGTGCTGCCCTGACCCTTCCGATCCACTGTTAGCACTATCGAACTTCGGAATTTTTCTCGACGACCTCATCTTCTTCATTAGGAGCTTTGTGTAACCTGCGAAAGTTTCCAACGTATGCAGGGCATCTGCATCTTCTTGTACGACATTCAATTTGGCCGTCTCTGTATTCACCTGCGAGTTTATCGACTTGGTCGCCTTTTCATACATCCGAAGTAACACGTTCTGTGGGCAGTCGCAAGTCACAGATTATGAGTTTTGTTTTGAAGCTCCAAGCGAAAATCATACGTACAAGTCCGCGTTTGGCTCTAGCAGATCTGGGAGCGCCCATTTTGAAGAGGTCTATTGCGAGCCCTAGCTCTGCATAAGCGTTTGCTGCGACAGGGTTTCTAGGCGATCTTGCGACAATCAATCCAAGAATTATCTGTTGGCAAATGTAAATATGGACTTTGACATGGAACCAAGACGCTTACACCGGCACTAAGAACTGTGCGGTCACACATAACTATTAAAGATCATATGAAAGAAGCACGCTGAAAGTACTTACGGCCAGTCCAAATCTCCCAATATCTTGAAAGGATTTCGGAATACTTATAAAAGTGCTTGACGTTCAAATGGACCATCATCGAAGACGTCCGATACGCCGCGAGGAAGGATGGTGCGTATATGCTGTTCAATGGATCCGATGGCGACTGTAAAAGAACCTGCGCAAAGAACGCTCGATGTATATGGATGATCACTAAACATAAATGAATTTCGAAAGACGATAAGCATACTAATACTCACCCACTGCTCTGAACTGATTAAGATGGAGGCCTTTCAGAGCAATCATCGAAGCCTCGTATCCAACTTGTTCTTCTTCTTCGTCCACTGAGGTAGCGGGTGAGTTCTTTTCGAGTGAGAGAGACAAGGAGTGTATAGGGTCATATTCTCGAGGGAGGGGATGTTCCCGCACAAGCTGGTCAAGGTCGAGTATACTTTGATAGTCAGGCATACCAGGCGAAAGGGTGACCTTCGCAACAGCAGTTATGACATCCCTGCTAAAAGTCATTCGCCAATGATGGACTAAGTTTAAATTTAGAAAGCCGAAACAGAAGACAAAGCCGAGAACTGCTCACATCCAGGTTCCAGATTTCCTTCGTCGTCGACGCCGTCATCCGTGTCAATTGGTAGCGGCGTGTTACTGTGAGCTGCAAAGAGAGCCGGCGGTCTGCCTAATGCTAAGCTCTACGCAGAAAAAGTGAGAATTTCAAACAAGTCCACACGTATCTGTACGCAAATATGAGATAATACATACAGTCAGACCATCGAATGTGTACAGTTCCCAGAAGATCGTCCGTCTTCGTTGGATTGTCTTGTCGTCCAAACCCCACTTTACGCTTTCGCGATCTGTATAAAAGGCAATCAACACACTCGGAAGACATTCTCTCGAAAATGAACACAAACGTAGCCCGAGCTAATATGGATCAGTGTCTACAAGACTTGTATAAATATGCCCAACTCACACTATGTGTTAACTTTGCTGCAATTGACATATACACCCAACCAGCTTCTATGCTATAATTCGGACCACCGGTATCATAGTAGTACCCAATCAACGTGACAGCTTGTAAGCTGGCTAAATCTGGTGAAACGAAAACTGGATGCAGGGACAAGCATGCGCGGCTAAGGTTGAAAAAAATTGCCGATTCAGAACTGTACATCGGCATGCTATAGTCTGCCAGCGACCCATGAGCAAGGCAAATGAAGAGAAGGGAAAGACGCGAGGGAGATATAGGAATTGCGTTAGCCGAGTGTGCAGACGGCCGCGCATTCACAGTTGTCAAACACCGATATGCGGGGGTTAATAACTCGTCAACGAGCTCTTCCCTTGACACCATCTTCATATACCAGAAATTGCGCGTTAAATAACTCTCAGCCAGGTTCCACGCACGCTCTTTTTGTGGAAGATGGGAGAGAAGAATTTTTACAGAGCTTTCGACGTCCCAGGTATTGTCGGATAGGAAAGGGAAGGAGTTCACGAGTTGTGCGATATGATTGGAAGGCACGAAGCCATATGTAGTCGGGCTGGCCACTACTTCGGGACTGTCTTCCAAAAGACTCTGATGGACAAGTTTGAGTATCTCTAAACCTACGAACTTTATCCGATGTACATGGACATACCTCAGATCCAGCTGACCGCCCAAGATATCTTGCATCTCCAAGCTTCCCGAGTGTCAAAGTTCCCAGTGCATCAGCCATGTCTGATGTTTCTACATCTTCCGGATAGCTATTTTTTCGAAGTTCTGCTTTTGGAAGACAGAGAGATTCAGCGAGCAGAGAATGTGGTTCAGAAGAGGTAGTTGCTTGTAGCGCTGAAAGGGCATCTTCCAATTGCCTGATACGCCTGCGCAAGGCAGCCACATCAGACGTCATGGCGCTAAAAAAAATATCGATTATCAAGAAAAATGGTGATAACGAGTAGATTGCAGGAAACCAACCCCTTTACTGGTACAGAGGACAGAGCCTGGGTCGGACATAGAGAAGAACATCCCCTCTTGACGCACGATCCGCAAGGAATCTGTTTCTGTTACAGTCAGCAGATGATGGCGCGCTCAGAAACCATCACCTTCTTGTCGCACTTGTACTTCAATCTGCGAGATAATCCCTATCAGTGACAACCAGCCATGATTTTTGAAAGATCAACGGACCTACAACACTCAGCGCAAGATATCTGCAGTGAAGAAATTGATAAAGTTCTGAACGGAAGAAGGCTTGAATTCAAACCTGGCCTTGTATACGCTTGAGGTCTGTCTTTTCTTTGGAGCTCATCTGACGAAATGAGTGAAAGCCGGAGGTGGATTCGTTTTCAGAAGACATTGATTGGGACGGCTGGTGTAGAGTAAGAGCTGTGGTAAGAGGGGAATGAAACGAACTTAGTATTCATCGGTGCCTTCTAGTTATGTACATACATAAGATTTGCATACCCAAAAGAGGTTAGTATCACAAAGGTGAGCAAGATTCAGGTGAGATTCAGGTGAGATTCAGATCGGTGGTACGATACTCGGAGATCCGTTTTTTGTCCTGTCTCTGCAAATCCTTTGCTTTAACCTTGTCGCTTTTTCTTATGCCCAGGTTCTACTACACAAACTTTATTTGAATCTCAATGACTGCTAAACTGGCAGCAAATTTGTGCGACGAAAAGCTAATGTCTTCGCAGGTCATCGCCTTGAACCTATCCACCTATCTCGTGGCAACAGCTTGATCATGATTGTGTTGATGCGCTTCTTCTTTTCTCAATGGCCGCCAATTTTCGCTTGAACCTCAATGAAGTCGCTCTTCTCTTTATTCCTGAGAATACACAATCAGAAATTAGAGACGCGTGTATAGTTCAAGTGATTGTTCGCTCAATTGGAATGGCTGCCAAGTCCGTATATTTACTCAACAAACCTGTGCTCACCATTTATTTTCGCTTTCGTTCTATACTCCAGCCGTTCACCCTCTGTAGACGATTGTGCGACGTTTTTCTGCTACGCAGATGAAATTTCGGTAAGCGTTCTTTCTCTGGGACCGGGAAAAATACAAAACTCGACGCGTTTTCAATTGATAAATCACGCAGAATGTCGTCCAGAACGTTGTCCTAGGTCATCTTGCTTATCCTGACCTTCCGACCAATTTTGTTTTGCGAGGCGAAAACTACATCTTACACGCAAGTAAGTATATATGTACTGCCTTACCGTATCCGACTTGAGACGTTTATTCGTTTTCCTATCAATGCTAGAACGAAAAGAATGGAAAGCTGGCAAGGATTATTGTTTCAAATGGGGCGAAGAAGTTATCAATGCAGCCGCAGAGAAGTGGATATTCGAGATGGTACCTAGAATTAACGACTAGCAATTCTAGCAATTCGCAACAAAGCAAGTCCCGCATACACACTGATATCGTTCATATAATCTCACAAGACGCCCTTCAACAGTTACCTCCACTATCCACTATATTGTTTGTAGACTATATATGTAGTAAGACTAGAGCGCCCAGGGCACGAGCTTCTAAGCCTGATCCAAAAAGCAAAAGATGCACTATGAACGTCGTGCAACTAAATGGCATATTGAAGATTATAACATGGCATAACATGTGCGCAGCATGAAGCATAGGGGGCCTTGAAGAGTACCGCATAAAACCCAGAATAGCTAAACTGATCCACTCAGAGCTTGCCGATACTAGCAGCATTGGCATTTTGTCCAGCAGCCTTTGCGCGTTTGCGCAACTTCTGAGTGGACTTGTTACCACGGAGACCCCCGCCCCATTGACGACGTTGCTCTTCATATTTATCAGTGCTGAAAGAGTATATAAGCAAAACGATCACTTCAAATAGACCAACAAATGACATACAAGTTTGCCTTGGAAGCAGAAACAAGGGTGGCGAGTTCGCGCTGGTCCTCTGATTTGACTTCCTGGAGGGCGACAACAGCAGCGGTCTTTTTGTGAACGACGGTACCGAGACGGGCCTTGCCCTTGACGATGACGTATGGGACGCCCATCTTGCGGCAAAGGGCAGGTAGGAAGACCACAAGCTCGATTGGGTCAACATCATGTGCGATAACGACAAGAGCGGCTTTCTTGGCTTCGATGAGAGCAACGATGTGGTTAAGACCGTACTTGACGAATAAAGGTTTCTTGGTCTCCTATCCAATTCGGCGATTGAGTCAAACAACGGAGAATGAGGTTGAGAGTACATACCTCCTTGTCTTTGCCCTCAGCAGCGGCAGCAGCAGTACTTTCAAGACGGGTTTTCTTCTCCGTCTTGGTCTCTGGACGATACTTGTTGAGTAACTTGAACAGCTGGGTAGCAGTGTTTTTGTCGAGGGTATGTGAGAACTGCGCGATGGAAGGAGGGACCTTCAGACGCTGGTTCAAGATAGTCTTCTGGCGCTGAAGACGGACATACTCAGGCCATTTAACAAAACGGCTGAGGTCAGTTTGAGGCTGGATATCCTGGCCTGATGCACCACTAGTTCAAAGAAAGAACAACCGCATAAATTCATGTCGACACACCGATACCAAAGTTCTTCGGAGCAGACTCGAAAAGAGGGTTCTTTTTCGTTTTGGTAGTCTTGCTACCGAAAGGAGCAGCAGCGGGCTTCTTGGATGCTCCAGACTTGGCCTTAGGCTGGTCATTGAGACGAAATCAGCATTGTAATCATAAGAGGACAATGCGCATCGGAGCTCTAACGTTGTGCACTGTCGATTACATCGTGTAGTGCACAACCCAGCAAATATTTGTTTGCCTCATCGCACCAGGAAAAGTGCTCAGCATACAGAGTACGGAACACTTAAGTTCTTGCTGGGAGGTTCTGCAGAAACGGAATCAGATTTGTCTGTAAGTCATCGCTAACCAAAACACACCATCCATCTCATTCGTTGATTTCCATAGACGATGAACCTTTGGAAGTAGAGCTCCGACACGTCCAAAAGCGTAATCTCACCATTTTGGAATCTTGAAGAGGTCTTGCGGTAGTGGAAGTGGAAATTGGTAAAAAAAATTTGTCCAACACAATCCTAGTGAGCTCCGGCAATTCCCGAGGTATGGCTTCTCGGGCCGCCGGGTTGGTACCACTCTAAGTCACCCCTGTATGCTGCTCATTAACCGTAGCGTGTGTTTCCCACCCGCGGAGGGCATAACCTGGCATAACCTGGCATGACAACCTGTGTTTCAGATATTGACTATGTACTTTGCATACTCTCACAGCCTCAGACAGCCTCTCTCTCACTACAATACAAGCGCGCCACTAAGTCTTATGCTTACAGGGCATATGAATACGGCAAAGATTGTATCAGTGGAAAAGCTTAGGGACAACAGGGGACAACGCGACATAGTTAGGGAATTTGTTGTAGTATGGGGCAGGTAGAGTAGGGTTGTCAAGTCCATGCCGCGGGCCTCCATTCCGCCGCTCGGGATTCCGAAGATCTGCTCCTTATTGTAATCTCACTCTTATTGTTCTTTCTCGCTACACATACCCTTTCGTTCTAGTCCCTCCTTATTGTCTTTTACTCTACCCTGCAGGTACTACTCGTATAGCTCCTAGTAGTTAGTCTGGCGCTCTGCACCGATGTGCCGTTCCGTAGATATAAATACTGCCTGTACGCTACTGTAGTTCCTCAGTTTAATTATCAACTTAGATCTCCCTTCTCAACTTGACTCTTCTCTAAGTCTTCAGGCTCAACGCCTTGAAGTACGTTCTCCTCGACCTTAGGACTTTAACGTCCTCTGGTTCGCTCCTCGTCATCGGCGATACCGCCGCTCCGACCTGGCTGCTACTTAGCTCCTCTCTCTCTACTCTCGCTCTCCGGGGACTAACGGCGTAACGGCGGTGTTGTTAATAACTTCACTACTGTCCCATTCGTCTTCCGCACTTAGACACCCTGTAGCCTTGGCACGGTTACGTGGTGTACATGATCTTAACAAGGGTAGAGTGCAGGGTTGGAGTCGGAGCCACCGTTAGATGAAGGGAAAGTAAAAGGGCTGCCATCCGGATCCCTTTGGCCCTATAAAGCAATCATGTGACCTGCTCCGCCGTTGGAACGGACAGAGACAACTCTAGAAGGAAATTTTGCACACTAGGTTATATGGATGTTAAGGTGACCTATCTTCTTTCTATCTATATTCATAAATTCACCTTTCTCTGACCTTTTCTATTTATTTGAATATGTCAATGTTGGCAAAGGACAATAATTTCTGCTTCCCTATACCTGATATCCTTGCAACCGAGAAGCTAGAGCTCGTTCCATTTGCGGTTGAGACATTTCCTGTCATCCCTTCAAGATATATTGTTACTGATGTGAGGATCATAGCCGCCGTATGCTACAGACCTTATCCAAGGTCTAGATGAATCTTCCTGGATACACATACCAGTCGGTCCATATTCCTCCCCAGACGGGTTTGTAGAAAAGTTTTGGAATGAATGTATACGTCCTAACCACGGCAGTTATCTCTTCGTCGCACTCAACAAACCATCTACAACCAATTCTGGCGAGGTCATCAAGCCCACTGTGGCTGGCATGGCTGACTACATGAATACAGATACCAAAAACCTCTGCACTGAGATGTACATATTTGTGCTTCCTCAATTCCGGCACACACCATTGGGCTTCTTCTCCGCTATGCTCTGAACCTTCCAAATGAAGGCAGCTTGGGCTTGCGAAGAGTCGGGTGGTCTGTGAACGTGACAAACACAGCTAGTATTAGGTTGGCAATGAAGATGGGGATGAAAGTAGAGGGTGTTCAGAATTGGACGGCGGTTCTTCCGATGAATAAAATGGAGGCGGGCGACGGACGTGCGCTCCAGAAGGGGGATCCACAAGCAGAGTTTCCAGGAAGAGATAACACCTTGTTAGCTATATGCTGGGACGATTGGGACAAAGAAGGCAAGAAAAATGTGGAGAACATCTTAACTTAGCTCATACATAGATCGATCGAACCTCAATTTGGCTTTCGTCCAACTTGTATCATCAAAGGGCTCGAACGTTTATGGTGCACTAATCCATTTAAGTCCTGCTTTACCACTAAATGGGGCTACCTAGGCATCAGATTTTTTCTTCTTCGGTGGTAAGAAAAATGTGGGTGTATATAACATGCATTCGCATGTGAGCCTCCTTCGTCCGTTCCAAGTACGTCTCACATGTGGTGCTCACTTCGAAATTCTAGTTTTCAGGGTGTCGGTGCTGGCGCACCTCCGTAAAACAATTATCAAGACACTGTAATGATTACACAAGGATGATATACTGAGCAAGTAAGAATGTACAAGGTAATGGACAATAGACAGTCGCGACTGAATTCGATGATGAGGGATTTACAGGGGATTACCAAAAACGGCGGTGGCTGTGACCTCGTGGGATTTGCGAATATAGAATTGACAAAATTTTTCACCCTATGGCTAGACTCGAGCCAGTAGCTTCGGATGTTGACACTTTGGAAACTGGCACTCAAAGGTGTCAGCAAAGCAACTGGTTTTTAATCCGGCACTTTTGGCAGGTCGGGTTTTTATCACGTGCTTCTTTTGACTTCAACAAAATTTCAAAAATAGGTGTGTCCTCAACATCAGTTTTAGAAAAATGTTAATAGAGAGAAAGCTGTACATTACTTTCCCAATGAACAAGTTTATTACCATTTTTTGAAATCTAAGCTCATTCTTGAGATATTGAGCAATCTCCATATGAGATGACATCACATGTTTCCATCAATATGCACGCCTGGGAACAATAAGTTGACTGTGTTATAAAGATCACTCAATATCTCAAGCACGAGCTCACATTTTAGCAAATAGTAATAAACTCGTTCATCAGGAGGGTGATGCACAACTTTCTCTCTATTTACATTTTACTAAAATTGATGTTCAGGACACGCCTATTTTCGAAATTTTGTTGAAGTCAAAAGAAGCATGTAATAAAAACCCGACCTGCCAAAAGTGCCGGATTAAGTTCCAGTCTCTCTGCCGAGAAAGTGATTCCGCATATTGCTTCTCAGCAGCAGACTGGTTCGAGTCTACCCTATGGCCAGTATTGCTTTGCTTCGCTCGCAATTAGTCGTTCTCTTCTATGATCTGTGAAGAATCAGAAGTGGGGATTAAGGTACAGATCAGGGATCACCTACATGAAGTTCACTCGAAGTCAAGTGCACTACTCTATTTATGTGCGTAGGACTGACATACAATTGTGGCTCTTCCGGAGCTGTTTGCCAGCTGCTTTGGCGACACTCTTCAACAAAATGAATGCCTTTCACGTAACGAGGTGATATTTTCTTTGGTCCGAGACCTTGCACGTGTCCCTGGTCTATCAACTCTATCAACTGACAACTTGAACTCAGAATCAAAGTGGCCCATGGGTAAGCTCACATCGCCGTGTTTACAGCGAAATGTGTTGGGACATCTGCAAAACCTGGATATTCGGCTAAGGGCTGAGAGCAGATCCCAGCAGATCCCAGTGCTGAAAGCACCGAAAGCAACATGCTCTGGGTGCTTTCACTGCTGGGAAGTGCTCTCGACCGCTTTCAGACCCTTAGCCGAAAATACAGGTTTTGCAGATGGAAATTTTGGATAAGCTATATAAGGTTAGTCTCTATATCAGATTAGCCTTACAAGGTTTATCTTTCCGTTTCCCATAGCATCAAACAAGAGAAGTCAATGGCAAACTGAGATAGTGGCTCTAAGTGAAGTTTCTCTCCTCGAAGTCCAATGTAATCTGTTGGATATATAAGTAAGTAAAGGTAAGTTGAGTGCTGTCATGCCTTGCCTGATTTTGCTTCCTTACCTATTATATTCCTCCTTACTACCTTCCTATATCTCCCCACTGTATACCCAGAGCTCCCCCTGTCCGCTTTTACCATTATGTAATATGCCACATGGCTGTCACATGTATAGTATATAGGCTGGGGACTCCCCTCGGAGCTCCCCAGCGTGTTATTGTCAAATCTTATCTGGAAACTCTTCCAACCTGGCTTGGTCCCTGTTAGTACAGTCTACTTGTACTTGCTAACAGGGCCTGACACGTCTCACCTGTCATACATTTTCTCTTTATCTGTTTCCCTCAAGTCTGTTTCCTTCACCTCTTTTTCACTCAACTCTGTTTCTCTTCTCTGTCTCACCTCTCTGAACACCTCTCTCAACTTCCTGAGCCTCTCCTACGACTTACAGTCTACATTGAGGCTCCACACCCCCAACCACCTCCATCCTCACCAACTACACATCCTTCCCCCACTCCAGGACCTTTGGCTAGGTCCACCCAAGCTCCGCAACCACCACTGGTCAGGCTCCCTACACCAGTAGCGGCACTTATCCCACCTCCCCTTGTACAGCCTAGGCAGCTGTCCTGCTTGCTTAGGCCCAGTCCAGATAGGACAAGAGCAGGCCTCACAAGTGCAAGGTGAATTCATCGAGTGTTTGTCGGTATTTATACCCTTTGATACGAACAAGCTCTCCTGGGAACGCGACCGCTGGGGTTTGATAATGTAAGCGTCTGATTTATTCAATCACTTGAACTTGTCCAGAATCTACCTGTGTGGGGTTGAGGTCAAAGGTATCTATGTCATTTCACGACCGTTGCGCAACGACTTGGAATTATGAGCTTTTTACTTTACTGCGGCAACGTCGTTGACACCTTGGTAGAATAAACTTGTTGAACCATAGTCAAGCGAAAAGACATAAGGACTCAGATAAGCTACATGATGTAATCGATTTCTGCACCCGCGGCCCGCTTCATCTTTCAGTATCTACTATCTGATCAGTAAAGTTTAGTGAACGTGTGAATTGATGATCTTGCTCCTGCAAGGAATTCATTATGATTCAGCCGAAACATTACCTACACATACATACTATTCACATCGAGATTCCTCCACCTTCACCATTCAAGCAGGCCAAGCGCGTTTTTATCTTTCTTTGGACACGAATTCTTGCTCCCGGACACGGTCCAAAGAGCCTCGTGGTGAAATCAACCAATATCAAGACAATAAAAGTCCGATAGATTCCATAAGGATTCACAGTTTCTTGCCACGCTTTTACTTTTCTCCTCACTTCCATCCATTAACGTCTGGACTACCAATAGACTGAACGAGAACCTCTTCGTGTTCGTTACAATTAACATGGCAGACACGGCCCCGCGCCATAAGGCCCAAGGAGTCGCAGTCATGTTATTGGTTGATAACAGCCGATTCACAGAAATTGCTTGGTCTGATCTTCGTGATCTGTATCTTCCCTCATTGTTTGAAAAACTTAGCTCTGTTCATGCGTCTGCATCGGTCAGTATCGCTGTCAGAGCTTAGAAATCACGTAACTGATATTAGTTCAGATTACAACTTTCGTTCAGGAATGTTGCTCTAATGGATACATGGATGAAATTTCGCCGCTAACCCCGCGAAAGTATCATAAATTTCAAGATGCCATCCGGGACCTGCGCTTCAATCCTGTGTCGACTTACGGATTCACAGGCCAGTTGATACTTGAGACCATTAAAGTGAGGTAGTCAGCACAATCTCCAGCATTCATTTGACTTTGCCATTAGTTTCTGTCCGCTACTGCCGCATTGGCTCGACATATCGTCATATTAGGATCTAGCCCACTGCAGAACAAAAATTCGAGCATCGACTGGCATCGCTTAGCTCAATCTTTAGCTACGGTCATTTTGATTCTTCGATTTTCAGTATTAGACGTGCCTCACCTCCTCCGTAGGGCAGCATATATTGCCATCTCATGTTACACGCCCACGCAGCCGGTCCCACGGACCCTTTGAGCCTGATGTTCGATGAAACGGTGAAACATTTTGTGCCATTGACCAGCCTCTTCAAGTTCGGACCTGACGGAATGCTAGCTTCGTTTACAGAGATCAATAGAGGACAATGCATGGTTCACCGACAACAAATCGCAAATAGTCTTGCGATTGACATCTGTACACACACAGACACCTCGACTTGAAGGTCTGTCATTTTGTTATGTGTTTTGAACGACTCCGTGATTATATGTATCCCCGTATTGCCTGGAATTGAAGTAGTCACCCCCTTCAAGGTACGTAACTCGCTGGGAACGATGTTTTAAATATCTTACACGTTTTCCAGGTGATATCTCCCTTGACACCCTCGCGACAAGGACTGTTACCTGCTCCTTCAACCCACTCTGTTCCATCGGCGTCTAACCAGTCGATGCATGTACCAACCCCGCATATTCCTGCCTCTGATGAAGAGCTTCCGAGTATCGTCACACAGCTTCAACAGGTACATTGAATTGTTTCGTCGTGAACGGTCCTCATGGAAACGTATCTCTTAGATGCACGGTTTGACCAAGAAAAAGGTGTACGGAACGAAACCAAAGCGATTGCCATTCGTCTCCTCTGAAGTGTACCGAGAATCGTCACGCAAGGCTGCATCGTTATCGCCTGTTTCGCCTTCTGACACCCATCACGGTGGTCGGGTCACTTCTCCGTCTTTGATCGACCGAACCACTCGTGTACATCAGAATGGGTCTGTGTTACCACACCCAGGCATTGCGCGTTCGTCAGCGGACGTTGGATCGAGTGGCTCGACATCTGTGTTTCATTCCGCGCCTTCATACCGGCTACCGACGATGACGATGTCCGTTCCTTCCTCCCCCGTGTCAACCCGCCCTCCTTTCTACTTAGACACGCCCGAAGTATCACCTCGAACCACGTACCATCAGCCACAATCTTCGTCCATAATGACTGCATCTCAGCCACACGCTGTTCATAATTCGGCAAGCTATTTCACCGAAGACAAAACAATCAAGGCATATTCACGAGGTGATGGTGGCGCTTTGTCTACCCAAGTCGAAGGTCTCTCTCTCAAAAATCAAAATCAGAATTCATCGATTAATGCGACAGCAAGCTATTCAGTTCCTCGTTCAGTATACCGGGACGAGCTTTTATCACATTTGGGTGGACCCTCGGTCGGGTCTACATCATCTGACCACCTCTTTACACAAGATCCGAGCTCAGAATCGACACCTTACGCCGAAAATGCTCGAAAGATAGAATCCTATCCACCTTTAAGCCAGCCTACTCCATGGCACGCGCCTTACGACTCTCAATACGACCTCCCCTCCAACCAGATCTCTACGATAAGCCAATACGGCATGACATCTGGACATTCAACGGCCTCTTCATATCCTTCATCCCCTGTATCCTCTAAGAGTAACTCCCTAACGGGGTGGGCAGGTTGATGTGGATACGCCTGCAAAACTTTGTTTCTTCCAATTCCGCCATTTCTTTGTACAGTACATTAGTTTGTACTACTAGGTTTATGGGACTTTGTAGCTGGTAATTAGTATCGCTCAACGATATTTTTATCAGACCACGAGAAATCTCAGTGACGCAGCTGAATGAAGTGAGAGCAAGCCTATCACGGTGTCAAGAAATAGGATACAGCTACAAAGTATATATGGTAGTACAATCACCACTGTAGGTTACCACTATTTATCGTGATTGCTCCGCATAAACCTAGAATATGCACGTAGGGATTTCGTAAGTCAGTAAATCCAAACTAAGGAAAAAATGTGAAACTTGCCTTGATCGTTTTATCAGCACCGCCGGTGATCAACCGGGTGCCAGTCATGTCGAATGTAGAACAGAATACACCCGCTTCAGCTTCGAGAGAACCTGGCTGTGGCACGTCGTCTAAGTTCTGGAACGGTGTGCCGGTATTGTAGTCCCAGAAGGTCAATGTCCCATTGTCACCTATGCAGGTGGAAAAGACGAAGGTGAGAGACAACAAACAAATTTTGAAAACGAATTGACATGCCTCCAGAGAAGAATACACCTTCGGCATTCACAGAGAGTGTGTTGATAATGGCGTTATGACCACTGAAATTAAAAACGAACGAGCCTTCGGGACACTTCCATTTCTTGATATTATTCCCTCCCGCAGATCCACTTGCAAAAGAATATTCGGTAGGATGTATCGCTAAAGCTCGGACCGACTTTTTATGATGAGTTAAGGTCACCATGGTCTTCCCCGCCGCAAGATCCCATAGCCTTTCAGGCACTTGAGCAATCAAGCTTTCAATAAAAAGAAGAAACCCACCTAACGGTCGAGTCCATGCTTCCCGTGATGACCTGGGGGTCCGATTCTTGACATTTCACGTCTGCTACTGTGCCGCCGTGCCCGGTCAAAGTGTGAATATTGGCTTTGGTGCGCATATCCCAAACTCGAGCAGAAGCATCTCGTCCACAAGTCACTAGAACGTCCAGCGTTGGATGTAAATCCATTGCATAAACGCCCGAGAGATGACCATGATAGTGCCGTATGACTTTATTCGACTCCAGATCCCAGCATTTGACCATCTAGATAAGAACCGAGCAAGATGATTTCGGAATTGAGTTTGTCGCCAACAGGATTAGGATTGAAGAGGAATCTGACTGACTTTGTCTTCACCACATGAGAATAAGTACGGATGTCGCGGAGACACAGCAAGCCCTCTCACTGTTGAGATGTGACCCGTCAGAGAGAGTTTCAGTTCTCCGGAGGCAAGGTCCCATATTTTTATAACTCGGTCGCCAGCACCGGTAGCAAACCACTTGTTTCCAGGTTCAACTGCTACACTGCGAACCCAACCAAGATGACCGGATATAACACGAACAAGTTTCCATGGTGGATGGTATGTCGGCTTTATTGTTCGCGTCGTCTTGTGGAGTGCAAGAGCATGCGAAAGTTTGGTAGAAGAGAATGTGGATGGTTGGGCAACGGGGGTATTGTCGATTTTAGCAATCATGCGTGAAGTTTCTGCATCTATGGAGCAGATATCAGATAGGAAATACGAATCCAACTGCTCGGTCACATACCTCCATTAGCTGTAATCATTTTTCTAGTTTCTTTTGGTCGAGCTGGTCCAATTGCACCCTGCTGAGACAACAGGGCTGGGGGAAGTTCTTTAAATTGTCGAAATTCATCATTAATCTTCACAGCTAGGCGTAGGCGGACACTATTCTATAGTTTCAATGTTGGGAAAAGGGGAAGACCTAGTTGATAGTACCTTCTTTCTTCGTCTGTTATGCTGTCATCGGGGCATGAGGCGAAGACGGCACGAGTTCGTTTAGCATTACGCCGGAGTTGAGGTTCCAATGGGGGAAGCGCGTATGTGGTCATATATCGCGTGTTGTGGAGAACAAAGCTTTGGACGTTGTCGCTGTATCGAACGAAGAGAGTGATCGTGAGAAACTGCGCCTACTGCGAGAGCACGAACACTGAATGTCCTATGATCATTGTTCTTGGTCTCTCATCATTGTAAAGAGTTAAACGAGTAGTGTAAACTGATTCTGTGTAGTTAGATAGATTCATACCACAGTTATGTCGGATGCTGCAGAGTTGAAAAAACTTGTAAAGCAATTACAAGGCGCTTCGAACGTTTTGGTAGGCTCGATTTTATTTCTCAATCCATGTCAAACCCTTTCAATTTCTAACTACATTTTCTGACAGGATATAGTTAACATATTGAGCATTCTCAAACGAGATCATCAAGTCAATGAAGCAATACTGAGGGTGAGCATTTCATGTCTTTTTTGCATATTGATCAATATGTATTTCTGAATAGGAAAGCAAAGCGGGATTAGCAGTAGGCAAACTACGAGCCCATGAATCGCCCGAGGTATCTGGAGCTGCGAAGGAGCTAGTGAAAAAGTGGAAAACAGAGGTAGAAAAAGCTAAACAGGCGACGGCCTCGTCGCAAACTGCGAAGCCTCAGGGTGCGTTTAGTATTGATAACGTCTGATTTTGTACTCAGCTTTTCATTAGCTCCCCGAAAAGCTTCTACGGCATCGAACGGAGCTATTACACCAACTGCTACCGCAAACAAGATTGCTCGTACTGCCAAATCGGATGGTGTCAAGGTCACTGGTACGGGCGACGGCACAAGAGATAAATGTGCAGAACTGCTGTATGATGGTCTCGCTTGCGATTCTGGTGCTCCGACAGAGCTCATCCTACAACGAGCTAAAGCCGTAGAGGTTGCTGTGTTGAACAACATCGGGTCTACATCTGCCGCCTATAAGTCCAAAATTCGATCCCTCTTCGTCAACTTAAAAGACAAAGGCAACCCGAGTCTACGAGAAGACGTCGTCAGCGGCGATATTTCAGCAGAGAGACTCGCAAAGATGTCACCTGGTGTACGTGTATTCCGATCCTCCTTCGTTTATGCAGTCGTTCTCAGCATATTGGTCCCTAGGACATGGCTTCGGCGGAGCGGAAGGCGGCCGACGACAAGATTAAGCAGAACAATCTATTCGCATCTCTCGGTGCAGAAGAACAACAAGCAGAAACAGATGCTTTTCAGTGCGGGCGCTGCAAGCAAAGGAAATGTCGCTATCGTCAGGCTCAAACCCGATCTGCTGATGAACCTATGACCGTACGTATCGTTCTGTCGCTTCGGGTATTCACCTTGCTGACCCCTTCTTCAAAAGACTTTTGTCACGTACGCCCTATTTTCTGCCCATCCTTCTATGTACCAGAACACTAACTTTATAAACCAGTTGCGTTAACTGTGGAAACAGGTAAGCACTATATATTATTCCCCTTGCACCAACTATATACGACCTTACTGTTTTGCAGGTGGAAATTCTCTTGAACCCTAACTGTGAATATCACTTCGTCAAAAAAAATTACCGTATGACTTCTTCTCGACTGCTTATTCTTATCATTCATTCCCCAGAAATTCTGGAGAATCTTCAATTTATCAGTCTATGTTCTACCTCGTACTGTACATGTACTATTTCATTGTATATAAGTAAAGAGTTCACGTCGAGTTTCAATGTATTGACAGGAAGTCCTTCCCACTATTAAGTCTGGATACTATATTTGGGTCGTGCATCTTCTTTCTTTACAACCACCTCGAATTCAAATATTCGATATTCATGGCTTATGAAGGAATAACTTTTCGTGGTTCCAGAAGTGGGCAAATCCACGAGTCACGCTTTCTGAGACAAAATTTGAAGCCTGATGAGGTCGCCATCAAGGTAACTCATAGGTACGAACGACCGATCCCTCAGTCTCACAAAATAAGCATTCAATCAAGTAAACTCTCTTTTCAGCGGGATATGCGGGACAGATCTGCATTTTATACATGCAGACATGGTTCTCGGGCATGAAGGTAAGGCGATCTCCCGATAGATATATCTTTATATCGATCGACATTCCGATACTTTTGCCTGGTTGTTACATAGGCATTGGAATTGTGCAAGAAATAGGCGAAAATTGTAAAGCACTAAGAATCGGTGACCGAGTAGGTTGGGGATATACCTACTGGAGCTGTGGGCGATGTAGTGCATGTCTTACCGGCCACGAAAGTTACTGTCCCACCGCTGGTAAGTATGGCGCACACCATTTAGACCAAGGGTCTTTCGGAAACTTGGCCATCAAATCGGAACAGTGGGTTTTCAGAATTCCGGATGGGATAGAATCAAAATACGCTGCTCCGCTCCTTTGTACGTTGCTGTTTTCTTGTATCCGTTTTTGGGCTTAATTCCGTATCTCATTGGAAGGTGCAGGAGCCACGGTGTAAGTTTTATTTTCCAGGCCCCTTCTTCTGCAATGATACGGACTATCGGTCGTCAATCGCTAGTTTCTCTCCGATGATTGAATTCCTCAAGCCTACTGACCGTGTGGGCATCATAGGAGTAGGAGGATTAGGCCACCTCGCTATCCAATTTGCAGCAAAGATGGGCTGTGATGTCATTGCTCTTTCAAGTACAGAACTTAAACGTGAAGACGCGATCAATCTGGGAGCTCGGGAATTTTATGCCACGGACGGTGTTGCGGATTACTCTACTCTGAATGTCACAAAGCCTTTGGACAGTCTGATCGTTGCTACAGGTTCAGAAAACCTCGATCTAGCCAATTACTACAAGCTGTTGAAGCCGGTGGCGACTGTGATTCCGTTGACGATTTCGTTCGAACCCATGCTAGTTCCCACCATTCCTACCATAGCAAATGGGATAAAAATTGTTGGGTAGGTACTTGGAAGCTTTGGCCTCTTTGACTTAAATAACGTCTGCACAGGACAACGCCTTCCGGGATATTGGCTATGTGATACTCTTCTTTGGGCCTTCAAGATGGATATTCGCTAATGAGGCTTTGTTATATAGGATACAAACTCTCGAATTTGCGGAACGCAACAATATCCGACCTATCATTCAAGAATTCCCCATGACTGAAGTTGGAATTATGGAGGCAATGGAGAAATTGAGGAGTGGAGAAATTCGCTACCGAGCAGTTCTTTCCTGGCAGCTTTCAGACGAGTCAGCATAATGCAACGGCAACATGTAGTACACAAATCAAGACAGGACTGAGGACATTCATGATCTTCACTTGATGGTCACGGTCGGTGAAAGTTGCGCGAGATGGTGTGATTTTGATTCAAGCTATCTTGATCGTTTGTTACTATTCAAAGAACTATATGTATACCTGAAGCTCGGGCGAAGAGCATGTTCATGTTCATTAAGGTTTTGTTATATTTTGCTCGAGTTTGAGTTCGGAAGTGGTGGTTTGATTTTACATACGTACATAGAAATCCGGGACACCGTTGGAGAAAAGTAAGAAACGGAAACGCTTCGGATGTTCCGTCCTTATAACCGCATGAGTACATAATTAGGAATAAGACGCATGTCAAGATTGCACTTGGCCTCCTACCACGCCCATGACAATGGCTACAGAGCCTTCAAAAACCTTTCCCTCGGAGGCAGAGCCTCTTCTTGTCGATTCGCAACGAACGCCAAGTTATTCAGGTCAAGAAACACCTATCATTGGTGTTGATGTCGAGAATCAGCCGGAGGCCATTCCAGATAGGAAACGCGGCCCTTGGGAAATAGCATTCTATGTTATATGCGTAGTCCTGGGTGTTGTACTCCTCGCAATGCTTATCAAAGGTTTCATAGAAGCGGACGATGTGGATGTAGGTGTTGTTTAAAACCAGTCAAATCAGCCGATTCAAGGTCATTAGTTTGATATTGGGAAAGCTTTCAAGTCTGCTCTGGGAGGAGGACTTTCTGGTGCAGCGGGTACGCTATATCTCTACGATCTGATCCAACATGTCTCTTATCCTCATTAGCCATGGTCCTGCAAGTTCTGTTGCTAATGGTATGCCCACCCGGTCCTCCACGGTGACGAGAAAGTCGTGCATGAACCAATGATTATATTTAGCCCCTGCGGACTGTAATGAACTATCAATATCGGTATGGAACTACAATTACTCAGGCTCTCAAGACTCTTTATCGAGAAGGTGGATATCGACGTTACTATCAAGGTTTGTTGGCTGCGCTGGTACAGGGACCGGTTTCTCGTTTTGGCGACACTGCAGCAAACGTCGGTATCCTGGTGCTTCTGGAGTCCAATTCATACATGAAAACTCTACCTGCGCTTGTCAAGACGATATTCGCATCGGTAGCAGCAGCGGTATTCAGGATGACTTTAACACCCGTCGATACTATAAAAACCACACTGCAAACCCAGGGACAAGCGGGCTGGGATATCCTCAAGAGGAGGGTAGGCAGCCATTTAAGCAAAGATAATACTACCGTTGACTTCATCTATTTTTGTAGATCAAATTGTACGGCATTGGCACGCTATGGTATGGCGCCCTCGCCACTGCTGCTGCTACGTTTGTTGGTCATTATCCTGTCAGTAGCTTCATGCTTTGTTTCCAGTTGTCTTGCTGACACACCCGTAGTGGTTCGGGACTTACAACTTTCTTCAAGACAAAATTCCTGTACCTAGCCATATTCCTCAAAAACTTCTTCGACAAGCCTTCATTGGTTTTGCTGCTTCCGTAATATCAGACACCTTGTCAAATTCTCTCCGCGTTATAAAGACCTACCGCCAGGTCAACGAGACCCGAATTGGCTACTTGAACGCCGCGAAGGCAGTAATTCACCAAGATGGTTTCATTGGCTTGTTCGGACGTGGGTTGAAGACACGTATCATTGCGAATGGTCTGCAAGGATTGATGTTCTCAGTTTTGTGGAAACTGTTCCTGGACTTGTAAGTATCTGACAACCACCCTTTGGCGCTACTGCTGATATAAACTTTCAGGTGGAATGATAAGACAAAGTAATATAGGGTGGTTTGTGGTAACCATAGAATGTAGGAGGCGGACACGGAGAACATGAATCTTAGAAATCTGAATATCTAATTATTACAAGCTTGGCTCGATATACTAGTCAGTACAGTGATAAGGGCCCGTGAAGTTGTACTGACTAATAATATCGGGACTGGATCCGGTTTTTACAGAATAATGAAGAGGCATGATGCTTTGCGAACTTTTGCGAGAGTCCAGTCTGGTGTGGCCGTTACACTAAATCTAATAAATATTTTTCAGCACGAATGCATCGACGGCATTCAAGATATTTCTGGTGGGTCCTCATAATGAACCTTGATCAATCTAGGGATATATGCTGATATGGGACAGAAGGGAGATGATATAGTCAGTCACTTGGTCAAACCTTGCCCGTCAAAGCAAATTTGAAGTAAATATGTACATGACATATGTAATCTTCGTGAACTGATACAGTATAATAGCAGCTAGTCGGATCTCAGACTCGGACAGGAAGGCAAGGAATTTTATCATACAGCGTGCAAAAACTGAACGTGGACATCTGTTTCCGCCCTACTATGTAGTATGACAGCACCAATCACCATCACTCAAGCAACAATCGCCCAAACCAGGATCCAGTAATTGACTCGTTGAAACTCGAAGGCAGAAAGAAGACACTACACATGTTCATTGATGGACTTCTATCGGACCTCTGTCAGTGATCCTTGTTCGACGATGTATCATTGCAGTTGCTCCTTGCGCCGAAGAGATGCCTGACAAGATTGGCATTAGCCCCAGTGAATATACGTGCAGGTAGTGCCAACCAGGAGTGAGCATCCAGTATGCCCCCAGAAGTTATACACTGTCCATTTGGGTGGACACTGGAAAGAGGCCGCGATATCAGCTTGAATCCGACATTGACGTGGGTAAATCTGGAATCCCAAGCCCAACGACACCTCTTCCGGTCCGACTGTCGAACTGCCTCATGACGGTTAACGCGTACGTTTATAACGCAATTTTGGTTTTGTTTAAAGGGTGTGGAGGGAGGTATATAATCACATAGTCTCCCGTAAGCACTGGACTGACGCTGCTTCACACGGATTCCAGAACCCCTCTGAAAAACCATCCATCTAATAATCATCACAATATGGTCACCACAACTGATACAGATGTTTCAAGGATGGTTGAATACGAGTCCCTTATCTCGGTGAGTTGCCAATATGTACTTTATGAGATTCATCTGATAATCGGCCACCATACTAGTACTTTGTAGGTGCGTCATGAGCAGTCCCCCGCAATCTTCATTTAACTGTATGAAATGGATCCCAGTCTCATCTGCTACTCTACTCGTCTATGATTACTGCTTGACTTTGGGTCTCGAACGTCATCTCGTGTGGTCCAATCCATACAGGTGGGCTAATGTCCTGTATTTGGTCCAGAGATACCTCCCTTTGCTGGATACCGCTATATTACTCACAGTCGGTGCGAGATAGTCACTGATGCTAGTCTTGAATTTGACACCGCTGAACCTAAACTATGATTCATAGCCGCATTTTTATCCGACCATATTAATCAAAAATACTGTGATGCTATACTGATCTCGAGTCTTTGTGAGTATAGATACTACTTAGCATTTGGTCGAAAATAATTCCTGCTTGGAATCTGAATATATAGGGTTACACTTTGTAGGAACAGCCTTCTCAGAAGGTAAGTAGCATACTAATGTAAGCTTTACTATCCATTTTTGACACACCGCAGTATTGCTATCGATGCGAATATATGCTATATCCCGCCAGCGCGTACGACATCTCGGTTATATCATGCCTGCATGTTTTGCCCTCATATTAGTGGCGAATCTGGTCGTAGCATCCGTGCTCCATACCAAAGAACAAAGTAGGGATAATTACCAAATGTCGTTCACGTTGAGACCCTCAATCTTCTTCTCCAATAGTTCCGCGTCCGCTTCGAGGTTGTCTGCACACAGACAATCGTATTGATTTCACCGTTTTCATTGGGACATACGTCTTATATGACTGTGGTATGTGCAATTGAAACTATGTTTTCAGGAAATGATGACATGAATTGGGGCGCTGAAGGGGGGTTTGTGCTCATCATCATTCCTGCTATAGTCGAATGTGAGTCATATTCTTACTTTGCTTGTACAAATATGCACTCAGAAATGCACCTATGTACCCAGACAAAAACAGGCAATTTTCACCATTGTATGACTCCGTATACCGTGACGGTAAAGATGTTACCTGCGCTCTTAGCCAAATCGAAACTGAACATCCTCAGGCGTATTTCAATACATTCTTCTGCTTGGTGGGATTTACATCTGCTTCCAGTAGCTGTCCATACTTAAAGCCTTTCAAAAGCCATGTGTAGTATCAATCTCGTTTTAGTGTATGGAAAATCAGTAAGATTCCAAAAATCGTGTTATTATTTCATACTCACAACCTACATCATGATACTACTATTACTAGGTCCAGTTATATTACCTCTGCATGCCGTATGATCTTCATCTTGAAAATTGCTGGCTGTTCAATAACATTTTCTTCTAGCATGCTTCGCGCCTTTCATTCCATCACCACTAGCCGGATAGTACTACATATACGTGAGGCAATGGAAATCAGGTCGGTTCAGTTCTCCGTAGGCGGAACTCCAGAAGTCGAAATTTCCCATCACCCTGGTATATCCACCACTATTGTTTTCGAGCGTGATATAGACCAGGATTTCATCGCTTCCTAGTGCCATAGACTAGTCGTTGGAAAGTTGAACCTTCCCCTCAAATCTATCCTCTTTGATAATGACCAAGATTACGATTCAACGCTAATGGTAAAATGGGGATTGGGAGAGGAAGTACGGTCTTCTAGGTTTATCCGGATATTATACAAGTGGCTGTACAATTAATGACTCTTCATATTTTTTGAAAGTCCGTTTTGCATGTCTCAATAGATACACCATTGAGGTCGGCGTCATGCCTTCCATTCGTTTTGCGGCTCCCTAGTGAATAAATCATCGGTATATCCTTAGGGGAGGAAAAAGGCACGTACAATGGTTGTTGGTCTGACTCTGAGCAGACGTTCCCGAACCTCAGAGCTCAAACCATCAACAGCGCTGTAGTCCATTTGAGGGTCCAGGAGGAGATTTTCATCCTCTTGGAAATGTCGAAGATCTGCTTCTTGACGGGATAGATGTGCATCATAGTGACCTTGAGACGCACTTGAGTGAGTACGAATAGTCGAACTAAATCATCAGCAAAATATCCATACCATCTATGTCAATGCGGGCCAGTAACCTGGGGTCCAACTTTGCGAGATCGGGAATGAGAGTTGACAGGGCTACCGAACTGATGTTGCGGTATCGTAGCATTTCAAACGCACTGTAGATGGTCGTAAACATCGATATAGTGACCAGTAGACAAAATCGGGCTGACCTTCTTCGAATTCCATCAAGAGGTACAGGGTATCCCCGTTCTGCCCATCCCTATCATCACGAGGTAAGTGACATGTATACGTCAAGAGTTTTGAATGTTAACCTGTGGGGAGAATACAACACTTTTCAAAGTTTCCGTGGCGGAATACAAAGCACTGCGAGTACTTTGGAAGGTTTCCCAGCGCCCGTCCGAAACTATACCGGCAAGGCGACCTACAATCCACAATGTCAGCCAGACCAGATGAAATTAGCAAGCAGTTATACCCTTTTCTGTTAACCGTAAATCGGCGTTGTCACTCCTGAGGGTCATCCTGTACTCCGACCTGGAGGTGAACATTCGATCTACTCCCAAGCACAAAGTTAGAAAGGAGACACAAGATAGTATTCTAAGTAAACATACAAGGCTCTTCGGTACCCTTGATAATCAGGTCGTCGATCATGACTCCAGTATACCCGTCCGCTCTAGTAAGAATGAAAGGTGGGCGTTGTAGCGCCGAAAGCCCTGCGTTGATACCAGCGACAATGCCCTGAGCTGCAGCTTCTTCATATCCAGTCGTTCCTAAGAAGCATATACAGGTAAGTATTATTGTTGGTACAGACGATAAAAAGGTTCACCGTTGATTTGGCCAGCCAGGAACAAGCCCTGCAGGTGAGAATGAATCAAGGCGAAGAGTAAGTAAGTCTGTTTAATGTTGACTCACCTGTATCCGTTTGGTCTCCAAGGTGGCTGAAACCGAATAAATTGAGAAATGATGGTACAGCTTGAATGTTCGACGTACGTCCCAACTCCCTGGCATCGACATGGTCGTACTCGACGCCATACGCCGGTCGAACCATTCTGACATTTTCAAGCCCTGGAATGGTTCGCATCATAGGTTCCTGCACATCCTCAGGTAAACTACATGATATGCCATTAGGATAAATGACATCCGAATTGTAACCTTCTGGTTCAAGCCAAATATTATGGGATTCGCGATGACCAAACCGAAGAATCTTGGATTCGAGTGAGGGGCAATATCTTGGGCCTGAAGAAATTTGTGAGCGCACTCGCGATCAAAACAGAAGATAGGATGGACCTTTTTTAGTTTCCTGGATATGAACACAATTATGCAGGTTATCTTTCACGATTTGATGTGTTGCAGCTGTTGTGTTGGTTTTGAAACATGGTATTTGATTCGCGGCGTTGTCAACGGTGCTGTTCAAAAAACTGAAAGGGGAGGGGGACGCGTCGCCATCTTGTCGATCCATATTAGCAAAATTTATTGTCTTCCCATCTAGTCGTGCAGGAGTTCCGGTCTGTAACCGCCGAAGTTTAAATCCAGCTGCATTGAGAGAAGCAGACAGTCCAAGAGATGGTGCTTCGTTGATTCTACCAGCAGGAAATCGCTGTAAGCCTATGAATATTGAGCCCTGTTGGGTTGTGGATGTTAGGTTGCCCTCACCGATATGAATTTCGCCGGAAAGGAAGGTCCCCGTACAGATTACCACTTGAGTACAGTCAATAACAGATCCGTTATCTGAAAATTTGGTCCAAATTACGAGTTCTTGTAATGTGAAAAGAGCGCACCAAGCCTGACGCCAGAAATCTTTCCCCATCTGCTCTTTGCTACGTCCTCATGATTGAATACCAAGTCAAAGACACTGCCGGCGCGGACATCGAGTTGAGGATAGTCTATTAATGCACTCTGCATATGTTTCTTGTATAGATCACGATCGATTTGCGCTCTAGGTCCCTGTGCTTCAGCTTTAGCTTCGTTAATCTCAACAGAATGCCCATGTATAACTGACCCACACAGCTGCTCCTTTCGAACGATTTAATATATGAAACTGGACCCCAGCTTTATCTGACCCAGACGCGTTATTTTACGTCTCATCCTAGATGAAAGAATTTACACACCGGAAACACGTCCCATGAGCCCGTCTAAAGCATCCACTTCTCGAACTAAAGTTCCTTTCCCAACTCCTCCAATAGACGGATTACAAGAGAGTTCCCCAATCGTATCCAATCTTTGAGTTAGAAGCAGCGTTCTGGCGCCCGTTCGAGCCGCTGCCGCTGCAGCTTCGCAACCAGCATGCCCGCCTCCAATCACACAAACTTGAACCAGAAGAGAATCATAAGACCAGAGTCAAGCCTTTTGGAAAATTTACACGCACCGTCATACGAAAGATTGGCTACAGTGGCGAGACCACGTCGGGACCATGCCCTTTTACAGAGCTGTCTGCAGAGCATCTGGGTAAGTCGGATTTGTGAGCCTGGAAAAGAGTTAGCTAAGACGGCTAATTTCGGCCGGATTCAAAGGTCTATGAAGCGGCTCTTCCAATTAAGAAGGCTTGGAACATTATCACAGCAAGGAGCACATGAAATACTTTAACAAAGTATACTAACCATTGTTTTCGGACGTTATTACCAAGCAATCTTTCCCTGAAAGAACAAAGATTCAAGGTTTTCCGTTGTGTTCGTACTTATCTCCCGTGAAATAACAAACAGAGCGTTTGTCCTCGACATATGATTGGTCGGATATTTTGATTGGCTGAGCGCTTATGGAAACAATTCTCGCTCTCATTTCTCACTGCACGGGCGAAGGTAGCGAGTGGGTAGAGCAACGCGACGCCCATAGCGAGATTGAGCTTCCCATCGTGCATCACACGGGTCGCTGCTAGTGTTCAACAAATCATGCGATGACGCACAGACTCGAGATTCGGTGATGAGGTTTGACCTGCCTTACCGGAACACTGGAACACTGTATTTCTTGCGTCTTTCCGAACCCTTTCAAGATCCATGTCTGGATCGTATTCTGACTTTGAAGTCCTCCTTGCTCCGCCTGAAAAAATACCCGTGTCATACATTTCTCATCCAGATCAACGCAGCCGCGTTGCTAACTCTTCCCAGTTCCTCCCCGAGCTTTCTCGTCGACTCGAGCGATCGAAACGTGGTTTAAATAAACGGCAATAAACGAACTAAATACTGAGGTCGAATGCCATGCATGGATTCGACCAGGAACAAGAGTGACGCGGTGCTGAAATTCATCGTATTGCCGACGTATGGCTTGAGTCAAGCGTAGGCAATGAGCTGTGCGTTTGATGCATTCTCTCCTAGATGGCTCGCAATCAAGATGGAAGAATGGACTCCTGACGATATATTCCAATGTAAAGAGCGATTGGAATCTGATGTACAGTGCCGCACCGCCAATACGCTTTTGCAAAAAGTCTGGGTGCACGCACATATATAATAAGCCTGACACCAAGCACTTTGCGAATTTTTCTTATCTACTTCTTCTACTGTCTACGCGCCCCTGAGCTGATCATAGGAAGGACAATCAGACCTCGTGCGTTGAAAAGAGAAGTATATATTGAATTCTTTTACGTTTTTTCCTCCTTGTCCTTAGGAGACGGAGGGTGCAGCACCTACCTGGGTTCAAGCAAGATCCGAAACTTCGAAGACGGATTAGAGGCCCCTGAGTAAATTAATCGACAAAGGAGAGCAAGAGAATTTGAGAACGAGGACTCGGAGGAGAAGAAGCAATAATCGAAGCACGTGCCATTGGTCGATTGCAGAATTGTTGCCGAACTGCTATACCCCTTTCGTCACAGAGTTTTGCTCTACTATTCACCGGTATACGGTACGCTACTTGCCAGTGGATCCAATGCGGAATTGCAGCTTGATTTAACTTTCTTTTGCTCTTCAACAGCAACCGACTTGACTCGGCGCTAGCATCTCTCTTTTCTTTCCCTCGCCGTCATGATTCGAAATCATGTCACTGGTTCTCCGCATCCTGAAACTACCGGTAGAGTTGCTGGAATTGGAATTGGAATCAACCGGGCTGGAATACAATCTGGCTTTAATCCGGACGCTCATCATTACAGCTCTCAGATGATCCCACCACCGACGACGTTTTTCGATGATACTCATTCCAACCCAAGTGGCTCGCTGTCCATAGAGCAGGCAGAGGCTCTTCAGGCGAAACGCTATCAACTTTGGCTCGATGAATACTCAAATACTGCTGCTCAGCAGCAACAACAGCATCATGATTTTACTTTTGTCAGTAATTCAAATTCATGGCAACCTCAGCAGCATCAACGCCAACCACAGCAGCCACAACAGCAACTCAATGGTTTTTACGATAACTGGGCCTACGACCAATATTCCAACTCCAACATCGTGTCGACTATTGCCTCAGAGACGTCTCATATGACTGATAGTCCTTCAAGAATTGATACCGGAATTTCGCGTCCGGTCGGTGGAATATCACCTTCTACACCAAGGACTTCAGCCTCTCCGTCCAACAGTCGCCCCACGAATCAACAAAACTCCCCAACAACGAACAAAGGACCCACGAAGCGCAAACGGGCTAATCCAAAACCGTCAGCTCCCGACAAACGTCCCAGACCGAGACAGGATAGTGACGAAGACAGCGACGATGAAGACAATGATTACCTATTCGAAGGCGGCATCAGTGTCGGCGTCGGTGGTGTCACTGGTGCAAACGGTAATCGCAAAAGCACTGGTAGATTGTGAGTTTTCTATCAGATGTTCACATTTCTACATTTCTACATCTCGACGCGTTCTCAAGACCTGGAGCTTGCTCGCACTGCAAGAAACTCAAGGTCGGTTGGCTCGAGCGTTCTTTTACTCCTCACTGGCTCAATTTCGTTTGATATAGATGAAATGTGACTTCCCACTTAACGATAATACATGTAAGCGCTGTAAGGCGGGAGGGCATGTGTGTATCGTTGAAGGACGAAAACCGCGGACGGCACCCAAGTATGTCTCGCTTGATGTTTTTTCTTCCCGATCACTCACCAATATACCTGTCTTGTCACAGTAAACGCGAGTATTTGCTCGCTCAAATAAGACAGAAAGATATGATCATTGAAAGTCTTCTCAAGCAGGTGTGTACCGAATTGCCGCTTGATTACAAACTCGAACCTCATACCTTTTTTCTCCAAGCTTCACAACCCCTATGTCGCAACTCCGCTTTCTATCGCGTCGTATCGAATGGCGACCTCACCCTCTGATTCAAGTAACAATAACGTTCTTGCCTGGCTTGATCGGTTGCGAACATCTGTCCAAGATGCCGGTGGCAAAGCCGGCCCCGGGGCTTTTACAGATGTACGCTTCTCCGGGAACGACGGAGTCGTGGACGACGAGGATGATGAGGATGATGAGGGGGAGGAACATGACCGAAGCGGCGGACGTCGGCTGACACACGCGCAAAGAATCGGATTGGTACCTGTCCATGAAGGTAATGATTGCGAAGTAGGTGAAGGGAACGGGAACCAAGGCGATGGTGGTGGCGATGACGATGCGCTCCAGTCGAGTCTACCAGACTCGCATGTTCCATTAGGACTGATTGCGAATCTGAGCTTGAGCAGCAACAAAAAATCCAAGTCAAAGAAACATCGAATGGAGGCTAAGTTGACGGATCTCGACGAGGAAAATCTGGACGATGACAACGTTGTGGGTATCAATTGTTTTGGACTTCTTGATATAGCACTGAGTGCTTCTCTTCGGCAGGGAGTTGCGAACGCAACGTACTTCATGCCCGGTAAGCTATCACATGCAATCCTTTCTAGAAACACGTTCAGACTGATTTGTTTGCTTCAGGCCCAGCCACAGACCTGGACATCCGAGCAACTTTGATAGAACAACACAGTCCCCCTGAAATCTTAGTCCATGGTCTAGTTACACCTGACGATGTTGACAAATTGTTTGAAATGTCAGTACCTAACCCATACTTTCATTTCAAACCTGACAAATCATGCCTGGTTTCATAGTTTCTACGAACGAATCAATGTTAGTCTGCATAGAATAATTCTTGTTTGTGGCCTCATTCTAGTTGTAGCCCTTCATCTCCTTACTGGACCCTGTATTGCACACTCCCGCAACGACATTCGCAAGATGCCCTTTCTTGTTTACTGTCGGTACGTGTATTCAAAGCGTGTACGCTCACGAGTTATCACTAATTGGACAAGTCTGTGGGATCTCGTCGCGGTACTACACCGAAAAATCCGAGATATACCCAATTGCAATGCATTTTGCAAAACATTCGGCTGCGAACGCCCTTATCGACGGATGGAAAACAGTAGAGTTGTGTCAGGCGTACATTCTGATGAGTATCTACGCTGTGCCTGCGAAACGCTGGGAGGAGGACCGGAGCTGGTTGTACACAGGGCTTGCCATTAGGTAAGTTGTTTTAGTTCGACCTCACGTCATCCGCTCACTCTTTATCCTTTGTTCACAGAATTGCCACCGACTTGAACCTCCATCAAGCATCTGCGACAAAACCGCAGAACGAGAAGCAAGAGAGGGAGATGTTGAATCGGATCAGAGTTTGGATGATCTGCTTTAACTTGGATCGGTCGACTGCGACGCAGTTTGGAAAACCTTCAACTATAAAGGAAGACTAGTGAGTGTACCCTGTGACTCGTAAAGGCCTTGTTAACGCTTCTCAGCATCATGCGCAACTCGCAAGATTGGTATAAGAAACACAAGTATAATCATCCAGTCAGTGATATATATGATACTGCTTAGGCGAAAGCTTGACTTACTTCCCCTTTTAGTACGATGTTCATCTCTGTGGATATACTGCTCTCCTGAGAATTGTTGCCCGGTTTCACGATGATATCTTCTCTGACCCTAATTCGCCAAGTGGGTTGAATAAGGTATGTGTCTTCGCTCCCTACAGTATCCACAATAATCAATCGGTTTTTTTGTAAAGCACGTTGACTTCCGTGGTGTTACTCTGGAACACGACAAAAAATTGACCACATATCATAAAGAATGGGAGAAACGTTTCAATGATGCACTTCAACCAGATGGTTCGTTCATTCTCGATGTATGTATTGCCTTCCGTTGCCCATTTACAACTTGATTAGATCGTGGTTCTGCATTCCGCTGTCTTCTTCTCCCTTTGTAAGTATTTTTTTCTCAGTAAATCTCTTGTAGCCGTTTATCCATTCGCGTTCGACCAGCCTCGTCGGATACTCGCGCCTTGTGATGTTTTCATTCGGGTTCCAGCAAGGTTACCAACGAGGTCGTATTCAGCCAGGGGATATATTCTTCACCAAGGTTTGCAACTTATGTCAGCTTCCCCTTTTATCGACATTCGAACCTTCTTCGTAGTGCTTGGAGGCTGCAAAGTCTGTGATACGAAATATGATTGAAAAGTTGGCACCCAGCGGATACATGCGATTTTCTGCTGATGGTGCGTATATACCCCACTGTTTACTTCGCAAGCTTGAAGTTGATCATCTGGTTTAGGACATTTTACTTTTGCATCGTTTGCGTCAGCATTCTTAATGAAGGTCTGTATCTGTACTTTCCCGAGCAATGGGCTTGTCAACTTATTCAAAATTCGCTTTAGTTGCTACGACCCGAGTTCCAGCATCTTCTTTCAAAAGAGGAAGAAAATGACATTTTCAATCTCATCGGTCGTTTAATTCAAACCCTCAGCTCCCCAGCCATCGCTATCGACGATCGGCATACACCCAAGCTATACGCTAGATTCCTGGCAGGTTTGCTATCCAAGCATCGTCGAGATGGAGCAACCGTGGGTCGTCTCCAAGCACAGCCAAATCCGACGCAACAAATGAACAACGTTCACCAACATTCCTTCGGTGACGTTTCAATTCCCAACGCCAACGCCCCTTCCATGTCCACTTTCTCCGTCGCACAAGGACCCCACCATAGCATACATGGACGACAACAGAACATATCACCGACTAATTATATATCTCCTGATAATTTCGTGGCGAACCATGCCCAGAATTCTCCCGCAACACCTATGTACCATCCAGAGGTAACATACGCTGCTGGTGCTGGGGCTATACAATTCGGGGATTCGAATATGCTCGGACTGGATGGGAATGCGGTGGGTGAAGAGGAAATGCTTGCAACGATGCAAGCGTTGAAAAATCCTGCTTGGTGGCAGAATATGATGATGCCTGGGTATGTGCAATGCTTTGTGCTGTTTTCAAGCTCCTCACAATAACATGTTTGATTCAGGTTTTCTTGGTCGGACCCTTCTTCTCCTGGATCCAACGTATCCAGTTCGCCTACTCCCTCTTATAACAACCAAACCCAGAATCCCGCTCCCGCTATGACGAACAATTCGGGGTATGGTATATTCCATTCCACGCAGCAAGTACCTCTATATTGATTTCAACTTGGGTTTCGTTTGTGTCTTGTTGCCAATCTTCTCCTTATCATTTCCCGCTTTTATCTTGCAACTCCTCTCACATGTCGCCTGATTTCGTTCGCCGGCTTGCTTCATCGTCAGACTCAATCTACTTTCTCATTTGATATCGTGTCTCTGCTACTCAGGGTATCTTGTCGTGCAATAAAAAGTCTGTGTACTGTATTCAATTTGTACTACTGTACCTATCGATATCTCTAACTTATCCCAATATCAGTACTTAGATTCATTCTGTATCTATATCAGGTTAACAGGTGCTCACTTTAAGTCATCTCTCGTAGGCAAGGGAGCACTGGCGATCTGGATGGGTCAGAGATTCAAATACGGACTCGCTGATCACGAATTCGTGAGATTCCAGTCTCCAGAAGCTTGAGAGAATTCCACGTGCCACACCATCGCAAAAATTATAATACATTTCCACGGAACACGCTTGACGCGTCGTACGGTGACCTCTTCCATTCCTATAACCTGCTGTCTACTATTTGTGGCATTCGTTGGATCAACGACCGAATACGCTGTGTCTATCTATCTGTGAGTATTGGCACTGTGTTCTCTAAGCCAGTCTTTCGTTTACGTTGTCGGTTTGTGGTTTTTGGTGAACCTCAACTGATGCTTCATACTCTCTCCAAATAGATGACTTCCCAAGCAGACTATCTAGATACGACGATTACTCATGTTGTCCAGTCTTTGAAGGACCCGCTTCATCCTGCTTATTGTTGTCGATATTATCTCTACTTCCTTCACTCCATCCACCACGACATTTTGATTAGCGACGGACTAGCTCCTATCACCCCATCCGATCCAAGCAAAGGCCTATACTCATTGCCCGACATAAATCACAGTTATTTATGTCGCAGTCACCCAGAACTTTTCCGTGCCCTTATGGCCTTTCTTAGAGCCCCCCGCACTCGTGGGGATATGGAATCCTTAGCTCGGTCAATGGAAGTGTGTCACTGCAACCTCGAATTAGATCCTCTTGTGCAGGAATTTCACTCTTGGAACTGGATTTCGGAGCCTTCCAGTCGCCAACGTGACTCCGTCGCGTTCAGCGCACGATCAGACACCCTTGAGAGTCTTATACACGCTCTCGTTGATATCCTTCAGCTTGCACTGGCCCTTTGGGAAGCTGAGCAGTTCCACTCTTCCGCGAGAGGAACAAGCTGGCCTTCGACGCGTCAGGACATCCTTGGGCGCGAAGCTGAAGAGATCACGGTTTCAGCGACGATGATTTGCCGCTGGCTTGATGAATACCCCTGCTTGGTCTTAATCCGATTTATCACTCTGGTCGCGGAAGGACCTTCAATTATGCCTGCGTTTCTACATTCGGCGACTCTACCCAAGAATATAGTTTTACTTTTGGACAAATGCATAGAAGAGTTTTCACCAGCTATCAACGCAGGAAATGTTGATATAGGGATGCAAACAACGATAATCTTCACTGTGGGTTATATTTTCAAATTGATGAAGCAGCTTGAAACGGTTCCAGATGGAATATCCATCGCTTACTTCTATGATGAACATGCTGAATCTTTGCTAGACTCCTTGAGCAAACTTGCTCAAATTCACGAGTCCCTTGCTTGCCAAGATATGATATGGAGTTATACTTTTGCTTCGACAGGTGGGGCAGTGCACTCAAAACTTGTGCTCCCCTATGACGAGGCAAAATATCATCACTTAATCACCGAGGCGTCAAAAGTAACATACCAGAGGCGCATCGATACACATGATACCTATCCGGATGTGCAAAAAATTTTCCTTGTTCTTATGACAGTGCGACAATGTGCTAATCCAGTGTGCAACAAGGAATTCGACGATTCCTGGAAGCGATGCTCGGGTTGCTCGCGGGTGCTGTACTGCTCACCGGAATGCCAAAAGATAGATGTACGGCTTTCAAACATTGTTCAGCTGTACATAGCTGACTTGTGACCCGTCTGTCCTAATCTCTTATCGTAGTGGAAAAATCCAGGAAAACCACACAGGCGCCTTTGCAAGACTATGAGATTACTTGGTGAAGCAACCAAGCTTCCTGCGGTGGGACATTCTCGTCCGCCTCCGCTGATGACGAATGAGAAGTTTACTGCAAGATGCAATAAGGCAGGGATAGCTCCGGATGCAATCCGTGAGTTCAACAGATATATGGCGAAAGATGTAAGAATTTGGAAGAGACTCATGAACGGTGGGTAGTCCAGAATCTGCATTGCACTGAAACTTATTTCGTCTCTGTCGACAGAGTATAGTCCTCGATATCCACATCGAATTGCTTGATCCTTCTCCATCAAATATCAGCATTTGGGCTTCCTGTACATCTACATACTTTAATGTTATCAGTGTAAATATCATGTAAAAGTTGCTTATAATGAAGATCATGATATCATAATTGAATCACCCATTGTTTCCTTTTTCTGTTGAACTTCCATCAACCTGCACGACTGGGTAATAGCGCGTCGTTCTTCCATTGTTTGTTTTGACATCGGTCTTCTCAGCTGCTCTGTCACATTTTCTCATCAAGAGACGTTGAATCGAATAATCAGTGAGCGATGCTAGTGGCTTGTTTTAATGAGTATTGTGATGTTAACTTTTCACCCTTTTTGTAGTCAAAATTCAGATTACGAACTAGGAGTGGGTTTGACGCGTCAAAATAACACAAAGTGCCAGTGAGTAATCACACTTACGGTCAGTGAATACGCTCATTTTAGCACTATACGTAGCTCTCGCAACCTTCAGACATTCGCGGTATGTCTGATGCAAAGCCGACGTTGTTAGCACTCTTCAGTTCAGAGTCAATTTCATCCTTGGTCCTCTCATCGCCAGTGATCCGCCCGGCAGACCTTGCCTCCTTTTCGCTCGCGTCGAAGCGCCTTCGGCTTACAACGACTCCCTTCCTGTATTCCCGCGTCATCCTTTATTCACCCAACGCTATCAGGAAGTTCCTCTTCACAATTCTTCACAAGCCAACTACCTATGCTGCTTTCGTTCACACCATGTACCTCTCTTCCTATCGCGGCCAGCCCCGCTTGCACCTCACAATGACGCGTGAAATGAATTTGGCTCTTAGTAATGTCCTGCCTCTCCTTCGAAATCTCGAGTACATTTATCTCAGCGAGCTTTGGTGCTTTTCTGCTGCGATTTTCGCGTCACATGGAAAGATCGTATCTCCACTGCGAGATTGCCGCCTAAATGGGATCACTTTTTCAACGCAGACTCGGATCGTCGACTTTTTACGCTTTCTTTCAAGTCAGAAACACCTCGTGTCTCTAAGACTTGGAGTAGTTGCTGTTCCAAATGATCACCACGACCAGCAGCCTCTGCCCTGGGATGAAATGGTACCCGGAGACGACCATCCTCTCGTCCTGTCTGACAGTCTCCCTGCATTGACGCAACTCGATGGACCTGTATTCGTAGCAACCCAAGTTTTGAGGTCAAATGCACCTCTGGAATTCCTTCGCGTGCATACCGCGCTAGAATACGATGCTAGCTTCGTACGAGAAGGAAATGTCCTCCCGGTATTATTCTCGAGCTTCATCGAAGTGAAAACCCTTTGCTCAGAGATAGTCACGAGTAGAATGCGGAGATCGTTGAAGAGCCTCGTCGTTCTCGGTTTTCCTGGTGACGATGAGTTGCAAGAATTGCATTTTTCGAAGAAAGATCCATACAGAGATGCAGGAAATTTGCTCGGGGATGTAATTGGGGATCTGATGCAGACGCTTGCGTTGAGATGCCCATCGTTGCTTCATGTGGGAGGTCTTCCGCTATCTTGCAAGGATGTGAGAGTTTCCACATGTCGTTGATCCCCTCTAAGCTGATGCCTGGCACGAATCCAAGCGGTCAGAAGTGCATGCAGCTCTTATGGAAATGCACTCTCTTCGAAGTATCGAATTCTCGGTCACCCCTTGGTTAGGACCGAGTGTAATGGGTATTTCATCCTTGGGTCAACAGCATTCGTCCTTTCCTAGCCCTGCTATCTTCAAAGCGATAAGTATGGAATTTAAAATGTACTGCCCAACATTACGGTGAGCTACTTTCTCTTCAGATCCTTTACATTGATTATCGATGATCTTTCACAGGTACTTTGTGTACACCCTCCGCTACCCAAATCCTCAGTCGCGATATCATCGTGTCGAACGTGTCATTTGGGTGTACCATATTGTGAACCGACATCAGGCCAATGGGAAACCGACGGGGAGTGAAGATGGAAAGGGCCCGGAAGGAGAGTGGACAGCTGGCGACTCAAGGTCTAATTGGGACGAATTGTGGACTATGTCAGATTAAAATTCAACGGATTGGCAATGTCATCTACAGAGTGAAATGAAGATGGTAGAATTTTGTACAGACATCAAGTAATAGCAACAATAACATCGGTCTAAGGATAAGTATACGGACGCAAGGTGATTATGCCAGTGGCCGCAGGCACCATGCACGTGCTATAATAATCAAAGCGCTCCCGAACCTTCCCGCTCCCTTCGCATCTAATGAGGGAATTCTCAATTTCCTCGTTATCCGCCAACAAGAAGGCGTCATATTTCCGCATGACGCTCATGGTTATCAGAATCTGACCCTGCGTGACAATGGAGAGATAAAAGTTTGACCAGTGGTTGAAATTTACTCTATCAATTCCTCCTGGTCCTAATCATGCCCGGTTCTGGTTTGAAAGACGTTGGTTTTGACGCAGAGAATAACGATCTCAAAAGGACCCCTTCTGTATTGAGCTCTGATAGCTCCGCCAAGTCACTCAGTGTCGGTGTACAGATTGCTAGAGAGAGCGAGCATGAGATCAAGTACAGGACTTGTTCATGGCAGAAAGTGCGTACTTCTATATGTGCATGCTCTGCAGTATATCTGACTGGTAATGATCAGACGGCAGCCCTTTTATTTTCCGAGTACATCTGCCTCGCGATGGTTTCTTTTCCATGGTAGGTGCTTCGTACTGCGTTTGGCGCGATTTTCTCGACTTCTGCTACGATTCCAGGTCTTTCTCCGTACTCGGAATGGTCCCTGGTGTCATTGTCACTGTAGCAGTCGCCGCTACATGCTTGTACACCTCCCTTATACTCGGTCGATTTTGCATTAAACACCCAGAAATGCGCGACGTTTGTGATATCGGACAATATCTATTTGGGGGCTCGCAGCTGGCGTATAATCTCACAGCTTTGATGTTTATTCTGAACAACATATTTGTCCAAGGTACGGGCCCAGTTTATTGCACAATCTTCTAGACGCAAACCGTTACCTACCATCACGCAGCATTACATGTCATAACAGGCGCGAAATACCTCAATACGGTATCAAATTCGGCCGAATGCTCGCTCACTTTCGGTGTACGCTTTTAAAGACTTCCTAACTTCAAGAATCTGTACTCACTTTGGCTTTTGATTCTCAAAGGCCATTACCGCTATAATATGTTTCATCGTTTCTCTACCACGTACGCTCAATCAAATGTCCGGCCTTGGGACATTCAGTGCCATTACAATGGGCATTGCCGTCCTCCTGACGATTATATTCTCTGGTGTCCAAAGTCATCCGTTTGGATACATTGCTGGACAGGAGCCGCTGGTTACAGCGATTCCTATACCGGGAACTTCTTATGTCGCAGGTGAGCTTCGTTGACTTCCTTTATATCTACTCTTGACAGCCTTTCCACCGTTAGGGATGTCCGCTTTCTTGAACATTACCTACACTTTTGTCGGTCAAGTTATGATTCCTACGGTATATTCTGTTTATTGATGCACCGGACACCTTACTGATACCTGATGTCTAGTTTATCGCGGAAATGGAAAACCCGAAAGACTTTCCTAAAGGCACTAAATCTCCAGCAAAACCCATGTTAATGCGGCTCACATTCTTTTATCCGTAGCTCTATGGGCCGTTACCATTGCAGAAGCGGTGATTTACACTATCTGTGGAGCCGTCGTTTACCACTTCGTTGGTGCGTTCAATAACCCATGCCTCCGATACTATGAGTGACCTGAAATAAACAGGGAACCAATATGTAACTGCCCCTGCGTTCGGTTCACTTACTCAGACGTACAAGATAATCGCGTTCTCCTTCGCAGTACCGACAATCATCTTCCTAGGAGCCCTATATTCTGTCAGTCTTTACCTAATACTGGTATCTCAGTATACGGCTGACGCCCGCGCATTCTACTTATGACGAACCTCATAGAATGTCGCAGCACGTTTCGTGTTCTTCCGACTGTTCCGTGAATCCCGTCACCGGCACTCCAATACGATCGTGGGATGGGCAGTTTGGGTCGCACTTGTAGCAGCAACCTGGGTATTGGCTTGGATCATTGGAGAAGTCATACCATTTTTCTCTGATATGCTGAGCTTGATGAGTTCGTTGTTTGGTGCGCACCCTTACCTCAAACTATAGTCTTCAGACTCATTGTTTGATTTGTATCCTATGTAGATGGATGGTTCGGGTAAGCTCTTGTTCTCATTACAGATTTAAACCCTCGATCAATAATGCCAGGTTTATCTTCTGGGCCATGGCATACTTGACACTATACCCTGGAAAATCAAAATGGGATGGACCGTTGCGATCGGCGGAAACACTGGTCAATTATTTTTTGATTCTCCTTGGAGCGTATATCACGGTCGCCGGGACATATGTGAGGAACTCTTCACTTTTCAAGTGGTCGACCTAAGTGTATTCATATTGATATCGTGTTTCTCAAACAGACATCCGTGGAATCCATTATACAGTCATATCAAGCCAGAGCAGTTGCAGGTGTATTCACGTGTGCCAGCAATGCCTTGTAGAGATCAATGTATGTACACTACTAGTACTACTAGAGAATTCATTGCAAGATAACTGGGAGAGCGGTAAGACTGCCTCCCTAGAAATCCGAGTCGGACTCTGGTCGTTGATCAAAACACAAATTATAAGGATTTTGACCTTTTTGCCTGCAGATACTTAGGTCACAGGACAAGAGACTTGTCCAATTGGGTTGAATCGTATCACACGTCCCATAAGTTGCTTCTCTTAGTATATATCGCAGAAATTCAAAACGAAAATCGTTGACCGTGGACGTACGACTATCGCGTGCTTATCGCGACATGATCAGTCTGGAGTAGTTCGAGAAATGGCATATAAATAACCGAGTCTCCCTCGTTTACTTGGACCATGGTTGCCGCCCCAGATTCTGAATCTTCCTCTAGCCGTCCTAGTTCTCCTGCGATCTCCCCTGATGCTATCATTGGTTCCTTAGTTCAATTCCCTCACTATGACATTGAGCCGCACATCGGCACTCACTTCGACGATCCTTCCACTCAGCTCTCTGCCATACTTAAAGCTCCCAATTCGGACCAACTGATCAAGGATCTTGCCACTCTAGTCTCTCATCGTGGAGTGGTGTTCTTTTCCTCTCAAGATTTAACGACCCAGGAACAGTTAGAACTTGGTCGCCGAATTGGGGAACTTTCTGGAAAACCAAAGACTTCTACATTGCATAGGCATCCGATCTCAGAGGAAACACCGGAATTGGGTGCAGATGTATCGGTCATTTCGTCCATGGGGTGAGCGATTATTCGACTGTGCATTGCAATTGAGAGGTTGACAACACATCTTTGATTTTTAGTGGCATTGCTAAAGCAGGATACAAGGAAAAGATACGCGCAAGTATGTCCTCATGCCTATCTCTAATCTACTTGCTCCGAGCGAATCTCATTCCAATCACTGCCCTCACGTATAGGCGATGGCTGGCATTCAGATATCACCTTTGAGCCAGTTCCTGCAGACTATTCGGTAGAGTGTTTATGTTTAGATCTCATTGATCGCAGTTCATTGACATGAGTTCTTGCAGCTTCTGAAAATGCACACTCTTCCTCCAGGTGAGTTTGGAAGGGCAAACTGCGTGGCGAGCTTCGTTGACTTGTTCAATATGTAGTTGGGGGCGACACATTGGTGAGCAGCTCTTTGACCCTCAGCCAAACCTTGTATTTAATAATTGTGATAGTGGGCAAGGTGAATCAGCTCTTTACCAATGCAATCAAGATTCGACTAAATGTTCTCAACTATTAGCGGATATGAAGCCTACGACAAACTTTCTCCTGCATTGCAGAAATTTTTGGAGGGGTTGACTGCGGTTCATAGCGGCGAGATATTTATCGAAGTGGGAAAACTATATCTCCTTTTCATTGCATATTCATAACTTCGACTCTTTGATTATCCTAGTACGCAAAGAAATTTGACCTCAAGATCAACAACCCTAGAGGCTCCCCGGAAAATGGAGATACAGGATTGGTAGCTGTTCAGTGAGATTTTCTGGAAGCACCGTATATGTTGTTTGTGCTGAACAACTCTGTAGCCCCGTCATCCGAACAAACCCGGTCACAGGCTTCAAGAGTTTATTCGTCAATAAATCGTGAGATATTGTCAATTAGCTTATGAACGTCCTTGCTGAGTGTCCTTTATTCAAGCTTCACCAAGCGTATCGTCGAACTAAGCCCTGACGAGTCAGACAACATCCTGGAATACTTGTTCAGGCATGTCTCGGAGAATCACGACTTCCAGGTATGTTATTCTGATTGAGGCATGATTATCAACATTTTGAACTCAAAACTTAGGTTCGATACAAGTGGAAGGTCAACGATCTTGCGATATGGGATAATAGGTCTACATTCCACACCGCCACGTAAGGATCTTCTGTCGCTCAATGATCTTGTTATTCGCTAAATGGGGCTTTCTTCCTTAGCCATGACTATACGGCGTTCCGTCAAGGGAACCGAGTGGTCAGCATCGGAGAGAAGCCGTTCTTCGATTCTAACTCCAAGTCGAGGAGGCAGGCACTAGGATTCCCGCTGTGAATCGTTGTGCTGAGTGATTTGTTGAAACTCGTATTACGAATTACGCCGAAGTTACCTCTAGGAAGTTATCAACGGGCAGGAAGATGTGAATATGGATTATATTCCTAGAGGCTACGATGCATAAATAGTACATACATTTTTTTTTTTTTTTTTTTTTTTGAATCCTGTTTATACACCGTTGTGCGGGAGCATATGGTAGTGTATATTCTACTGTATGTATCTTCGTCTTTGTTTAAATATCATGGTAAATATAGCCTTTTCAACATAGTCTGGTTCCGCGTAGGAAGCCATGACGGGTTTCCGTCGAGGGCACAAGTATCCGTAAAGTCCGTGTGCTGTATGTGGAAGAATTTAAAATGTAGTGTAGTGTCAGTAGGAGATCGAAGACGTGAAATCATAAGTAAATTTAAGGGCAAGAATGGATGTGGGGTATTTGGGAGGGCATTCGGGGCGTCGTTACTGTTCGGCTAGGTTCTGTCTTCATCGTCATCGTTGAGTTCCGGTAGATCTCCAATAATATGGTGAAAGCGTTTCGTGTCGTTGATGTATCGGAAGAGATGTGGTAGGGAGCTTTTCGTGGATAGCAGAGATCCTATAGACCATCGATCATTGGCGAGCTTTCTTTGCAAGCGGCCTCGTGCTTGTCGGTGCGCGCGACACTCGAACAAGTAGTGCATGACTGTTTCGTTCCCATGTTTGCAGCAGGGGCATGTCGGAGAGTCAGCTTTGCCAATCCGGTGTAAGTGTCGTTGTAGCGGTATGTGGCCTGTCCGTAACTGCGTTAGGATGCAGAGAAGTTTTCGTGGGAGCCATCGTGCTAGCTTCCAATAGTTTCTGCTTGCAGTAGTCGCATCAGAGGGGTCGATGCGCTGGAAGTATGCGTATCGTGGCGATTTCTTCCACTGCTCATTGTGTTTTTCTTCGAGTTTGCGACGGAAGGTTCGTATGGCTGCTGTCTGGCTGTGAGGCAGAGGGCGTTGAAGCTGTGGGGGAAGTCGCTCCTTTCGGCTTGAGCGTCCACTCGCTGCCTTCTTTGCTTCTTCATCAGCTCGTTCATTTCCCTCTGCTCCAACGTGTCCTGGAATCCATGATATTGTGACAGTCGCGTCAGGGTGTTGTGCTCGCAAGGCAGTTAGAGTGTGATGGAAGATGTCAAGGATGTAATGGGACGGTCCTGTTTTGCTCGTGTCTGTCGCTGTGATGGCTGCTGTGTTGTCTGCCCATATGGACACGGCGGTCACCGACTCTTGTGCTCGTGATAGGTGTAGGCCCAGTATCATGCCAATGCACTCCCCTTCGTAGACCTCGTGATGTTCTTCTGAACCTAGTCGATAGCGGATTGCGCTTTCCTCCTGCCCATCCCTGTAAAGTACTGCAGAAGAACCTATATAGCCTTTGTAACCAGAGCCGTCAGTAAAAACTTTAATACTAGTATCGTCGTCTCGAAGCGCTCTAAGTGCCGCTTCTTTGCTTTCCCAGATCTGAATGACCAGCTTAGGGTCCCATTGTGCCTCGAACCTCACTGCTCTGCGCTTCTCCATTTTTGCTGGATGTAGACCGTATCGTCCCATTAGGTCTATTAGTGGTGATGGGTGTTTCGTTCTTCGCTTGTTTCGTGCTGCATTCTCTACTCTTTCTGATAGTGGATGTTCAGTTGGTAGCGTTAAGAGGCGCACTGCCGCTCGGTGACGGTGGCGTTCGACTTCAAGGGGTAGTGGGAGGAGTGCTGCATGTATGTCGAGGATATCAGTCGCTGTGGTGGTCATTGCTCCCGAAATCATTAGAGATGCCTGGCGTTGTATAGAGGTTAGCTTGCGAATGATTCCCCGCGTGGGGGTGGCTTGGGTCCACTTCTTTTCTTTCTTCCTCGACGGCGGGGCTAGAATGATGTCTGCTGCATAGAGCATCCGGGGTAAGGCTTTTGCCTTGTAGAGCTGTCGCACCAATTGCGCAACCATGCCATCTTTCATTCGTGCTACTCTTCGGAATTGTGAGACCCATAGCTGTCCCCTCTTGACCATCATGCTGTGGTGCTCGTTCCATCGTAATTGTCGATCCATCAGTCCTCCGAGGAATTTTGCGTACGTCTCCGATTTGATTAACGTGTCATGTATCTTCACTCCCGGTCCTGTGACTGGGGCAGTCTTCTTGGGTTCTGTGGGATGTGGGATTCTGCATCTGTTGAAATCAACCAATTTGAACTTTGTGACGCCAAAATGGCAGTTGTGTGCTGCTGCCCAGTCTAGAACCCCACCTTCTCTGCTCATCATATCACCTATCTCTGCATGAAGTTCGTCCACTCCCTTTGCCCATTTCATTCCCGCAACATCGTCCATGAACCCAAAACCTTGTTCTCTGCTCTCTGCTTGAAAAAGTCGAAGTAGACCAGCTGCATAGTACATACATACACAAGTGATTGGGTAGTTAAGATACATTGAAAGACAAACATAACCATTGAAATGAACGGAAACGAATAATATTCATGCATACTCGTTGTGTTCTACCTCCCCATCTAAATTCCCGTCTTTAACATTGATTGGGGAATGTTTCACCGCCTCTTCTCGTTCGTGTTCAGCATCAATGAAGCGTTGCGGCCTCTCCGTTTGATACGCCTCCTTGCATCTGAGAACAAATACTAAATCCTGGTTATCTCTATAAAGTTTGTCGATATCCTCAAGATGGCGATTGGCAGTTTCAGGGTAGAACATCCAGATTAACTGCGAAGAAAAGGAAACTTTGTTTACAAAGTGGTCGAAAGTTCTAGGAAAAGACGTACAGGAACGAATGCCGTATTGAACGCCATCCAGATGAGGTAAAACTTCCAACCCAGATTTTGGATACCGGTAGGAGTAATCTGTACAACAATATAATTGGATATCCAGTTGCTGCCAGTAGCTAATGCGGCACCCTTAGTGCGCATTGAAAGAGAATTGATTTCCACTGGGTATAGCCATGGAACACCCTACGAAAATGAATTTGATTCAGAATGTCCAGGAAAAGGGTTTGCCTTACCTGCCAACAAATACCAAAAAACAAATAATATACAAAGAAAAATGTGGTTGCCCCGGCACCAAAGCTCTGACCCCTTGTCGTGGTGCCATTGGCTTGCGAGAGCAGGCCTGAAATTAGGGCGTAACAGACAGCCTGTCCTGCGGCACCCCACATCATCAACTTGCGTCGACCGGCACGTTCGATAAGCCACTACAGAGGCATATTAACAAGGTGGATTGTGAGCCATAATGAAGCGACTAACCAATCCAATGAATGAGAAAATCAAGTAGCTGACGGAATTGCATGCGGCAAGTAATCGGGACATTGTGTTCGACAGACCCACTGAGTTCTGAAGGACGAGGGGAAGACTTGGTCGCTATCAGAAATGATTTCAAGAGGATGGAAATACCGAAGCTCACTAATAACTAGTAACGTTGATACCGACAAGCTGTTGCATCCATTGGGTGCCTAGAAGAGCCAGATATGTATCCCTTTGGTCATTTTCTTCTCAAGTATCAGCTTACCCGACCCAAGAAGCAACCGTTTAACCATCCCGGTGTTTCCGGTTTTGCCCTTCAGTATAGCACCCCAGCTTGGAGATTGCTCTCGTTCAATCTTCACCGCCTCAAGAATCTCCAACTGTTGGTTCAAGACTTGTGGAGAATCAACTGTGGCGCCATCGCCTTCGAGTGAGGCCAGAACTTCTGCACCTTCTGCTTCTCGTCCATGTGCAATCAGCCATCGCGGTGATTCCGGTAGCCAGGGAACGGTAGCAAGGAGGATGACAGAAAAGACCAACTGAAAGGCGATAGGGAAGCGCCAACTAATACTACCAGACACAAAGCTAAGACCGTATGTCATCCAATTGCTCAAGGAGAAACCGGCGATGTTCATGCTAAGAAAAGAAAGGATATGAGAACAAATTGATTTCGAAAAGTAAGCATGACTCACATCATGGAGAAGACTATGAGGCTGCCTCGCCACGAAGCCTTCGCTGTCTCGCTTTGCCACACAGGTGCAGTAGAGGTGTTCATGCTGGATGACAAGGACTAAAAATTATCCTTCACTTTGCAAAATCGAACTTACCCATTGCCTATTCCTGCTCAAAGTAATCCACACGTCAGAAATAGCAAAGTCAATAAAACTCTGACGTGATTACCGGTAATGAGGCGAGCAACAATCATATGAGCAACAGTGAAAGCACTCGTTTGCAGGATTGCACCAATGCTCATGATGATGACGCCGAATATTAACCACTTCTTACGACCGAAATGTTCACCTTGATTTCCGTATTATTTCTTGCGCGAAAGGGAAGAAAAGATATTTCATTTACCAAAGGCGATAGTAATCATTGCACCAGCGAAACTGACAAGCATAAAATGAGTATACGCTTATGAGAGACAAGCGTGAACGTACCATCCAATATCATAAAGCGAGACAATAGTTCCTTGAAGACCACTATCTGTTCTCCCCACGTATCAACGACGGCGATATCGAAGAGCGGCATCAACTGGACACACCTGGATTACCCATTGTGTCCAGAAAGCTGTCTGTAACGATGATACCACCAAAGACACCCTGGTCATATCCTGTAAGACGAAAGGTTATGAACAAGACTCGAGACACCGTTGGTCAGCTTTCGTACCAAAGAGAGTCATGGCTGTGGTACACGCGATCTGGAAAGGTTATGAGGAAATTTAACGACTGCGAGTCAATGCGAATGGTACACACTGCCAACCATATGTTAAGCTTAGCACCGGTCATACCAAAATATAGTTTCTTAGTGTTCGAAGTCCCCATAATATATAGCTAGTAGAGTTTAGAAGGAGTTAAGGGGCTTGAAATTACAAGAATCTTGACATGAACTCAAGCTTATAATTAAAATGTTGATATTCGTGATGAGGTCATAACTTGAACTTTGTCGGATCTTGGCGCAGTAAACGAAGATAGATCCGAGGCGCTCCACGTCGAGGCGCGCGATGAAAGAAATGTCCGTAATCAGTAAAAGTCGGAGTGGCCCGCGAATGCGTCGGGCGCCGAGGTAAGTCACCCGCCAAACAAATAACCGAAAATAGGAACAGTCAGATGACCATGTAATCTATCTCAGCCTGACAGAAAGGTTTTGGAAAATCCAGATAACCAGAGAATTAAGACCATCGTACAAAAGAGTACATAAATAAGCGACGCACGTATTAAGCCTTGTTCACTGTTGAATGTGGGACAATACCAGAAAGACAAAGACGAAAACAAACAAATGAGGGTAAACTTTGAGCTAACTTAGAGCAAAATGTGGATGACGAGCTATAGAGAAAAGAGATCTTGTTGCATGAATAGAGAACCCAGTGAAGTATAATGTAGAAGGCAGCTAGAATGGATCGAAGAGATAAGTCATAAACAAGGATACTATCATAATTTGAGCTCTGTCAACACCCGCCTAGCGAGCATTTGATATTGCCAACCATCTCCGCTTGCTCGACGAAACTGAATCCCATGTAATGGTAACCAAGGAACCTAGAATAAGCAGTCAGATAGACGAGTATCGAGGACGAAAACTTTACTGACTTTTACAATATTAATTTCAAACCGAACACTCAATGAATTATTACCCATAGTTTCAAAAACTTCACGGTCGACCTGCCCAGAGGGCATGGGACTTGGACTACGAGGAGGGGCAGAAGGACCGAAGTCGCGGGGTATAGGAGGAAGCACTTTGCTCTTGGTAGACCCGGCGGGTGAGTTGGGTGTAATGGGAGTCATCGGGGAAGTTTGTGCTGGAGCGTCGACCTCAAGGGACGGAGTAGTGGGTACTCCATTAATCGTAGCAGTAGGTGTAGCAGCATCACCTTCTGCAGCGGTATGATTCTGGGAAACATTGAAGAACGACGACGAACCAGTACTTGGCGTAGCTGTCAACGTAGTAGTACCTGACGGCCGCCCAGGGTGTTCTCTTTCCTTCTCCATCGACGTATCTCTATCCCGTATACTCCGACTTCGGATGCTGAAAGATAACTTGGAGGATTTTTTCGTTATTGTCGGTCGAGGCGTCGAAGGTTCACCTGAGCCTGATGACGTTTGTTGATGATGATGATTGTGTCGGTATCCGGGCGTCGTTGGTTCCACGGAGGAAATATCAATCGAAGGCAAATGAATGCATTCAAATCCTCCTTTGACTTCTCGGTATTGCACCTGCATACGATCGAGCACACGTCGAATGTCGGCTTTGATCAATGAAGGAGACTTAGTAGATGTTGTTGCCACACTACGAGTCCCAAATTTGTTGTTTAGTAAGTCTTGAAGCCGGACTCCATAATCGCATCACATACCTGAACAACCCTTTCAAATAAACAGGTTTGACATGCCGGTCATCTTCAGCTTCGGTATCAGTGCCATGCTCATCTCCCGTGATTACACCGCGAGTATCCTTTTCATTCTCCGCTTGTGCCTCTTTCTTCTCATCCTCGTCCTCCTCATCAGTCCGGGAGAACAGTCTTTCGGCCAAAGGCCGTGGCATACCACTCTGACCCGTTGATGGTCGCCTGTGTCGTCCCAGCGTACCACCAACGATTCCAGCGCCAGATAATAGTGCCCCACCAGTACTACTACGTCTTTCATGCCTTGACCGAGAGCCTGTAGGGTCGAGAATGGTCGCCGCCCGACGATGAACCCCTGATAAAGACTGGCTTTGGCTATGAGATATAGGTTTTGGCGACAGAGGTTCAACTGTCGAAGAAACTGGAGTGTTCTCCTTCCCTTCTTTAGACCCAGTCTCTACTGATTTTTCATCTATAGACATGACCTTGTCCTTCTCTGACCACGCCTTCTGTGCTGAAGCGGAGGCAGTCGTATCCATACTCTTCTTCTCACCATCGCCACTCGGTCGGGGACTAGTGGACGCCAATCCGCCCAGTAACGTCCCTTTACGCCCATGTCGCCGTTCATCTCCCCTGCCTACGAGCATACTACCAAATTTGCGAACGAGAGTAGCACCTGTAGTGAGCGGAGACGCAGGAACATATCCATGCTCATGATCCTTCTCCTTTTCTTCCTCGTTCTGGCGTTCTCTCTCTGCAAAGCTTGTCACTTCCGGTCCAGCAGTATGTGGCAACTGTGGTGGTCGGGCACTAGTTGGTGAGGCAGGAGCATCCATTGCAGGTCTTTCCCGCCCACCAACCATGACAGGCGACAATTTAGATGGCGGCGAATATGACTTCTCTCCTGTCTCATCCACAGGAGCTGGAGGATTAAACATTCCACCCCAACCTCGGCCGACAGTCCCGGCTGTGGAAGTTACTGGTCTCTGACTCAAACTGTGGCTTCGGCGGTGTGTGCTAGCTGGCGGTGCCCTTGGTAATGTACCCACAGCACCAGACTTCTTGCCCGGTTCGGTCTCGGCATGAGCGGATGACGGCGATGCCGCAGGTAGGCCTAGATCGCGCGCACGGGGTTGCGGTCCTTGTTGGAACGCTGTCTGGAAGGAAGGCGATGTAGGTGAAGGCGCAGCCGTATTGTTCGTAGACATCCCCGAGTAATGTGAAGTCTCGGGTGCCGGAAGACGAGGAAGAGGCATGCTGTAGTCTGCCTTGGCATTGGTGTTGGCAGACGGAGGTGCTGCTATGATCGGTATTGGGAGAGCAGCAGGAGCCGGAGCAGATAACTTTTCCCGCCTTTCCGGGACTGGAGAGGGGACACCAGCTGTCGGAGTACCATTGATGACCCCATTGATACCGTTGTTAGCTCTATTGTGAGCAGGATCTGCGATGCTCAATTGACTGCTAGCGAAAGCACCTGGACCGTACACCTTCTCTCTTTCCATCTTCTCCCGAGCAAGAAAGTACATGCTGACAAGAGGATGAAAACCTTTCGTTGGATCGAGCGGTTCACCTTTTGAATCAACGAGAGCGCCGCCATGAGAGATGAGCTGGGATTGAGATTGCGGAGGGGAAGAAGAAGAAAACGGATTACTTGAAGAGGAGGGAGAGGGAGATGGTGAAAACAGTTTTCGACGATAAAAATCGAAACCAGAGAAACGTTTCGATTTCTTGCTAGGAGTAGGAGGCTCAATACCAGTGCGTGAGCTGTACGACGTCCCTCCATCACTAGTAAATGAAACAGCGAGGCTGGAGTTGGACATCGACTCGCCCCATTTTGAACCGTTGACAGTGCCACCACGTTTACGCTCCCAGTACTGAACAGCCTTGATGTAAGCGTCACTCTCGAGCACATTGATGAGCTTCTTTTCTATTTCATCATCGGAACCGAATTCGAAGCCCGTCATGCCATGGATGACCTGACGGTCGAGCTCGTCGGCACGAAGAGGCTCACGATGAAGAAGAAAGTTTTCAGGAGGGCCAGAAAAGCCACGAATCATCCATGGGTGCGAGAGGATTTCCGTTAGTGGCGCACGTAAGGCTGGGTTTGTGACGAGCATCCGAGAAAGCAGATGTTTGCATTCTGAGCCAAGTATTGAGCCGGAGGACATTCATGACAATTATGAGTTCGAACTTACCGGCACTTAACCACACTGGGTATTCCACCAAACCTCTCTTTATCTTTGCATGAAGAGCAGGCATGCTTTGATCGTCAAAAGGAACTTTGCCACAAACGAGCACGTATAAGACGACACCGAAGCTCCAAACATCCACCTCGGGGCCGGTGTACACTTTTGCGTTAAGCAATTCGGGGGCGGCAAAATACAAAGACCCACAAAAAGTGGCGAGATGATTAGCAGGATCATACAGGTTGGAAAGACCAAAATCAATGATCTTGATATTGCCAGTTTGGGAGATTAAAATATTTTCGATTTTGAGATCTAATTACCCATGTCAGAATGGGGATAATCAAGGCACCCACCCGGTGTCAGAAGGCCTACACACCTCTATGAACGACATTATTTCGATGGCAGTAATCCAGAGCACTTCCTATTTGTCTTGCGAACTTTCTGGCCACTCTTTCCCTAAGTCGGCCGTGGCTAATGATATAATCCAGCATCTGACCGCCATTGACGTACTCGGAAACCATGTAATAGTGGTGCTGATGAATGATCATCTCACGCATACCGCAAATATATGGATGATGAAGAAGCATAGACAGTGCAGCTTCGCGGAGTGTTCGTATTTCTTTGGAAGCATCCTTGGAGGCTTGCCGAGCAACAGCATCTGGTGCCCCGCTCGTAGGCGGCGCAGCGGGGTTGACACGCGGAAGGATCTTGACAGCGAGCTGTAAAGAGCGTAAATGTACGAGTCAAAGAACTGAGTATCGTGCAGTAACTACCTGCTCTCCCGTCATGTTATGGGTAGCAAGCTTTACTTTTCCCATACTACCAGCACCCAGCGTCTTGCTGAGGGTGTAATCACCCAGAATCCTATTCGAGCGACTCGTCCTGCTAGAAGGCACATGCCGTCTTTCTCTCTCTCTGTCACGATCTCTATCTCTGGTATCCTTGTCCCTCTCTGAGGCTCTATCATCCGTGGCAGGTCCAGGACTTGGAATTGCAGCGACAGCGGCATTAAACGACTGAGGAGGCATAGAGACAGGTCTTGGCCTCGTTGAAGTCGTCAGCCGCGGTTGAGGCTGTGGCTGATGGCCAGGCTGGACTTGTGAAATGGGCATATCGTACTCAAATCCACCAGGTACTATCCCACCGTGCGATGGAGTTGCTGCGCCGTCTTCGTATTGATTAAATTGGTTAGCTAGAGATTTCGAGTATGCCACTGTCGCCATAAAGTAGCAAGTCGTAGGTTAATAACGTCCTCGGTGTCGAGCTCGTAATTGCAAGTTTGTCTAAAGTTCGTCCAAATCGTCGGATGCAGTTGTACCCTATGTAAAGGAAGAGCAAACAGCCGATTATGAGACCTCCGTTGAAACGAGGACAAGGTGAATGGAAAGGCAAGCAGTACAATAAGATGGAGGAAAGGAAATAGATGAGAACGCCCGGACACGGCGCTCAGAGTCAGTGTGGAGGAAAACAAACAGTGGGCGTGGGAGACCTCTACCTCAGACTGATAATTTAGACAGTCATCAAGAATGTAGCCCTACATAATTTCCGAGACAAGCTCGAGTATCTAACGTCTGTAGACTGCCCGATGATTTAAGAATAGGTACCTTGAGCTCACAGAATCAGATGGAGTACCATATGTGCTACCCCCACGCACGCACAATCGGGACTAAACTTCCGCAAAATTTTGAACAAGTCGCGAGTGTTGCATTTTCATGACTGAACGATGGTGCTCGCGATATGCTTTTATGGGTTCAGGTTCATGATACAAATAGTCCTGGACGAAAATTGTGGGGAAACAAACAAAATGATCGAGGCAGGTAGTTAGTTGTTCATCTACTCTTCGCCTTCCCTTCAGGAAGTTTAAGCACAGGCAACCACTTCACGGGATGTTTATTGTACATTGGCCATGCAGGGAGAACAATCTGAAGTAATGAAAGCAACGTCCCACATATCCAAATTTAGTCGAGCAAACCGGTGTTGACGAATGCAGTATGATGAGCCCAGTACAAAATATCAGGGCATGGTTAAGCATTGGCATGGCGACGACAGAGCAACAATCATCCAAACCAGGAAAGACGGTTAGGGTGAAGATTAAGTCGAACAGAGCAACGGTGTGTCGTCAAGAGGCATGAGAAAGATAACGAACATAAGGATCGATATATTACGATTCATAGAGAACAGAAGGGGAGACAGATAATCGAATCAGTAAAAATGAACTAACATAGCCAGATATCAACTCACCGCACACAGCACGACTGTTGACGCGCCCAAAAGCACAAAAGATATCTTCAGTGATTGGAGAGCAAATCCTAGCAGGAATGACAGGGCCTGAGCACAGGACATTGACAAATTAAGTTGTACGTATGAATCCAATAGAACTTTAGGAGACGAACAGTGAAGGAAAACAGCCATATCCGGGCAATCTCGTCGACACGCTGTTGACCAACAAAGTCCTGCACCGAGGTAATGAGGGCAGTGAAGGCAAGGAAAATGGGAGAGGGCGAAAATAAAGCAAGGAGGATAGTACCAGTCAGAAATGCTTGAGCAATATCAATAACACATGAAAACGTACAATTTTACCCTCAAAATAATCCTGTATATTGCCGCTCATAGCTAGTGTATCGAAAAAATATTCCTCCCTGGTAACGATATCCGGACAAAGGTAAAGATTGACGATGCGTGGGTCGGAAATCTGAGAAGAAGCTCGTGAGAACGTAACTTTCGCTCAGGAGACGACCTATTCTTCGTCACACTACTGTGACCATTGCTCTCATTTTGATCTCTTGCAGGATACTCTCAGAAAATAATACTAAAACGCTGTAAATTCCATCGACAACACCAACCGCTACTTATGCAAGCACAAGTGCGTCTGGAGAGTCGGCGTTCGCTCAAGAAGGAATGATGAGGGATAATGATATTAGGCCCTTCTTTGGAAAATCTTCTTGACGTTCGGGTAATCAGAGGTGTACAGATCGTAGCCCAACTCAAAGCTGGGCTCCATTCACTGATCCCCTATCTTTGGGTTGTACGGGACGAAATTTTTTGAAGTTGCCCGATGTTATTTCGGGACGGCAATAGGCCCATCCAATCTCGAACATTTTGTGAGAAGTTTCCACCGCCGTCATGTACTTCAATGTTACGATTCTCTGACTCGTGGTTCATTCCTCAGTCGTTATGAAATCTTATGTGGGATCTACTGTGCGCACGCGGATGCAGATGTTCGAATAGAAACAATCTTCGACCATAAAATTAGGACTCATCATCATCATGATCTCCGGATCCGAGAAAGTGAACGCCGTTTCGTTTCCTCGCGGAAGATATAGAACCTTTCACTGGGACATTTGATGGCCATAGACGCTACAGACCGTTTGTCTTGACGCTGACTGCAACGCGTTGCAGTCAGCGATAGGTGATCCTCTGACGGCTATAGCAGCTCCTCCCCCGATCTAGTGTACTCATTGACAGCGTCTCATCTAGTGGAAAGCTCTCTACCCTATCAAGTAGTTTCTCCACGGTTAAATTATGAACGAGGGACCAAAATATCTCATTTTTGTGATGTTCTTGATCTCAAGGCGACGCACTTTCTATAGCTCGCGGGAAGGGGACCAAAGGAAGCATAGAGCCAAAAATCTAAATTGCGAGCGTTTGGTTAAATGGTTTGAAACGAACACTCACATTTGTGACCTCTCGTGAATTTCTTACATATCCTTCACACAAGTTGCTGGAAATGGGTCAACTTTCTTTGGAGCAGACCTTCCTCATCGCTCCTTATGTCGAGGTTTGCGTTCTCTTTTGAAAACCTCAGCGCAACTCACCTCTGACTATTTCCTCAGGGTATTGTATACGGTCTGTTGCCACTTCCCATCTTAGTCGCTCAAAATGTTCATTGTTCTCAGGAATCTTTGCTGCTATCTTTGCTGCAACCATGTACATCCATTTCTCAAAAGTCATTAACGGCACTCAGAGATTTGATCGACATAGTAACGTATGGTGCTCGAAAGCGTTTCCGATAATATGCAGGCTGACTGCGAGTTCTATAGGTCATGATCGGGATTTCGTCTCTGATGTTTCTCATTGCAACTTTACATCTGACAATAAATGCTTATCGGATGGTAGCGGGTTATGTTGACCATGCCTTGCTGCAAGGAGGTGCAGTGGCATATATGGGTGACTTGAGATCATGGCACTATATCCTCAAAGACACTCTCTATGCTACACAGGAAAATCTCGGTAGCGCTGCCGCAGTGAGTAGTCATTCTCACTTCATCCCGCATATGCCGACTGTTCTTCTTTCATCATTAGATCTACCGCTGCTGGGTCCTTTGGGGCCACAACTGGAAGATCATTCTTTTCCCTTCAGTACTATTGATTGTAAACATTGGTGCGTACACTATATATAAATCTGTCTCTGCTTTTTTACCTCCCAATTCCAGTTGCCGGCTACATGGTATGCGGACTGTATGGTACTGTTTCTCCCACCAATAACATATTTGATCCCCGCTTGACCACCTGGATCAAGATATTCTTTCCGCTTACTGTAGCCTTGAATGTCATCACTACCTCCCTCATGAGCTACCGAATTTGGTGCACCCACCGCCAAACATCCTTGTATACCAGCGGTAACAGCCAACTCATCTCTGTCATGAGGATCCTTGTGGAGTCAGCAGCTCTACAGCTTGTTGTAGAAATTATCCTCCTGGCTCTGTATAGTTCTGACGTCAACGCACAGTATATCGTACTTGAAAGTATCGCTTCAATCGTGGTAAGTGTTTGCATTTAGTTCCTAAAATTTACATTTGATATAATACTCGCAGGGTATCACATTCAACGCTTTGACTATCCGTATCAAGCTACATTCTATTAGTACGGCAGGAAGCGGACACAGCATGAGCTTTGATGGAGCAACACAAACCATTGGCAGACTACCTATGCGTCGTATTCAGGTCAATATTTCTAGAGATGTTGAAGAAACGGAAGATAATATTAGTACTTTAAGTTCCAAATAGCAGCTCAAGTGATTCTCCTGTGATTTTAGAAGAAGCCAAAATATAAATGGTTCTGTTTGTTTTGCAGAAATTTTGCGGCGTCTATCCTCATCTGCGAGCGAGAGAAAATCATCCTTTCCACATGCTGAATGTTGTTTTCCTAGTTTAACGTACTGATGTCGATACGGCGCGGGTACGAAGAAGGGAGAACGACGATTCGGACTTGGTTACAATGCTAGTGACTACACGCAAGATATTCGAATGAATCTAAAGAATGGACAAGACCGGTTGAAATTCAAGCTCGTTCAGGCGATACCTGCTGTCCAGACTAACGTGGAACTCTACATAACCACGAGCAAACTCTTTATAAGCATCCAATGCTTCCCTGTCTGGCTCCAGAATGCGTATAATCTTTTCATGAGCCTCAACTGTTTCGTGAATAAGAGAATGAAATGCGTGGCTTTTGCTCCGGTCACGGCAGAGTGCCAACAGGGATATTTGGTTGACAGTTTCTCCGTATAGTTCTTCTTTATAAAATGAGAGAATGTCACTGAAAAACAAACAATATGAGCTCAATTTCAACGACGTCCAGTCTAAAACACTCACTTGACATTGACGATAAACGCCATCAAGGTGGGAAGAGCTTGTATAAAAGATTCTAGAGGTGTCTCCATGCTTGGAAATATGGCAAGAGCGTAGAGCTCAGATAAACCGGACATGATTCTACTGAATGCAGGATAATTACTCGCGTGAGTGGAAAACTAATTTTCAATCAGTCGTGGATGTTCGATAAGTGGAAGTGGACTTGTTACTCACCTTCAGGCCTTGGGTTTGGTCTTCCAACAGCAGTGCATTGACGAAATTCAGCGTCGACGACACCATAAAATTGGCTGTTATTCTAGGAAAATGGCGCGAAGTCTCGAGTATGAGATCTGCAAAGGCATCCAGCGTACGATCCTCTTGTGGTTTACCACGCATGAGTCGTTCAAAGAACACAGCCATAGCAGTAGTGTCCTTCTGGTGAATGTCTTCGCAGTAAATTGCGCAGGCTGTATATAGGGCCATCCAGACTTGAACAGAGGTGTCTCTCAGGTGGGCGTAACTAGTAATGGCTATGGTCACCCCTGCTGGAATAAAAGGTTTCAGTGGGTCAGAGCCTTCCACAGTGTACCCTCGTTTGGCTGCTTCATTGTAGCATAATTCCAGAAACGGTAGATCCATAGGCACTTTTCGATATGGAATCGAGCACCTCGAGAGGAAAGACCGTATAGCGGAGGAAATATCTTCTTTCTATTCGCAGGAGGACCTAACTTGAGTATCGAAGGAAATGCGCCATGTGAATAAGTCCAGTACTTACTGCGGCGTTCATCCCTTGAATTTCACTTGGCTGGGTAGACATGTTCAATTTTTTTCTGACTTGCTAGGAGACATTGTGTCGGGCTTATAAGGAGCCAGCTACCCTATCGTGGGTTCCTTGAAGGACGGTAAAGATATTACTATCAGCCTGAGACTCGGAGATACTTTTTGTCAAGTCAAATCCTACGGGATAGAATAGGATAGAATACGGGTTTTAGATATACTATGTTAAACCTCTATCGGGAACAACCTCATATACAATTCAAGAGTGCACTAATCAATAGACATGCTCTTATTCATAGGTCTGTCTCTTTTTTGGACGGTTTATGGGACTTCACAATGTCAGGATTGTCTCCCTCCAGCCGCTGGTACTGGAAGACATAACGTCGAGCTTCCTGTCCTTCTCCGCGAGGAAAGGAAAGGAAATTTTCTACACGCGGGAACGGAAATGCATGGACATACGGGTGCTTGCGTAAGACACCTCCTTCCATTGTATTTGTAACGGGTATGTAGGAAACTACATAGATAATGGATAAGTTGATGCAGACGACATTTATCCAGTCTGAGTATATGTCATAGTCCTTTGACACCAGCACATGCCACACGTGCACTGTGCCAAACACTGAAACAGTTTTTGTTCTCCACTGGGATCTTCGAATTCTATGAGAAAGCCTGCATAGCAAAGCCTCCGAGTCTATAGTCAAGCTGTTCCCTTTAAGGCCGCACTCTAGGAATAGAAGTCGATCCAGTAATGGTGGCAATGGACCCAGGAAGAATAACATTCCCACTGTCCAGTGTTTCCGATTTTCTCGTCGAATCGGTTCATTGATATCGAGGTATCCAAAAGTATTCAGATATTCAGATATTCAAGGGTAAAGATTCAATGTCAACTGAGACCATCTGGAAGAGAGGAAGATAGCATTTCGCATCTTCCAGTCTGGTTTAGTCTGCATTGGACAACTGTCCCGGTGGAGGGTCGAGTGGGTCTGCCGGACGCCTGAGCCAATAAAGTATAAGGTTCGACGATGATTGGGTTTTCCACATTGAAGGAAGTGCAAAGTGAGGATCAACAGCTCTAAGTATGGATGGTTGACTAAAGAGTTTCGCTAGGATTAGGCGCCGACCGCAGGTCACGTTTCTCTGAAGTTATATTCGTAACTCAATCGTAAGGGCTCTTGTTTGGTCTCAATTGCAATTGCACTTCTTCCAGCCTTCATTTGATACCAGAATCGCAGAATAGCGTCACTATTGGCACCGACAAACTCCGAGTGCAGGTCGTCTTCCAACATAAGTATTCGTTCAATGATAAGTAGGATTGTGCAAAATTTTCAAAGAACAACTTTCTGAACTAATCTGAATGACTCCTGATGTCCTTCGTTGTCTTTCTTAGATTGGACGAGATTGCACGTTACAAAATTAAAACTTATCTTGAGCTTTCTCATACTCAGATCCGACTATGGAGGAACACGAGCATGCATAAAGTTCATGGTGTTGCTCTCATCCGCGTCAGGAGGACGGTATTGAGGCCAAATCCCCGAACAGATTCACAGCCAATTTGTTTCTACAAAGATTGAGAGTTACGTTGACTCCCACTGCCAGATATCCGACTCGATCCACGGGATGAAGCATTTAGAACGACGTCAATAGATAGGTATTTAGAGGTATTCCAGCGCACCAAGCAGATTAGAACTGGCCCATGCAGGAAGCGAAGAGAATTTCAGGCATCCGGAGAAAATTTATGCGTGTCTACTATGCTACAGGTTGAACCTCAAGAGACCTCAAGAGGAGCCTGACTGCGGAGCTAGAAGGCGAAGTTTTCAATAAGAGTAGCGCAACTACGAATTTCTTTTAGACCCTGTCAAGCTTAGCGGAGTTATTTTCGCTATCAAGTCGGGATTCCGAGGTCTCAAACACCTGGTATGTAGTCAATATACATTTAAATTTGCCTGACTCTAATGCCTCAGCCGTATTCGCCTGCTATGTCAAGCGCAATACCTCACCCTCCAGGATATCCTTTTCCCGGAAACATCCTTTCGCTCGATGGTCATTTAAAGTTATATACATCTATAAGGAATGCTTACTTCATTCACAGAAGTCCCTACTCACGGATATCACGGACTGGCTCAAAAATATGCCTCAATATACCAGCTCAACCTCCTTGGTCGGAAGGTCATTTTCGTCAGTTCATACACTCTCGTGAATGAGCTGTCCGACGACTCTAGGTTTCAGAAGTCAGTTGGTGAGATCAGTTAGTTAAAGACCTTGAATTTGACCAATCCTAGTTTGCTGACACCGAACAGGCGGCGCACTGAAAGAGACAAGAAATCTGATTCACGATGGAATATTCACGGTAAGTCAATGTATTTTCTCCAGAATAGGATTGCTGCCACCCCTGTCATGGTACAGGCTTTTGATGGAGAATCAAGTTGGATCACTGCGCGTAGGTTGATCGGTCATTACAGTTCTATGTTGCTTAGCGGTCATTTTGTATAGATCGTTTGCTCATCCCTATTTTCGGTACATACTTCACGTTCTCCAGTGCTCAAGTACTTAACAACACAATATGGCAGGTGTAATGCGTGTGCGGGATATGCTAGAGGTCAGTGCTACCCACCTGATCTTTACCTTGCCCACCATTTGCTCGTACAGGACATGAGGGAAATATGCGACCAGATGATATGCAAATGGGATGGCCCGGGTGCGTCGTTTTAGGAGTCACCCAACGCGTCGTAGCCTGTAGGCTCAACAATACTGCGCAGTATGCCCACGGAATCCATTATCGATCCGAACGATGACCTCACTCGAGTCGCGTTAGATACTATAGCTCTATGCTCCATGTCATACAGGTAAATCTGCCTCTTGTAATAATCTCAAGCCATTAACTTCAAAAATACTTGTGTACCTAGGCTGGATTCATTCGCAAGTGTGAGTTCATCAAGATCAGCCTCGTCAAATTCAGGCAGAAGGTACTAATCCTCAACGTTAAGACTCGCAGCCACCATTTGTACAAACAATGGTAGACTTCCTTCGTGAATGTAACGACAGGGCAAACCGCCCTTGGATAATCCAAATGTTTATTAACATTACAGATGGAAAGCATCAACCAGACGTCGAGAAGATGAGTAAGATAGCTCATTCTAGTACGTCTATCTTCTAGCTACATAAAGCTATACTCTTCAAACCAAAGCTTCCCGGTTCTTCAGTATCGCAAAGTCAATCCAATTGATAGAAAAGACATGTTGAATGTTATGCTTAACGGCCGAGATCCTAGGACAGGAGCGCGAATGTCCGACAATAGTATCATTGATAATGTAGGTCACCCTCTATCAAATCTGTTGAGCGCCCTTCGAATTGATTCGTACCTCGGAAGCTCTTGACATTTCTCATCGCCGGTAAGCGGGCGCCAACTTGAATTTCGATATAACTAGCTTTGACTTCCGAATTTGGTTGTATGTCACGAAACTACTTCAGGTTCTGACCGACCAAGCTCCCAAGTTTAGTCTTAGCTGAAGTTCCTGCATCAGGAACGATGTCGTTCGCCTTGTCAAACACCCTCTGGTCATGAAGACGCACAGTATCTTAGGCGATCAACCTGCCCAACTCGGTGATTTAACGCGGATGGAGTATTTGCACGGTATGTATTTCCGCATGCGCTTCTTCGAGTCTTTTAATGGTCATATCTATGCAGCAGTCATCCGGGAAAGTAAGCGTCTGCAACCCACGGCGGCAATTCGAGCCGTTTACCCTCTCAAAAACACGGTGATTGGGGATGGAAAATATTTCATCGTGAAGGATACACCTATCGCACTCCAGATATGGGATCTTCATCGAGATGTCTCGGTATTGGGCTTGGACGTACGCGAACTTTGTTTTGTCGAATCCTTGACTCTGATTCGAGCAGGCAGAAGAATTCAAACCCGAGCGGATGCTTAAGGGAAACTTTGAATCGTTGCCGGTAAGCATGATGCCTCTCTACAGCAATGTACTCAGATCTAATGTTCTTCTCCCTGTACAGCCCAATGCATGGCAACCTGTATGAAATTTCAGTAAGCATCTGACTGATAGATGTACTATAGATTTGTATTTTAGTTTGGATTCGGCATGAGAAGCTGCATAGGGAGAGCATTTGCATGGCAAGAAGTTAGAATCTCATATCAAGAAGTTAGAATCTCATATCAACGAAACCTTCTCCTAACTGATACAACGCAGATGTGCATCGTCCTGTCCTCCATTGTACAACGATTCGACCTAGCATTGGCCAACCCCTTGTATGAATTGCAGATTACACAAGCCATCACAATTAAGCCGAAAGGATTCCGCGGAGGAGTTCGAAGTAAGCCTGTGAAGCTTCGAGTGGTATCGAGTGGTATTGACAATAGAAACAGTAGGTGGAACAGCCAACTTCCAGTTCTCTCAGCCTCCATTCGTGAATCTGTCGTCTCGATAGCACGTCTTCGCCCTGATCATGCGACCAAACTCACGTTATCAAGAACCTGGGTGCACTGTGGTAAAAAGCACACAGACGTTACTGCCTGATTCCGTGTAGGTGAGAAGATTTGTTCAAACTTCAAAGAGATCAAAACTGAAGGGGAGGTTACCTGGTCAGGAAGTACAGGAGGAAATGTTTCTCTAGTTCATCTGGCTAATTTGTACGTGAAATTGGCCCAGGAAAGATATTTGACGCTGCCAGCGATGTTAAGGAAGAGGTGGGTGCGTTCTAGGAAGAACTCTCATTCATAGCAGGCCTGGAAGGAAACTACGAGTATATACGAAGCCAACAGGATTCATTCTGATCCATGATCAATGCGTTTGAAACCGCGCGGCTTTGGGTATTACATGCCTTGTACGAGCGAATGTCGACCAATCTTGAAGATTTGGGTTAACAGATGGACTAGAAGAGTGTCCTAGTACGCTGTGTATCTCGCCACCGTTGTAGGGTTTCTAGATTTGTCGTAGTGGTACACTCTCAGTATGTTTTGTAGATAAACGAATGGTATAAGCAGTATGTGCGGAAAGATCCTCATTAGGCGACGAATAGCAAAGCCACAGGTTTCAACAAAGCCCTCAAGTCAATGTTGGAGTGAAACATAGCGAACTCTCTAATTTCGGACAAGTGACCTGGGGTGGACTTTGCGGAAGGCTACTCCCGTAATACTCCTCAATCACCTTATCTCTCGCTGATACTTGTCGTTGGTTAATGGCCTGACGAGAAACAATAGGCTTCTTGGCTGGACTGTTACTGCGACCGCGAGATCCTCGAACGGGAAAGGCAGTATAAGAATCAGACGAGCGAGTTAAGACATGGGAATTAGATCGTCCTCGAGACTTGGGCTTGGAGGAAGTGACACGATCTTCTGGTTCATTATTACCCCAGAAAAAGCTGCCGCCGGTTTGACTTTTGTCGGAGATAGATACTGCGGGCGTAGGTAAAGGCGAGCCTTCTATCATACGAAAGCCAGTTTGTGCTGTACGGGTGCTGTTTTGGGTTCTTGCAGTAGCAGTCCTGCTAAGGATGTTTTTCTTCAGATCCCGAGGTTCCCCAACAGGCGTTCCTGCAATATCCAAGTGGGAATCAGAGTCGGTCCGAGTATGATTCGGCCGACGACGAGAAAGAGAGATCACGCGAGTAGAGCTGGAACTGTTTGGTGTAGCAACGGCGGATTTGTCGCCTGTATGAGGAGTACGAGGGTCAAACTCGTCCAGAAATGACATGCTATCGGTTATGTCCTCATCGAAAGTTTCATCTTCGTCTCCGACTTGGGAGTAAACCGACACGGATGTCGCTGTTTTACTAGTGACCGCTCTAGAGAGTCCTTGTTGATGTTTAATACGACCGAGAGTCTTTGCGCGAGATCTCTTTGATGGCAATTTTGGTGGCGAGAGATAGTCACGTTGAGGTTCTTCATCCTTTACACCATCAGCGTCAAGCGAGCGCCAACTGAACATCGCTGACTGAGAAGCCACAACATTCTTCTCATGACTATCGCCAGAATCTTCCAGAAGATTGTTTCTTTCTGACATACTAGACCAATACGCGGGTCCAACCTCCAGCTCGCTGCGCCTCGGTCTTCGTCCGGTCTTTTTTCTACCAATAGCGACATCTTCATCGAAGTCACGTATACGAGGTTTGCGAGTGATACATCCCCAGCCGATCCAGGCTACCACACTTCCCAGGATAATGCCGAGAACGACGAAGACGGGAACAAGATACACTTCCGATTTCGAGTTATTTGAACTCTGACTCTGGTTCTGGTTTTGGGAGTTTTTCGGATACGTAGTGAAAGTCGAAGCAGCGATTTGTGAAGACATTGCAGCGTTGATAGAGATTATGGATTGCGAAGCTGAGGTGGTCAAAGTAGAGGTAGAGATTGAAACGCTTGTGGATGATGTAGAGTCGGCGAAAGAGTCCGTTGAACTTGAAAATGCATCGGAAGACAGTGATGAAAGAATCGCAACAGGGAGAGGATCGGCCAAAGTCGAAGAAATGATGGGGCTGGGACTGGGAGAATTGGTAGTGGTAGACACACCGCCAGGAGGATAAGGCCACCAGTAGTCGTAGCTGCTGCTGCTTGTGGTGACAGACTGAGTAACACCATATAGAGGGGAGACCAGAGAAGTTTGGGCCGCTACTTGTCGATAGTTAATATTGTATTGTGAATGCGGAGGCTTGTTATTTTCATGGTCTGGTTCTACTCGTTCGTATAAAGTCGGCGGGCGAGGCATTCTATGTAAAGAGCGAGTGTAAAGAATGGATGGATTAGCAATGGACTAGATAAGAAAGAATGTTAGATGTTGGTGGTTGTGGTTCAAGTCAGTAGATGTTGGTGGTTGTGGTTCAAGTCAGTGCCCCACGGTAAGCGCTCAGACAAAGCAGTAGTGCCATATTCAAGTAGGTTTTTGACAATTCACTCGGCATTCAAATTTTTCATTATCCTGTATAGAGATGGCTTTTGGGCACCAAGTGTAGATAGGTGTAGCTATAATATATTTACAGTGCCTGTACGTATAACTACTTCATGGTTGGCATGTTGAGAGAAGCACCCTCGCCAGCAACGATAGCATCATCTGAGCGCCAAAGACTCGTAGTAGTCTGGGAATAATCAACGTTAGTAATTACGAAATGAGAACAAGAAGACTACTAACCTTGGTCTGTGTATAGAAGTTGATTCCCCTGCCAGGATACACGCCTTGAATACAGATAAAGGACGGGAAGATTTTCAGTACGCACCCCTTTCCATAGAAATTGATGTCTCCCAGAAAACTGGCCTGCAGAACGTTCGTCAGCGACGAGAAAGAAAGTGCAATCTGCGTGTAAAGTGCTCGCCTTGTTGCCAGTCCAGGAAAAGAAGGGCAAAGGCACCTTTTCGGGATATATGAGCATATGGACTTTTGGGCAGATGAGAAGGGAAACCGTACCGGGATGGGAACGTTGATACCAATCTGTCCTGCTTCAATCTCCGTCTCGAATTTCCTTGCAATGGGTCCCGACTGCGTGAAGATAGCTGATCCATTACCATACGGGTTGTCATTAACTAAGGAAATAGCCTCATCCAGCGTGCTCGCTTTCATTACAACAAGCACAGGACCAAAGATTTCCTCCCTTGCCGGAGTAGAGAAAAGAGCTTAGTGATTTGCGTATACCATAGTAGAACATCAACGCTTACTTGTAACAGGTCATACTTGTAGTGGCTTCAATGATAGTGGCACCAACGAAGTTCCCATTGGGATAGTCGGGAACCTGAATTCCCCGGCCATCGAGAAGGATTTTTCCGCCTTCCTTTTCTGCCGATGCGATAAGACCTTCGATACGGACTTTGGCGGCAGGAGTCGTTACAGGACCACTATAATGTCAAGTTAATTCAGACCAGCATAAGGAATGAGGCACACATACAAATCAGTACCCTTCTCGAACCCTTGACTCACTTTAAGTTTACTTGCACGCTCGATAAGATCGGGTAAGAACTTTTGGGCAGTTCCAACCAAGATAGCTTGACATTTGGAATTCTTCGTCAGTCCAATGGGGAATGTCATTCACAAAGGCCGAAGTTTACCAACAGATATAGCCATGCAGCGCTGACCGGCAGCTAAGTAAGTCAATCGTTCAGTATCAAAATGTGAAAGCGTTAGAGTATCTGTGCTTACCGCCGCAGGCAGCACCAAGAAGAGCGTTCAGAGCCTGATCTTTGTTGGCTATGGTTCAGGTAAAACGCGAGTTAGTACACGCTTTTCTAGGCAATGTTATGCGCTAACCATCTGGCATGATCACCGCGTGATTTTTAGCACCCATGTTCGCCTTCCTTCCATAGTCATGTTACTGCTCAAAGGATTCTGATACGTCAAGCTTACCTGGACACGCTTTCCGTTTTTTGTACCCCTGAACGAGGAATTAGTATGATGCCGTGTATAGTAGTGCTTTCTTGTGAATTCTTGTGAAACACATACAAATCATAGATATGCTGTCCAGCTCTATTTCCACCAACAAAGCTAATGGCTTTGATTTTTGGATGATTGCAGATGGCATTGACTGTAGGAACGGTCCCGTGAACAATGTTCAAAACACCTTTTGGTAGGCCTGCAGCGTATTATTGAATTTTCGTCCAAATTGAATATGAATGGTTCTTTACCCGCTTTTTGACAGAGTTCTGCAATCATCAAAGCTGCGCCAGGATCGCGCTCTGACGGCTTGAGTACAAGAGTGTTACCGGTAACGATGGCCATCGGAATGGTCCAAAGGGGGATCATCCTTCACCTTCATTATGAACGAATGAAAGTAAAATCAAGAACTAGTAAATCTTACGCTGGGAAGTTGAACGGTGCTATGCTGATTGTCGGGTAAATAGAACAGTAGCTTGATAATGGGCGTGAACGTACCTAGCGCAAACACCCAGGGGAACTTTTCTCGTTTCAGTATCCATGTCTTTGCTAACTTCCAGTTTCTCTCCCATCAAAAGGGTAGGGATGGAACACGCCGTCTCAACCACTTGAAGTCCTCGAAGCACGTCACCCTGTGCATCTGAGTATCTTTAAGCTGACACAGTTCAACATTAAGAATCCTTGACAGACCTCCGAATGTTTTTCCTTGTTCAAGCACGATTGCATTCGCAAGGTTATCCATGTTTTGTCTGATGAGGGCCTGCAATCTGTACAATCATCGTATCTCATCGATTGCCACTTTTCTTGTAATCTTACTCTAGGGCAAAACGTTGACGCTTCAGTACGCTCGTTTTTCTCCAGCTTTGAAAAGCCTTTGAAGCCGCCTCGACCGCGCTTTCAAATTCTTCCTGTGTAGTTTCAGGAACTTTCGACAACAACGTTTGCGTGGACTGGACGGAAAGTTCTAAGTAACTACCAAAGGGTAGAACATGTATAGACAACTCACCGGATCCAGGACTTCGATCCATTTGTCCGTCATGCTTTCTCTGAATTCTCCATCGATGAAGTTTTTAGCCGTCCCACCCAAAAAATTCGTGCCCTTCCATTGTGATGAAAGCTGTTCAGCCCGTTCGAGTGACAAAGAGCTGAGTCCCGGCATAATATAGATTTTCGATGGTAAACAGATTGAGGATGAAGGCAGAAAGGAGTTGAGAGGGTGTACTTCCACCCACCTTGATAAACGCGGATCTCGGAATCCCGCTTCCGAACTTTCGGTCTTTCCGATAACCAATCCTAGTTGAGAAAATGGACTGGGTGCGAATTGGCGAGAGAAATGGACTCATGGTCAAGTGAACACAGAGATGGATTAGGGAAAAACCGTGTGCACTGACCTTTGTGCACTAAATAACTCAGCCCGTCAAATTACTGTAATGGGCTCTTCGCAAGTACTAAGAAATAATTTCTGCAGCTAGAGTTTTTGCAATAATTGGCAACGAGTCTATGCAGATGCATCGATCATCGATCAAGTTGAAGATCACGGATGAGCGCTAACATGCGGTTGTGAATTAGTTTTCTAGCCGAAGAGAGCCGAACTCCGAAGAATTTTTACGTCGCTGGAAATGCACCCATCTACTCGACAATGCTGCCGCCCTAATAGACCCACTTTGCTTGAACTGCTTGGACCTGTTTGGAGGAGGTTTAGAATACAGAACGTTCACCGACCCTCGCTATGTAACTTGAATGCTCTTCAAACTTCGACACGTTTTTCCGGTCCGGAACAAGTCAGGCTAAGTCAGGCTTGTTCTTTGCAAACCTGTCTAAGCCTTGCTCTGACTTAAATCTCATCCCTCAAGGCCCTCAAGGCAGAAGGATTCTAGCCTCATCTCGGGTTGAGGTTTTCGACGACTTTTGCAAGTCCGACAAAATTAACTACGGTGGAAATGAAAAAGGTCGTAGGTGTGGTTGCAATTGCTCTAAGGTATACACGTCCGCGCTGCCCCAGATGAGATACATCTCATATCTCACACTTGGAGGCTATCGATCGTCCCGCACCCCTTGTCGTGTTCTTCTTACTCAACTTTCAGACGAGCTACAGTGGGTATTTTCATTCTATACTGCTGGCCTCCGCAAGTCACTTAAAGGGCTGGTACATGCATATGTATCACTAATCCTCTGTCGCGGCTCGCTGGTTCGCAATCTACTCGCTTAGGATCCGGTGACGAATGGGGTAAGCTCATTTGTGACCCGAAAAGACCAACCCGACCTACATAGGACCATCTAAAACTGTGATAATTGTCCTACATAGTAAGCATTTGATCATTACCCAATGCTCCGAATTCCGAAGCTTTTCATTCCAGGTTCATCTGGGAAGGCCGGAACAACCACTGGGCGTTCGGATGTGCATTGAAACTCGAGGGTGTATAGGCTATCCTTTTGCCATAGGCTGACAAGGAATCCTTCCAGTTGCTGTAGTAAGAAATCCTCACAGTTGCTGTAGTCACTACTGGACGCAACATCAACGTCAAAATTTGCTGTGTAATTACTCTCGGAGCGACATCTTGTCAAGTTGCACGCTCCGCTCTGCTCTCAAAACTCCGAGCAGTAAATTCGAGAGACGCCATAATATATTCGTAGGTCTATTTATTTATATTCACTGATGCAGTTGTAGGCATTCGCCATTCATGCACCGCAACAGCTCATCCCGCCCCTTCATATATCGGTCTAAACGCAGTGCGAATTTTGAATGACAATCAACATGTACACAATCGACTATCCTTAGCCATCAACCTTATCCTCTGTCCCTCATAATTCATCTGCGATCCAAAGTGAGTAGCATTGTCAATTGATCCTGTGTAACTTATTTCAATCAGCGGACGATTGGTTTGATAAAATTCGCCATGTAGAAGTGGCTCCTGTTCCGGCATATGCGAAACCCCGCAAGGATAGAGACCAGGGATACGCCGCTGTCTGGCACCCACTGTGAATCGATCTCTAAATCATTACCTCAAACTTAGTTCGTCTCAATCGTGTCTTCTTTCAGGATATACTGTAGGAATGATCCAAACCTTCGGAATTGTCCTATCAGGGGTAGTGCCTCAAAAAAACCGTATATAAGACCTAGTTTTTTTTTCGTAACTCTTCAAGAGCCCAATGTCTTTGCTTCTCAAGCTTCCTCTTTTGGTATCCGAAGCAGTATGTATGCGAGTCTCTGGTACACCTCCAAATCCTCCAACGATCTCTGGTTTTATGGTTGTCCCTGATTGGAGAGAGCATTTTCTCAGAAGCCTTGCATATCCTTCAAAATTCCTTCGCGTCAGTGTCTTCCTCTCAATATATAGTGGTCAAACTCATATAAACGAAAGACGACATCGTGGCTCGCACAATTTGTAGAATTCATCGTTATCATCGCCTATCACAACCCCGCAGGACCAATATCTCATCTCGTCCTCAAGAGCTTGGTCGATGAACCCTCTTGTGTCGAGGGCATTCATGTAACTCCTCTGTACTTAGTGGGGAATATACTCAACCTCACTGGGACGATTCTCCGTGTTCAGTGTTATCGTACACTGGGTCAACTCTTCGTATTCGAACTCCGCATCCAAAAGGATCATCGGCTTATTACGGAGGGTCCATACGCATACGTACGACACCCCAGCTACACTGGCCTCATTCTAACAATCATAGGTACATTTCTGAGCCATGCGTCAGGCTCGTGGATCTCACAATGTGCACCTTTACAAAATGCCTCCATGCAAGCTCTTGTTGGGCTTTGGATGATAGTCGCAATCGCAGTGGTCATCAGTCTGCTGCTTCGCGTCAGCAGAGAGGACACTATGCTGGAAAAGGCTTTCGGCGATAATTGGACAAAATGGTCAGAGAAAGTTCCATATCAACTAATTCCGGGGATTTATTGAAAGGTATGTATCTTTCTTGAAATAAGTAAGGCGTTTCATACTCAAAGGGCCTGGCTCAGGGATGTGCACGGGGCGTTGAACGCGACCTCGTCCGAGTTGGGCTCTTTCATTACTCTAGAATGAACGTGTCTGGCTTAATAATGATTAAACGAACCCACACAGAGGTCAAGGTGCTCAATTCGACCAATTGCGCACCTTTTTGGAGCTGCTTTATTACTCAAGGAACTTCGGAACTTCTTCAATCCCCCTGCGTTACCCGTAATCTCATTGACTTTCAGTATGGATGTTTGACGCGTGACTTCTTTTATCTCGACGCATCTCAGAATACAGAAATCCTTATGGAAATTGCGAAACAGCGATTGTTGAGCCGAGACGGTACACTGTGAACGATGTGCTATGTTCTTCCATTCAAGAAGATTGCATCCGACTGTGATTGGCTAGTCGCCAGACAGGCTCACATCGACTGAGGGATCAGAACGATCGTCGGAGTGGTCAGAAGGCCAGACAATATTGGAAAAACAGTGTCGTGAGGAGATGGTCTTGCAAAGATATGCCAATACTCCTCAGAACGATCTTCTGCCACTTGCACATGTCTAGCCTTGGTTTCGTACATGCGCAACTAGAATTCAATATCTTGCTTTTATAATCCAGAGAAAAATCTAACATGCATTCGCGTCCGGCTCGGAGGGGGCCAAAAGGCCCCCTCCAATCCAAATGGGGTGCCCACTTCGAAGTGTTAGCTGAGTAGTCTGTGCTATCATACCTCTGTACAATATGTAGTTCAACCATAATGAATACTCGTACATACTATAGCTAGCCCCCTTGGAATACGACGGAAAGGGTCGCCCACCCGCTATAGGCCATACCCTGGCCATACCCAATACGGAGGCGGGGTCATCTAATCGGGATGTGGCTGTGACCTCGTGGGATTATGGGATTGACAACTCCTAACAACTCATCCGAGCCCATCATAGTGGCTTCAAGGAATAAATTTGCTTTCACGGTACACCCCTCTCCACAGATTGCTTCGTAACAGATTGTTACTACATATAAATATCAAACTCGCACATCCTCCCTTCGAGAAGAACGAACATGTTATCGTCGTGATTCCAGCCTCTACTAATGAAATTCAGGTTGCATTTTTCCCCGTTCATCATCAGATCTAAGTAATAGTCTGTAACAGACTAACAGTTGTTATCATTCCAAATCTGTGCCTTATTCCCAGTGCAGTATCGACGTTTTCTGTCTCTTGTGTCAAGGATTTTACCAATCAAATATTTGTAGATCCGTTGACGGTCTTACACTATTCTTCGCGTTGATCTACATTGATTCTTTTGGAGCCCGGAGTTGCCTGAGGTACCTACTGTTATCTAGCGTTAATCAGAAGGCAAAAAATTCCTTGGGGGCATTGCCCAGCTGAATGAAAGATCTTGGCCTTGGCTCAAGTTGGCTCAGCGCTTGGTCTTCAACTTAAAGTGTATATGTACCGTACAGGTTGAGGTCTGGAGGCTTAGGTCCATTTGAACTCCGTGATTAACGGGACATGGAGCCATGTGTCCTTCCTCAACACTAGTAATGACCAACATGGAGAGACAAAAATTTGTCACAGGATCCTAACAATTCAGGTTAACAGATACATCATGTGACGCAAGATAAGCTATATTAAGCATATCACGGGTCACATGATATATCAGTTGCACAGCGCTGAATTTTTTATACTGTATATTCCGTCGCGCGGTTTCCGGTGCGTGATCATAGGAGTTTGGGCAGTCGTAAAAGGGCGAGTGTGGGTCCTGTGGGATCGGTGGGATTAAATCCACGGACCACGGGAAGATTGCAGGATTGAGTTACTTATCGGGGAGCGGGAACGGGAAGAAGAAGTGATTGCTTTGCGAAAAGCTTTTCACATGCAGCTATTTCTTACTGTTTGTTTTCCAGTATATTTTTGAACCCAGGCTCTTCCTGAGCTCAAAACACTTTTGGCAGTTCCCTTTTTCGGGGAAAATGTATTGGATAGACAAGCAAAGACAAACAGGTGGCGAAGCACTGTATGATGCGCCATCAATCATTCCGCGTTTTGAAATTTGTAATGACGATCTTCCGGCATCGCCACTGACGCCTATCAAATGTTTGTTCCTCATGTTCAGTTACAGCTTACCCCCTCCTGTTGCCTGTGTTCTTGACTTGAACTCGAACCAGATTCAACTTCACATTGATACCCGTATCCCATCCTGAGCTTCACACAGCGAGCTATATCCTGCGGTTGCTTCGGAGAAAAAAACAACGTAAATTATATCAAACATGCTCACTTTCAATTTCATTCTGAAGTTTTTTCAATTTCGCAGCTAATTTCAATGGTTCGCGGCCGAAAGAAAGACATGACTATTCCTGTTTCAAGAACGATTGCCCTTCAACGAGATTATCGCGAACGAAAGGCAAAATATGTATCTGACCTCGAAGACAAGTGCAAATCACTAGAGGAACAGAATGCTCGATTGAATCAAGAAATAACAGAGCTTCGAGAAATGTTGAGTGAAAGGGAGCAACGTAATCCTGGGCCTGACTTGGAGCTGTTGGAATGCGGAATAGAGGTGACGAAGGTACGACGATGAGTCCTGTTTTGTTCCGAAGTCATTAAGAACACCGTTTACATTAATGATCATTAGAAGGAAGCTTTCGGAGATGTTATCAAAACGCTCTCTGCTGCAATGAACTCCATCCAGAATTTCACGCACCTAGCCAAAGGCCAACGCAACTCACACACATCTTCATCCACGCCTGCAGCTTCTGTAGCATCTTCATCGTCGCTATCATCTGGCGCTTCCTCATCCTCCGACCCTTTTTCTGCATATCAAATGCCAGTTCCCACGAGATGTCCATCATCTGTTGTTGAAAGTCCAAGCTTCTCTTCTTCCGTTGTCGGGTATGCTTCAAACCACCGAAATGCAACACCTTCACCTTCACCTAGTTTCGCCGACACTACCGTTTCACAATCAAACTACCAGAATACCGGTAATTCATATAGCGCATCAGACTACTGGAACGAGAGTTCTTCGCGTTCTATGGGTTACTTTGACTCTGATAAACCACACGTACGCCTCAGCCACCATTCCGAGCTCACACCGCATCAGGGTAGGTCGACCAGCAACTTGGCAATTGAGGACGCCGCACAAGCTCTTTCGAATTCATCGTCCGATGTCCTTTCGAGTCAAACACCGTTTCGGCGTTCCTCGTCAGGATACACGACGCCGATGGGAGGTGATAACTTCAGTGGGTATGCTGATAATATGCCTGCTGGACAGTCGTCGCATCTGCGTTCGACTGTGTATGAGAGCCGTTATGGGATGGCAATCAGAAACTCATCAGGAGGACACTACACACAGACGTCTGGATGAATCCTTGAAGTCCGAAATGTACGTTCTGGAGAGATTCTCCTTCTGTTCCTAAAGGCTGTCTCGTAGATTGGGTGGATACTTACCGGGATTTTCATCACATTTTCAGATCAAACTGGGATGTGTGATGGACCATCGTCTATGAGCACCCCATGGTCAGGTAAATCACTGTGATGAGGGAATCGGGTAACAGAGATCGCAGAGTCGGCCAAAAGGGATGTGTAGAGCAGCATCCTGAAAACTTTTGTTCATACCATTGCCGACCTTTCTTGAATACAAGCTTTGTATATAATGTCTATTAGTATTAGCACTCACTAACTGTATCCATTGACCTTGGAGCCTCCTTTTGTTGATTATTATTGTATAACTTGTGTAAGCTCAAGATTCTTTCTTGAGGTGGATGGACTAGTCGCCTCTGCTAGCACTTGCGCACCGTATGATGGGAGCAGGATGTTTTTTCAGCCCTAGTACTTTTGCCTGCTGAGAACGGTTGTTCTTGTACTTCCAGTGATAAATCACAATTTAAATTCAAATTTTACTTTTTGACGTTGCAAATTACTCACCTCGTTGTTTCCTACCATCGTCATGACCGACCTGACTGTGCTTTCCTCTTCTCCTCTTCATCTGTATCCTCTAGTTAGCGCCTCTCGCTCATCTTTCTTCAATAACTATGTCCCAAGTTCCAGCTCAAGCCAAGTAAGCCTCGTAACGCCCGATGTACCAAAGAAGTCAGAACGGCCAGCTCGATTGGATATTGTGCCGAAAGCTCGCAGACAAGAATCCGACACTAAGGATGGTCGACGAATACAGAGCCCTGATGAGGAAGAGGAAGAAATTGAATCGCCCGACTCATACGTAGGACCACAAACTGCTGGCTGGAACCGTAGCGGTCATAACTGGCAACTAGATCCGGCTTCTCCTTCCTCCACATCGCCGAAACTGGCCCCATCTCATCTAAATCGAGGACGGACAAAACTACAGCAGCATCGGCCTGCCAGATCACGAAGTGCTCCTCCCATCCAAACGACATTTTCAGAGCCGCTGTCAAAACCTTTTACTGCCGCCCCTGACACGACTACATTCGACCTTCATAAGCTACGGCGTTATACCAGTGGCTCCACATATACATCTGGGACCGAGTCTGGCTCTTCTTCGCCATCGAATTCATTTTCTAGTCCTCCTTCATACGGTTATGGCTACGGAAAGTCGAAGGGCGGAGACTTATTACGCCCTCCACCGCCTTTACGTGCGTTTCAAATCCCTTCTTCTGAACTCTTTCTAATGATCCAGCATACGGTATAGACCGACCAACTACCTTTTGGCGGCGCACACCGCGTTCGGGAGTCACCGCCTCTTCTTATTCACCATCCTCACATCTGATACGACGATCTACTTTCGTCGCAGCAGGACTACCATTCGAAAGCCCCATGGCTGATATCAGTGCACTGGGAGTTGAAAGCCGGATTAAGGCTCAATTTAACGAGGATAATGCTCGGGCAAAGGTCAGCGAGGTATTCTGGGAAGTCGTCGTGCAGCGGTGATCATGGCACGCTTGTGCGACTTGCCTATTTCATAGGTAAGGTCCCAGTCCTATTGCAATTGTGCAAAATCTCAATCCAGTCTAGACTTGCAGAAGTCGAACCTACACCACCATCATTTGCCACCTACCGTTCCTTTAAACTCATCATTTCTTTCATCACCACAATATGTGGACTCGTGCTGATATAGTTATCTTGAGCTCCTTTGCTTCGCCCTTCCACGCATGAGCACATCACAACCTTCCTGAGCGTGCGGATGTGTGTCCCGGGTAGCGAAGAGCCGGAGACAACATCTGCACTCGGGCACGATATGGATGGAAATTGGACTATACCCTCTAGCCTAGTGGCATTAATTATCTTCTTGATACCAACATGATACCTTGTCTGCGCTATGCATGTCAATACGTACCATTACGAACATTTCTGTGTATGTCGTTTTACTCTAATGCGTCTGGCTGACGTCGGGTGGTTGTCAGCCAGGTGTGAAATATACTTGCACCTCATACATTGTTCCCTTTCCTTTGCCCTGCATGACAATACTTCCATTTGCAGTCCATACAGTGAGTGATCCCCTACCCCATTCCCCTTTCATTCCTTTAGCATCTAACATTCTCAATGAAATCAGGTTGTGGTGAAAAGATGGCGTATATCGGCATCTTCTCCTTATCCTCGAAGTACATTTATCTGATTCGACATAGTAATATAGCATACAATGCAGGAAGAAAGAAACCGCAGACTTCCTGTCCATCGAGCTATTGATTTAGATAGGAATCGGATTCATAGTCGGGAACAGGTCAGAAGCATCAGAAATTATGTATGCCATTGTAGTGTATATAGTGGGCGATGTGTGGCAACACGATGATGGGCACACAAGGTGCACACATTACATCCACATTGTGTAAATGTCGGTTCCAATCTCAATGGATACAGTCGAGTCTAGCCCGAGTCTTTGAAGGAGAAGAATTTGTTGGAGAGTTATGTACACGTTTGCACGAAGATGGTCCTCCATTCATAGCGTGAAAATTTCAGCTTACCGCTGAAATGCTTCTGGAAGAGAAGGTGCGTAGTACTGTTTCCTTGTATCTCTCTGTGAAAAAAATGTTGAAAGCTACCATTGTACATCGATAAAAGTAATTGACAATCATGTGCTTTCTTTGACCGGATAACAACTTGAAATCTCTAGCAACCTCATAGAGGGGACTGGGTTAGGCCTACTGAGAAACTTGAAGCTGGCGTGGATCGTATATCGGACAGGGGGCCTGACTCCGACTATCCATCTAGTTCAAGAAGGTGGATAATACGGTGATGAGGCCCGAATTGGTTCATCATGCACCTTGGTAGCATTCAACTGGCATCGAATCAAGCACTTCGAAGTGATGTTGTGGACTTGGGCTGTCTTGTAGAAATGAACTTGACTGCATGAGTAAGAGCCCCATGGTCTGGGATTTAACCGGGAAGTTGAATTCTTCGGATCCGGAGATTGGCTGGCTAAGTAGAAGAGTGAGCGAGAAGAGGCTTTTTGTACATGTGGTGGAGAAAGTATGGATACCTAAGGAGCCGCTCAGCCTGAAACTCGTCCATCACTAAGTGAAACTTGAATATTAGAATATTGAATTCCCCGAAAGGCAGATCCAGGAAGACTTCCGAAACAATCTACGCAATTCCCATCTGTAGTCGAATCTTCCCTTCTTCATGATACGATAATCATGAATAAACTAGCAGGACCTCGTGACATTCACATGCAGAGAATAAAAGGAGAGCATGAAATTTAGCAATGTTTGACTATATACTGTATATAAATGCGTACGCGTACTGACCATGGGCTAGATCACAAAATATCCCGTCGAAAACTTGGATTATCACGATTAACGCCGCTCATCCGCTTGAATGAGTGCAACTGCTCTGTCCGACCTAGGCGAAATAGTGCATTTGAAGGAGCTGGGATGACTGAAGCAAGAATCAGTTGCTTTGGACTCTACGATTTGATAATTTCAACCTGCCTTATGGTACCGGTGCTTTGATCCATATCAGGCTCGATGACTACACCATTTTCCGAGTATTTGGAAATGTTGAAGACAGCAAGGGCCATAGCGCACGAGATAAATACTGAAGCATCAGCTAACACTCGCCCTACAAACCTTCGAATCAGTCCACGCCTGAGACAGTGATTATGGACATACCAGGACAAATGCTGATCAAAACTCGTGTTCAATATCATTCTGACATTCGAAAGGCAACTCTTACCGGCGCCCAAATCCAAAGCAGGCCTCTCTGGGGTCCATCTCAGGTTGTGGACCCATAAATCTCTCAGGAATGAAAGACATTGGGTCATGATAAACTTCCGGATCGTGGTTCATTTGCCTATTGAAATCAGTTCACATTCGATCGATATATACATGAATAGGGAGAAAAGCACACCAAAGATTCGAAAGCACCAAAGCACCTTTCGGAATGAAGTAACCATTGAACACGTTGTCTTCGGTGACTCGATGAGGTACGCCTTCAAAGAAGGTAAGTGAAACGTCAAGGACAAAATGGCAGAACCTACTTGTTGGAACCACGGAATGCCATCGTAAAGCCTCTAAAGTGACGGCTTGAATGTAGGGTAGGTGGTCTCTGTCTTCAAAACTAGGAAGACGATCAACCCCTACCACTGCGTCCAGCTCCGCTTGGGCTCTGACTTGCACCTCAGGGTACATGGCCATTGCCTTGAAGAAAGAATAGATAGCCGAAACCGTCTGCACAGATAAAGGAAAATGAGTATGAATCGATGATATTGAGAAGATACTGACAGTGTCAGCACCACCTTATCTCGCAATCAATACAGATGATCGTGACGGTAAGAATGACTATCAAACCCACATACCAGAATAGAGAGAAGCAGAAGACCACTTGATTTCGAATTCTTGTTCTGGACTTAAAGTCTGACCCTCCACGAGCTTTGAGACATAGGAAGGTTCGGCTGAGCCAGCAGCCTGAAGTTAAAAATCAGGATTCAGGTTATATACATCAGGAACATAAAACACTCACAATGTGTCTCTTAACATAGTCATAAGGGAGGTCGACCATTTCATTCAATGTCGCTGACCATTCTTTGGCAGTTTGTTTGAAAGAAGCGCCAGGGAACCAATCAGGAAGATACTGCACTAAAACAGTAGACTGATTGAGTAAGAGCCTGATATCATCTTTAAAAAAAGTCATACAGAAAGGCACAAGGTTTACGAGGAATCCGGGGGTCGTAGAAAGCGCAAACTGCTCTGTAGCCTGTATACAGGATGTTATCGTTATAATACATACGCCGTGAAAAAAGACTGACTTTATCAGCCAGTGTAACGAAGGGATCCTCTCCTTCGCCCACTTCATATCCATGTGAGATTCGAAGGATGATTGCACCGGCAGTTCTTTGAAAAGGAAATCAGTAATCGCGTTTAGGTTCGAAATAGTAAGGAGCGGAACTTTACTTGCGAATGTGGTCAGAAAATCCGGCAGGCCTGGAGAGCAATCGTTTGAGAAAACGATGGGTTTCTAATTCTTCAACTGGATGAAAAGATTTCATCGTAGCCGCGTTTCCGAAGAGCTGATGAGCGAGACGTCGATAGTTGCGAAAACGCTCCCCATAAGGAGTAAGCACTAGCGTATTCTTCCAACCACACAGCTCGCCTCCCATAGGTATCACCGGACGATCCGAGTATATCGCACTATTTTTATCCAACATTTCCTTCGCGATACTTGCAGAGTTCACGATGATAAGAGGTTGTCCGAGGACTGGAAAAAATACTTGAAAACTATGGACAGCTAGCACGACCGTCTAACACGAACCTGTCACCGAAGCCAGCTTTCCTGAAACACAAAAGTTAATCAGCACAAAGCAAATGCATGTAACGTGTTATAACATACCGTACGTCTCTCCCCACTTTGCGAAAGTCAACCATTCCCTCTCTGCGGGCACATCAAACAGATTCCCAATGAGAGGAAATCCTCGAGGTCCTGGGGGAAGAGACAAAGCTCTTTTTTCAAGAGTCATTAACCGATACACACAGTAAACGGCCACGGTGCCAACGACCACGTCGAGGTATTTGAGGTCCAACATGGAGGATATAATACCTCTTTTTCGAAAGATGATGGATGATTAGAAACGAGTTTTGAAAGAGTGTGATCCAGTTAGCTATAGGGTGTTTAGTGGGTGTTTAGTGGGTGTCTTTGAACACGGGATGTTCCACCTGGTTATATTCCAAACCTAGTTGGTGTTCTGTCAGCGGCAAATTCCTGGACCGTAGATACAAGACGTTTATGACCGCGGATTTTGGAAGGTTCCAAGTTGCAGGGCTGTTTTTTTTTCTGTTCGGACTAGACTATCTTGGAGACCTCTACAATTGATTCCGCCTGAGGATAACGTCCCTGATATAGCTACATATGTAAGTATGAGCTGGACGCGGCTGCTGAACGATGTGGCCTCTGAAGGAATTTACTACACAGGCATACAGTTCGATGAAACAGTGTTTAACCATAGGCAACTGATGCTGCGGGTAAAATTTTTGGCACGTAACGCATAATCCGTAACATAGCCCAGAGCTCAAATGAGCCATAGGCCCAAAAACTCGAAGCGGGGCTTCAACGCCGCACCGCGCGTTCCGATCGAATCCAACGGGCCTTTTCTTTCTGTTCCTCCCCAAGACATAAAATGAGAGAAGGCATATCCATATTGACTATGTATATACCATGAACATAACAAACATAACAAACAACTAATACAAGAAATATGCTACCAGTACGCAAGAACAAGTCATGGTAAACGTACCTGTAATTGGATTACATAATCAATCACAAATGACTTTGAGAACTTGAATTTGGGTCTTGATGACCAGGTCTTGTCGCTTGAAGCTTGAAATTCTTGCGGTTCATTAGAGCTTATTAGCAACGCACGGCAAAGTACTTTTCTTGGACGGAAAAATGCCAAGCTTTACTACGAAAAAATAACGTAAACCGGCATGTCACCTGCTCTCATCAATCTCATCTTTTGCATCTCCGTCTTCGTTCAACGTTCCTCTGCGTCTCCACTGGTTTAGCAACCTAGTCCGCAGATTCATGACGTGTTTTATTCGTCATGAGTCTGGCGCTTTATAAAAGATCGTTGTAGGGCTCGCTATTTACACAATACACAACATGCCTTATAACCGATATGCTTTTGATGAATATTTTCATGTTCACGGCGATAACCCCATTATAGACCCTTACACTGGCAAATACTGTGCAGATACCTTGCATGAAGACTGGTCTCCTACTACTCCTCCTGTGGACGAGTTTGATACTCCATCCAAGACCAACAATTCTCCTTATAACCCTGCATCTTCTCGGCCTCCTGCACCATTGGGTAACAACAATCCTTACCAAAATGGGTTCCGCTTGCCTCCCATCACCTCCTTCTACCCTCCACCAGTCTTGGACCAATCTAGGATTACCCCTCCTCTGAGCCAGTTCAAGCCTACCCCGACTTCTCCTGGCAAAGAGAATGAGGGAATCCAACGAGCGCATGTTTCCGGTGGTCCTGAAGCTGGCAAGAAAGTTGGGGCAAGAATCTGGACTGCTAAGGATCTCATTGAACTTGCGAAGATCTGCGTAGAGTACAAGCCCTTCCTGCAGCCATATGGAAAGAAAGGGAAGGTTTGGGACAAGATTTTTTATGCGCTGAGTGAGCGTGGCTTCCGTTTATCAAAGGTCCCAGCGCTCTCCTTGCGTCACAAAGCAGAAAGCCTCGTGGGCTACTGGAAGGTCGGTATCACTATGTTTTTTTTTTCGGTGCTAACCTTCCCTCAATAGAATCCTTCCGACAATAACTCGAGCGTTAAGGCCATTGCAAAGATTCTTGACAATAGCATGGACAAGATTACAATTGCGGCGCTTATGGACAGTGTTGAGGCGCAGTGGGATGAAGCGAAGAATAAGTCGGACAAGGCTAAAGCTGATATTCAGAAGGTGAGTTGTCCTCAAACTTGAATCACTTTCCATTGCTGATCCTTTTCCAGAAGCAGGATGAGGACAACGAAGGTGGGGAGGCTATTCGTATAGCATCTATGCAAGCATTCCGTTCTCACAAGCGCGATGCTAAACCACTTGATGATGAAGACACCGACACCGACACCGACAATAATAGTGGTTCTCGCAAGTCCGGCACTAAACGAAAGTTTTCCGACTCGAATGTTACAAAATCTCACAAGCGTCAAAGGTCATCTGTTCGCCGGACTTCGAATAACACAAAAATCCTTGATTTCCTTGAGAGCGATGCCGAGGAACGTAGGTCCCATCAGGATAAGGTGGTAATGCTGATGGAGCGAGGGCAGAAATTGACCCAGGAACATGAGAAGGAAGTTGCCTCGATTTTGCACGGTTTCTTGGAGCTTGATCGTGCCCGGTTCGAACAAGAACGGAGGGCGTAGTGCAGTGATAAAGTAGCAAATAATTGTGTATTGATTTCAAGTCATCAATGTATATATGTATACTAATCCATTTCTATATCGCTGTTGTCGCTACTGCATAATTCAGTGTGGTAAGGTTGCAAATATTCTTCGAGGGTGGGTGGCTCGCATTCCAGGGATTGCGCTGTTTGATTGGGCCGAATGCAATTCAAGATGTTTGTCAACAATACTCCAATGCGATAGAACCGTCCAACAGGTGATGAATAGACTCGATGAACCCACCATGCATTAAGAAATGGCCATGAACGCACAATATCTGCGAAACCATGCTCAACCTCTATTCTCACAGAAGCCATTGCTTCATTCCACTCTTTTTCTTCGTCAGTTCGCTCGCCAAGCCCAGAAAAGGGACTCATCAATACAGGACTAATTCCGTATGCAGGATCACCAAAGACATGAAAATATCGATGGGAAATAGGTGTGTGTGCATCTGCTCCTGGCCTGAATGCATGTGTATAACACCATTCAATGACCTTCGACTCGCTTAGCAGATGGTTATCATTGCGACGACCTTCTACTGGGCCAAATAGAGCACCGATCATGCCATTTGGCAATTTCAGTGCCTGGAATTTGAGTGAATGTCGGCCTTTGTATCCATTGTAGGCTTGTCGCTGATATTGACTTGGTCGACACATGTAGCGAATCGTGCAATCAATGAAACACCACACAGTAGGAAGGGGTGACCCAGCAGCATGAATAGCATTAGCATACTCTGCGAGCTTTACAGGCTTTAGGAGAGGATTCTCGTCACAAGGCTCAAGTAGGTGCTTCCAATGGTCATCAAGAAATATCATTAGAGCATTGACAACCTCGGATATAGCTGATTGACTGCGATCGAAGCGCTGGACTAAGAGATGTTCATCACCTGCTGTCCGGAACCGGGCAAGGAGTAGAGCAAGAGCTTCAACGGCACTAAATTTTGACCGTGAAGGGGTCCTAAATGGATCTGGTATGCACAAGGCAACCGCAAGGTCTGCAATCTCGTCGGCATAAAACCTGATCCATACATCAATGAGCACTGATATTTGGTTGAACATCATCTCTTGGGCTCACCGGAAGTTCCAAAGACAATCACGCGGTTGTAATGATTTGAGATACTCGAGCACAAGCTTATGGCCACCTTGTTGCGGTTGTGCTGTGGCTGATTCAGGCTGCATGACAGCACCTGCAGGCAGATTTAGATTCTGAATAGGTGCTTGTATCGTTCTATGATTCATAGAGAGACCGAGAATGATATTGCGAAGGGAGGGCATGCTAGGGTACATAAGATAGTGGATGCGTGCTATAGCTTGTTTGAACACATGACCGTCATTCTTCGGCAAGTGGAGCTGTGAACTTTTCAAAAAAATCGGAAATCTTTGCAACATAAAGTGACTTTGCCGTGCGTTGCTAATAAGCTCTATTGCTATCGAAAATTTGAACATTGAGTAATTGAGCATTGAGGTTGGAGTAAAGTGCCTCCTTCATGAGAGAAGTCATCTTCTACACATGATATATTGAAAGATGGTTTTGAAGTGCACGCAAATGTCCTATATTTCTTGTGTTTGGAGTTGTTGTATTTGACAAGATGTTGAGCGTGAAGTTGCATATAATAGTGGTGTATTCAACCTTGAGGTGGCCAATTTTGATGGATGGGTGAATCTTTCTCCCTGCAGAGAATGCAAGTTCATAAGAGCATTGGAGGTGGTGGTGCGAGAGAAAGAGACGACGACGAAAATTTTACAAAGATCACATGAGCAAAAAAATTCCCATTTCGTATTCTCACATGACTAGAATTATAGACTAGGGATGAACAGACAGAAATTGAAGCAAGAGATGGCCTCAAGAATGCGCCGTTGCTTATTTTCGGGCATTGAGCCATGGCATCAATATTTGAAACTCAGTTCAAATGAGTATTTCGTACCTTGTTCATACTCAAACATTTGAACATGGGTTACAGCTGATTCCCAAAGTCTAGGACGAAATCAGCCTCCTCACATTGTTGGAGCACTATTTAGCCTTGTTTGTGGACGAGCTTAAGCGCATAGTTACTAGCCTCTTTCAGAAACAAATCCGAGCAAGCAGCTCTGTCTTTCTTACATAGAGGCAGCCCTAGTTTACTCCAACAATGTAATTACAACAATTCTTTGCATCCATCTCTGGGTTAATCTTCATTATCTGGTCTACATCCACAAATAATGCTAAACAGTGCTCCAACGATGTGAGGAGGCTGATTTCGTCCTAGACTTTCGGAATCAGCTGTATATGAAGGTCTGACTGTGTATGGTACTCTATGGTACTTCGGCAAAAAAATAGTCGCTTCCGTGTACGTAACGCGCTCTCACTCAGCTCTGTAAGTACATACCAGAATCCAGATCTATACTCGATATTTATTTTCAAGTATGTAGCTGCGTACAAGTTTTCAGTACTTATGTATGTCTTGATCATTTTGCTGTACTTCTTTTGAGTTTCCGTGGCTTAGCGGAAAATCGGGGAAGATAGGTTCTCGCCCGATGTTCACTTTTAGGCCTTCTTACATAGATAGAGGTAGGCAAGATTTAAATCGGGCACAGAGATTCACTCGCGTGGTGGCAAGACACCATAAATGGTATACCATGTTACTAGTACTTAACCTCGTTAAACATGCACATCCTTCCTCTTTCACCTGGGCCCAAGCTGGACTATTGAAGTTCATTCATACCCTAGCATCCAGGAAATAATGCCAAACAGTGCTTGTCACCAAAGACTCGACGAGCTTCAACCAGACCTTGAACTTGATCCACGTAGATCCACGTGCGGCAGAGTACGGGAGAATTGATGTGCATGAAAATGAGAAACTTAACTTTTGTTTTTAGCCTTACAGAGTTGTAGTACAAAAGTACGTATTTTGCTGATTCCGACTGACATAATCGATGGTGCAAATCGCCAGAGCTCAAGACGTATCCTAAAATCGGACGAAAAAGATGGCGAGAAAAATCAACTTGTTTCGTCCAGCATCCGGGAGAACTTCCCTTTAACCGTGGATTCCATTCAATACTGTCAGTTCTAATTGATGGAAAAACATCACTCATGCACTCCGTCACTAACGCAGCAATTTTTTCGTGTTCCCGCATTATTCCAAACCCCGCGGGTTGCCATTGAGTCAGTGATCTATGCAGACCGGCTCTCTCATAAGAAACCAATTCGTCCTCAACTTCCATTGACACTTCTCTTCAAGCTTCCTTACGATGGCGCAGGCAGCTACTCTCGACAATACGTGAGCATTTGTGTCTCCGGAAACTTTTCCTAATACTGACGACTTGAAAGGATGGGTGCGATGTTCATCGGGGTACTATTCGCTGCAGTGTAAGTCCAGTACACATGGGGATGAATAAGCGCTGAACGCGAACATGCTCGTATAGTCTTTACGGAGGTGAATGGACAACCAACAACCATAACAAGATTGCTGAAGTTTCCTCTTCGGATCTGTTGCTTTTAGCTGCCTGCATTCAGACGTGGTACTATTATATACATCAAAAGGATCGATGGCCTCTCCGTTTTTTGGTGCGACTAGCCTAACAGTCCAAGTCCTTCGCTTTCGCGATTTATGCGCGTCCCGCAGGTTGCTGCGGTCATGATCGTCGACACTCTCCATCAGGCTCTGATCGCTCACACCGGTATGTGGCTTTCACCAAACCATCGGAAATTTCTTTGTGTTCAACAATATCATTAGTATATACATACCTCATAACCAACTTTGGAAATGCCCCGGAGCTACTGAATACGGTATGGTGGGTGATTTTAGTGCTTCATATCGTTTAGATACTAACTATACATCTGCAGGAGCTTATTGGTAGGTATCTGTTCGTTTTTAAAGGGAGCGATCGTACTCAAGTCGCATCATGACATGTAGGCGGAAGTTTTGGTCAATGTGCGCATTCTTGATTATCATCTGGGCATCTGGGCTACTTCTGATCATCGTTCTGATTCTAGGGCTTCACGGCTGTATTTGTTCAAAGGCTCGTATAACCCCCCAATCATCAATGAAGGTGGACGTCAATCTTACCCCCCGATAACAGTTTCTTGGCTCATAGAGTCTGGCAATGTACGTGCGGTCCCTTTGTCAGGTTGAGCAATTAACAATCTTTGCGACAGTGAGTAATGGAAACATATGGATCTCAGTCCCTGCGGTAGCGAAATTGTCATATCCTGATTACGATGTATGCTGACTCGGAGCCGGGTTTTTGTTCCAAAATAGTTTCTGTTAGTGGCGGCTGAATTCGGTCTGTCCCCTTTTTTGTGTTCTCATTTCGTCTCCTGACTGAACACCTATTGAACCTCAGTTTCCGTCTTCGGTAAGTGCTATCGTGCTCAACGTCAATGACTGACTACTTATTGTCTTTATACAGTTTTTGGTGTGATAGGGTGAATCCTTCATTGACTCTGCCAGACTTTTTTTTAAAATTTGACATTGATGGACATAGCCTTACTCGTGTCCATACCTTCGTGGAACTATCGGACATCTTAAAGGCAAGCTATTTCGATTACGTCTGTACAGGATAGCTCTCATGAGCACAACATAGAGTCTTTCCATCACTGTAAATGTCCTCGCTGCTGTGGCGGATACCTACATAGCTGGTCTTCTCACACTCCTTTTGCATACATCGAGGACAGGTTTCCAAAGGTTATACTCGAACTCTTAGCACAAGATTATCTTAACGCTAACTTGATAACATTTAGATCGGATTCGATTATCAACAAGCTGGTCAGTATATTCACTTCCAGTTACATTGACCGCACTGACTGCTGTGGCTTATAGATCATCTTCTCAATCAATACTGGTGCCCTTACAAGGTCGGTTCAACCGCCAGGTTTTTTCGCCTTCCTTGACTAAATAAAGTGTACAATGACGCAGTCTTTGCGCCATCGCTTCTATGCTATCTGTGGGTTTTTAATTTGTCCTTGCATACGAAAGGAGTGCTCATTTCCATAATCAGATTCTCCTTGCCCCCGCCACGTTCATATACATAAGTTTCTTCTTCTGTATGGGCAGACGTACGTCCCATTTTCCCTTAGAAATGATGGATAGTATGTAACCTGAACGTTCCTAGTTTATGCCAATTCCCTTTTGGCTACTCTGAACATTCGAACGCTTATACGAAAAGAGGGAGGTTCCAATGTCCAGGCTAGCGGTGATACCGGCTCAATTCCGCTGGGAAATTATAACACCTCCATTTTCGTAAGCACCTTTTTTCCTTTTGATCGACAACATTTGCGACCTTAACCCTCTCAATTAGAACCCCCCAAGCACCATTTCTGTCAAGATCGACACAAGCAGAGAGTATACGACTGACCGGGAGCGAGAACAGAAGCGTACTACGGACTTTGAAGATTTGAGTTCCCGAATGAATTTGCCTTGAACTTAGCAACGATGATCTGATAGGCTTTGTTATACGCGGGACTGAGATCACCTTCTCGCGACGATAGATCGTTGTCATCAAGAATGGTTCAAGTAGGGTTTAATTGCATATGAATTGTCCATCTACGAAACGATCATACAGACAGAACTCGTGATACAACCAAAGAAATTACGGTCTCAACAAGGGCATTTAACTCAGATTCAGAATATCATGTATGTACATACAATAATCGAGGATTCTAATGTCCACAGGAAGTCATCCAGTACAACACAAAAGCTATGACAAGTGGAAAAAAAATTAAACCACCGATTACACCTGCTGCGGCACTTCGTGCAACAGATAGCATCGGGATCGAGGTAGCGGCTTCCAGAACGGAGACCCCGATGGGACCAGTTGTAACTCCCATGAATACTGTCATGAGAATGATAACGACATATGCAAATGTTCTCCTCCATAGAACTCGGTTTCCAGTGTCAGAATCGTCATCAAAGAAGTCGTCCGGTCCAGATGAATCGGAATGTTCTATACACAAACACTGAATGAAGTGGAGCAAGAATACGACGGGGAGGGTGATCACGGCTCCGCCTACTGCTCCCGCTTTGGCAGAGGAAAGAGATGCGATTCTATAGGAAGAAGGTTGAGCGGCTCGGAAGATGGCATGGCCAACAACGATGTAAATGACGGAAAGTAATGTAGCAGTCAAGGATAAGGCGAGGAGCGAAAGATTTTTGTTATGGGAAACCCATAACTTCATATGGCTCGTTCGGAATGAGACTCGCGAGGGTATCGTAGCGTGAGAAAGAGCGTGAGGGGAAATAGGATTATTCCTCGACGCAACTAGGTTGGGATACACGGCGATGTGATTAGTGCCAGTGTTCGAAATTATGTTCGAAGAGGGAATTAGATGTGCATTACTTGTAGGAGTGAGTTGGAAAGGATGTCTAATGGGTTCAACGATCCACGGAGAAGGTTGCCGGGGCAAATATTGAGACTGCTCCGGCGTTTTCCATCTGTGATGGACCGTTTCTTGAGGCGGAGCACCCAAAGCATCCATGCTCGCAGTGGCAGGATTGGGGTTCGAAGATCAACCTGTTATTATAGGATCTGAAACAAATTAGCTTAGGACGAACATTCTGCTGTGGAGAAAAAAGAGATCCAGCGTCATTTATGTCATGTACAGACTTATCATAGCATAGCAATGAGAGAGCGGGCCGAAGAACATGGGACATCACCGCCTGCCCGCGCATAGCGAGTAAGCTACTGTAAGCTAACAGTTGTCTCCTTTACCCATTTCAGGCGTATATATTTAAAAAGGACAAGCCCACAAGACCATGATGTCGAAACATCGGTTCCAGGACGCTACGTAGGCGTATTGTAAATAATACGTTGTACACTTTGTACATTCGAAATTCGCATTTTTGGGTAGCAAAACAAATCCGAGTCCTACACTTCGAAGAATTGCTCTAGATACAAGCTGACTCTCGGACGTTGCAATGCTCATACGGGTAGATTGGAGGAAAGAGTCTTCACCTGATGATAGATTAGATATTTAGAGATGACATTTAACACTAACTCACAGCTAAGTTATCCAGCTCAATGTCGTGTTGAACGTGGGTCTCGACTTCTTGCTTGATGGATAACGGATTCTGCAAGAATATCAGAGGCCAAAGTTCTGGGGTATAAAGGTGAACTGACTGTGCTAGATTTCGGAATATCCGAGGAGGTGATCACAGTATCACTGGCCATGGCTCTCGCCCATTCAAGGCCACTTAACGTGGGAGTCGAAAATAGCGAGCTTCCAAGAGGGCGATTAGATTTTCTGAGCTGGTCGCGAGCATTCAGGCTATATGAAGAATAGTATTTTCTGAATATACTAGATAGAATCATACGCCAATATGCTCACGTTGCCAAGAAAGAGTTTGCGTACACTGGAGCAACAGGTTTGAGCAGGTAATTTAACATGAGCAGCACTTACAGCGGGCAAGAGCACAATAGAAGGTGATGTAAATGAACGTATTCGGCCAGATGGAGATCTATGCAAAGTTCGGTATCAATAGACGCCGACTTGATCACGCAAACCTATGTAAAGAGAACTACATACCGATATCAAAGAGAGTATCGCGCAGAAACTGAGATAGATTCGAGTGAGTGACACCATAGCCTTGTGAAAGATCACATACATACGTTGTAAGAAGTCCAGTTTTTAGACAAAAATACATCAGACGATTCATCAGAGCATCGGTTCTGGTGGTTCATTCATCCAGTAAGTACAGGTCGTGTTGGAACGCCAAAGAGCAACTGCACAAGTAACCTTTTGATCCCGGACCTTGAAGTTCGAAGAAAATACACCATGACGAACGTGATAGCTATATCGCCACCGAAGTTGAGACCATTCACTGCTCGAGAGATTTTCTGTTGGTCAAATTTTAAACATATTCATAGACAAAAAATGTGACTGGCTTACACTGAGATCCGCGAGTTTTGTCCAAGTACGAAGAGACCAACTATAAATTCACAAGTGAAAAATGCTAACTTCATGGGTTTTATCAGAAGACGAACGATTTTTTGAAGTAGACTGGAATAAACAATGAAGTTCATTGTAAGTAGTGCCTGGTAAGGGTCTTGTACAAATAATATTCTACTTACCCATAGTAATCGTAAAGCTCGCGAAAACGATGATGATCTGAGAAATTGACTGTCAAGATCAACAAATAACAGAAGGAGACAGAGGTACTTACGATGGGGATACTCCAATAAATACTCTTATTGCTCACTAGTCCGATGAACAGACCGTCAGTCAAAGGAGGAAATATCAAACAGAAACAATCATACAGATCCAGATGCGCCAGCACATGAACCTAGTATGCCAAAGCGGTCAATCAGATACCACCACAATGCAGAGAACAGAAGTTGCTTACAGTTGAATGGTCACAGCAATGAGAGCCTGAAGATTATATTAATACACGTCGCCACGGTTCGCCTGGCAGCCAGAGGGAAACGTACCGACAATAAAACCATGACCTTGGGAGTGTAATGGTAAAAAGAAACCCTGAACCAATAATACAAGGGCTTACTAGTATGCTCCTGCGATCAAACGGGAAAATTTTGAGATGAACGGCAATTTGGGGAAGTTCTAAAAGTGCTCGCCATACAACCACCCCGAGGTATTCCACATTACCAAAATTGGATACCAAGTAGATGTAAATTGAATGAGAGAGCATGATTTGATGGGCTGTATCGAGTACGCTATGCGGGAGGGGAGTGTAGATAAGTCGAAGAAGAGGAATATCATAGAGGCTTACAAGATGAAAACAACCTGTTTCGATACTGCCATTTTAGTCCAATGGGTACAAATAACTTGAAGACAGGAAAACGTACCAGAGACTTGAGTCGAAGGGTATCATGATGATAAAACGTCTTTAACGGGTTTCAGCAATCATTCGAGGGCGCAGCGAACGCCATACCGAGAAGTATATGTACGTCTGGGCAGTCGAAATCCCCCAGAGTCTGTGAAGGCATACGTTTCTTCGCGAATGCTGATGTTGATCGTGAACTTACGCGCAAGAAATGCTGCAGGGATAATGCTAAGAACGCATACACTAGTAAAAACCCACAAGTGCTCACAGAACACCGATGAGAAGGGCCCCCATCTGCGAAGGTGAGTTTAGTCCGTAGAGATCAATGTACAGTGCATGAAAAAGTTTACCGTATTATGCAAAGGAGCGACAGTGGTTGTAGAGCTGCACATTGCACTCGCCAGTATGAAGTCGATGAAGTCGAAATGAGAGACTGCTAAAACATGCGTGCACACTGATTTATAAAGGACGCAATATATGATCCACGAGGCCATGAATACGTCGTACCCGCTTGGCCGTCATAGTAAAAAATCTGAGTGTGTGCTAATAACATTGCTGGACTTGAAAATGATTACGATTTTGAACGGACTTACATATACTGTAGCTTGATTGACAAGGGAGAAGTCAGAATCGAAGGCAGTTTACACTGGTGAATTTAACGAGATCTAACGTGGCCTAGCTAGAGTTCTTAGAATTGGAAGCATTGAGGTTGAGAACAATCTGATCGAAAGCACATACATATCTTGAGTGTTGTCCGCCTACGAGATTTTCTTCCTAAAGCGTCATAATTTCTTGAGCCTGGGAAACCCTGGCAGAATGTACTGTCTGACTCCTGCCCTCTCCTGCCATTGAACTTGGTCGCTGGCTTTCGTTGGATACAAACACAATCTAAACATATTTCTTTCTCAAAATGCTTCTCCCACACCCACTGCATGATGTGGTATCTGGCGACTCTAATCTCCACGATCTATCCTGGACCCACAGAAACATACATACATACTTCGACGTGTTCCAAAGAAAAAGGATCTGAACAGTGAAAGGTGCATGAACGTCGTGAACTGGCCACAAACACTGGCACTCAAAGGGTGTATTAGAATCTGGAATGTGGATAGTCAGAAAGTACAAAGCCGTATGTGCAAGAACAGAACTCGAGGTGTTTGAATTTGAAGACAAACAGTGCATCCGATTTACGCTGCATTACACGAGTTGGCATTCGCCAATTGTAGAAACCAAAAGGACAATGGCAACCATTCAAATATATCTGATTTCTCGAACAGATGAATAAAAGTGAAAGATTTCATCAACACGAAATATTCGGGGTGATCCCTTAAAGAAAAAGCAAGATGTCGAATATTTCACACAAGCGAAATGGGCCCAATACCGGCACACAAATTGTCAGATGGATTCCTCATCTCGGACGAACAATGATAGTCCAACAGTATCCTTCCACTGCGGAAAGTCGGTAGTACCAATGGGCAACGAGCCTTGAGCAATTGATCATAGCGGAAGGCCCGAGGTTGTACCAATCAACGAATCATTTTTGACTTGAAGTTCAGTGTTTTGACGAGAAAAACTAAGAGATAATACTGGATGAGCTTCGGTATAGTACGGGGAAGATACACACACACAACTATGTTTCCGCTAGGTTTCCACATTCGTCGCACCATCTCAGTTTCAGATCACACACAGATGAATTCAAAGGGAACGTATGTTTTCAAAGTCTATACAGCCAGTTCGAAGATCGACTCTTATGCTCTGCCCTGTTTGCAATACCGGATGCGCGCTCAGTGGGCATGGTTCTTGTGATGTTCTAAAGTCCGCAAAATTTGGTCAATGCTTCTTGCATTTAGCAGGGGATAAATTTGAGACTCACTCAGGTGCACTGAAGAGTAGGAGCAAGCATTAACGCGAGAACAAGACGAGGGGTAAAGTGACAACTCACTATGATAATCAATTGTATATCCAATACCGAATAGACCCCCAATCAATGCGAGAAGAGGAGCTCCAGAAGCGTTGGCACCGTTGAAAAAACGGCCCTTGATCCCAGATATGCGAGCAGTCGCAGCGCCCTTTGGCAATTTGGAGTAGAAATTAACAAGAGGGCCTAAACCGTCTCCAGATCCTCCAGACTGAAATGAAGCTTAATGAAAGCGAGTAATGAGCGTAGGATTTCACACTTACTACCGACTTGGGTGTAGCAATTTTTGGAGGTACCAGTCCGCCGAGCTGGCGACGAATGAGTGATGCGTGCATAATAGTGAGGACGATTTTACCAACGTCTTCCGAAGGCGTCCGAGCAGGTGCCTCTATTTGACATTATTTGGTCCAGAGCCTCTTGTGAGCGCTTAATGCTCAACGTTCAATAGGCTTCAACAGGTCTAGATCTCTGAAAAATTCATATCTCCAAGGTTGCTCTCTTTCCACGCGTCGTTCATTGTATGTTGCCTCCTTCGCTCACTGTGAATATGTCCATTTTGATGTCGGCCTATTTCTCCCTCATTTATCCGCCAAACAGAAACTTCTTGACATTAGCCTCAGATGGCCATACTCAACTTCTGTGCACGAAGCACTCGCCGCGTGGATGATCTGCCAGCCCCTGCCTTATATATCAACTATATACAGGAATTGTAACACCACCAACCGGACGAATGCACTCCGGAAGATCAGCAGACGTTTACTACTAAGGATAAAGATTTGTGTTGACTTGAAAGTTCGTGTCATTCCTAATTTCAAAGGGTAAAGGAACCGAGGATTTTGACTTGGACCGTTCGCCTCTTACATATGTATGCTACTCAATTTAGGGCGACGCTAATACAGACCTGGAATGTGCGTTCGACATCCATACTGGGTTGTGTCTCTAGGTCGAGCCCTCTCGCATTCAAGCATTTCGTAACGAAATATAGAGCCGGAAAGGATAGAATAACAGTTGGAACTTAGGAACGAATCTGAACTTTTCTTTTCTTCGGGGATCTTCATCGAGACCCAGACATGTGATGGCAGAACTTGGATTAATTCGAAGATCGTCTCTCGATTGAAGACGCTAACTGATCCATGTTTGGCTCGGAGATCATGACTATACTAGTGACCTCACTTCGTACCATGAAGCAAACACCTGCATTTGCAAGCCTATCCGCATGGGTATTGTCACAGTATTGCCACTTATTTCCCTGACTGGTCTACAGACCGCGGTAGGGGACGATGATTTCCCGTTTACCGAAATCATGCGGAAAGGAATCCTTCGACGAAGATTGTAAACTTCACAAATATGGACGGCTGGTCGACGCTGATTAAAGTGACACAAGTAACGTGCTTAATGGGCAAATTGAACGATCTGTCAATGGTCACTATCTACCGCTGCATCATTTTATCAGCATAATCTGAGGAGGTGAGTTTCAAATAAAGTTGCATGTTACCAACATTTTCATTAGTTCGAAATCACAGTGACTTCAATGCGTTGAAAACTCCCGGCCAAGAAATCAATATTTATCCTCTACGCTCTACGATATTCATTCGCAAGGGATGTCGTACTGGGAAGAGGTAGTAGCGATGCGAAAGATGGCCTACTAGGCACGTCATTGACAAGAATGAACAGACAACCCAGAAAACAAATTCAGTCTCTGTTCCGGTTGGGGTATAGGCGGAGAAATGAATCACTGGATGCTTATATATCTCTGTCAATGTATGATGGTAAGGGACTCTCTTTTATTCTCAAGAGATATCAACGGCGATTTTGACGTATCGTATACAGTTTGCGATGGTTGGTGTAAAGCTTTGTGGTATTTCTAGAACCATGCAAATCGTATTCGGGCACCGCGGAATTTAACCTCCATGGAATTTATCATACAAAGTGAGCTCGGACATTCTTTCTCTTTACAATGCACAGCACAATCCGCAACCCGAATCGCTGACCGTAGGTTTCAAAAAAAACAGTCTAGTGCGTAACAATGAGCTTCTTAATGTTAATGGTAAGCTCGATCTGCTACGACATCGATCCTGCCATTTTTATAAGGAGAATCAACTGCCCGAGGAAATGGTTCCGAGTATACAGGATTTGAGTTTTCCCCGATCTGAAAAGTCAAAATCAACGACACCAAGGCCAATACCTACCAGTACCCTAGGTAGTTCAAAAGGTGAATTAGTAATCTCACTCAGCACTGAGTACTGAGTACTGAGCATCCGTTCGTCCAACAGACTGCATGGCCGAGAAGATGTGATATCGCCTTTCGACAAGCTCCGCCAAGATGATTCCATCATCTACAGTGCTCGGAGGAGAAGGTGTAACTTATAAGCGCGCAAGCAATGCACTGGCATCCCGGTCGGGAAAGTCCATAGCCGGTTGAGTTACTGGGCGGGGGAGGGAGGTGTAGTAGTCGTGAATATGAGCGGAAAATTATAGCCAAATAACTTTCCGCTGCAACTGAAGCGAACTCTCAGTATGTAGTTCGTTCTTGAGTCGAGGTGAGTTGAATTGTAGGGCGCGTGATGGAATATTTTTTTCCCAGCCTCGTGATTTGATAGAATTGGAAATTGGACGAAAAAAAATTGTGACCGGAATTTGCCGAGTCACAAACATTGATAATGTAAAGGCAAGCCAATTGCCCTCGATTTATCATCTGAACACCCACCTTTGCTTAGCCTAGCCGCTCCATCCTCCTCCTCCCCTACCTCCCCTTCTTCCGTCTATCCCTCGCCGGGAACAAGGATACCGCTTGGCATCTCGCGACCCTTACCGGCTTCTCATTATCCGCCAAATAAGTACGCTTGAGCTCAGCTCGCGGCTTCAATCGACTTCATCTTTTACCGACTATCTACCGCTTTTTTGGTGTCCGCTGACTACTCTGTCGCGTAACCAGCCAGCAATGAATCACAACATGAACCCTTCTTCGCCTAACTCTGGCGCCCCTTCTCCTGTCTCTGACGACTCTTCGATTCAGCCTCATTCACCATTGTCGTCTGGCGATAACAACCAGAACAACAGCAAAATTCCAGTAGCAAAACGTAAAGCCAATCGTCGAGCTAGCACTGCCGAGCGCCGTGCCACTCACAATGCCGTTGAAAGAGCTAGAAGGGAGACCCTGAATGGAAGGTTTTTGGTAAGTTTATTTCTCTTGCACATCACTGATACTAATGCTAAAACTCTATATTGTAGGACCTTGCCGCGCTTCTCCCTAATCTTTCGCAACTTCGACGTCCCTCCAAATCTGCGATAGTTAACTCTTCCATTGCTCACGTTCATGCTGCTCGTCGTCACCGCCTTCTTGCTTCTCGCGAGCTTCGTTTATTGAAGCTTGAGTCTGATGCTCTTCGCCGTGAACTCAACGAATGGCGAAACAGGGCCAGTATTCCCCGGATCGATGAACCCGTTCGAGGAGAGGGGTTCAGTGTGGTTCTCAGTGGAGAACCTGAAATAATACCTATCCCGGGAGGGGCTGGCCTTCAAGAAGAAGGAGACGAGGACGGCTATGGAGATGAGATGGACGATGATTACATGCCTATGAGCACAACAACGATGCACAGCGACGAAGAAGCCAGGGTTGCTGCGCTTTTGAAATCTCAACCTCAGGGACCTTTTGTGCCTGCGATCGACACCAACGTACATCCAATGATGCGAACTTCTTCGATGCACTCTCACCCTGGCGTACGCCCGATGGCATCTCCCGCCGGTGGACCTATGATCGCTTCTCCTACCGCCATGCCTTTTGAGAATCCTGTTATCGGTAGAATGTACGAATCTGTCCCCTACCACGCCGGGGATGCCTACACTGGCAACTATGGCCCAATACAGGACAAGTGGGGTCCTGTTGGTGGATACGGACCTGGAAACGTCAATGAACAGGCGTACCTAAGGTCTCTTGCTCAGAGCAGGAGATCGAGAAGCGGCAGCCAGTCGAGTGGTAGCGCCAGTCCCCCATCCGTATATTATGAACAGGCTGGGTGGAATGGAAATGGAATGAGGAACGGAGGCAACATGAACGGTGGTATGAATATGAGTATGGGCATGCACAATGGGAACATGGGAATGGTTGGAGGTGGTGGATCTACAATGGGGAATGGAGGTGTAGCCTTCGCGATGATGTAAATCGTTGTTTATCCACCATTCTTTTCCATTGTAGAACCATCGTCTTGCATTCTCATCTTTTTCCGTTCTCATTTATCAAATCGCCTCTCGCCTTCTAATATTTCCCCCTCCTTTCTGTATCCATGTTCATATACCCTTGCCCTCCTTGTAATCTTCGCAAGGCCTTTTTTAGGACTGCTTTGTTAAGGGTTGCGGTTCCAGAGAACCGCTTGGTTGTTCAACATTCATCCCCTTCCACATCTATCCCCACCTGTTACATTCCGCACATCCGCTGGTTGGGTAGACCCTCTTCCGCTACGAACTTCATGACTCAATATCCCTTACCTAACCATCTTACTATCCGACCAACCTCCGACAGCGTTCATCTTCCGCTGTTTTTGTTCTCAAGCTCGGTTATCTACTGTACAACTGCTTCGGACCTTGCGCGCATGGGCCGATCCACATTCTTTACCATACTCATACGTAGATGTGTGTACTTCCAATCTTCAGCTTCAAGCTCCAACTGTACTATTTTTATTCACCTTGCTGCTTGCGTGTTTTGGTGTACAGTTCACAACATCGTACTCACACTCCTTATTTATCCCATCCCCTGTAGTTGCCACTACGTTATCGGAAATATTTAACTTTGGTCTTTCTTTGCGAATAAAATATCTATTGTAATATGTATCCCATATCTTTGATTGAGTAGTTCGCTCTCGTCCTTGGCCATATGTAGAGTAGAATATTACACAATGTCACGGAAAAACATATCGATACTGGACTGTGACGAACTCCAAGAACTTTCTCATAATGATTCATAATGATGATATTCTCGATGTGTCGTAGACCGCTCCAGAATTACGATGGATGCGACTATGAAGTCACCTAGACAACTACCTAGAGTTGAGGGAAATTCGCGCCCCTCATCCAGATGTACAGTGGCTCAATTGAACCAACAGAAACCAACGCGTTTGCGGCCTGTTTTGTGAATATTTTCTACTTTTCTGTAGATTTCTGTTTTAGCCAACGGACAAGGATTCTCAAAGTTTTAAGAGGTCTTCGCTTCTCTTCTCGACGGCATTCGTCGGATCTCAAGAGATAAGAGATAACCAGAGAAATTTTTATACAAAGAAGGTGACCCAAGGCACACTTCCAAAGATGAAGATGTCATATATATGTAGAAGTTCTCGGAAAGATGCAGATTACATCGCCACTTCTTACCCACACCTCACACGGGCGCGGTAGGGCCTGGTAGGGCATGGTCCCTCAATGACTTGAGCGGCGTGCGCCCTTCTGATTATAGTCCATCCATGTCATTTTGCATACTAGCATGTGATTGTTGGGAACAACCTTTCACTTGACGCCATCGATAAAGCGGAAATCAACCAGACGTCGCAGGATAATGCTACGCTGAGTGATTCAAGCCGTTAGAGCATATATTGGATGAGTAAGTACTTACATTGCTGAATATCGTACGCACATGGATGTGACGTCGTTCACGAGTTCGAGCTTGAGAACGCTCTGTCAGGCAAGAATACTTGAATGTTTTTTGCATTTTCGAGGTCGGATTAAATGATCGATGTTAAAGCCTTGGCTCAATTGCCAGACACTTGAATATGAATTTTGTGCACACGAAAATGAACACTGAATGTCTTTCAAATCATTGTGTGAAAAACAACATACGTCGAACCCTAGGCTGTCGTTTCTGCGCGACGACTTGGGTTCGGTAACAAAAACACCCATCCAAAACCTTTGACCGTATCCCCTTTTGTTCCGAAAAATATGTCTGTCTCGTACGCCCAATGCAAGAACCCTACCATGCAGTCTTTCAATGCACGGATATAGAGTGCTATGTCATGCGCTTGGAACTCGGTAACAGACGGGTCAGGGTTATTTGGTTTTTGGGCTGCTGAAAATAGACTAGCGAAGTTGTTCCATAATGAGTTCAGGGCGGTTGCATCAGTATCACTTGCACGATCCGAAGGCGAAGCGCCCATAGATGAAAGCAAAGACTTTTCGAGAAATTTGAAAGCATCGATCCTTTGAAAAATAAGATCGCCCGCTTCTTTGATAGAGTGCACCAATGCAATCTCTCTTTTGGATTGTAAAAGTGACACAATGTTGATTTTATTATCAATAGACTGGTCGATGTTGTACGAAAATACATCCTGGCATGGGTAAAATTGTGTCATTAGCCCGGAATGACAAGCTGTCCGAGCTTACCCAGGTCAGCACGATGATATCCCCCACGAGGCGTCGTAGCGTACGCAAATCATCATTGTACGGTGAGATAGCAAGTTCCAATCCTTCGACAGCCTCCAGCAAGTCAAGTATGAAAGGTATCCCGCTCAAGTCGCGTCGAAAACCAATGTACTCCTCTATTTCTAGATGCGCTAGCGCAGTACCTTCGCGTCGATAATCTATAGCTTTCTGCCGTGAATGCCAAAAGGCTACTATAGAAGACGTGAAACGCTGCTGCCATGATTCGGTTGTACTATGTTGGAGCCTGGAGAGCCGGGTCAGAAGTCTGTAAATATAGACAAGGATGAGTAAGAAGATAGATGATGTGATTTGACGCTAACCGCTGTAAAACAGGATGTGTTTGCAATATTTCAACGTAGCCGGAGTTGGACGTGTCATTCCCAAGGCTCCAATGCGATGCGATAGGAGAATTTGATCTTAGCAGGCTCTCGGTATCGAGCACAACGAGAGTACAAAAATCTATCATGAGAATGAGTTGGGTCAAATCGCAGCTGGGGAAGCTGCATGCCCCAAGTAAACCGAGCTTCATGTTGGGGAGTCTCTCGATGAAGGGAGCCAAGGACAAGGCAGGCGAGCCTAGATTTTCTTGAGCTATATCTAGAACCCATTTCTCCGAAGCAAGACTAGCCGCACGACAATGGCCGTTGATGCTCAATTCATGATAGTCTTGAAAATGCGACAAGAGATCGGGCAGTTGATAGCTGCCAACAGCGCTAGGTGGCGGCATAGAGCAGCTAAGCGAGCCTGGCCAGCCGTGGCTTGTCTTGTACTCGTTCCCGACGACTGTGTGTAATTAACCGAGGGAGAGAGATTCCCAATCTTGTGGCATTAGTTAGATCACGTGTGATAATTTGAGGTCCGATCCGCCTCCGTGTTAAAGCCTGAGGCGGCAGGGATGCCTGCTCTTTGACACGCACTACAATGAAATCCCTTGATGTACAACTCACAGACCTTCCTACAGAGCTCCTGGTCTTGATTCTTTCATACTTACCGGCTTCGGATCTATTGTCATGCAATCTCGTAAACTCTCCATTCTACACAATCATTTCCAACTCTGTTTATCTCCAGTACAACATCGAGTTGTACAAAGCATGCGCTTTGGATAACAAGAATTGCACTCTCAGCTGCGCAGAGAAGTTGACAATGCTCCAAAAGAGAGAAGAAGCCTGGTCAAATTGTACACCGAGCTTTCATAGAATCGTACCCCTCAACTTCACTCCAGGAAGTGTTTACGACTTTTCAAGTGCTGTATACCTGCTCGGAGACTATACACGCCAGCGTCTCCATTATCTTCGCCTTCCGCACCTTCCCAATCAAGAACCTCAGTGGTCCGTCTTTCCTTCCGATGACAATCGGCACATCGTCGATTTTGGGTTGAACTTACACGAGCATGATTTGATTGCCTTGGTCACCGCGTAAGTTCATAACCCTTCCTCATCAATTTACTCTAAATGAAACCCATGTACCGATAGGGAGCTTCATTCTCAATCCACGTCTTCCTCGTCGGCCATGCTGTCCATCGATCTATCTCTGCGCCAATTTTCAACGGGGGATCATCATCCCCTAGCCAAGGTTCCATCGATCCACGTCGTTGTCTCTGAGCTTCGATGGGGTAGCCCATCTATCAATCTAGAGATTGTCGGGAAATATCTCGCTCTCGTGACCACTTTTTGGAGAAATCCAAACTCAAAATGCATGGTCACTGTGTATGAGTGGCAAACCGGAAAAATGGTGATGGTATGATACCTATCTCTCATGTCCATACGTTTGTCTCATAGGACATATTCGTAGGATATTAATGGACGTCCCGAGTCTTATTCCGGCGTTGTCTTTATCTCTGAGAACATCATACTTCTCCCAAACACCGAGACACGAGCGTTGGAACTTTGGAAAATACCTGGCCCTAATGAACATTCCCCTTCCTCACCGTTACGGCAACTTGCACTTCCTAGACTAATGCCACATAATGTGCTTCGCTTCATATCCTGCCGTGGAGAGCCCAATCCGAGTGGGTCGATTCACGACCCAAAATACTCCGACCGTCCTTTCCACTACGATCCCCTCGATTCCATCCTCCTTCTTCACCTTAGGGTCCAAGGGATACATCTGTCCTCTCTATTCACCATTTTCATTCATCGGCGATCACTTTTGAATCTTCTGCCTCCTCACGCGCCTTTCGTAGACATCGACGTTGAAAAGCCCGTTCCATGGGCGGAATGGGCTCCGCCGATTACATTTTGCATTGACCTTGGTGGCGGTATACCTTCGCGGTGGATAACTACCACATGTGGCCAGCGCTTCGTCGTTCTACCTGGCCCAGGGGATGACGTCGATGATTCAGACACGCCGGAGGATGATCTCAGGCGCAAGCCTCGTGCAATCGTGGTTTTTGACTTCAACCTACACAATGTTCGCAAAGCGGAGCGTGAGTTGGAAGTAGATCCTGATGCAACAACGAAGATTGTCAGTCGGGAGAAAAAGGTGATGGATGCGCAAGAGATATTTGCGGAAGACATCGTCTCCTGTCTACCTTACGTCGTTTCGTGCGTATCCTTCGCTCCTCAGTTTTCATCTCTAGATTAATCTCCTTCTGCAGTGCAACCACTAAAAAGTACCGCCTGGATGGGGTGCTTATGGATGAAGACAGGGTATTGGGGTTGCAGGTAAGTCGAGATCATCTCGTTTCTTCCATTGCCATGGATTGAACGTACATCCACAGACGGATGTTGATGGTCATATTAAATATATCGAGGTTTTTCATTTTGGTTGAATGAATCGAAATATGTATCCGATGGTAAAGCCTCTCCTGGTGCCACTGGGGGTCGATGTTATACAGTCATATAGTTCTCGTCCCTTTTTACCAGGTCCTCGATCTCCTATATTTTCTTCCTCATCAAACAGTGGTTGTCCCTTCTTATCAATTAACCGTATCGATGCAAAAACTGTGTCACTTTTGTGCATTCAAGACCAGCGTGCATTGATAGAGCGATCATGTGATACAAAGCTGCACATTTAAGCGGTATGGGGTTTACGCTGACAGTTTTACACCGAGCTTTACAGTGGAAACAGGATCTGTGTGCTCTCTTTGTGAACTATGAGACGGCTTACCAGGATAAGTGGAGCTCTTCTTGGCATTCAACCCAAACCGATGTTATCGATCAACTCGTTGCCCAACGAATCGTGGATTTGATTTCCAGGTATTAGCTAGTGAATACTGATATGTACGCTATATGAATCTCCACAGAATCGGCCACCATGTCCCTATCTGTCTACCCTTGTCCATCTCAATCTCGTTTTGCACAACACAGTCTTCAACTATGTAGTCCCATGTTATTTCTCTCACGTCCACAAGTGTATGGAACGTAGTCAGCTCCGTTCATGTTCTCGTTGACTTTCCGTCAGCGACTCCTATGAGTGAATAGAGTATGCTTAATTATTTGGAAGTGATTGATATAACGGCGCAGCTAGATCGGGCGAATAAGAGGGAGTCGGGGCCTTTCGTAGTTGTGGCTGCTGTCGGGAATAGATGCTCGGGGTAGGATAGAATAGTTAAATTTCTAGCTGCATCGTCAGGAACGGTAATCTTCTTGCATGTGGGTCAACTGCAACTTTTCGGAGGAGCCGGGTCATGCTGTATGGTGCACCAAGTCGGGATCAGCGAGTAATCGGCTGTAATCGGCATCATACCCATACTGGAAGAGTTTGTGGGTATCGCGATCGCCTTCATTTAGATTAGACATCTCCCGACTCCGCTTCCCTCCCTTGAACGTTCTGCCGTCGCAAGATTCTTCAGTACTACCCTAAGCCTTTACTCATGTACTTCCGGTCAATGAAGTGTTTTTAAAAAAGACTCCAGAGGTCTAGAAGGTCAGACTTGGTCAGACCAAGATAGCACCGTGGGTACTTGTGGGAAGATTTGAGCGCGTCTTATCTGGTGTTTTCTATTCGAGTCTTTCATATTCAAAATGCGATCCCGTTTTTGCAACTTTTTGACATATGTTCCTGCGCCATAGAGAAGATATGATCTTCATGATTCTTCAGCGTAAGTTTAACCCGCTCCACCACCATGTCTTATGAAGAGAAAGCACCAATCCCTACGATGGAAAAAGACGAGGCGGAACTGGCAAAGATGGGGTACAAGCAAGAACTCAAGTAAGATTCACAGCTTTGAAGAATCTCATTCGATGGTAATCAATGATGTAGGCGAGAATTGGGCTTAATGCAGGTGTGTAAGCTTTGACCTCTCATCGAATCGATACTGAAATCGAAAAACTTTCAGAACTTCGGGGTACGATCACAGTTTCGAAAGTACACGAACTTGAAGGTCCTGAGACCGCATGCAGGTCTCTTTTTCTATCATATCAGTGATAACAGGAATTCCGTCCCTCTTTTTGTATGGTTTGAACACGGGAGGTCCCTCGGTGATGGTCCGGTAGCCCTCTATCTTGGAATCCCTCTCTATAGACTGATTACGCCACTTCTTTACAAAAGGTGTATGGATGGATTATTGTCTGTGAGGCGGGAAGATTTCGAATTTGGTCGAAGTATTGAAGCCATCCTCAATCTAGCATTTTTTACTCTGCTCGTCGGGATGGCCATGGCAGGTGAGTCCCTTGATTTATTTATGTTCTTCATCTAATATGTTCTGTTCAGAAGTCTGCAGGTATTTGTTACTAAGTCTTATACGTTGAGGTTCATATCCGAATCCCTGCAGTGCTCACCCTACCTCCGGTGGTCCTTATTTTTGGGCTGCCATGCTGTCGAAACCCAAAAATGCCCCACTCGCATCCTGGATAACCGGTAGAAAAATTGTCGTTCTATCCAAAGATCTTTCATCCAACACATAAACATAGGTTGGTTCAATCTTCTAGGTCAAGTCGCGGTCACCACCGGAATATCGTGTGTTTTTCCATTTTGAGAATTAGGGAAGTAAAGTTTATTCGTTTTTAATTAGGTTTGCCTGTGCAAGTTTTATTTCCACTCTGAGCACCTTCAAAACCGGATTCGTTCCTTCTCCGAACACTCAAATAGGTGCCATCAGCTTATGAAACCTTCAACACTAAGAGTAATACTCCTTCTCCAGGTGTCTATGCTGCGGTCCTTTTTACACAGGGTTTGTCAATTGCGCGTCTTCAATCCTTGTTTTTTCAATGTCTTCACAGGATTAATCAATACGTATGAACATATATGTGAAGGACGCAATATCATCTTTCAACGTCTTCTGCAGGTTTGGAGTCAGAGTATTGCATTATCTGAACAATGTTTCTGTCTGGTGGCATGCCATTGGAACTTTTGCTCTGGTCATCGCCATTCTAGCTAAAGCCCCCACACATCAATCAGGTCATTTCGTATTCCAGACATTCATCGATGGCACAGGCGGTTGGGCTGAAAGAGCTAGTCCTGCCTATGTTGCCGTCACTGGTGTAAGGCTCTTTGAATTCTGCATCATTCCCCTTTTGTGCTAATCATCTCCCGAAGATTCTTATGGCTCAGGTAAGTTTCAAGATTCAGGATTGATGAATATTGTATTTAAGTTATCGATGTGCCAGTACACTCTCACTGGTAAGTGTTGAAATTCCTCCTATTCAACCGGTTAAATTCACCTCTTATCAACCAGGTTTCGATGCTAGTGCACATGTGAGTTAGCGGTTTCCTTGAATTTTTCCCTTCCAGTCCATGTATATGACAAATCCTCTAGATGACCGAAGAGACTACCAATGCAGCGATGTCAGGAAGCATTGGTATTTAAAAATTTTAATCGATCTCTTAAACGCCATATACTTAGGAACGTATCATAGGCATCATAATGGCAATCGGGGTGTCTGCGCTTCTTGGAATGTATCTTTTACTGGGGTTGCTCTTCTCAATTCAGGACTTGGACACCACCATCAACTCTGCGACCGGAGAACCCGTAGCACAGATTTTCCTAGATTGTGTTGGGGAAGATGGAGCTATCGTTCTAATGGTGTTCAATCTTCGGAATTCAAAGAAACGGATGTCACTGATAGTTTATCCTTCCATAGATTATCGTGATTGGCGCAATGTATTTCTGTGGGTGCGTCGTTCCCGTAAGTTATTCTAAAATTGCCCAACATTGAACGCTCTACGGCACCCTCATTGTAATGTATCAGAACGTTCTCTGTTACGTCCAATTCGCGAATGATGTATGCTTTCGCCCGTGACGGTGGTTTACCTGGGTCCAAGTTCTTTGCCTACGTAAATACTACTTGGAGATCTCCGATTCGTACAGGTGAGCTTCCGACACCACTGTTTTTGTGGAGGGTATCTACTTACTGACTGTTCCTGAAGTTTGGCTTGCATGCACTCTTAGCTTTATTCTAGGGCTACCTGTAAGTAGTTACCTACGTTCTCATCTTTCGAGTAACAATATATGTTCCGTAGAGCTTGGGCAGTGCGGTCGCTTTCTCTGCTGCAACTAGTATCGCTACTATCGGACTATACATTTCCTATGGCAAGTTCGATTTGGGTTCCGTAATATTCCGGCTGAATCCCTCCAACAGCTGTTCCTATCGCACTGCGAGTGATCTATCACGCTGACTTTGTTCGCGGGCCTTTTCACCTGGGAATATTCTCGTTCCCAGTTGCCATCACTGCAGTGGTTTGGATCGCGTTCATATCCATTGTTTTCATCCTACCCCAAGAAAATGTTCGTCCTATCCATCTAACTCTCCATGTATATTGACCTTCAACCTCGATTATCTAGCCTGTAGACTCTCAAACTCTCAATTATGCTATTGTTGCCGTGGGCATTGTTATAACATACAGCTTCGGATATTGGTTGATTAGCGCCCGGAAATGGTTTGCTGGTCCTGTAAAGCAGATAGCCGGTACGGTTTAAAGTTTCCTTCTCCGTGACGCGTGGAGCTGACTGTGGATCTCCAGCTGAAGAAATGGGTATCAATGTGATGGAACCGGGATCAGCGGGGAAGGACCAGTGATCTTCTAATCAGATCCTGTCGGTGGACGGACATTTCATACTCGTGTTCTCTGAGCATGTCCTGACAATATGGTACATGCTGTTGATACATAGATGCAAAAGAGCCTTCAGATGTTCCACTCCTTGTGCAGCCTTCACAGACCTTGATGAAAAAAATCCAGCTGAGCGAGCAGACCGGGGACCAGAGTGACGCAATTTTCGCTGCTTGTTCTCCCTCGGGCCAATACTTAGAAGTTTTACCTAGTTTTGCCAGCATACAAACTTGGATAGGATAGGATTTATGTATTCAATGGTTCCTCGTGTGAGCTAATGCAGCAACTGAGTTCTGACACGTCGCATTGACATAGAGTCGGGATTCTCATTTCAACACGGACCAACATTCCGAAAGCCATGATTGATAATAACAGTGCTTCTCTGGTGCTTCCTTTATTTTTCCTTTCCAACCATATCTTCTTGTATCATGCCTACAGAGTGGAAACCCAAGAGAGACTTTGCGGAAGGTGAGTGTTACTGAGTTCTGAGGTCACATTTGCTAATGTTTGTCTTGGTCTTATTATCTTCAGTGGAAAGATTGTTATGTGCGCCGGGAAACCTGCATGAGGTCGAAACTCGTGTGAGTATCAATCTGTCTTACGCTTGACCTTTGGATCAACTTCAATGAAGGTTATCGATGGTCTGGTGCAACGCGTTTATAAGAATCTATGGCCATCTATTCGCGCGTTCTGGTTGACAGCCGTTCAGCTCCACGGCGAGAAGACATATGCCGTGTTTGAGAAGCAACGGTTAACATTTCGTGAAGTGAACGAACGCGCGGCCAAAGCCGCCAGCATCTTTCGCGAAATATACGGTATATCTAAAGGTAAGAATAAGGCAAGGCTTCCTTCAAACTATCAGCTCAACTTTAAGATAACTCCAAGGGGACCGAGTTGCTATATGCTGTCGTAACTATCCAGATTTCCTCGTTGCATTTTGGGCTTGTCGTAAGTCCGAACTCTAATGAGCATTTCCGGTTAATTCAGACTGTTCGTTGTAGATCTAATTGGCGTTGTTTCTGTGTTGGTCAACGCGTATGTCATGGCGGTCAAATTCTCACCAAGTGATTAGCTGAAAGCATTACACGTAGCTGGCTGCCCGCTGAGCCACTGCGCCACTGTCTCGTCCAGACCCAATGCGCCCTAGTCATCATCGATCCTGAACGAGCGGATAGACTCGTGTCTTTCGTTCATGAACTGAAACTGCGGGGTGTGAAAGGTGTTTTAGTCTTGGAAGGTCATGAAGGCAAAGGGTCGTGGCCTGGTATGCAAGACTGGTTGACAATCTTCCAGAACTACAAGGGCAATTACCAGAACGTCCTCCAACAAGACCCCCAAATATTGCCTGAAGACAACGCAACAATCATATTCACCTCCGGAACTAGCGGATTGCCGAGTATGTTCGAAGGCTGAAGAGATATGAACATCTCATTCTAACGTTAAAACTGTAGAGGGTGTCCTGAGCACACAACGAGCATTTTTATCCAATCTCCCAAATGTGAGACATAACTATAGCTTGTTTTTTTGATATAGTCTAATCAAGGATACCAGAATCTCGTTGGGCGTAGTCGCGCGTTGTTGCGACGAGGTGAGGATCTGGTCATGGCTCCACCCCCCGGTCCACAACCTGGCATCTTGCTACCGACTCCTCTCTTCCACGTTACTGGTACCTCTCTTACAGTAGGAAACTTTCATTATAACTTTGAAAGCGAAGAACTGAAAAGAAGTTTACTTCAGTTGACGGGCGCTCTGTTAGGCGCCAAATTGATTTTGATGCGTAAATGGAATGTTAATGAAGGTGACTAACGCCTCTAAATTTTCTTGACTTGAATTCCTCTCTCATCCATCTTGCTGCTTAGCGGCTAGGTAATATGCTCATTCTATGACATGTATCGCGGCTAGTCTAACCTTTTAACTCTCCTGAAGGCTAATCAAGGAAGAAAATGTTGCAATAACAGGAGGGTGAATAAACTTTCAAGCCAGAGAAACCATTGCCCTCATATTTGAATCAGGGTTCCTTCCACTGTGTCCGATCTAGCTGAAAGCTCAGCATATGGCGCACCTTTGCAAACTATCCTGTACGGGGGTTCCGCAGTGTCCGTAGCTCTAGCAAAGAGAGCGAGAAAGGCGTTTCCCATGGCTATGTTGTATGTCAACTCATGGATTGTTTACCTTCTGAATGGGTCAATAACAGTAATCAACAGAAGTCAAGCTTACGGCCTGACGGAAAGTAACGCAACCTCCGTTGGTTTCAGTGAGGCGTATTTATCATTCAGTTCGAATATAAACTCACTTACGTGGATTTCCAGGCGGAGAAGATTACGAGGCAAGTATCACAACGCAATGCTAGTACTTGCGACTCTAATACGGTACAATTTTCGTAGCAAAGGCCTGAAAGCTGGTTAGTCATTGGATTTCGTTGACAACAAAGTTGATACGGGTTTCATCTAGCGGCCGTGTTCTACCCACCAACGAAATCATGATAATGAATGATGATATCCCGTGCCCAACTGGATCAACAGGTGAAATTTGGATAAGAGGACCAAATGTGATGAAGGGATACTTCGGGGATCCTGGTGTGTGCACTACTACGTATGAAATTGGCTTTATTGATGTAAGGATTTAGTGGCAACAAGCAAGGTAATCTTATCATTTTAAACTTGAGTCCAAGATTTCTGAACCCTCCTCAGGCACTCACAAAAGACGGTTGGCTCAAAACGGGTGATGTAGGATACCTTGATGAGGAAGGCTTCTTATATATCAAGGACAGACTTAAAGATATCATAATTCGAGGTGTGGAACTCATTCTACTCGTATCTACCTTCCACTGAGCTTAATCTAGGTGGAGAGAATGTGGTCAGTCATGAGATAGTTCTGCGTATTGGACCATATTCACAAAATTCATGTCTTAGGATTCTGTTGCCGTTGAAAATGCCTTGTATGAACATGAAGGTGGTGAGTGTTTCCATCGCTAGTCTTAAAATCCTTCCCCTTTGCCACGGAAAACCATTCGATTCAGATTGTCATTGATTGTCGGTCCTTCAGTCCTAGAAGCAGCTGCCGTAGGCGTGCCCGACGATAGACTCGGAGAGCTGGTAACCGCAATAGTTACCGTCAAGCCTGCTTTCAGAGGTAAAGTCTCCCCAAATGCCTTGATGGTATTGGCGAACAAACGGTCAGGAGTTCTGGGCTTGAACACTCAGCATGTTGCTAACGTTGTTATCAGTTTGCCAAAATTTGCGGTGCCTGTGATGATACTGGTCAGAGAGGATGATTTTAGTAAGTGATGACTTGGTCTTGTTTACATCATTTTTGATCAGAATCGTTAGGTCACACACCTTCTGGAAAGATAATCAAAACAGAGCTCCGGAAGATTGCTGCTGAGGAGTGGTCTAAACGATCTCACGAGGGGTCAGAGACTATTATGCGCAGAGCGAAATTATGAATACGCCGATAGTACTTCTGGAGAAATGCTACATGGAATTTAGAAAGGACCTGAAAAGGAAAGGAAGTTCGCTCAATTGAGCGGCATATCTGAACCCCGTACAGTCCGAGGATTGACACTGAATTACGCGAAACCAAATTTGCGTCTTTATACCGACATACAAGGAGGATATTCTCTTGCGAAAACCCGGGAAAACCTGAGTACAATGCCACGGAGCAAAAATAAGTAAGGTGCATTTGTTGATCGACGGTCCAATAAGTAATATGTACATATCTGTGTAATTTGTGAAAAACAAATGAATGCTATGTAAATTTTGGACAAGAAACCAGCTACTTGTCACCATGCAACTGGAGTTTGCCTAAACCTCCTGTAATCGATCCCACGACAAAGCAATCGCAACATAAAACAGCCTACTGCAATTCGGGTGCCAGAGCGTTATAATCGGGGCAGAGATCGTTCCAGTCTTGAGGAGTTGTCTGAGAGAATGGACTGCCTTCGAGATTAAGAGCAGGCGATTCCGCGAAAACAACGGCGAGACCGGCCTCCAAATGCCAGTCGATGTGGCTGTTATAAGACATAAGTCGTTGTAGTATAACGATTTACAAGAATGAGAACTTACCAATGCAAGAACCAGGCTCCGGGGTTGTCCTATACAACGTCGGTCAATTAAGCAGCTCCTTCGAAGAAGCATGTGTACTTACGGCCTTGAACCTGAAAGTAGTGTTTCCACCGTTGATTGGGGTGACATCTCTCCTAGGCGGATTCACGAAGTTGGTGACGTTGGAATTCGGTTGACGAATGACATCAAAGTTGTGACCGTGCACTTCATATACGTTAGCACGTGATAGAAAACTTCAGAAAAGAAACATACAGTGGAAGGGGTGAGCTAGATAGAATGATGGTTATTCCAAGAACTCTGTCAATAGCGTTCCTACGCACCTCCAGTTCCGGGAATAGAGACTTCGATAGTGGCGTTGGGAGTAATGAGGAGAACCTTTCAAAAAACCCATCTTCAAAACTGCAGCATCGTGGAGTCTAAGGCTTAACTTACTTGATCCTGAAAAAAGACTTAGCGAAACAATATCATTTAGAGTGACCACAACATACCGAAGGCAAGAAGTCTGTGGGTTGAGCTGCTCCACTCAAGATTTGCAATAAGACAGGGAGGGTTGGTGAGATGTAAGAAATGTTGTTGATATCGAAGAATGGAGGGTTGGGCTGTAAAGGGACGTCAATAATTCTAAACCGATGTAGCAATGAATATAAGTTTACTTGAGCAATGTTGAGTTCAAAGAATATGTCTGGGGGAGCACTTCCGAGCTTTCCGGGATTCTCAGAGGCGATGGGCTATGAGATTTACCGTTGATAAATGATGGGGGTGACAGGGAACGAAAAAAAATAATCTTACATGCATGTTGGCATCATCGAGCTTGGTACCAAGGATACCAGTGTTGTTGGAGGTAGGCTCTGCATCAGGTGCACCAGCATAACGAACGATGGCGAGAGTCAAGTTCGGGTTCACTAAACAAAATTCATGTACAGATCTAAGTTGAACAATGAAACGGCTTACAATTGGGGTTTCCAGCAGCGCCAGCTGCTCCGCCGGTAGGTGGGGCACGCATCCAGTAGTTATCAACGGGCTGGTTGGCCTCAACAACAGCAGAAATACGTTGAGCTACATCAAATGAATAAGAAAGAGATTGGTAACGGGATGAAATATACACACCAGCGTAGATGTCGACATTTTGGACAGTGACGGGGTCGTGCTCAACACCATCGAGTTCCATGACAGTCAGATTATGGTTGTCGATACTCCAAGTGAAGAATGGACGGCAAGAAAGAGCGAAGACACGGAAACGGTAACGTTTGCCCTGTTCAACGTTAATCACAGCGTAAGGAACCTCGGGCTAAGATATTTGGTCAGTAAGTGGATGGTCTATCAGCTGAATACTTACACCGCCGACGTAACGGCCAACACCGTTGATAAGACCGGAGTCAGGAATCCTTCAGGTTTCTCAGCAAGGTATTCAGGGCTGTTCAAAAATGGTACTCACGGGACAGTACCGCTTTGGAAGAAATCAGCTTGGGCATCGGGGGCGACAATATGATACCAATCAGAGAGGGTGATGATGGTGGTTTCTTGATGAAGTTTGTGACATGAGATTGGTTCGACGACAAATAAACGAACATACCATCGTCAACATCGTAAAGGTCACCCAAGGGATCCTCAGGATCTACGCGCAATGCCATTCAGTCAGCAACGAGCAGCAATGAAGCATTATGATCGCTACCGTAAACCGCAAAGGCTCCACGCAATCCATCACAATATTGCGTAGAAAGATGGGAATGGTACCAGTAACTACCAATTCGTTGTCAAATTAGGAGATATTATGGAACAGTTCAGAGGATCACGTACTTTCCAGTCTGGCCAGCTGTGTCGAAAGCGTAGTGAAAAGTAGTGTTCGGGGGGATGGGACACTATTTTGAGCGATCAGTACTAGCGCTCAATCAGGAATCAGGATTTATGAACCTGGTTCACAAATCTGTTTCATTGGGCAAATTAATTTGTAGAAAATTTGAACGAAAGTAGCCAACTTACGAAGGCCCATCAGCATAAGAGGTTCTTGCTTGGAAGAACCCGTGCCAATGCTTCAAAACAGGTCAGCGATTGTGATGCATTGAGTAAGAATTACATACAATTGAAGTACTACGCCTCATAGTGGGGTCGACTAATTGATTGTGCATGGCGATGTCGACACTATCACCTTTATTGACCATGAATGTCGGGCCAGGATAGGTTCCATTGGGGGCAATCACGCTATGATTAAGGTTGGTTTATTCATGATATTAGAGAAAGGTAATATTTATAACATACTGCCGTTCAAAGCCATCAGGAGCCAATGGGGTGCTCACAATGTTAAGGTCGAAATTGCGCAATTCCGCAAATACGAATGGCAGAAGACTGATCAGGCCGAGTGTGATGGGCAACATAGTTGTGTAGCTGGAAACGGTAGATCCCTGTAGAATCTTGGGAGAAGAACAAGGCCTTTAAGTACCCTGAGGCAATTTGGCGCGGTCGCAAGTCCTACTGCAAGGTCGCCAATCGATTTGGCGTATTTCGCTAACGTGAGATGCATTGCAGCAAGAGTGAATTAGCATTTCTGTGCCCTCTCACGAGGAGAATGCTAAATGGTGAATGAAGAGGGAAAAGGCGCACAACCCAGGCTTGTGGGACAGATGCGTCTGAATATTGATGTAGAAGCCAGAAGATGCATGTCGCGGGGACAGGTCTTGGCAAATATACCCGGGTTTAGTGAATCGTCTAGTACTTTGAAAAATACACTTGTTTCGTTCGGGCTAGATTTCTTTCGAAGAAACAAACCAACCAACTCTAACCAACTCAGAGCGAGTGGCCTGAAGGAAAGGGATAGGGTGTAGTAAAACGATTGTGGAGTGAATAAGCGAGACAATCCACTAGAGCGCAAACCAAAGGTCAGGACCTTCCCAAGGCAATGTGTCGACGTGAGAGGAATGTGCCTTTCTTGAGGATTACATGGACGTCAAAATTGTGAAAATAAGAGTACGCCTATCCTGGATTGGTCGAGGGTAAGCCAAAGTTGGGCTTGGTTTCCCTGAACTGTCTTCATGAGTTGAAATGATGGAGCCAATACGCGCGCGTTATTTTGGAAGTCGACGACAAAGAATTTCTCCTGGGAAAATAAAATTGATGACGGCTCTCGGGACCCCCCCTCTTTCAGCGCTTCGCTCAACTTCGCTATCTGTTGCTACATTTTAAAGCTAACTCTTCAGATATGAAGCTGATCGTATACCGTCCAAGCAAGGGTCGCCAATCATAGACACTACTGGCCGCTATAGACAGACGCTACCTCCAGAATGGGCTCTACGCTGCTCTGTGAACATAGCTGATGATTAAGAATGGGTTTGAGGTGAGTTCCGTTATTATTAGGACGCCCCAAGAACTGATCAGAGTAAAGATAGAATATAGACATTCGAGTCACTGGTTGTACACTATAACTGTTCTTTCGGCGAGCTTCGACAAGCAAATCTCTCACTCTTGTTGCCAAATGAGTTCCAACGTTTTACCAAACAACGCCTCTTAATCCCGAAACCTCCGCCGCTGAATCAGGGTGCCAACCTTCAACGTTCAACTGTTGACGCAAGGATGAACACCTATATCAATTAAACACTCATGTATCCAACAACGCAACCTGTCATTTTTCTATCGTTGTTCTTGTGTTAATACGTATAGACATTTGTCGTAGTAATCATTAAAATAAGCAGTTCCTTGACCTCAAGAAATCTGTACATGTTGACTTCTGTACCCTACATATCGACTGTGTAGTGTCATGTGATACGAAGTACGCTTCAAAAGCTTTACCCAAGCTTTACCCATCTTCTACCATCTTCGCGTCCAACTTTATTAGCGTACTGTTCTGGAATTTGTCCTCGAGGAGACTCACATTTTGAACGAGGTAAAAACTGTCACCTCTAATACATTGAACATATATATATATTTCAATCCATGACATAGGTGTGGCGGTGGTGAATAACGTACTCAAATTTCGACCGAGATTCTTTCCAGAGCAGAATAAGACGGTCATGCCAAAAGATATGTCCTCGAATTTGACTAGTGGCAATGCTAACGAGCCTGCCGCGGCTACAAAGGCTGCACCAAATTCACGGAAGAGGAAGAAAGCTAAATTTGTTAAAATGGAGGCCAAGTTTGCACAGAGTGCTTCGACATTCGACTCTGTTTCTGTAAACTCTGCTGATTCATCTGTATCAATGAGGATCGGAAACGTCGAAAAGGTTTGGTGGGAGGCATGGATGGAGAACCGATCTGTCCGTTCATTGTTTTGTGACCAGTAAGTAGCCTGCTGAGTCGCATTTGTTTATTCTGCAAAGTACACGATCTCAAACGCTCGTTTGACCAGAGATGCATTGCATTTTCAGAGGATCTCCGATGCTACAATGGTTTTCAACAAGAATCGTTTGTGGCCTCCAACAGAGACCCAGGTTCGCAATCGGTGGGATCAGGTCAATTCTATATCGAGTATCGTCGTACTCAGTGCTGACTATCCTGATCTAGTTCCAAGTTTACGTTGGTCTCCTAAATAATGCTGTAGGAGACGACTTCCTCAGGCTCACAAACTTCGTTCAAAATCCCGCTCGTGTCATACAAATCTACCTTTCCAGTTATTTCATCGAAAAAGGCTTACACTTGTAGGTTTATTTTGCCCAATTTTCATGTAGACAGAATTTGACTGCGCGCCACATAGTTCCAAATACAATTGCGATATAATACCGAAACTGCTATACTTCTACGTCAACTTTCTGCTCGTTAATGAGGTTCTCCCGGACAAAGGAGATAACTTGCATTATGCTCTGTCTATTATCGAAACGGCGAAAACTGAACTCGCTCTGTACCCTCAAATAGGCGAATCTTGTCCTGATCACTTCAATCTGACGTGCAAGGAACTTCTTTGTGACGATTCTCAAGGGACCCTATCGGATACTAACGGGACTCTTGCAGACTCCAATGCTGAGACTCAGATTCAGCCGGATTCCACCCCAGTTAGCCCGCAGAGTCCAAAAAAAACAAAGAAGAAAAAGAAGAAGAAATCCCAAGCTAAACCACAGGCAATGACAGAAGTGTCCGCGGAGAACTCCATCGCGTCTCCTGTCAATTTCTCGGTCTCTGTAGAATGTGAAATCACTTCTCCTGCGATACTCAGTGGATGGGGAGGAACAGCTGCCGTCGATTCTTGGGGTGAAGGCGCTTCTTCAGGCTGGGGAAATGGTGGATCTGCATCAATCAGTGGCTGGGGGGTCGTCGTCGATACTCCCGCCGCTCCTCTCGAAGATATTGGATGGGAGAGTTTCAGCACGCTTCCGCCAGCTTCCTCGTTTGTATCCGCCCATATCACAAGGGCCCTGCCCCAAACTCACATTCGAGGTGTGGTCGAGCATGCAGTACGTCGTGTCAAGGCGATTATTCCCCCTTTGGAACAAGATACCATCAAATGCAAGCAAGAAGATAATACCATACTCAATTCCATTGCACTTGAAAATGAACTCAAACGATGCTATTGGACGGTAGTGCTCGAACCTTGGCCAATAGAAGGGGCGCAAGAGTTCATCAGTATTCTGTCTACTTCCAAAGGGAATGTGGATTTGCATGCAGACCAGATGACCGTGGAAGATGGTTCAATCAATGATTTGTACGTTGGTAGCGTCAAGCCACACAATTGCCTTTCAGATGATATCACGATTTTCCTTGAAGATGAAACCAGGAAAGTTTTGAGGTTGGGAATGGGACTCGGGGGAACTTGGGCCCAACTCCTACGCGCGTCGGATTGTGCTCAACATGTAAAGGGGCACGAGGAGAAGGAGGAAGAGAAGAGTCCTGACGAAAGACGTTATTGGTTCTTACTCGAAGTGCTCAGGATCTTGCCGAGTTACTACATTGTTTGAGTGCACTTCTTCCTGTATACTTCGCTTTGCACTGTCTTCGTTACATGTACAGTATATACAGATACATCATTACCACTTCGTTTTGCAACAATACCGTGGTATACGATGCGTTGATGAATCATTGAATGCCGTCGACATTCGTCAGCCGGAGCCGCTGATAATGATCATAGACTGACAGTCATTCTAGCTACCATGAACTTATTTCAAAACAAGATCTGTTCTTCTCTTTTCCTCCTCCATGTCAGATTCAGAAGACTCCAATCGACCTTCGGCCACAGTCAAAAGAAAAAGGGCCCTCAGGGCCTGCGATCAGTGTTTCAAGGTAAATAAGGAATAGAAACTTGAATTTCTCTCACTAACTTTCTTCTTAGCGGAAAGGTATGTTATTTCGACGTCCAAGAATCGACCACAATCAATCTTGCTTTCCTAGTCAAATGTAAGGTCATCCTCGGTCTATCTGAACTGGTTGTGAAGATTATTCAGGTGATTGTGATGAGATGCCCAATAGTATATGCTCAGTCTGTTTGAGTTTGGGTATTGACTGCACTCATCTTATTCAGAGGAAGGTGAGTCTCCGTACATGATCTGTTTCAAGCGAGCTCTGAAATGCTGCAGAAACGAGGTCCCAAATCCAAATTTTACCCCAGGGGAAGCGACGCGAAAACCCTGATTACCACTATCCTCTCCGCTCAGAAAACCGTTGTTATTCCTAAGGATGAATCTATCGTCCGTGAAATGCTTGTTGAAATCGCTTCTTATGCCCGAGACCTGGAACGGCAGCTAGAGCAATTCTCGGAACAAAGAATACAGCGTTCATCTGCATCTCCTGTCTCGAAACCCAGTCCACTCTATGATTCCCAAGACGAAGATGAAGCTCATGAATTACTCATCCTTCAAACTCAGACTCTCAGGCTCGATAACGCGCTTTATAACAAGTTAATACATTGTTGCCTCGATGCCTCCTCCTAGATACTAATCCTGATATTCTAGACACCTAGGGAAAAGTAGTCATTTCATGCTTTTAAAGACTGCATTGAACATCCGCGATGAAGCGGGTGCCGGTAGTAATGGAGTTATTGAAGTGGAGACGGAGAAGAGTAAATCGTGGTCGCGGGCTTTTGTACGTCTGACTGGGCATAGTTTTTTCTCGAATTGCCGCTCATTATTCTTGATAGTGGCATCGGTTTCCACCCGAACCAGTGGACCCTCCGTACGAGTTCCCAGAGCCAGACCTCCTTCGGAAACTTATCGATTTGTATTTTGACAAGCACCATCCCATCTACCCTGTCCTGCACCGTCCTTCTTTTGAGCGCTTGGTCTACGTTGACAACCTTCATCTTACGAATCGACGATTTGGTGCAGTTGTACTTGTTGCATGTGCTTTAGGCTCAAGGCTGTCAGACGATCCTAGGACCCTGTACGACGGAACGCAAGACATACGATCAGCAGGTTGGAAATACTATGGGCAAATTCGTTTAATTAGCACGAGTCTTTCAGAGCCTTTAACTTTGTACGATGTGCAACTCTACGCCGTACGCACCTTCCATTGTCATTGTCAATGATACGCTGACACACCCCTTAGTTGTCATTAGTTTTTCTATTTCCAACTCCAGCCCATGATGCTGCCTGGTTCCTACTTGCTCTGGGAATACGATCCGCGCAAGATCATGGTGTGTATCGGAAAACAAACTTCAAGAAACGGATGTCAAGTCGCTTTGAGGAGGAGCAATGGCGAAGAGCGTTCTGGAATCTCGCAGCAACTGATCTATACATGAGCATTGCCACGGGTCGTCCAAGGTCAACAAGAGAGGACGAGTGAGTTATCTTCACTCTCATGTTCTTTCTTTTCTTACTTTGACCATCTTAGTTTCGACTTGGAACTACCCCCAGATTGCGATGATGAGTATTGGGAGATCCCATCTAATCCGCACCTCGAATACATTCAGCCGATTGGCAAACCTTCGCGTATGTCTTACTGGCATTACTACGTCAAGCTTCTCCATATCGCTGGCCTTGTGAAAGATAATCTTGTGAGGGTGAAACATGTTCGAACAATAACTTACGTTTTTGACTCTGTTCCGAAAACAGTTCACTACACGAAAATCTGCACTCTGGGAAAATTCATCGCCCGACGGCAATGACAAGATTGTTATGGAACTCGATTCTGCGTTGAATAGCTGGATGGACGAGCTTCCGGATCATTGTAGGCATAGTCCATGGTTCAATTTTTTGCTACATGACACGGTTCCTTCCACAGTGAAATGGGATCCCCATCGCTCGGACGACCTTTTGTTTTCACAATCCGTAAGCCTTCATTCGAATTACTATGTCAGTATCGCTGCTCCATTCCATATGCCATCTGATATTCTTTTTGTTGAAGTGGGTGCAAATTCAGTTGCATAAAGTATTCATCCGTCCAGGTCCATTAAACACAGGCAACTTTCCATCGTTGGCTATCTGCACTAACGCAGCGAGGTCGTATATACATATACTTCAGGCGTGTTTTGCTCATCCTGGGATGCCCCTCCTACCACATTACATCGTGGGTACTTCTATCAGTTCAATGTACCCATTTGCTAATCTTGAACACAGGCTCCTACGTTCATAGCTGCAGTAATCCTTTTAATCAATCTATGGACTAGTCTGCGGGATAAAACACGGTACGATCCTAGGAAGGATATGGCTGATGTATACTCTTGTGTAGATCACTTGCGCGCATACGAAAAAAGGTGAGCATTCCACTTAGCTACTTATCAATTGTTGTTCATGGCTGGTCATGATGTAGATATGAACAGGCAGGACGCTTACAGTATGTGCAATATCCTTTCTATCATCTTATCGACTACTGATCAACTGTTATCCCTGCAGTGACGTTCTGGAAGCAGTCATGTCTGTTAGCAAAATGCCACCACCTTCACAGAAGGAATCCCTCAAACGCTCACGCGATCCTCAACCGGCTCAGACAAACCTCAGCATGCCAGACAACTCCGTACGTCAGTTCGCCGGTACGCGAAGAGTTTCAAATGCTCTGGATGCAGCGTCAGTGTCACAAGCAGATGCCCTAGCTACTGACTATGTCGGCGCGTTTCAGGGTCCTTCAGTGTTACCTCTCTCACATGGCTCGATGTTCGATCCCTTCTTTGGCGTGAACATCGCTGCTTCAGAGCAGCCAACCGTTGGGTTCGATGTTCAACAACAGCTTTTTCCAGCCTATCCGTCGTCGTTTTCCTTCAATCCAACTGCTGCTAGCGCCGATGCTGCGTCGTTTGATTCTGGCATGGATGGCTCTGGTTTCACAACTTCATTCTCCTCTGATTGGAGCAATTCAAGGTGAGCGTTTTGAATATGCATGAGCTATCTTACTGATTTTGTGTAGTCCTGAAGATTGGACCTCGTTCATGTCGAAAGTAGACGATTTACTTCATGACGTGAATCCGGATGGCTTGTAGACATATCCAGTAACGAAGGGAGTATATGTTAGTATAAAAGAATGAAGTATGAAGTAGAATCATTATGGAGTATGTAGAGTACGGGAAATAGAAAAATTTTTGCTCGACGGAATCATAGAAAACCCCGGCCCGACACGGGTACTATTCAGTTGGACCTGATCTGTACTCTGGCCCACCGGCGGCAAAATTTCTCTTGTGACCACCAGCATTGACGTTCACAATGTTGTTCTCGTCCTTTGTTGTATTTGTTCTTAGGGATAATACATCCTGAAACCCCGCGGCCTCTCGCGGCTCAACCGGTTCTTTTTGTGTTGACGAACATAAATAAGATGTACATTTCCCTTTGCATTTCCCAGTCTCCTCTGACGACACTCTAGAGATGGCGCCCCATACAGATGTTGAGAAGTCGAGCATCGAATACAAGGATGAGGAATCGGAGCTCTACGTTGTCGATCCTGCTGCAGAGGAAAGGTGAGCGCATTCTATCAAACTTCGTCGTTCCTTGTAACTGATAGCGATCTCGGAGACTTGTTCGTCGTTTGGATCGTCGCGTGGTACCCTTGGCCATGCTCATCTATCTTTTATGCTCTTTGGATCGTTCAAACATCGTTGGTATCATTTCTCCGCCAGATTAAGCGTTTATATTCACTTACTGCATTAAAGGGAAATGCCAAAGTTTTGAACGACACCACTGGTAACGATCTTCTGCAGAGTATCAGTCTCTCCACCCAAGATTACACCACTGCGCTCATGGTATTCTTGGTCGCATACTTCATTTTTGAGACGCCCTCCAATTACATGCTCAAAGCCTTCCGTCCAAGTCGTTGGATTGCCTTGTTGATGTTTTCCTGGGGCGCAATGACGATGTGTTTAGGTGCCGCGACGAACTTTGGCAGTTTGACGGCGGTCCGGTTTTTGCTTGGTATGTTTGAAGCGGGGCTGTTTCCCGGACTGGTGTATTTTCTGACGTTCTGGTACGTCCAACTGATAATCTTTGCTTCTACTAAGCGTATATTGATTATACATTCACTGTACATAGGTACAAACCTAACGAACGTGCTATCCGTGTTGCTCTAATTCTTGCCTGCGCAACTCTCGCTGGAGCTTTCGGTGGTGCTATTGCATACGGAGTCGGTAAAATGAATGGTACGGGCGGTCTTGAGGGCTGGCGTTGGCTGTTCATTCTCGAAGGCATTCCTTCCTGTCTCCTTTCCCTCCTAGTCCTTGCACTGTTTCCGGACTATCCCGAAACCGTGCGTTGGCTCAACGCGGAAGAAAGGGAGCTTGCGACGAGGCGATTGCAGGGGTTGGCTTCCGTTGGTCATTCGAAAATTAGTTGGGAAGAGGCGAAGAAGACATTGAAAGAGTGGAGATTATATGTACATTATATCATGTACGTTTTTCACCTCGTATATTCTTCTCATCCTGCCCAGACTAAAATATTCCAGTTACATATGTATTTCGGTCCCCTTTTCCAGTATCTCGTTGTTCACACCGACTATCGTTTCGGGCCTGGGATACACTGGTCTTGACGCACAACTGTTCACCGTCCCTCCGTACGCAGTCGCCTTCGTCGTGACGGTGACTATCTCCTGGCTCAGTGACAAATACGAAAAGCGGTCCATCGCGACCTCTGTCTGCCTGTTGATAGCCGGAATTGCGTTCATCGTTGAAGGTGTACTTGCTCCGACGGCGTTCAAAGCTCGATATGGAATTCTATGTGTGGCCGTCTCCTTTGCGTTCGCTAGCATACCGCCACTGTTGTCCTGGCTCACTGCAAACCTACAAACGACTGGTGCCGCTACACTCGGGGTGCCGATGAACGTCAGCATGGGAGCTATAGGACAAATCATAGGTAGGACCTTGCACAACCAGGTTATAGCGAAGTTGTTGATCTTGCTTACATGTAGGTGTATATATTTATAAAGCGTCGGAAGCGCCAGGCTATCCGACTGGGCATTTCACTAATGCTGCGTTTGCGTTACTTGGGTCATTTTTGGCATTGGTGCTTAGGACCGTCTACGTTCGATGGAACCGCAAACTCGGCCCTAACGAACGGGAATGGAGAGTATAATCACAATCTCATGATTCATGACGGAGAATTTGTATGTAGCTTCAGGTATAATAGTTATGTAGATTGATGTTTGTATATTCTGAATAGATGTCACGTAAGGTAAAGTTTGCAAAATCAGTGTTTCTTTTTACGATTGCCGCCCTCCGAACTCGCACGAACGAGTTACCAGCAGCCATCTCCTCGCTGACCAGCACCTTCGTATCAAGTCCTTATGACGCCGTTTCCCCATTACCCGAACCCACTTGACCTAAACCCAGACTCCGGTGCGTTAAAAGCACAAACAGATGCCATTATCTTTTGTGACTGCGTCTGGTGCCGGGCTCTTTGCGTCTGCGGCCTATTGCTCTTTCAAGATCTTTGACAGAACTTAGCTGATAATCATTCACCAGGAATGCAATCGATGGGTGAAGTTTCAGCTCGTCCATTAAAGTCTGAACAAAAGCTGTTTAAGCCAGTCAATGTAAGATTGAATAAAGTAAATCTTACTTTAGAAAACCAGTACCGTGTTTTAGCCTTTCCCTTCCATGGTCTAATCACATCAGGCCAATATTTCATAGCTATTTTGTGACCTTGAATCTCCATTCTAACCAGATCAGGCCTCCAATGTTCTTTATCCTCATCGTCCCAGATAGCTTGAACACGTTGAAGATGATCATTAACATTCAAAGACCGGAAATGATCTTCTAACTTAATCTGGTTTGACTCGGACTCCGAAAGTCTGATGATTTTTTCCCCAGCGATGGTCACAACTAAAGTCTTGTGGGGAGAAAAAGGTGGAGAGACAGGAATGTTTAACTGAGGTAGAGGTTGTTGAGACGGCCGGTACGAAGGCCAAGGAACGGAAGAACCTAGCTGAAAAGGAGAACGAGAAGGTGTAGAGCTTCCTTGAGCTATTAGAAGGGGTCGGTGCAAGGACTGAGGAGCGCAAGGCGGGGAAGAATCTGGAAGAATCGAACAGCGTTGAATCAGCCCAACGTTGTGTCGATAGCTGCTGTGGTGGCTGCTGTGAGAAATTAAAAGGCATGTAAGAAGCTTGGCCAATGGGACTATTTTGCGCTAGATGCTGATGCGGAGAGTAGGAGCGCTGATCCAAGATAATTTTTTTCAATTCGGAAATTTCAGAAAGGACTTTTGTCAAGAGTGAGTCTGATTTGACACGTTGATACCGCTGCAGCAGACCAAACGGAAACATTTACCGGATATTCCCTCCTTTCTTCGGTGTTCATTGTCATCGAACGTGCCAGGAGTTGACTTGTCATTACTGATCTGCATCAAGGTGTCTCTACCACTCTCTCTTCCAATAGCTTCATCAATGTTTCCTACTCTGGATTGCCTAGGGGGCGCAGTGGCAGTAAGAAAGCTCAAAGGACTTTTCTTCGTTACCCCGAGTGCATCAGCTACTTCTTGGATCTACGGTACAACAAAGTACGACCATGATACTGTCATTCGTGGAAAAGGGCAGTAGGAAATAAGCGTACCCAATCATTGATTATTGTAGGAGAGTTTTGATTGCTCGATGCTAGGATTGCAGAGCGCTACCCTTTTTCGTTCTGGTGGAACTCCTATCAGTTTTCTTTTGCTTGTTCTTAGTAGAATTCATGGTCTGACTAGAAAGAACACTTCACACTTCCATCATACCTTTAAGGCCCTCTAGCGCCGACGTGACTAGTCTCATAGCACAGGGGTGAAGAGAACTCGGACTTCCAAAAGCTTTCACATTGCACCGAAGTGGATTTGCCTGGTAATTGAGATAACAGACAAATTATGTACATCACCAATCAAAGATTTGTATCTTCTGTATGGATGTCATATGGGTACATAACCATCGCAAAATCAATTTCCTTCCGCAATTTCTTTCCTCCGAAAGAGAGACCCACTCGCACGAACAGGAGGTTCAGATCTGGGATAAACACCATACATTTCTTCTTCGTCCTCCGAGGATCCAGGTACGCCATAGCCCCCACCACCTGGCGTTTCTACATGATCATTGGATTACAAACCTAATTGACGGGCCCATGCTCACCTATTCGAATACGATCCCCAGCCTTCATTGGAGCCTCGTTCTTTCCACCTAGATATATCTTATTATACGTACTATCATCTAACTTCTGCAACCACCAATTCCTACCACACTTGCCAGGTTCCCCGCCTCGCATACCATAAGGAGGTATGACACGTCGTTCAGAGAGGATTGAAACATCAAGGTCGCGGGTGAATTCTATTTCACGAACGCAGCCATCTCCTCCTGAGTGAAGCCCAGCACCTCCGGATCCAGTGCGGATGCTAAATTCGTGTATGATGACGGGATACCGACGCTCGACGTGTTCGGCGTCACCCATACGAGTATCTGAATAATGGCATGATGAGATGAATTGATCACCTTCAAAGATGTGATTCGCATATGCTCACTCGACATATGGACGTGCGTCCCACTTTGGCCATCCCAATGCGGACCTGAATCCGAGTCAGAGACAGTTGTTACCAAAAACTTGTCGAAACCTCATACCGCCACCTGAACCACCCGCAATAGTCTTCAATAATGCTCGTCAACGGAGCACGCGAATTATTCAGCGTACACCACTTGCCTCGTAGTAGCCGAAACCCTTCCTCGCTAAGCCGGACATAGAGTTTCCTCCATAACCAAAAGTCAAATTGTTGCAGGTTCCTTGGCTGGCCCCACAGACCTCGAAGGCTTTCAACACAAGATCTGTGATGCTTTACAGTCTGTTGTTATGAATCCGTCGAATTAGAAAAAGGTCAGCTAACCGTTGAGACGTCTCTACGTTACCGCCGACAGTAGCAGCCCCAGGTCCTGGAGATAGCAAAGTACGAGGAGGTAGCACAACCTTGATCGGTGCCAGACAGCCATGATTGAGGAGAATTTCGGCGGGAATGAGTGACCGGAGAACGTAGATGATGGCACTGTATACAATTGCAGTTGGAGCATTAAGATTGCAGTATCTGGAGAATGAGTAAGCTAATCTGGCAGACAGCAGAAGTAAAAACACACATACGATTGGGGGCTAGTCCCTGTAAAATCAAAGACGGCCTGTCCTTCTGCAGGGTCGATTGTGACCTTGAGTTGAAGCTCTTCTCCTTCATCAAGGTAATCTACTGCTTGTAGTGGTTGACCAGCGAACTTTTTGTCTATTAACCTGAGCAAGTGGCGAACAGCGTTCTCGGCAGTTTTTTGAATAGCAAGCATGTAGAACTGACAACAGTAAGCTCTGAAACATAATGAGGTAGGAGTGCTCATACTTGGACAACTTCAAGCGTGAACTCGTTGACCAGAGCACTAATGAGAATTGCTCCGCGATGGTTGGCAGATACTTGAGCTTTCAGATCGGAAATGTTCTGTGGTTGCCAAAAAGGAAGAAAATGTCAAGGATCCCGAATGGTTGGTGAGAGAAAGACAAGCATACATCACTTAGAGTTCTGGTTCCAGAACACCCTGGATACTTCGCAGGTTGATGATACATGAGATCAGTGATTCCTTCCTCGTCGAAATGCCCCTGTTTCACAAGCTTGTAACTGAGAATTTGTGCACCTTCCTGTTCTATGGTCTTTGAGAATGGAGGCATAGACCCGGCGCGGACCCCTCCAATGTCAGCGTGATGTGCACGAGATGCCGTCTAGATAGAGAGCTTAAGTACCTTCCTCAGCAATTCTCTCGACTTACGACGCACCCAGAATACGATCTCTCCATTGTGGAATGCGGGCGTCATCACAGTGATATCTGGTAAATGTGAACCTCCAGCATCTAAGACCGTGAATGAGCATTGGGACCAATTACATGTTAGGACACAAACCAGGATGATTTGACACAAGAACATCTCCTTCTTGGATTTGATCTCCTAATAGTTCTACTTGAAATCGAACGGCAGCACTCATGGCTCCTAGGTGAACAGGCATGTGCGGAGCATTTGCAACAAGATATCCGTCTGGAGAGAATAGAGCACAAGAACTATACATAGGTTTAAATGAACAATTTCTTAAGAAATGATGATAGGACTTACTAATCCAACCTCTCCTTGATATTCGTCGAGATTGCAGTCTGTTGCAAAATAGTGCCCATCTGCTCTGCGATACCCATGAATCGATGACCGAAAAACGATAATTGGACCGGATCAATATGCTTAAGGTCCAAAAGAGGCTTTGAAGGAGGAGAGCCTATGCGGTCAAGGATGATGTGCTTTGAAGTGGCAGTAGCAATGTACCCTGGTTCCACGAGAATTGTCTGAGTTTGATCAAAGATGATAGCGGGAGCCTGAGTGATGCATGGTCAGAGTACAGATATGAAGGTCAAAAGGCAAGCTTACCGGAACCTGTTCTCCAGGACAAATGTCCTCCAAAGGGACAACAACAGTGTCTGTCCATCCAGTTATGTCGAAGTAGACTCTTTTCTTCTGACACCTTTCCAAAACCTCCGCTTCCCTCGTCGTCAATTCTTCCAACTCTTTGTATGGACTTGTCTGCTCCGGCGCACCACTTCGGGCAACACCTCGAACCCTGACGTCATCCACATGAACGACTCGATTCTGCAGTGTGAACCCGAATAATTGCTCATGTTGTTTTACAAAACTACTGATCAGCTCTTCATATCGGCCCTCAAGCTCCCGCACCATTATCGTGGTACTGGTACCTTGAAAACGACAATTATAAGAGACCTCGGTCGTGATATCAGATTTAGAAAAGCCTTGTTCGACAAGCGCATCAACAGCACGTTGAATGAGCCTCTCAGAACGCATACGGAGATCAAAAAAGGATGTAGTGTTGTCCGCCCCTAGTCGTGTATCGAGTACGCAGGAAGAAGGCTCTTGTGATTCTACCACGACATCAGCAAGGGCCATGCCATATGCAGAAAGAATAGAGGAAAATCGAGGAACGAGAATGCGGGATATGCCCAGGGCAGAAGCAATCGCAGTTCCATGTTGACCGCCAGCGCCGCCTATTTCTCATAAGTATCAGAGCCGTAAATCAAGAGGAAAAGACATACCAAAAACAACAAGGTTATGACTGGCACTTTCAAACCCTCTGGCTTCGGTCAAACTAAGGGCCATTAGAATATCGATCGTTTCTTTGTAGAAACGGAACGAACGTGCGGATCGGTCTACACATAGCTTCGTTTGCTACCCTCAAAAATCCAGAGGCAACTTCTTCCAGACTCATCTTCACACCTTTAGTTGCTCCAATAATTTCCGTGAGCTCAGCGAATTTCGCATGTGTCGTATCGGCATCCAATGATTCGTTTTCATTAGGTCCAAATATTTTTGGACTTGATCGAGCAACATAAGTAGAGCCTTTGATATGATTCTGATTGCATTTACGTACAATCTCTCAGGTAAAAGGCGTCCCAGAAGCAAATTAGCATCTGTAACGGCTAGAGGACCACCTTTGCGATAGCACGCGGGACCAGGATGTGCACCGGCACTCTGTGATTAGCATGAGTGTTCGTATATGCGAAGAGACGTCAGTGCAAACCTCTGGCCCCACAACGAACATGCCATTTTCCCAGAAAAGACGACTGCCTCCTCCCGCTGCAATGGATGAAACGTCCAACGAAGGAGAAAGGATCGTCACCTGAGCAGTGGTTGTTTCGAATACATGCTCTAGGTGGCCAGAATATCGGGACACATCAGTACTAGCTCATACATAAGTATTTTGGAATAGTGAAACGAAATGAATCCATACGAAGTGCCACCCATATCGATCGAAACAAGAGGTGTTCCTTCCTCAGGATCATAGCACTACAAAGGGTGTTTGTTATCGATATCCATACAACAACTAGAATGCTTACGGTTTTTGCGTACCCAATGACTCCTCCAGCAGGCCCTGAGAGGACAGCGCGGAGACCCGAAAAAGTCTTGACAGAGCACAATCCACCATCTGAACGCATAAACAACAACTTATCACCCAATGCAGCGATGCCTCCCTCGAATCCACCGGCGAACGTCTCTATATAGGTTCGAGTTACTGGTGAGAGATACGCGTCTGCTATAGCTGAATTGGCACGAGATACAATCTTGACCATAGGCTGGAGTTCGGATGACACAGATACTGCGAAGCCCATCTGGCGCGCGATATCTGCAACGAGATTCTCATGGTGCGGAAATGTGTACGAGTGGAGGAGTGCAATGGCAATCGAGCGGAAGCCGGAATCGTGAAGCGACTGTAGCTGGGCTCTGATACGGGTTGGATCCGGTTGACGGATAATGTGCACTATGTCGCCAGTGATACCACGTACGATAGAAGGGTTTGTGATACTCTCGAAGTTGGTAGATAGTGGGGATTCCGGGTCTTCTGAGGAGGTCGGGATAGTGACGCGTTCATCGATTTCAACTACTGTCTCGTAAAGTAACGATAACTTTTTGACTGAAAGGTCAAAGATGTGGGGTCGTGCTAGATATCCTTCAACTTAGAACGGAGAAAACGCGTAATTCTCGCCTCGTACCCTGAGCACCAATGCGCAATACATCTTTGAATCCTTTGGTCGTCAAAAGCGCGCAACGAGCTCCTTTTCTCTCAAGGAGAGCATTTGTAGCCACCGTTGTCCCCATTCGAATGCTTTCAACCTGAATTTGATTATATCAGTGCGTGGTAGCTCAATGAACATGAGAACACACGCAATCCAGCTTCAATTTCGCAGATTTTGAAATAATTTGACCGAAGGAAATCTCCAAAGCTCTTCGTATACCTTCCGTGGGTGCATCACGATAATTTGAAGGATCTACAGACAGTAGCTGGATGAATACATTAGCCAATTCCGTTTTAGCATATTCAGCATAAATACCGATAAATACCTTGAGAACGATATCTGGCTTCCCAGCCTGCGAACAATGTACATCGGTAAATGTCCCTCCTCTATCTGAACGATATTTGAGACTAAGTTGGCAATGGAAGGTTGTTTACCCACCAATTGCGATCCTGACCAAGTTTGCCATAGTGAAGACCTGGTAAAGACGTGTATGTATGATCAAGACAGAGATGGATTTTTCGAAGACGATCCTTCATCTTTAATGGTGCTTATTATAATTATGAGCCTAAGTCAAAAATATGTTTGGATGTTCAACTTCGGAATTGAACCGGAAGTTGGAATCACCATACTTACATATATATGAATCTCTACGAATCTGATTAGATGATAAGAGAAACAGTGCCACTTTTTTGTCACTCGTCTTCTTTTCCCCGTCTTCTCCCAGTCTTCTCCTCGCCACTTCGTGTTGAGTCAACCTCTCAACCCTTCGTACATCATACCGAGGAAGATTAATAAGTTTCCCCCAAAACCCAGTGGTACTGAAGACCTGTCAAGACTGATCGCACGAGATTACCGAAGACTTGTTGGAACTTGAGTCTTGACTCATGGATATCTTGGATGCCTCTCGTGCGCTGCTCACCCGCGTGGGTTGAAAATTCATACCGAAATTCGTAGACATTTTTCGATGTCGTATTCTTTTGATCACGCCTCCTTCATTTCCTGATAAGGTCTTCAATGCCCTGGTAACGTGTTAGAACTTGGTTACATATGACCCTGTACAGGCCTCATCGAGCCTCATCCTTTGTACACCACTTCGGTTCCTAACGCACTGCTCGACTAAAAGTTGCTTCAGCGTAATAAGCTCGACTTCAGAGTGGTCATAGAAGTCTGTCTTCGGGAGACAACGTTTGGCACGGAAGAAGCATAGAGAGTACAAGAGAAATATAACTACAACATAGTGGAAAATTCATGGCACCGTAAAACTCCGTCAGTTCATATGATCATGATGTTCATCGGAAACCTTTTCTTCGTCGATGGCGTATCCGGCCCTTTCAGAAATATCGCCGGGTACGAAGGTTCCTGATAAAGGTGTGAACATTGGCGCAGAAATCCAGATAACAGCATAAATACCTTCACGGAGCTCCTTTTCGGCGAGAAAACTGTAACGATATGCGTCAAAAGTTTGTCCCTTGAAGTAAGAAGAGGGAAAACGTACCGATCCTGTTTGTTGGCGTATGGTGTATTTGCAACGAAGAGAGGTGCGTCTTGGAAAAGAGCGTCCATTTCTGCAGAAGTGGTCAGCATCAATGAGATTCGGATAGGGGCTGTGAACTGACCTTCCAATCTGCGACCAGTGGTTTCCTGAAGGTCCGTTGTTCATGTGATGAGAAACTTGAACAATTTTCTAAGGGACTGATCCAACGTACCGGATAAAATGCCCAAACAAAGAGAGCACTACGGGAAAGATATAAAGATTGTGCAGATCCGATTGAATCAATCACTCACTTGGTGTGGCCGCAAATTGCAAAGACAAGATCTACACAAATGTTAGCTCAAGAATTCCCAATTATCTCGAAAGGACGAACAATATCTAGGGATATACGTTAGTCAAGAATGAAGAAAGAAGGTCCAACGAGCCGACTTACTTCCATCCGATATGGGAGAAAGCAACAGGGGTAACCTGAGCGATGAAGCTGAACGGGGTTGTTTAGTAGTAGATCATCGAAAATGTATTCTAAGATACTCAACAAGTTGGAGATCCATGAGGCGGAACTCGTCACCGCTGTTGCCTTTGCTCTTGTCCTTGTAGAGCTACGAAGGCGGTTATAATCAGATATTGATTCCATAGACTTCACTCACTAGATCTCAGCTGGGTAAGCCCACGATAGAGGGCCAATACATGCGCTGAAGAAGAAATTGAATACCCATGTGCTGTTTTCGAAAAGAAACTTTAGCAAGCAGGCAAAATACCCAGTTGGGCAACAGACTCACGTTACTGTAAACACAATGATATGCTGATCAATAATTGAGCAGTACTTCCGAGTGAAACAAACGTACTAATGAAAATCTAAGAAAAGGTTAGATATTTGACGGTTAATACATAGATAATTACTCACATAGTGGGCCTGAACAAACATATATCTACAGTTAGTTCGCGAACGGATAAGAGGCATTGTACACGGACAGCATCACTGAAACAACAGTTAGAAACTGCCTGTTTCATGCAGAATAACCACGTACTTATTCACAGTTCCCGGCCATCGAGCCATGAGAATTGAGCCGACGACAAACGACAATCCGGACGCGACATTTCCAACGATAAGAGGCATTCTTCGGCCGGTGTTGTCAACCCACAGCACACAGCACGCCTCGCCAATGAGCGCAATAACACTGTTGATGGATTGGAACAAAAGCACCCGGGTTGCTGAGAAACCCATCGTCGTGAATATCTGTGGTTAAATCTCCTCGTCAGAGGATGATATCAAGTGAGACATCAATCATTAACATACTGTGGTAGAGTAGTACTGGATAGCGCTGACACCTATGTAGAGTTAGCAAGCAGTCTGGACAGGGAGACTGGAACTAGCAATACCGGTCATCTGAACGGAAAATTGCAGAATGTATCTGAGTATCTCGAATAAGCGTCGATCTCCGTTCTGACAGTAGCAGGATGACTTACCCAAGGGAAACACGGCGGAAATTGCTAGGATCAGTGAAAAGCTCGCCCCAGCTACACACTTTCAATCAAAAGGAGCCCTAATCAGTTCAAGGACGCATACCTTGCAGATCCAATTTCTCTTGCTCTTTGGATTTCGGCCTTGATATCTTCCATCTGCGAAACTACAAATGGATCGTTGACGTTTCCGTGTGCATGAAGTTTGGCAAGAGTCCTTGCGGCTTTGTAACAATAATGCTTGTGAGCGGAGACGGGTGATACAAGCCCACAACACCATTACCTTCGTCAAGGCGTCCTTTTTCTGCAAGCCATCGGGGCCTTTGATTGAAGAATAAGTTTGAAGACAATCGGACAGCATTGACGTTACTTACGACTCAGGAAGGAGCAGAATGAAGGCGAAAAGAGGTATAGCTGGGATGATCTACGCGTAAATCGGTTGAGTTCGCATGTAGTCGATGTGATTCTCATATAACAAACCTGGATGCCAAGAGGTACTCTCCATTCTGCTTGTGTGCCCTTCAATCCTGCGGACGTACCATATGTCTAACAGAACAGAACTATGAGACTCGAGAGGGAAGATCAACAGCAGTGGATACTCACAATCCAGGAAGCAGCAAAGGCTGAAATGCAGATGTTTGAGCTAAAGGCCCTGCGTTCAAAAGTGACGAAGACGTACCGCCAATTCCCAACATGAACTGCAAAAATACAAGTTTCAGTCATTAAATTGGACATTTATGATTGAGTACGCACTTGTTGCAGAGTGGTAAGGCGACCGCGTATACTAGGATGAGCAATCTCAGCCTACAAGAACTAGGTTGAGTACGGTAGCTACTCAGTTGAAAGGTCCAAAGGCGCACCTGATACAGAGGGGCCAAGTCTGCCATTATTCCAATCCCAAAGCCCGCGAAGAAACGACCAGCATATATCATGTCCAAATTTCGTGCGCCGGTCTGCAAAGCTCCTCCGAGCCTATATGACGAAGAGTACCATTAGAGTGCCAAGGAAAACCGATTGAAAAAACTTACATGTAGACCAAAGCTCCGATTTGAATTGTTTTACGACGGCCCAAAGTATCTGCAAAGTGGGCGACTGGGAACATACCAGCGAAGCTGTGAGCATCTTCAACGTTAACGCCGACAGTCTTCCAAAAAGCTGTGGAGCTTACCATCCCAGAACTGTAAGAACTGTTAATTGACTTCGTCGAAACTAGAGGAGAAAGGAGACCTACGGAGTATACTAGTAATCAATCCTTCTAGATTGGGATTATTGAAGCGGGAACCCATAGTATCCTAAGAGGGGTATCAGAACTCTTCGCAAAGGACGTGGTCCAAGGAAATTTACGATGAAGTCGGTCGCGGAGAGGACTCCGGCTATGACACCAAGATCATATCCAAAGATGATACTACCCAAACCTATTGATAGCGTAGAATGAGCACGAAAATAGAGATATATAGCCTTCTGATAACTCACTAGCAAACAGCCCACATAGCCACGTATAAACTTTCGGAGAGAGAGCCATCAATGAATGCTTGATTCCGAAACTTCAAATCCGTAGACGGAAAAAGTTCGCAGAAAGAAGACGAATTGTGTTCTCCTTAATCAACTTGCTTTTAAGCCCCATGCCCTGGCCCTGAAAAATGTATCCCGTGGACAGAGAAGGAAATTCTCGAATGAAATCACCTGGAAATCACATATCAAGAACGCTTTACGGGCCAGAGCGGGCCGCTTCAGCCGCTGAATTTATTATAGCCGACAGTCGCAGTGCATCGGATACAAGCTATACGACGACCCGATCAAATCATAGCCAATCATGCGACTTGTTGCGATCGTGCTTGCAACAAGTTGAAGTCTCGAAGTCAGGTAGAGGTTATGCGACATCAGGGGATCGACCTGATTCCCCTATTAAGTATTATGCGGGGTATTCTTCAGGCACTCGACGCTCAGGTGGTGCGGGGAAGCGGGGAATGAGGAGAAGCTAGGGAAGGTACATTGAATTTGAATCGGACAAAGTTGCGCATCAAGCAGCACATATTAGTACATATCTAGATTTACTGCAATTCAACCTTGAAGACAAGGACTGGAAGCGAAATTAGCTGCTCATTAGCTTGTACTGAAACGAAGCTAAATGATAGGGGACTGACGCTGGAAAGAGTGTTGTTTCACCGAATATTCACCGGACCACGGTAGCTGTTTCTCAACAATCTGGACGCGCTCTCCGTCCCATCCGTTATTGTCTTTGAGGTCCGCGCTCCAGACTTCGTAAACTTGAACCGTTCCGCCTGATACGTTACAGGCAGGACCGAATCGTATGGGTATGGTATACCCCTCCGTAGCATGCCGGTTGACGATGGCTAACCGAACCTCGTCCTTGGAATCATCAAGGACAGCACTCACGTCGATATATTTGGTTAATTTCTCGTCTCCACCTGCGTTCTTTTCAAGCTTTTCTACCCAGTCGGGAACAGTTTTGCCTGTGTGAGATGGTGACCCGACGTGCACGTTGAGGGAGGTACCTTGCATCAACGTAGCGAACAGTTTAAGTGGATAGAAGGTCGTCTGCTTGAAGAGACCTTTCGGGGAGGTGATGATGGGAGAGATGACATTTACCGACCTGTAGTCAAAGAACAGTCAGAGAAGTAGCAAACTGTCGATTAGCGGATTTCAATTTACTGGGCAATACAAGCAATTTTGACGATGTCTGCTTTCCTTACAAAAACATTCAACCAGGATGCAACAGCGAGGGCATCACTAAGATCGTAGTGCTCCTCAGCACCCTTCTCTCCAGGAGCGCGCACAGGATCCCATACGTTCCATTCATCGAAGCAGCTATATTTCATATTACTTGAACCTGCGAACTGAATGTTCAATAAGGGACCTACATAGTGACTTGCTTGTCGAGTCCTGATTCGATTTTCGCAAGGTCAATAAGGGACTTGCTAATTTCTAGAGCTTTCTCTGCAGCGGCGGGACCCATGACATTCACGGCGTGGTTTCCTTCAGAAACAGTGTAGACTACAGACATTGTCAGAGCGAAAGCTGCCGGTGGATATGAGAGAACTGACTGTGTATGGAATGGTAGTCTACGACCGGAACCAGTTTCTTCAGGGTTACACGATCCCAGTCAGCATAACCGGTTTCTGGAGATCGCTGTTAGAAGAAAACTCCTAGAAAATAGACTGCTGATTCACCTCCACAAGAGATTAATTGGATCGAAGGATCGAGCAGCTTGAGTGCCTTGGCCCACTGGAACGCCTTCTTGGCGTAATCCTGCGATTCCATTTGTCCCACTTGCCATGGACCCCAGACTTCGTTCCCCAAGCTCCAATATTTAACTTTGTAAGGTTCGGAGTGTCCGTTCTCCCTACGGAGATTGGCATAATACGTGTTGGCAGAACTGACATGTAAAAGAAACTTTAAGCGATGAGAGAATCAAGATAAGACGAAGACGGACCTGTTACAGTATTCCAACCATGCCAACGCGTCTTCTAGGGTTCCAGTACCCATGTTAAGACAGATATACGGTTCCGCATTCATTTCTTTACAAAACTGCATGAACTCGTCCGTTCCGAATTGGTTAGATTCTTCTGTGAGCCAGGCAAGTTCTGGTCGTCGAGGACGGAGATGTTTAGGCCCAATACCATCTATGGGATCTTAAGGAACGCGCCCTTTGGAGCTAATAGAGGTCAGAAGACTCACCTTGCCATCGATAACTACTGACAAAGTTTCCTCCAGGGTATCTGAAGATAGGAATGTTCAACTCTTTGAGGACACTCAACACATCTTTCCGGAATCCAGTGTTGGAATCCGCGAGTGAGTTAGGATTCTCTGAGTACCGCCATGAGTCAGTACTTTCTCTCAACTACTTTCTTTCGCGCATAACCGGGACTCACCAGGCTCGAAGATTCCACCGTATATGCATCGACCCATGTGTTCTGTGAAGCCGGAATAGATTCGAGGATCGACTCGGCTTATGCTACGAGCAGGATCTATATGGATGATAGGAGATGGAGAGGCCATAGTGAGGTAGAGGATCTTTTTCTGGGAATTCGATATTCATCTTCGAGGTCGATGTTTATCTTGTATAGATTTTGCTCGGACCGTCGAAAGGACCGGAAGTCAGAGGGTCGGCGCGGAGTGTTCCCACGATAACCAGGCAGCGGAAGTCGGCCCCAACATCAACATTTGTTACAGATTTGTACATCGTTGCTAACATTGAAAATTCTTTCACTATGGAAGCTCGTTCATTACTGCAGTTATTCGTCTGTGTCGATCATCACGCCAGTTTCTTATTTGTGCACGGAGGCCGAACAGTGGCCGAATCAAATATCTTTGCTGTTTGTGTTCAATGTTCATTGCAGACAGGAAGGGGCTTCCTAACTTTCAACTCAATTACTGTACATAATAGTTGTCAACTACAGAGAGACAGCTTGGGTCCGCGGGCCAAGACCCTCGAAAAACTATTCGGAACCCCCAAACTTGGCTATGTTCAGAAGCAGCCACATCCACTTGATCTCTTTAGTGACAAAAGCTCCCGCATGTGTCAGAGTAATTGTTTCCAATCATGGAGGTCATTGGATGACTTCCCGTAAGCCTTTGCCCAATAATCTGAGTAAATAATTTTTGAGCCGGTCTGATGCGACTGACGGATAGTTGATGCGCTGTTCGCTTATCCCAGTAAGCGAGTGCAGAACCGTCTAGGGAGGGGTCCGGACCCCTCTCTAGACGGTTCTGCTCGAGTTCTGCTCAAAATCCAATCCGTTGATCGGACTAGTTTGCTTAGGACGTTTAGAAACTGTTAGAAATAATTACTGTCCAATAATCCTTACGGGAAGTCATCCATTGTAGGCATCATCTTCGTCGTCACGGTTGAGTGGCAATGGTACTGGTAAGCACTTGTTCAGAGAGTAAATCGCCGCAGATATTCACTACTGACGGACCAAGTTTTCCCGGCCGAAAAATATAAAGGGAAATTTTGGAAGCAAACTGCCGATTTCCCCTCAGTCATTAATTCTCTTTCACGGGGAGGTATGATTAGATTTGACGCTTGATTTTCCGTTTGTTTCCCATTTGATCAATATGCTATTTATCATAGAATAAAGATGACCTTTCGCTTTAGATAAAGCTAATCTTTCGCTCTAGATAAAGTTAATCTTTCGCTCTAGATAAAGTTATAATTAATCTTTCCCATAAGATAAAAATTATCTTTCACGTGAGGCAAAGATAATCTTCCGCGTCAGATAACTTTCACATTGCGCGCTTGTAAAATTTTCAATTTTACCTTCGCGAATCCAAATAATTTTAAGCGCCTAGTGGCATGTGTGGCACGAAGTTGAATAAGTGAGTACTCTAGTACTAGTCTGTACTGGTGCGCCCTATCATTCTGCCTATAGCGCTCTCATACCTGTTCTGATAGAGATCATTCATGTCACAATATATTGATACTGTTCGCCCAAATGGGCTATTGCAGGAGATGTTGCCACTCACATCCACAGGCGCTTATGTTTATTTGGATTCGCGAAGGTAAAATCCTTCCACCGCGGAAGCTGTTCCAATAATCTATAAAATTTCTGACTTCCAAGTTCGAGGCAATATGGATCGATTTGTCTATAAGCTTTTTTGAATATCATCATTGCTGTGCTGAATGTAGACAGAGAAGGTAGCCCAATGGCACAAGCAATATCTGGCATTGCTTCATGAAGGTGGTGGTGTCTGCCTTTAGGCTTGTGAAAATGTTTAGCCAAACCGGACAAGTGCCCTCGATACTGCAGCACGAGTTTTTGCCATTCCTCTCGATATTGAATCTACAACATTGTCAGAATTTCTTTAATGAAAGGGAAAAGAACGGAGTCAAACCCAAACACAGAAGACGCTTGGATCCAAGATACTCAACGCATCTTCGAGAGGGCTATCCATTGTTTTTTGAGCAGTCTCGTCCAGAGGTATACCTTTATTTTGAAGTACCTATACCTGAACTAACTTTTCGTATAGTCTAACTCTGCCTTCAGCACTGCTTCCTTTTCCTTAAGGGGGAGAAATCGGACACCCTAGTCTTGTATGCCAAGATTTTTAATGGAGCTGAGTACGGAATCCTCAGACTTGATAAACATCGGGTGTAAACGAGAGTCACTATAAACTTGAAGTATGGAACACATACTTCACCTCTTTATTGACACATTCTCCCGCGAGATGCATCCCATACTTCTTGATCACAACTTCTCCCAGCAACAGAAGCGTATCTAGATCTAGTGAACTAAGATCTGGCGGTGGGGTGTTATGGGTATAAGAAAGGACGAGTCGGAGAATAGGGAGTTCTGGAAGCGCGGAAATTCCGCCACGTGACTTATCGCGAAATTCTTAGTGAATTTACGTGGGTTGGAGATATTCGCTTTCTTTCTCAGTTGCACTTCATTTACACAATCTGGTACTCTGTAATGTCTCGTAGAGGTAGAAAGAAGAAGAATCCATCTCACCCTCCCCAACATGAGCAAGAAGTTGACAATACTCCACCTCTTGATGTGCCTTCTTCTCGGCAACCAACAACAAAGTTCACATCATTACTTGCCACCAAATTAGTAGCTGCAACCCGTAAAGAGCGACCATTTGCTGCAAAATATGGAGAGGTCCAATCCACTTGGCAGAGAGTGGCAGATTTGGTCTCGAATGAAGCTAGATTGAACCCACCAATGTCGAAGAAAACAGCGCAAGATAAGGTTAACCAAATGGTCAAAATGCATCGTGTAAGGCTTCAAAAGATTCTTTCTTTAATGCAATAAACATTTACCTATCATTAGGATGGATGTCAGGCCCCAAAACAGCTTCAGCTTTCTGAATGTGAATATACAAGTTATGCTTCAATTTTAGATGGATTGTGCCATGAGATGGACGAGGTAGAGAGAGAGAAAGCTAAGGGTTCATTAGAAAAGCAACAGGTGCGTGTTCTGTAGTCAGATTCTTCTCAATAAGCTAACTGTAACTCTCAGAATTTGGCAGCTCAAGAAGCTGCTGGAAAGAAAGCACGCGAGGCAGCCATGAAAACACTTGAGCAGACAGAATTAGGTCGAAAGCGCCGGTGGAATGAGGCTTTCCTGGCAGCGTTGTCTGACAGTGATGAACCCGAGGACAATGAAAGCTCTTATGACACTGAGGCGATTGAAACAACACAATCACACAAACGACATTTAGCCACAAAAGCCACCGGAAATCCAGCATACAATGCTGCATCAGGACCGATCAAGGATGTTTTCGGAGAATTAGCTAGTGTTGTAAATCGCGCTGAGGCAGATGCCATGGAGAGTACAGTCAGGCTTGCCGAGGAAAATAACAGCATCCAGCGAGAACGATTGGAAGTGGAGAAACAGATGCTCACCGCTATTCAAGGCCTCAGCAGTACGTTATTCCATTCTCATCACTTTATTAGACAGCGCTGATTCATCTCCAGACAATTTACAACATCACATCGAAGTTTTCCATACACTTGAGAAAGAGAATCAATTTCCCAATATGTAATCGCATCGTCTCGTTTGAAATAGGCTCATATAATTGTATATACAGCACTAGTGCTAAATATGAACAAAATATTCTTCTAGCGTAGGTGGTGCAAGATCAAAATACTGCGAAGTTTGAGAGCCATATAAACATGTGTGAGCATTAGTCAAAAGACATGCAACTGAAAAGAGTAAACCGATAGGAGAGAGAAAAAGTCGCTGCTGATCGTGTAAGGTAAACGCATGCCAATTCTGATATATTTTTCCAAATGTCCACTCGATTGCTTGGCGGTATCGCGACATCTCCGTGTTTAGTTGTTGCTCAAGGGCAGGAAGTGTGTATACCTCCTTCTGACCTGACATGATAACGTCGCCCTCAGCATATGCAGGATCAGCATAGATGACTAGTTGGCGGTTACCAAACCCTCGTCCCTTATTTTTCCATTTACTAATCAGCTCGGATGCAGCGAGGAGGCCACCATCTGCGCGCCGCCCTTCGATTGGACCATACACCATCAGCATCATGCCGTCGGGTCCACAAAGTCCTTGAAATTTCAATGCATGCCCAGCGTAGTAACCGTTGTATACAATTTTCTGATTCGTACCAGGCCTGCAGATGAGGTTGATAGTACCATCAAGGAATGCTGCAACTTCTTTAGTTGGTGCTCCACCTGCGTGAATGACACTGGCATAGCGCTCGAGATTGCTGGGGTTAACAAGATTGGGAGGGAGATCAAGGAGATGAGACCAGAACTTGTAGATGTAAGAGCTGAGATCATTGATGCAGGCTGATATACGAGCTTCACGGATGCCAAATTTGGCCTGTAGGTCAGACAATCGTGCAGGATATGCCAAGCGGGCACAGAGTATATGTCACGAAGCGGCAGAGGCGGAGTGACTAGCGGAGCAGGAAGCGGGGTGACTAAGCCAGGCAGAGAGGCGGAGCGACTAAGCAGGTGAGTGAGGCGGAGCGACTAAGCGGAGCGGAGGCGAACTGGTCCCAGATAATGACAGAGATATATTGAGTATCGTAGTCATAGGTAATAATAAGTAAGCACATACCTGGTCCCAGATAATGACAGAGAGGTCAAGATAAGGGACCAGGCTGTGGAGGGTTGGCTATATATACATAATCTAGTCTGCGAGAAACAACGATGTAATACTGTACAGTTCAGGGGCAAGGAAGGAGGCGGAAGCCGATAGAAAGAGAAGGTGGGTCAGGTGGATCAGTAATAGATAGATCAGTAATCGATGGAGATTGACAGCGATGGGATGATGTATTGTACAAGTAAAGGCGTCGAGACGGTGAGAAAGGGAAAATGATAGGGGCTGCGTACTTTATGACATTACCCCCCTCCTTATGACCATTGCCCTCGATGGTCAAGGTTTTGCCGCTGTCGGATGTTTTTTGTGAAAGGCCCGAACAATTTTTGGTGCCCGGCTGAGGTTGGGTGCGGGTTCCCAAGAGTTGTGTCCTGCATCGTAACCTTTCCATTTTACTAGATATTCCAACTTCTTCCATCGTACCCGACTGTCCAAGATCTCCTCCACTTCATATTCCGGTTCATCTTCATCTTCTAAGTACACTGGCTCTGGTGGTGTTGGTATTTCGCCATTGATGGGGTTACCTTTCCATGGATATAGTTTGTCGACATGAAAGACAGGATGAAGGCGGTCTAATGACAAGGGAAGGTCAAGGCGGTAATCCAGAGGTCCGACTTTCTCCAGAATACGGTAAGGTCCTAGCTGTCGGTCTCCTAGTTTTTCACTGGATAGCTGTAGGTTAATGTCCTCCGCACTTAGCCAAACTAGGTCCCCAACTTTGAATTGGTGCGCTTTTCGCTTCCCACGTTCGTATCCCTCCTTTTGTTGCTTCTTTCCTAGATGTAAGGCAGCTCCAGCATCCTGTCGCGCTTCTCGGAGAATCCGTATGCGGTCATCCACCGCTGGAATGCCGCTGCGTTGACCAACCGGGATATTGAACAGGGGAAGGTATCCATAGGTTAACTCGAATGGGGACATGCCTAGGGCCGAGTGAGTCCGCGAGTTAATCACAAACTCCGCCATGGGGAGGTGTTCTGCCCAGTCATCTTGTCGTCGTCCCACATAGAGGCGGATGTATTTTTCCACTTCCTGATTTGCGCGTTCAGTTTGGCCATTGGACTGAGGACGATATCCGGAGGTTAGATCTGATTTAATTCCCAGTCTAGCGAGGAGGGATCGCATGAGTTTAGCTGCGAACTGAGGTCCGCGGTCGGACTTGAAGTGGAGGGGAAGACCATGGAGACGGAAGATTTCTCGGTAATAGATATCGGCGACACCTTCGGCTGTAATGGAGCTGGTGCAAGGAATAGCATGGATTTGTTTTCCATACAGGTCTGTACAGACCAAGACTGCGTCGTATCCCTGGGAGTTAGGCAATTGTGTTATCAGGTCGACCCCTACCTCTTCCCATAGGCCGGATGGTACATCCAGTGGTTGAGTCACAGCTCGTGGGTGCCGTTGGATCTTCTTGCGGGCGCAAATCTCGCATCCCTCAACGTATTTCTCCACAAAAGAACGCAGTGTCGGCCACCAGAAGTGGGTGCTGACCAGGTCAAGTGTCCCATGTAATCCGGGATGTCCAGCAGTTGGATGATCATGGCATTGACGGAGTACCTCGGTGCGTAGATTGTTGTCTGCTGGTACATATACCCGGCCCCGGTAATAGACCAACCCGTTGTCCTCCTCCCATTCAGCTATCCCATTGGCCAAGCGTTGTAACCCGTGCTTCTTGACTGTTTCCAGCCCTTCCAGTACTTGTGCTTCCCGTTCTGAGGCTTTCCGAATACGATCCTCTAGGGGGTTCCGTAGGATTGAAGTGGCGATTTTGGTGAAGTGGCCAGGTTTAAGGACGGTCTGTTGCTGATTGTCATCGCTATCTGATACATGATGTACTGCCATACAAGAAAGAGCATCAGCTTGGGTGTTTACTCGGCCAGGACGGTGGATCATATGAAAATCAAACCGTGATAGATATAGGGCCCATCGGGCTTGTCGACGGGTAAGGTCTTGTGCTGTGCGCCAGAATTCGAGGTTGGAGTGATCAGTGATAATGTCAAATGGTTGTGGAAGTCCTTCCAGGAAATTCCTCCAGTCCTTCAATGCTTCAATGATGGCAAGCATCTCCCGATCATATATTTCATAGTTCCGTTCTGCTGGCTGCATGGATGCCGATCTGAAGGCCACTGGGTGCCACTGACCATTGTCTTGCTTCTGCATGAGGGCGCCTCCCGTAGCAAAGCCTGATGCGTCTACCTCAATTCGAGTGGGCCGATCTGGCGCCCATAGAGCAAGGATTGGTGCGGAGATGAAGGCCTCTCGAAGGGTGTCAAATGCCTCCTGTTGTGTACCAGTCCAGTTGAAGCTGGTATCCTTCTTGGTTAGGTCGTTCAAAGGTCGAGCTATTCTTGCAAAATTTCGGATAAAGCGCCGGTAGAAGTTTGCAAACCCCAAAAATCCTCGCAGTTCCCGGAGGTTGGTAGGGACTGGCCAGTCACGAACAGCCGCTACTTTGACCGGATCCATTCTCACCTCCCCTTCTGAAATGATAAGTCCCAGGTATTCGATCTGTTGCTGTTCAAATTCACACTTCTCTGGGCGCAAATAGAGGTCGTGCTTTTCTAGTCGCATTAATACTTCCCGTACCACTTGTCGGTGTTCCTTGAGGTCGTTACTGAATATGAGGATGTCGTCTAGGTAGACTGCCACCTTGCCAGCTGCAATGAGATCAGCAAATATCGCATTCATAAGTGCTTGGAATGTGGCAGGGGAATTCGTGAGACCGAAGAACATAACCTTAGGCTCGAACAAGCCCCGAGTTGTTGCAAATGCGCCTTTCCATTCATGCCCCTTCTTAATCCGCACATTATTGTAGCCCCAGCGAACGTCAAACTTGGTGAAATATCGCGCTCCCTGAAGCCGGCTAATGATATCAGCAACTAATGGGAGAGGATATCGGTTCTTCACAGTATACTCATTCAGTTTCCGGTAGTCCTGTACGAAACGGAGTTTCCCATCCTTCTTCTTCACGAAGAAGACTGGAGATGAGATGGGTGACTTTGAGGGAACGATGTAGCCTTTCCGTAGGTTTTCTTCTAGAAAGCGGTCGAGTTCCTCCTGCTCGTTCAAGGACATTGGGTAGATCTTTGTCCGCATGGTTGCTGGTGCTCCGGGTACAAGATCGATAGCGTGATCCCAGGGCTGATGGGCAGGTAATCGCTCAGAAGCAGATTCGGAGAAAACCTTCTTGAAGTCTCGGTACTGCTCAGGGACCATCTCCTCAAAGGTTTTAATGGGTTTATCGCGGTTAGCCTCCTCTGCTAGTTGTTGAGAATAAGTGAACCCTGCTGAGCACCATACTTCCTCTGTTTGTTCTTCCAATATCCCCGCTTTCACCCATGCCCGACGCGTTTTGTGATTGGCTCGTATTCGGTGTATTGGGGATTCCTCCGTTGCTGTTATGACTTCATTCTCCTCTAGGTCTGCCTCAGTGTGATTGGGTTCACGTTGGGATCCTTCGTTCAGGAGTTCCTGGATTGGACTATCGGTAGTAGACGCCACTAGGTGAGGGTGTGAAGTCTGCTCATCTTCTACTTCCTCTATATGTACCCGGGGTGGCTTTACTGAAAGCCGTCCCTTCTCCCAGTCAATCTCTGGATTTACCTTCCGTAACCAGGGGAGTCCGAGAATAATATCCTCTCCTCCTAAGTTTGTGATCAGGAAATCCATCCATCGCTCCTGGTTATCCACTGTGAGTGCTAAGCGTGCAAAGTGGGTGATTCGCCCGGCTCGGTTAGGTGTACCATCGATATTGAATACATCGATTGGTTTATGGAGGGGTGCGCAGGTTACGTGATTTCTGGTGGCAAAGTCTTGGTTTAAAAACAGGGCGGTAGCTCCACAGTCTACCATGGCTGCGGTTGTTATACTATGGTTCCTTCCTCTCAGTTTCGCATGAATTCGGAAATGTGGGGAGCTGGAATTTAATTCCCAAATAGATGATATTGTACATGATGGGAGCGAGTCATACGAAGAGGTAGCAAACATAGTAAACTGATTATGGGGTACTCTCGGTGCAGCCGGAGCGGGTACCCTCTTTAAAAACCCTGCTGAAAACCAGAGGACGGAGGAGACATGGCATTAGCACGGTCCAACAATTCCCTTATTTGTCCAATTTGGGTGGAGAAGTCCTGATTAGCGGGGCTCGGTGTAGCAGGTCCAGCGACAGGTGTTGGGATTGAGGCGGCAATCTGAACTGGTTCGTTTGGGAATAAGGAAAATGGTGCCGCCGTGGCTGAGATCTGCTGACGGCGAGGCTGTTGGCGTCGGCCACGGTCGCGACTAAGTCCCATGAACTTGTCCTGACAGACGGATTCTAGGTGTCCCCGGCGTCCACAGTATCGGCAGGTAGTCTCCTTGTGTGGGCAATTCTGCTTAACATGGCCTTGAGCTCCACAACCAAAACATCGTCCGCGCATACGGGCAAGGAAGGCCTCCCTGCTATTCCCAGTGCTGGTATGAGTAGCATCAATGTCCATGGCGTGAGGGTCGGCAGGGGTAATGTGAGCGGTGTGTGCGGGAGCATGTCCGGTGTTTCGGCCGGTCATGGTGGGATCATGCAGGTAGACATCCACCGATATGGCTCGTTTGATTGCCTCTTTCAAAGTCGGAGCGATTCCTTGGGCGATGTTTACGATGATAAGGTGTTGTCGGATCTCCGGAAGTAAGGCGGTGAAGAAGCGTTCCCGTAAATCAATATCAGACATTTCAGTCCGATCTCCGATATCCTTGAACTTCTGGGCAAATTCTGCAACTGTCTGCCCTTTACTTTGTCTGAGGTTCTTGATCTCGCTACGGGCTTCCATACCTGGGTCCATTGGTTCAAACCGCTGGCTAAATTCCTTCAAGAACGTATCCCAGTTTCCTCCGAAAGGGGGATTCTCTGCACTGAAGTGTAACAGATGGGGAGTTGCCCAATCTCCAGCACTTTCTGTGAAGAAGCCCAGGGCGGACTTAATAAGTTTAACTTGGCTCTTGGCGAGATCCGGTTGTTCTGACGCCCAATTTTGGAACTGAGCCATGAAGCGACGGGCTTCAGCACCATCTTTACCCTTGAAGACCTCGGGTTTGTTCATGCTTGACTTGGATGATGAGCGTTCCTCCATCGCTGTAGCAAGGCTGGCTACTTGTCTGATGAGCTGAGCCATGAGATCCTCAGCAGAGGTATTTGGGGCAGGCGGGACAGGAGTCGACATGATGGGAGTAGGCAATCGGGGTTGGGGAATTGGCAGGAAGGTTATATTGCTCACAGTGAGTGGCTCTCGGATCGAGTTCGAAAGGGCGTTGGGGCAAGGTTGAGACTGGCAATCGCGCCAAGTATCGTTGTTGTTGTGGGCGTGAGCTTGGTCTCTGGGGTCAAGTGCATGCGGGAGTGCGGAGCAGTCTATACTGGCAGCAGGTGTTTCAGAATCGGGCGGGACTGGGGAAGACGTGGTGTCTACGGATCCTGCAAGGACAACCTTATCGGTAGGCTGTCAGTGCAGTAATGGATCTTGACCTAATGTCACGAAGCGGCAGAGGCGGAGTGACTAGCGGAGCAGGAAGCGGGGTGACTAAGCCAGGCAGAGAGGCGGAGCGACTAAGCAGGTGAGTGAGGCGGAGCGACTAAGCGGAGCGGAGGCGAACTGGTCCCAGATAATGACAGAGATATATTGAGTATCGTAGTCATAGGTAATAATAAGTAAGCACATACCTGGTCCCAGATAATGACAGAGAGGTCAAGATAAGGGACCAGGCTGTGGAGGGTTGGCTATATATACATAATCTAGTCTGCGAGAAACAACGATGTAATACTGTACAGTTCAGGGGCAAGGAAGGAGGCGGAAGCCGATAGAAAGAGAAGGTGGGTCAGGTGGATCAGTAATAGATAGATCAGTAATCGATGGAGATTGACAGCGATGGGATGATGTATTGTACAAGTAAAGGCGTCGAGACGGTGAGAAAGGGAAAATGATAGGGGCTGTGTACTTTATGACAGTATACATAGAGCATCAAATGCTTGGAACCGGTAACCACGACGTGTTGTCACAAATGGGTCTGGTATATGAAGGACCTTTATGAGGCGAGAGAGACCGTCTTTGTCAAAGCTGAGATAAAATTTGAGCAGAAGCATACAAACACCGAGGCAAGGAATTATACCGAGTATGCAGCCGCAAATTTGCATCATCCAGCTCCTTCCACTTGACCTGTCTGGTGCGCAGCATCCTATGGAGTCTCCTGACATTTTTCTCCTTCCATCGTGCCCGTATTCTATTCCTTGGGTTCCGATATCGACGACACAGGCTGATCAAAGTAGAGATACAGCCTGCTCCAAATGCAAAGGGATCCTTGGCTACAACTGGGCTTTCAACAGCGAGACATACTGAAGTGACAGCTGCTGCACATAGCAGTGCATTACGAGTCCTCATAATCCAGATTTCGTTGGTGGAGGTGGAGAGCGAAAATTTCACGAAATTCTTGTCAATTTTTGTTGGTGTAATATGGTGGAAATAAAGACAGGTTTCTGTGGCCTGTAGATTCAGATTTTGCTTAGAGTGTAAGTGAAGAAAGGATAGTATTTTCTGTTGTCGTGGTAGGATATCTATCTTGAAATACGCAAAAACAAGAGGGAATCAACGTCAAAATATGAGCCCACGTGACAGATTTTCCGCACTTCCAGAACTCCCTAATCTCAGCGCTCTCGGTGAGCTTAACGACTTCTCCATCATGTGGTGGAAGAGTAGATCCCGCGACAGGAAACGCATCGGTAAATAGCTCTAGATTTTTACTGTGAGCACCCAATTGTTTGCCGTCCGAAGATTGCAGGATGACATCGACGGTGAGCGAACAGTTTTCGGAAGCTGATTGACGATAGATAAGGAATAATGAGGTGTAGACCTCGCTGATGAAAAGAGGGCTACTTACCTCCACAGTTTGGTGGCATATTGATAGGAGAAAGATCACGATTGTCCAAAAAATTCTGAATCGTGGAGGGGATGAACGAGGTTGCAAGACAACATGTTGTCCTACTTAAATACTTAGAATATTTAATCTTCGGCCTGAAGAAGATTGTGCGCTTTACACCATGCCTTGACGCTTGTTTGCGATGATGTCATACATTTTTGTCCACTTGCCTTCTGATTTGTTCAGTCAGAGATCAAGACCATAACGCGATCTCGAAACATGGGCATAGCAGAATCTATCTCCGCAGTCGGTATTGCTGGCACAGTCACCGGACTTTCATATACCCAAGCTACAGCGCAGCAGAAAGAAGAGGAAGAAGAAGCAAAGCGTGCAGCTGATGAAGCTGCGCAGGAGACTGCGTTCCCTACAAGGAATAACAATCGCAATAAACAACGAGCAGGTGCAGATGAGAATGGTCCTTCACGAGGTGCCTTTCCGGTTTCTGGGACACTTGGGGGTGGCGGAAATGGAAGAGGTCCTGGTCCCGGCAGGCAGAAAGGTGGTGGAACCACTGCTGATACAGGAGGGAGACAAGATGGTGGAAATAGGAACACAACTGGTCGAAAGGATGGCCGAAGCGGAACTGGGAAGCAACGAGAACCAACAGAACAATCCAATCGTCCTAACAGCGCTTCGCAAAAGAAGAAGAAAAAGAATGACAATCGACGTAACCAACTTCCATCAGCAGCTGAGGACAATGTCCCTTCATCGGATGCGCAGAATCTTCCTACCACTGTCACACAAAGTACGACCCCAGTAAAATGTCAGCGACGAGGTGGTAAGAAGCAGAACGCTTCTTCCGTGCCTTGTCAAACTGCCGATGAAACTGAAAAACCGGCTATCGATTATGGTGCTGTCGCTACTGTGCAGGAGGAGCCTGCACCTGCTACTGCAGTGGACAACAAATCTATCGCCAGAACTAATCGTAGAAAAAATGGAAAATCCAGATCAAACACTCGTGTTCCGCAATCTTCTACAACGAGTCCTTCATTAGCAACGAACACAACCTCTCCCTCCGCTCTTTCTCCTCCTCCTGCACAGAATACAAGCTCATTACACCCACATCCTTTATCGAACCCACAGGTTCCCCAGAATGAATCTCGTGCTCGAAGTAGAAAACCAAGAGGGCATCCTCATACTAAAGCCGACACTGTGGCACCTTCGCAGCTGCAATCTCCGTCTTCCCAGATCGTCCAAAATCCTTCCGAGACTCAGGTTTATCCAGCTACTACGACTCCTTCCGCATCGCCAAAGCTACCTCAGGCCAGGCGGGGCAAAGGCAAGGGGAGTCGACGCGCCAATGTTGAACGCTCGAAACCGCTCGTGTCGTCTTCGCAGTTAAATCATCCTACGACGGAAGATGGGTAATCACTAGCACCGGTGATTCACAAGCCACTCAAATTGCCTCTTGTGGGAGTGCATGAGCAGTGACAGTGATAATGCAATGATTCAAAGACTCCATGTGTGTATAATTCACCGCCTATCTTGGCCTAGGACCTCGTTGGCTTGTAAATACATGGCTGAAGGCGCGAGGGCGAGCCGACCGTAGCTTTGATGAACGTTTATACGCCCCTCAAATCTTTGTAGCTAGGGTCGTGCAATTTCGGGGAACTAGGTGCTTGGAACATGATACCCCGCGTGGGCGAAGGCTTCTCTCTTAGGTGAGGCCCCCGGGGGATATCTGAGCTCGATTCTCCATCCTATTGTTCAAAATTTGGATAAGCTTCTGACTCCTCCGAGGCTTTCAGGACGTCGTTTCGTTGACTAGACCCATAGACCCAGATGACTCACTGAATTGCGCGAAGGTGTCCAGAGCATACAATTAATATTGGGAGGTCATCTGAGTCTAGTCATCACAGGCTTCAGTCTCTCAGTCTCAGAAGCTTAAGTTTATTTCGGTATCAGGCTTTCTCAGCCTCAAACTCGCAAAGTTCTATTGCTGGTAATTATAAGATGTTCATGTTCACCCCAAAACCTTCACGGAACTTTCTTCTTATTGTTTTTGGATTTCCCAAGTTACTCAGAACTAGAAGCCTTTGTCTGAATTGTCGTCTGAAAGATGGAAATAGCTTGAAGTTCCATTTCTAATGTCATAGACGGAGAGATGCTGGAATTTGGCTGGGCCCCACTGGCAGGCGAAGTAACTTTCTTGATATCTTGCCCTCATTCTTATCCACGACAAATTTAAGCATTAGTTGGCGTTGCTTGATAAGTCCACAGGATAAAGATTTGTTCAAGGCTTCAGGGTCACACTGCGTTGTTAATGCAGATATATATTTGGCTTGACACCCAAAGTTGCCTCAAATATTCCTAAGTCACCAGTGAGCGTAGCTCCGCCAGCCAGAATTCACGAGAGTGAAGAACGATCGTTCACTTACGGGAACCGCGGGTGTAAGTTTTTCAATTATGTAGAAGCCATTTTAAGAAAACAGTTACACCAACACATTGCAAACGCCGATTAAACCTCGCCATGTTCATTCAGAAAGTGGTATATTCTTATTGCTTCCCTTCCCTCGCAATACCGGATATAGAGGGCTGAACGGCGAACCAGGAAGTAAACACTGTCGCGCAGACTCCTACGGAGTCGAATTACCCCTAATTACTAAAGAGGTACGGCTGTAAGTAGAATTTTGAAAGGAGCAGCACATGTGAGCCCCCTTGGGATTGGAGGTGGCTTAACCTACTCTGAGCTATGTAGATGAAGGATGCTCACACGCAAATGTATTTCAAGTTCCTTTTGGCTTGGACTCACTTACGCTGTGAACTTTCAGACTTCAACGTCATGTAACTTGTTCCCACCACATCGCTGATTCCTATTTGTGTTTAGCGTGACGGCAGATTTCGTGCAAAAATCGGAACCGTACTACGATCGAATCAACTCACTTGTCCAGGGGCAATGTCCCTCCTGGTCTATGTTAGGTTGCGTAGAAGAAGCTTGTGGTGGACAAACTCCGAGTTTCTCAACCTTACTTTTCAACCATAAAATTGACTGCCCCGCGGGCCATATTTACGAATGATTCTTTCTAACTGCCTATAAAGGTTGAGGTGAGACTACCTTGATTTTGCAGTTCCTTCATTATGTCTTTTGGCATTGAACCATTCACCAAAGACCTCAACCTTCCTCTTCTCAGTGGTCAGGAGCCCGAAATCGTTACAGCAGTGCTGGTACCCCTCCCGAAGGATACCAATGCGGCTGTATTCGGTGTCAGTGACTACTACGTGCTGTAAATGAATGTCCATTGATCACTCACAAATGCTTTACCTCCAGCAACGCATTGCGCTGTGGCCTCAACGGTTCAACTCCTACCTTCTCGACTCTAACGAAATAGTTGTTGATCCTCAAGCCGTCTGGGATGCTCCAGCCGAAAGTAGTCAATTTGCGGTCACCACCATCGTTCCTTCCGGTTTCGCACCAGACAACAGGTTCCTTTCTGTTGGCCCCTTTTCGGACGATCGCTACATAGCTATTGTTTGCTCGCACAAGAAAGCTGGTGAAAGCCACTATGCACCAAGCACCCCTACCTTCAGCTCTGTGCGTTCTTCATCCAGTCATACTGACATCATCGAGGTGAACAAATGCAATTTACAGAAACATTTTAATATCAAGGGTCATAAGGCTCTGTCGTTCACAATGGTGAGTATGCTCCGATGATTAGAGGGACAGACTCACGTTCTGAGTACAGGTTAATGCCGAAGATGGCGGTGATACTGACTACCATGACACTGTTGTCGGGGTGGCCGTAACATAGTACGTCTGGCATTGTTAAGTGTTACATTCTGATCTCACCGGAACCTCTAACATGTTCTCCAGCACAACTAAGGACCGATTTTTGGCTTGACTCCTGGAATATTGTTGCAATATTGGCATTTTCCAATTTATGTACTTGTGAACGGTTAGCGAACGTATATGTGAAAGTGATTTTTATGAGAATTTCATGATTTTATCTGTATTTTGTTCGCCCCTGGCTGCTAGGACTTGAAGAATACACGCAGATTTATGACAGTGGAAAAAAGAAGAAATGGAAATGATGTTCGCAGGTGTACATGTGAACCAAAATCTGCACCTATCATGCACCTCAACGTCCGATTGTATAATGTCCCAATTATACAATATTTTGTGGGGCGAATCCCAAGCGTCGGCTTCTGTTGGCCCTCCATCTATGTATGTACGATAAGATAGACACTATGATTAATGATGGAATCAACATGAGATGAAGACAAAGCTGGTTTGATGAACGGCACCAGCAGACGGCGACGACAACGACAGTGGGAGAGTGCTATGCGCATGATTCTCTGTGTGCATGATAGGTCACAACGCTGTGCGATCTGTCTATTCAGATAAAGCGATGATATTTTGAATGTATGAGATGGGACAACAAAAGTTCATCACGACGTAAAGCTTTCTCCACTCAGCTTGCAATCTCGGGTCAACGACAGCAACCAACCCCACCACTAAACTCTTCCACTGAAGCAGGAGCGATCTTCGAAAAGCTTGGCATGACTTCTAAAACAGAAAGACAACTGGATAAAAACGAGATGGAGTGATGGGAGACAAGTGGGGGTATCAAAATAAGGCATATATTATAACTCTCGTCGTGGTGAAGGCTCGTAGAACTTGAGATTGGGTGTGAAGGGTATTGGGCGGAAGACAAGGGTGTCCAGGTGAATTCGAAGTCGGCGGAATGCTCAAGTCCTATTATTCCATCCACAACGGTGACTATAATAGTCCGGCCTCCCTCAAGTGAAGCTGGAGGAGAATATCTTGAATCGCAGAAAGAACGACTGGAAAAGAAAGGGAGAGAATATTATAGTCAGTTTTAGACGAGAAAAAGATCAAGAAACGACGAAAACGATAGCTAGCCCGGAATGAAGGAACGGTGGGGAAAAAGACTCACATTTAATTTGCTGCGTATCCGTGGCACACGTATAATGCGCGTATACCTGTTTCGTTGCTGCACTCTGGTTTAGGCTTACGAATCTGCGTAACAGATATTCGCAGGCGGCGTCGTAGTTGTTTCCGCCCGTGTAATCCGGGAAGTAATCACCTGGAAGGAAGGAAGGAGTTGAGAAATCCGTGCGTTGGACATCTGTTAACTACGAAAAAAGAGGAGACACCAACCTAATGGTGATCTAGGAAGCTTTTCCGCGAATAGATCGATTTTGTTGAGGAAGAGGATCTATAAGAATTGACATGTGTTAGTCATCGCTGTAATGTGAAAAAAGGGAGGGGTAGCTATGGGGGCGAAGAGAGAGAAGTAAAAAGTGACTAGTCGTTTGAATAATGGGCAGAAACAGAAGTGGAAGGAAGAATAGAGTTAAATATCGAAAGTGGATGGGGAGGCAGGTAGAAGCTGGAAGGGGCAATATACGGGAGCTAACTCACGATCGAGGTCTTGACGAACCATCGGGAATTACATATTGAGTCAAAGAGTGTGAGGGCTTCTTGCATACGGTTCTAAATAATATCTTGATCAGTGATACAGCTTTTGTCATGGTCGGATGAAATATATACCCACCACGCTCTCATCCTCATACAACATCTGATCGTACTCGCTCAGAGAAACCAGGAATACCAATGCAGTTACGTTTTCAAAGCAATGTATCCATTTTTTCCGTTCAGAACGTTGACCGCCAACATCGAAGAGTTTGTATGTGAGTTCGCCGACCTGTGAAAGGTAGTATTGAGTACTGATAAAGGATAGAGTGGCAACAAAAAATCGCACTTGGAACGTCGTCTCCGTGATACCCGTAGTTTTCACTCGTGACCGAAGTATATCCTGGTCGCTGGGCATGTACCCCTAGAAACAAATCCAAATTACATTTAGACAGTCATTTGATAAGACAGGAACCCGAGCACATACCGGACCACTCATTCTATCGATACTGTTGAAGTAATACACTGCCGAATCATTCAGTTGGAACTCTCGACTCCTCTTCACTGCCTCCTTCACAGCGGGATCGCTCCAAAGCCCTCGAATGGAGTCGCCCACATCCCGAGGCATGACGTCTACCTCCAACTGCACGGGAAGAGAAAGGATTGTGGCTCTTCGGGCGTCGTTGGATGGATTGAGAAAGAGGTCGAGGGAAGGCATGGCGTCGAGAATGGCGCGCATGGATTGGATGGTATTGGAAAATATGATTTCCTTGTAAGAGTCACGTTCGGAATCATTGTACCCGCCGTGGTGAATGAGCTTCATTTGTTTGAGGACTGTGGACTGAGAGAGAGTGAGACGTTAAGTGAGACTCGACTCGAAAGGGTGTTGGGGTAAAGAAATGGAACAAAACATTGTGAAGCAAAGCAGTGAGGATGGCCAATAATTAGGACAGGAAGAATGGGCTGATTTTTATTTGGAGCAAATATAGATGGTGTTATAGAAAGAACAGACGAAATAAAATACCTTCCCAGATTCACCAGCCCCAAGAAGCAACATCTTGATCTCATTCTTCGCCATCATACGGTCCCGGCGAAGTTGATTCTCAATTTCATCATTACCTGTGGTCACGAAGGTTGGTGGCAAATGTCGCACGCACAAGGATGGAAGGTTTGCAGTCGTCGTGGGGTAAGGAGGTACGGCGTCGCGAGAGTGAAGGGACAGAAAACAAAGGAGAAAAAACGCAAATATTCGTTAGGAATGATAGGCGAGAAAAGATATGTGTATGGCACTCACGAGCCTTGGCCTCGTCGTCAATGCCAGAAGATTGCGCACACCCCATTATTACTGAGCAGTGTGTTATTTAAAAATGGAAACTTCCCAAGGAGGTACTGGGAGAGTGGGCTGGAAGGTATTGGTAAGGAGATAGAGAATAAACGAATGAACGACGTCGAGGGAGCAACGGTCGTGACTGTAGCGACGAGCGCAACAAAAATTACGGATGACAGCTGAAATGTTAAACGGCGTATGTCACTCGCGGGAACGTAGAACACTCGGCCGCCGAGGCACTATATTTGTCACGTGAGTCTACAACTGCAAAACATGTATACTCGCCAGAGCAAGGATACTAGCTGGAGAGCGCTCTCCAGCGACGAAAGCACCCAAAGCAAAAATCAAAGCCTGCTCTGGGTGCTTTTGCTGCTGGGAAGTGCTCCCAAGTGCTCTGAGCTGCTTTCGGCTATTTAGCCGAACATACAGGTTTTGCAGATGTAACATGCCAAAAAAAAAAAAAAATTCCACAGCTGTTCTTCATCTTATGATTCGACCCGGGCTCGAACCGGGGACCTTCTGTGCAACCAGGGGTGTTAGACAGATGCGATAACCAACTACGCCATCGAACCATGAGCAACAAAAACTACGATTATATGTAAAATAAGAACGATAGATTGGATCTTTCTACAGTCGGCCCGTAAGATGAGTCAATATATGGTCAAGGTCACGTGCACCGCGTCGTTGAACAACACCGCGAGAATTTTTTTGGTTTAAAAAGCAACCCAAAAAGTTAGTCGCTCACTCAGTGCCACCACCACCACCTTACCTTCACACCCCCACTCATTTTGCAAATGTCTACCACTCCTACGCGTTACCCTTCTCCAGGGCCTACTCCTAGCAAAAAGGTGAAGATTTTCGTGCTATGTATCCGCCTTCGTGTAGACTCAGTTGTTTTCACAGGCTGCTGCTGCCTTAGCTTCATTTACCTTCGACTCGCCTACCAAGAAATCTGCGAAGAAGGTCGTTGTTGACGATAAACGTCGCTCTACCTCACCGGCTTCTCTAGAGGAGAATGAAGACCAATGCGTAGAAGAAGACACCACTCAGACCACGTCCGCTGAGGAACTCGCTGCCTTGCAGAAACGGTTTGTTGGAGAGGTCGAATTGCCAGAGAGTACGCGTGGTTTTCTACGACCTTTACGCGTCAATTGTATTAATCGTGCTTTTAGGCGAAGAACCACTTCTGTTAGAGTCAAGACGTCGTTTTGTGTTGTTCCCCATTCAATACCATGAGGTACGTCTAGATACGCGTCTGATTTACTCTAGAGGCGTCTAATGCATATATCAGATATGGCAAATGTACAAGAAGGCCGAGGCCTCTTTCTGGACTGCGGAAGAGATGGATTTATCAAAAGACCTTCATGACTGGAACAACCGCCTGAATGACAGCGAACGATTCTTCATCTCCCGTGTCCTCGCGTTCTTTGCCGCCTCTGATGGCATTGTCAACGAGAATCTTCTCGAACGCTTCTCGAACGAAGTACAGGTCGCTGAGGCGCGTTGCTTCTACGGGTTCCAGATTATGATGGAGAACATTCACTCCGAGACTTACTCTCTTCTCATCGACACATACATCAAAGACCCTGTCGAACGTGATTTCCTTTTTGATGCTATCGAGACTATTCCTTGCATCAAGCGCAAGGCCGAGTGGGCTCTGCGCTGGATCAGTGACGAACACTCGGTTTTCGGCGAGCGTCTCGTAGCCTTTGCTGCTGTTGAAGGCATTTTCTTCTCTGGCTCCTTCGCGTCCATCTTTTGGATGAAGAAGCGTGGATTAATGCCTGGCTTGGCGTTCTCAAACGAGCTCATCAGTCGTGATGAGGGTATGCATACCGACTTCGCCTGCCTTCTCTTCAGCCACCTCCGTCGTCGTCCTCATCCTGACACCGTTGAACGTATTATCAAAGAAGCAGTCGCTATCGAGCAAGAGTTCTTGACTGGTGTGTGCTATACATTGCCTCCTTCGCATTGGTGTCTAACCACTTTTTTCCAGACGCGCTTCCTGTAAGCTTGATCGGCATGAACGCGACATTGATGTGTCAATATATCGAGTTCGTTGCCGATCGACTACTCGTCGCTCTCGGCAACAAGAAGTTGTACAACTCGACGAACCCCTTCGACTTTATGGACATGATCTCGCTTCAAGGGAAGACCAACTTTTTTGAGAAGCGGGTGTCCGATTACTCAAAGGCTGGTGTGAACCATTCTGGTGACAACACTACAACACAAGCTTCAAAGACATTGTGCGTCTGGTATTATTCTATTGTTACACGTCTCCACTGACCATCGTCTCCTGATAGTGTGCTCGACGAAGACTTCTAAACATCGAAGAAACCGCCGTCGTTGCATGATTTCTCATACTGTAATTTATCGCTCACGCATTGCTATCTCATCGGTCAATTCTGTAATTCTCTTTGTTATAATTAGATATGTATCCTCACTAGCTCTATCAAATATTCAATAAAATTTTTTTGAAAGAAGGTTGATCGAGCGCTCATTGTATTATCCAGCGGCGTCAAATCTTGTTATTCACGTAGATAGTTACTCCCATGTCCACGAAGTCTGATGTTGTTCCGCTTCCGCCTGCTAGCGCGAATGTCAAACCGTTGAACTACAGGGAACAATTTCAGGTGCATCGTCACACAACTCGCATGATGTTGCTGTCCCTCTGCTGAGACGCCGATCTGTATTATAGGGCCGTGAAGTTGTTTCTAGGTTTATCGAGTGAGTTTATCTGGTTACAATAATCAGACGAATGTAAACGACTCCCGATAGCCCTTGTGAAGCCGCATCCAAGGCGACGATGGCATGTATGAACAAACACAACTATGATAGAGAAAAATGTCTGGATTATTTCCAGGCTTATAGGGAATGCAAGAACGCTTGGGTGCGTGTTTCCGATGTGTTGTTTATACAGAGTTCATCTGACGAATAATCCGTGTAGATTGAGCAAAGGAAAGACGATCGTAGAAATGGAAGACCGTCTTCCTGAGCGACTCCTCTTCTTCTGATTCTTTTCCGTTTATCTACGTTTACAGTTACTCTTACTATGCCGAAGTCAACCTCTCTTTCAAGCCTTAAGACAAATTATAATAGTTCGGAGGCCTTGATTCGACTCCAAAATCATAGACATCATGGCGCAAACTATTTTACTACGCAAATTCGTATCTCCTTTTGTTGTTCCTACGACAAGCTCGACACTCCGCTGCGTTTGAGATCTACACGATTTCCAGTCAATTTCATCTGCAGAGGACGGTCAGTTGATTACGAGGCGTACCGGAGAGATTGATGTTAGGCTGAATTACTGCTTGCCAGACAGTTGTGTATCCACTTGCAGGGATTTATTTCAGTGTTCGGAGATTGATTTCATTAACGCAACTCACTTTGGACCACCCTCTTCATCAAGTTGACCGGGTTCAAGACTTCCAACTTCTGGGCCGCAGCAAGGGGAGTTTGTTCCCCAGACTGAAGAGATCAATCAACGCGAGTATGCAGGCGGGTCGCAATGACACTCACAAGGACCTGCAGCCCAGGCCGACCAGCCAATGTACACGTCGTTTTCAGAAAGGTAGCTGATCAATTGCGGTACCAACTGACATCCGAAATTCAGCTTTCAATTCTTACAAAGTACGTTAAGCAAAAAAACACACCTCGAGACAAGTAGGGTCATTGGATCCACCGAATTCGCTGACAATAGCTCTTGGAAGTTTTTAGTGACTGTATGTCAAGAATCGTATACAAATCCTACTTGAGGTTGTTTTCTTGAAGCCAAGTCGTGAGAGCAGCCAGGTTAGTGGGACCTATAGCACGACGAAGCATCAGCAAACCTTAGAAAACTCACCACAATTTCCAGATGCTCACCAGGCTGAGTGCATGTATCGTGGCTGCCTGAGAAATCCTCGTCTATCGGGACACAATTATCAATCAGCCTATATCATCTCTCACTACAAAGCGAGAAGTACCAAGATATTCATGGATGTCAATAGCCGTATTATTCAACGGATCCACGATCTGATTCAGCCACTCGCTCGATGGATCATCGTTAGCACCAGTGACCTGAGTCCAGGAATGGCCGCCAGTGAACCCATTTCCAGGTGCGAGGATGAGCTGCGTAGCGCCAGTAGAACGGATTCCGTTGATTGCTGCTTGATCATTTTGCAGAATCAGAGAGGTGGCCTGTCAAAATCAGAGTAGTCAGTAAACAGATATGAAGTAATACAATGAAGTGAAGGAAATGGAGAGCGAGACGAAACATACCATGTCGTGAGGCTCATTGTTAATGCCGAAGACGACATTGGGGTTGTCAACAAAGCGGTTGGCAAGCTCTGTCCAAAACTCTTGGAATTGTTCAGTGGTGGCTGCATTGGGGTCAGTAGTATCGCCGATGATCTGTTGATTCAGAATCAATGGGTGAATTGCTGAGCGAAAATAAGATTCGATTTACGCTTCCACTATTGGGCTGTGAGGATGGGTCACTAGAAACAGGTTCAAGTTACTGCTTGATTGTTAAGATGTTTTGGAATAATAATACTTGTATCTCTGTTCAACCATTATTAGCATTACAAGTATATGTGTACCAGAAGCAACTGACCATGTAGTTATGAGGATCAATTAACGCATATGCACCTTTGGTAACGGTGATATAGTTGATTGCATCTTCATATTCACTAAAATACTACCCCATCCATATCAGCTGTGTTTTGGAAGTGGATATAACGGAAAAATACTGAACGGTCTCATTGAAGGTACTCCCAAGGCCAGTTGCTAGAGGACACATTCTTTCCATCAAGAACGTAACACGGAAAAAGTTGATTTGGTTCGTGTCAACGAATGTATCGACGGTACTCTAATAGAAAGAATGTCAGAAGAAGGATTTGACTGTAAGAGCCTGGTGTACTTCGGTGATGAAGTCGTAGGTAACGCCAAACTCTCCAGGCAGTCCTGTTCCAGGTGAACCAAAAACTCCGAATTCACCACCAGACTACGAAACAGGGCTTAGACACGAGCCAGAGACAGTAATATATCATAGCAGCACCTACCTCGTTGACTCCTGCATAAAGGATAGTCGCTCCTACGCAAGCTGCAAGGACAGCTACAACGGTAATGGACTGTAGGACGAGTCGTAACTGTTTGGTCAAAAACATGATTTTGGGTTTCGGGGACAAGTCACTTGGAGGTTGTGGGCAGTTTCCTCTCTTATAAATTGGAACCAGAGGGCTTCTACGTGTCACTGTACAAGCAAATACCGGTAAGTCTGACCATGGTCCACAATGGCGGCGGATATTTTTCGGATTTAGTGTTGTGCAATTTGGGTGCAATATAAAGACACTCATCGACCCATCTAAATGCTACCGCGGGGCGTGTGAGTGCAGTTACCGCACAGAGGATCGTTCATTGATGATCAGAGTCCTTCCAGGTTGATTCTGTGGTTTATTCAGGTTTCGAAGAAGTCAGACGGTACATGGCTAAGCTAATTAAAGAGCGAGGCTTACCGACAGTGATACTAGTTTTCGATCCGGGATCAACAGCCCAACCAACTTGTACGTTAAAGCGACGGAAATGATAAAGTAGATTCTTTGACCCGAGTTTCAAGAAAAGTTTCCCGCTCACCAGACCTTTCGGGGGTAGTATCAGTAAAAGATCAAGGAGTTGTACTACTAATCGGGGGTCAATTTTCAAAAAAGCTTTGTTTACCGTAAAAGTCTTGTAGGACTCCTGTGCATGATTCTCTAAGTAGATGCATCGAATCGTTCCCTCGAAGAAACTTACGATTTCACAAGACCCTCCCCTTCCCACTCCACGGAAAATTCTCTCCAAATCCTTCCAACTGTAAGTACAATTTACGATTGTGGCCCCGAGAACATGTCGCGCGGAAGGTTGTATGTTATAAATAGATGCCAATCATATGGCATAGCTAGATATCTTCTCTCTCGACATTTACTTACAACGACAGTTCTCTCGAAGGCTACGGCCTGCATTTTCTCTTTAAACCAGATCTTCCTTTCTTACTGAAAGTGATGGAGCCACTGAGAGATATCCTCAGGCACTGGTATCTCCCGAGCCGAGTTCAGGAAGGGTCGGAAGGTTCCAAACGTCTCGTACGACGCTGAAGTCCGTGAACGACTCACCATCCTCTTTGATATCATTCCTGGGCAGTGCAATCAGTTATCGGCTGAGCAAAACACTCTTGCCTGCTTGCATCTTCTGCCTCCTCCTGTCGGTTTCTTGACTTATGCCTGTTGTGGTGATGGTGATGGCATAGGTGGCGCACAAGAATCAAATTTTCTTGCTATACGGGAGCTCGTCTTCAGCGAATGGAATGAGTTGCCAGGGTCGCTCGAGACAACGACTGGAGAAAGTGGAATATTGAAAAGGTGGTCAGGCTGGCCTGCTGAGAGTCATCTAACATGCATAGCAACATTATGATCTGACCGGATAGACGTCGAAAGAAAGTGCGGGTTTTCTTTTTAATAGGATGGCCGTATCGTAAAGTCTCTCACGAAATGTGGCTTGAATTGAATTGCATTCTATCCATTCGGAATATATCATACAGAAATGGTTGCTTGAAAGAATTATAATGCAGTGATCCTCAATACCTTCTAACGCTGACCGTCTAGAAAAAGGTCAGTCATTGTCAATGTCATTAACTGACTGAATGAGATGCTCACAAGCTTTGGTCGCCCATGCGCCTGAAGGAGTTTCACGATCAGCAAGGGAAATATAACCCCTTTGTGATAATTCCACGTACCGTGGCCAACAATGACATTCGCAGGTTCTTGCTCCCTTCCTTCAAAGTAATTTTCTAAGATACTCTTTGTACCAGCGGCATACCGCGCCTGAGCATCGAGGGTTGTTCCAGAGTAATGAGGTGTCATGCCATTTCCCCCACCGAGAGGATTCTTCATTGTGCGCCAAGGATGATCCTTGGGAGCGGGCTGGACGTTCCAGACGTCACCTGTGGCAGAAAATATCAACACAACCCCCCATTTATGACCAGACCAGGAAATACTCGCCAGCATAACCACGAAGCTGACCACTCGTTAGGGCAGCTGCAACAGCATCCGTGTCACAGATGGCACCACGAGCGGTGTTGACGAGCCATGCGCCAGGCTTGAATTTGGATAATAATTTCTCGTTGATGAGCCCGCGAGTACCTTCATGCAAAGGTGCATTGACGGTGACGACGTCACATTGGGAGACGAATTCCTACATGTTTTCCATATGTAAGATGAAAACCCCGATTAGACAGGAAATCAATGACGCACTTCGATATCCTCGACCCTACGAGCTTTGATAGCTTGCTCACGTTCAACAGGAAGCTTCGCGTAATCATAATACAGATGCTCTTTACAATCAAAGGGAACGAGACGTTGTAAGACGCGATAGCCGATTCTTCCTGCACCAATCGTTCCGACAACTTTGCCTTCAAGGTCGAAAGCGTTGCGAGCGATATCGGAAACTTGCCAGTCACCGCGTTCGATCATCTCATGGGCCGGGACAAAGTTACGGACCAGAGTCAGGATGTTCATCACAACATGTTCTGCAACAGAGACAACATTAGAGCCAGTGACCTACGGAAAATCAGCGTTATATCGGGACAAGATGACACTAGATTCCGAACCTCAAGGACTTGGATTTTGTGGTCTACAGCAGCGTTGAGGTCGATATGGTCAGAGCCTACTCCAGCGGTGATACAGATCTTCAAATTCTTCGCCTTTTCCATGAGCTCTCGCGTGAGGTAACCAGGGTGGAAAGGTGTTGTGATAACAACCTACAGTTGGTATTTTCGGTAAGTTGATTCAACGTGATTTCCATGGTATGTATGTACCTCTGCATCAACCAAATGCTTTTCAAAATCACTGTTTGGTCCTTCTTTGTCGCTGGAAACCTAAGGACAGCTCAATTCCATATACCAACGGAAGGAGACTAGACTCACTGTGAACGATTGGTCAATGGATGATAGAGATGATAACAGCGCAAAACGTACCAATAAACTCATGACCTCGCGATGCAAGCCATTTGTCTATTCCAAGCTGGATAAATATCAGGTACGCCTTCATGTACACTCTGTATCACCAGGATTACCTTGTTCTCAACTGTTCCCAGTAAGCGAGGCTCTTTCACTGCAGCGTTGAAGCCGTTGTATAAAATGGCGAGGACCTGATAATCGATGAACGTCTGCGATTCAACAAAGGTAACATCTCCTGACCTTCATGTTGGTGGCGTTTACAGAGAAATCGAAGGGGTGATGGTTGGCGACTATCTCAGAAGAAACCAGCCTTTTATCTTGGGATTCTCTATGACTTCATTGAATTCTGCCGGGAGAGCGCGGGGACAATTCCTATATTTCCATGATGCTTATTCGAGGAGGGCATGTGAACGATGCGTCCCGGGTTCGCGAATATTTTCGCATCAATAAGGGCGCGAAAACATTTCTATTTACGGCGATTTCTTCCTTGTTCTTCCGAAACGTGAGCTTTAAATTCCGGAACGTTCCGCTCACACGGTTCATGAAACGATCCGGGGGTACTCGGTCGGAGTTAGACATCTTCAGATAGGCAATAAGTGAACTACAGTGACAATGATCGTGCTCATTACTCCATGCTCTTGTTAAATCTAGGTCTATAATACACTGGTCTCGGTGGGACTTCCGTTCGGCTTATTTCTATCTTTCAGGTAGTTCCATCTGGCAGATCGGGCAACGCAAAGTCTTTCTCCATGTGTTCTCTCTGAATACTGGATCAGCATCGACAATAGGGACCTCGGGGACAGATAGCTCACGTAGTGCCTGAAGTGCACAGTCTTTCCTACACTCGTAATCTCTTGAACCTCCTCCTTGGTTAAAATATTTTCCGGAAGGTAAGATATCTCCGCAAGGAGCTTGATGCGTTCTTCATTTCCACTGGCTGTGACGGCAACAACACCCATAGCACGCGTCCAAAGAAGAAGTACGACTACTTCATCAACCGGGATGGGAAGACTCGGATTAGATTCCGTAACGCGTTTAGCAATCTTTGTTAGAACCGGTTTGACTGGTCCACCAGTAGGGTGGCGGAGGAGAGGAGTAAGAGGACCGAATGACTCGGTCAAGATACCATGCTTTGCTTGAATTGCTAGGACAGGCTCGAGATGAGCGAGCGTGTATGGATGATATTCAATCTGAATTTCGACAATTAATTAGGCCACCCAACGCGTATCTGATACATGATTGACCGACCTGGTTCACAGCTGGCTGGTATTTGGCTCCGTCCAACACCACTTCAAGGTCTTGCGGACGAAAGTTGCTGACGCCGATCTCTTTGAGCTCACCAGCATCTTTCATCTCCTCGAGCACCTGCCAAGTCTTCTTGAGATCTGCAAGAGCTGCGACATGAGGGCTATGGATCAAGAACAGATCTGGGATGAATCCCAATTTCTTGATGGATTCCTGGACAGCTGGGCGAACTTCATTGACAGGAACTGTGTATCCATCGACAGAAGGATCAGACTTCCGTGACCCGTCCCGACACTGACAATTAAATAGAAGAGCATCAATGAAATCATGATCGAAGATCATATCGCATATGTAGAGCATACGCTTGGATGTAACAAATATTTCGTCCTTCGATAGGCCAGAGTTGGCCACAGTTTCTCCAACAGCTCCTTCATTCAGATAGTTTTGCGCGGTATCGACGTGGCGAATACCAGCCTTGAGTGCGATCAATCCAGCTTGCACGGGTACATTACGTGCTTGTCCGGAGCCATTTCCCCAGCCAAGCCAAGGGATCTTAACGCCTGAGGCCAAGTCGAAAGTCTGCACAGTACGAGACATGGTGATTGGGAAAATGAAGGCTCCACGATATAAGCGAGTGACGGGCCGGGCGATACCTATCACACGCGACGCGTTCTTCAATTTATTTTGCCCGGCGCGTTTCATGTATGTATACACTACAGCTACATATCTATAAGAGAGTCAAACTGCTCATTGGCTTTCTCCCGGCAGAATTTGCCCACTCTCAATGGCAGCATCGTGTCCTCGAGTAAGATAACCATAACCCGAGAAGTATCTGTATACGGGAACACTTGTCAACGATCAAATTTGACGAAGCTTTCACTGATACTTACCTGTCAAAGAACGGCAGCATCTGTGGTGCTCCGGGCGTGTAAGTCCAGTTCCTCATCAAATCGCAGGCAATAGCGAACATTGATAGAACATGCACCCCTGCTTGACGCATACGAGCGTTTGCTTCATCCGCAATGCGCCTGGAGGCGGCGCCAGATGCTTCGTGATTCGTGAAAACGGTGTATCCTTCCTCGATCAGGGAGAGGGCAAGGAAAGTTGTGCAAACCTGGGACGGTATCTAAGCTAAACAACCAGTGGAGGGACTTCATAAAATAATGCACGAACATCGGTAGTGATTCCGGCCATGATGACTTGTTTTTTGCCCGTGGCTTTCACAGCAGCACGGAAATCCGCATTGTCCCAAGCATTCACCTCACCTTGACGCTTGATGAGCGGGGCACTAGGGTGCATCTCCACAATTTCCTTTGGCAAAGGGCCGTTGGGACCTGATATACATGACAGAATCCATATCATGACTTGTTTGAAAAGGTGTTGGAAGCTAACCTTGCTGCGTGCTTGTGGTTAAAATAGTTGGCAGGTTGAACACCTTACCCAGGGCGGCGTGAGCAAGGATGTTGTTTTTGTACTCATCGGGTTGATAGTCCCGCACGACTTGAAAGAGTCCTATCTGCAGATCGACGACCAACAACATCACGTTGTCCTTGTCGATTCTCTCGAAAGTAGTAGATTTTGGGGCTATCATATTTGTGGCAGTCAATAATGTGCATTGATTTAGAGTAATGCTCAGAAATGAGGGACACTAACCAGACATGATTGATTGGGTGGTAGAGCTGGGACACTACCCGCTGTGGGTTGTCTTCTGAAGACGACCTCATTGGCTAGCTTTTATACACTTTGCTGTATACTGGGGCAGGGTATTGTTTCGGTCATGAGAAGGCAGCCCTGGCAAGTATCTTGTGAGCAGGGATATCATAGCTTTTCGGGCATTAAGAGGCAATCCTGTTAAATCAAGCCTCCAAGATTGACATGTTGAATTAGATATGATAGAATCTATGCCAATTCAAGCATCATACTACCCACACTGGACTGCACTCAGAGCCTTGGGATACGAGATAAAACTTTAGCACCCACCGGAAAGAACGGTTGAGACTTGGAGTAATATTGATTCCGGGATCCGCACGCCGAGGGATTTGAGAGACTAGATAATGGGCCTTTTCGTAGTCATTCATACGTAGTCGATTAATCATCACTTACCGCCTTCCATCGACATCCATACTACAAAGATACAAATAACTCAACGTTCAGCACCCTATATCGCACTTATCCCAGCTAGCTTACCTTCCACGACATTCAACACGATTGTCCCTCGGTATCCCTCGGTATACTGGTCGAGGAACGAAAGACCAACACTGTAGATATATACATAGGTGCACGAATTTTGTAAGTAGAGCACAAATGGCAGATGAGAATTTGATACAATCGTAGTACAACCATCCGTCGTTAATTGAAACTAAGAGCTTCCAGCCCACCTACATACATTCATGCGCCAGAATCAACTCAGCCTCTCGAATCATGTTCGTTCTTTCGTGAACTCCGACTCTGTCTCGCGAGATTAGTTCCCTTCATCGAGAAAGTGCAGAGTTGCTAGAAGGTTACTTGAATGCAATCAAACCGGACTCGTTTGATGCTAAGGATTGGATAGGATGGTTAAATTATACTGGCTAGGTCCGAACATAAGTGTCCAAGAGCTTCCAAGAAACGAGCTTCTTCTACCCTCTCATTGATTCCGGTTTGCGAGACTATCAAGAAAATGCCTCGCATAAGTTCCGCACAGGTTCAGGGTACCACACTAGTGCATTCCATTTAAATGTAAGCCTGCGGATCTCTGCAGCGCGCGTCGGAAGGTTACCACCATGGCACAACGGTTAATCATGAGTGAAAAGAGAAGAAGCTATATGAGTATATGGCAAAACTTACAATCAACAAACAATCCTTTCCTTTTCGACGCCACTCTCACTGCTGAGCTGGACTCAAGTGACGAACAAAACATTGAAATATGCGCATCCCGCTTACGATCCTCCTTCTTCCTTTTTTCCTCCCTGTCATGGGTCTTCCCGCATCCAGTGACAAGGCCAATAAGGGCAAGGCACCTGCTGAAGAGGACACACACGCCCAGTCCGTTAATTACTATGAAATCGAGGCTTACAAGTCGTTTTCTGGTAGTGAATGCACCGACTCAGTTGTAGGAGGGGGGCTTAAAGTTCCGAAGTCCGATAGTCTGAAACGTCATGAATTGATGGCGATACAAGCACATTGTCTTCGTTTCATTATCCCTTTTCCTCCTGACTGTTGTCTTTATGTCAACGAGGTATCTGGGAGTTCTAGGCGGTTCCGAAAGGAATATCCCGCAGGATACAAGCTCCAATTCCCTAAATCTTTTGATCATATGAGTGTAGAGTGCGGATTTGACGTGAGCTTTCCACTTTGAGACACTTTTCGGCTATCTTCTCACTGACCTACCTCGTTCACTCCAGGAAAAAAGTTATCACTGGTGACACCGTTTTGGGCACTGTAGCCCAGGGTCTCTGAACTTGTTGGGCGTGAAGACGTATAGAAGCAGAAGCGTAGGATTCATAGGAACAGGGTCGATAGTAGACGATGTGTTGTCCAATGTTGTTCAGGAGCAATTGAGGGATGTTCTCGGTATCATAGTCCCGCGTTAAGATACCGCTCCATGGTGAGAAAAAAGCTCTTGAGGAAATCGATGGCGGCAAGTAAGGAGAACCTTTTCATTCGCCGAGGTGGATATAGGATTCAAAAGGATGATGGCTTGCAACGTTGAACCAAAGGTCAAGATGTTTCCTGGTGAAATCAGCGGACAACATGGACGTCTGTACTCGTCGGGTCGCTTGTGAGACTATGACTGCGATTTTCAAATTTTAAGCCTACCATGTAGCTCAGCGCTCAAGACAAAAGGTGATAATTACTCGAGATCTCACCACGAGTATGGCTATGTCTCGACTCTGTCCGCCACATTTTCTACCCATCGATCTCAACTCAACAACTGTCCTCTAAATCCCGAAATCCGCTCGAGAATATTGGGTCAATCGGTGGATGTCAGGCACTTTGCTATTGTCGCTTTGCTAGCCTGAGAATCGTCAACGGGATTGCCTTTCATTCGGCCTCGTTTGAGACATTTTGCACCTGTCTGAAGCCACTAGTGCACCGAGTTGATTGAAATTTTGTCACTTTTAACAGAGGAGGACTTGAAGGAGAGGTAGGAGAGCGGGCTCTCCACTGTTGCGATCGCCGTCACCTGCACGGTTCGGGCCGGAGCGAAGAGGTGGTGTTGGGCTGTGCGAGTATGTTATTCACGTGAGGTCAGTATTCACACAAAAATTTGGCTCACTGATTCTCACTCCTCTCTATAATTCCTCTAGCTTGATTGACTACATCGCTATCTCCGGAACCATGGAACGTAACGTTCTCGAATTCGTTGACCACCTGCACGAGCATTTCATCACTCCCTGCTCCGTCAACCTGAGGGGAAGGTATAACGTACCAACGAATCCTCTTGAAGGGTATGGTATCGAGACGTTTGAGACTAGTATTGCAGAATGTGAGTGCCCTAATGGGTCGTATTGGCTGAGCGCGAAGGCGAAAAGGCATAGAAGGCAAGATGATTAGATCATTTCATGTACCAACAACTAATCTACATAGTGACCCAAATTGACGGTCATCTTACTGTCACTTTGTCGGAGTGGTTAACGGGATCGCCTTTCACCGCCGTATCCTTCTGAGACATTGAAACCCTCAATTACTTTGAGTACTGGGCTTATGAATACTTGAGTAATCGAACTGCTGGAGTTGGATGGGATACGAGGTTCTAAATTGAGAGATTCACTTGTGATAAAATCTGAGATGTTGGTTGTATGATTCGATGTGTAAGGGGAAGTGATGAATAGTAGTAAGTAGTGTTGGCGGTGGATCGACCTCTACTACATATGAGTTTGTCTTGTTTCGCTGAGGAAGGGAGGAAAAAGAATTCTTAGTCCAGTTTGCGGGAGTGGTTACTAGTAAAATTCGATCATTCTATGTTACTTGCTTTCGAATGTAACTCCCCCGATGTTCCCAATTTTGCTTCAACTTTTCGCGACAATGGATGCTAAAGGAGATAAAAACGTGAAAAGGGGAAAAAGAAACGTCACCTGTGCGATTCGAACACACGCGGGCAAAGCCCAACCGCTTGGAACTACGAGAAGATAGCAGGCGATCCCGTTAACCACTCCGGCAAAGTGACCTACCAAATGTAAATTTTAGCTCAAACATATCTGGTTCTTATCAGGTCGCGGGGCAAAGGCTGCCAGTGGGAGAAACCCAAGGCAATAAATTTCTGGTCAAAAACCACACTGCGGTCTGCTCCATAGTTGAACGTTGATGGCTTAACTTCTTGTATCAGTCTGGATGGTGAGTTAAGGAAGTGAACCACTCCGACAAAGTGACTTGTCAAATTTCAGAGAAAGTGATCGTGATCGTCGCCAGGGCACTAGCTTTTAGGTACCAATAGGAGATCAATGAACAACAGAGGTAGCAAGGGGATAGATTCATATATATATGATATACACCTTGGGTACATAGTGGTAGCTACTATGTATTATGAATGGTGCCAGCCTTCAAGTGTTTCATGAATTGGAGACATTTTGTTTCGATGTCGCAGAATCCATGAACACTATGTACAAACATTATTGTTGTTTTGATAACCAAAGTGAAACTATGTCCTGTAGCCACAGCGAAAGGCGGGAAGCTATCCCACTACGAGGAAATGACATACCTGCCCGCATAATCTGCAGGCATTTGGTAGCTGTGCCGGTGTTGGGCTAGACATTGTACTTCGGATAGTATTGGGGGTGTACTTTCCAATGAAGTGCTTTGTCAATGAAATGCCCTTTCATCCCCTCCCCCAATTCCCAGTTGTTGAACACACCAAATCGGATCCGGGTGCCAACTGGTTGAGCTGAAGGGCGATGGTCCCTAAAGCTAAAGCAATAAAACATCACAAAACAAGCTGAGTGGCTCTTCTGTATCATTCTACAAACACAAGTAAAAAATCACAAACTCAGGGAAAAGAAAACCGACATCTCTAGAGATCAGTACAAGCCTACAAGGTGAGTGATTCTTTTTTAACACAGAAAAATGACTGAGATCACCGAAAATGTTGTCGTGATCTTTGCTCACTGAATCGCTAGTATCGCTAGAACTGAAGACTACGAATGGCTTCATAAACGGAGGACCATCACTATTGAACAATGGCGGAACGCGAACGAAAAAGTTTACCGATTCTCAAGTCCGTACTAGCATGAATTCATGATTGGCAGTACACATCGCGATAAGATAGTACACTACATATATTTGAAGTACCACAACAAAAACCGCCAGTCCATTGCAAGCCTTGAAGTCAATGTTATTCAGCGTGAGCTTCCCGATCTAAGCGTCCTTGGAAATCCTATTGATCTGATCCAAACTTCATCGTGGTCCCATAATCCGACACCCTCGACGTTTCTATTAGCCACATTGATGTTCTTGAACCCATTTCCATCCACATCGACCTCAACTCGGCCTTCGTCGCCTACATGATTCATAGGGGTACAGTACGTTCAGCACATCCCTGAAGAATGTGGGACATGGCATTCACGGATCGTACGGTCATATGTAATTAAAGACGCGACTCTATGTACACTTGAGATTATTATTAGTCGAGACGCGACCTTTAGCCTGGACCCAGAGTTCACTCCTATGATGTTATCAGCGTGTAAACAACCGCCGCGCTTTCCGTCCTCGTGAACCACATCCCACGAACCATCGAAGGGTTTGAGCCAATACCATAGGTAGGGACATACACTGAAGCAATGTCCTACTGAAGAGGCGGATCTATGAGAGCTTTCTTCTCGCCGTCCGAAGTAGTAGAGCAGGCACTATCCTCTGTCTCTTCGTCGTCGTCTTCGAATTCTGATACGAATGCCATGACCCCTAAACAGAGTACGATGAAGACAGAGATGAGGATTGGGACTCGAATGTAGATTCGAAAGTTGATTGTGATACGGCCACCCCGAAAGATGTTATGCACTATTTTCACGACAGAACCGGAGGCATGGGTGGCTGATACTGGGAACCCTCGACAAGTCAGTGTTGGATTGCTGGTTGTGATTCGGTAATAAGATATTCGTACCTGTTAGTGCTGACGCCGACATCTTGTGTCTTTCATTAGCAGGGGCGAGAATCTGGACTTTGATAAACTCGTAATTGATGCCAGAACTTGACAGTTGTAGGACTGAAGAGTCGTTTGCGGCGAGTGGGGAGAGAGGGGCGCCATTAACGATATGCGATGAAAGAATGGAAGATATGAAAAGGAGTGCAGAGATTAAACGGTAAAGCATCGCAGAAATTGTGAGTTGGAGAACAAAGGAGAACAGTTGACGTAGACTATGTATTTTTATGACAAGGCCTTAAACTCGATTTGGTAGATTGCGTCTCGATCAGGAAAGTTGGCTGCGGGCATTTCCAGGCATTTCCGAAATGTCTCGGATGACAGGCCCAGAGAGCTCCTGTCTCCAAATCCATTTTCTTCATGTACGTACACTGGGGACTTAACTGCAATTCTCATCCATTCCCGCTGGCGCAGCTTCAAATGGGCCTCTTGATTCGAAGTTGGAAACCGAAGAACATGGGCCGTCGAATTTTATTTTTGATGTAGAACTCGCAGCGAAAGTGTCAACAACATTGAACACAATCTCGCAAACGACGAATGCATGTTGCTTCCTGGTAGAAAAGATTGAATCAGTAGTGCCGCCGTGGATGATCATGAAGTAATAGTATACGAGGCACCTTTTTGAACACAGATCCGAAGAATGCGAGAAATGCCATGCATAGTCATTCAATGTACATACTTGTGGAGGTCAAAATGACAAAGCGAGACGCAGGGTGATACCTGGAGAAGCAGCAATTCTCAAATACAATTTTGCGAAATTCGTTCTTTGCGATTGTGCCTAGTTGCGCCCTCACACGCAGATTTCAAGCTAATCCCGGTTTGGCCCGCTAGGACCTGCTGCGGTGAAGGGAAGTTCCTGGCAGGTCAAGGTACCTGCTCTGAAACCTGTCGATGTCGGCAGACACATCCTCCGAGACTCCGCCTGAGTATAGATGTCGACCCTGGTCGACAAATCATCGTGCGGTGGACAGCTTCAAACAGCACCTGACAGCATGCCACAGATTTTTGAAGGTTTTCCTCACTTGTACATAGAGTCCTGGTAAGGTCCTGGTGAAGTTGGACTGGAATGGCGCCGACAGTAGCAGGTCATGTAATGAAAAACCTTATACATACTTTTTGTTTCTTGCAGTGACCCATTCATTGCACAAGTCCATAAAACAGGCAAGGAATGTGCATAGACTCTACGATTAGCCTTACTTTGCAACTATGAGGTACGTTCCATTTCCAAATACCTCTTTAATACTGAACCGATGTCGACAATCCCAGCATTATTGACAAAAACCCGGTCATGGAATCGATTGCTGATTGGGCGGACTACAAATCAAACGAGATAAAGGCGGCATACGACCAAAAGGGGGGATGGGAAGGATGGGTCCAAGTAGAGCTCGCTCGCCACCTTCAACAAGCGTTTGGTCATGAAGGCCAGACTGTGGTCACTCGTGAAGAATACGTCTACAATGGCACCGACCAGAGATCCGACTTCCTGATCACCACTACAAAGTCGAACGGCGATTCCTTCACCAACATGTTCGAACTGAAATGCGAAAGCTGCAGGAACTCGGGCAAATTCAGGACGGACGTTAAAGCAGACTGTACCAAAATCACCAATGGTGTCTGGAACGCCAAATATAATCCTTGCAAAGCGTGGATTATCGCGTTCGGCGTTACGAAGGCAGTAGGAGATTTTGCGGTTGGCGGTGCTAATTTGAAAGCATATCATAGGAAGATTCAGGCTGGAGGTACAGAGATAACAATCTGGTGGGGAACAAGGGCTTGAACTTGAGTAAGTCAATAACTGCATTCGTAGTCATAATGTGGCATCGCACTCGGGAGATCTGGTTCAGATGAATAAGAGGAAAACCCATTATGTTCGTGGTTGAAAGAATGCCAAACTGGATGAATAGTTTAAGTATTCTGCTGGGGGCTGGTATGTAGTACCAACGAAAAGGAGGGTTTCGGTATGCCTTCGCCATTGAGGTGGTTACATTGATCTCGTGTCCGGGCACCCGTCCTCCTGGCTACTTCCGTATTTTTCATATGGCTAGTAGTTCTCCTGTAGCTATTGCAATCGACGTCCGGGAGTTGGGTTTGGCACAGAATGTGGATGGGACGGGATGGAGGTGCAAGAGATTCATATGGCTATGTAGACGAGCTCTTTACTCACCACTGGCACCAGGCACCGCAGTTACAATACTAACCATTCTTGTCTGCGATACACAATGGAATGAGACGGCGACGAACTAGGATGTGAAGGCAGTGACTTATTGATTCCCTGATACGCGCTCACGTGGGGCTTGTCACTGTGAGTTGTTCTGAGGAGACCTTTGGTTTTTGATCATTTTGTTTCTTCAAGGACGTGCCTCCAGAGGCCTCCAGGTGTCTCCAGTGTCCACCAGGCTTCCCTATGTAGGCTTCCCCTTGATAGTTACACACATGTAATGCAGATGAGATGTATTAGATGTATTCAGCCAGGCGAACTCAGGCTCGCTTGAGTTCTGACAGGTGCAATGTACCCTGCATGTACCAAGCCCTACCAAGCCTCTAAGAGTTCTCTGCGGTCGCCTATTTAGTGTGAACCCTTGTGTGCCTACATGAGATTTGAGTCTATAAAAGTAGGCCAGGTTGGTGTGTCCGCTGTACGTCCCAGTCCCCCAAACCAGTTGCAACCATGAGGTACGGATCATTTTTACTTGTGTTTGGATTTTCGAACCAACGTCGATGACTTCTAGCGTTGTTGACAAGAACCCGATTATGGAATCGATTGCTGATTGGGCGGACTACAAATCAGCAGAGATAAAGGCAGCATATGACCAGAAGGGCGGATGGGAAGGTTGGGTTCAAGTAGAGCTCGCTCGCCACCTCCAACAATACTTTGGTCACGAGGGAGTCGCTGAGGTCACTCGCGAAGAATACGTCTACAATGGCACCGACCAGAGATCCGACCTCTTAATCACCACAACAAAAACAAATGGTGATGCCTTCACCAATATGTTCGAGCTCAAGTGCGAGAGCTCCGGAAACTCTGGCAAGTTCAGGACAGAAGTTAAAGCAGACTGTGCCAAAATCAATAACGGCGTCTGGAACGCCAAATATAATCCTTGCAAAGCGTGGATTGTCGCGTTCGGCGTCTCGAAGACTGTAGGAGATTTTGTGGTGGGCGGTGCTAATCTGAAGGAATATCATAGGAAGATTCAGGCTGGAGGAACACAGATAACACTTTGGTGGGGGACAAGGTCATGAAAGATGAATATTTGTACTTTAAATTGAGATTATTGCCTTGTACTCAAGAGATCTAGTTCGAGAGAACATGTTAACGTCATACATGAGGGGAAGGTATTGGCGCACTTCACCAATATGATTGAGTTTGAACGCGGGAGTATTGTAAACGCAGATGATTTTAGGGGAGCGGTCAGAAGAAGCTGCACCAAGGTTGACACAACAGACTGATCGGCCAGAATCAAGCATCTTCCTTGTCAATGTAAGGCAGTCTTTACTTTTTCGCGAGTTGAGGGGAGGTTCGATTCCGTGGCCCATTTCAATTTACAAAGACCCGCACGTCTTCAGCGTAGGCTTAGCGCATGGGACCTACGAAATGCAGAAGTTGTCAGCAAAATTTTATTGTAAAAAGAGCACTACTCACCAGGCACTGTCGTTAGAAAATAATAAACCCATCCAGCGAGAGTATCGGCATCAATTTACAGTCTTTGACAGGTCTCACCAGGAGGGCTCGTTCACCAGATCTTTGATGAATATTGAGGCTTGAAGACTCGGAGGAGGTCGACGTCGTGTGAGTACCACCAGTACCCGTCAATGCGTCAACGTTCCCAGGATACGCGCTCACGTGAGATCTAAATCACACCAGTCGCGACTATAATAAGTCTTTGACACACTCATTCAAACATTCCGCCATGAGAGATGCAGATGGCAAGAAAAAGGTGCGGAACGACAATATAAACTATTCAGAAGGAGGTGATCTCAGAAAGGATATAGATGTCTACACTAAGTACTAGAAAGTGCCAGGGAAAGAATGATATTTAAGGATATTGACTTGTACAAGGAAGTATCACTTACGTTATAACCAATGCTGTACCCGTACGCGTGCGCGGTAGTTATTCTGTTATATTACACGGCTTGTTCAGTCTTCAAAAACAAATTTACCTCACCCGTCGACATGCAACATCTTCCCGTCCTTTGTGACCACCTGTAACCACAGCAGTACAGCTGATGAACAATCGTGGGCATGCCCTGCCAGGAGCGGGGCACAGGATGTCCTAGGGAAATAGATCTACTCCCACTTTCTCTTCTAGATCACAATGATTGCAAGCATAGCAATCATGATCTTCACCCTCGTGGTCGTTCTCGTCCTCAGGCCCTGATACAAAGCCTAGACCCGCAACGAGCAAGAGTACAACGAAGAATGAAACAAGAACCGAGGGCCCAATGTTGATTTGGATGCTAATTGCGACCGGGATATCTCGAAGGTCATTATACATGAGTCGCACGAAACCGACCAAACCAGCTGAGCCTTTGACTACGACCACATAAGGAGTGGATACTAGGTAACCCTCCACTGGTCAGAAATTTCGTGCTCAGGGTGCAACAGCGGATAATGGTAATACCTGTCTCCACTCTCACTTCACAGTCTGACGACCTGTTTGTGGAAGTGGGAAGAATGTACCGGGGTTTCATGAGTCCGTTAGGCACATGGGATAGATCGGAAGAGGAGACTCTGGATATTGGAGCAGCGTCAACACCATTAAATGGTGATAGAATGGAGAAAATCAGAATAAGAGCAGCGAGCAGACAAAAATGATCAGGCATCATAGAAGTTGCGAATAGGTGAGCTGATGAAAACCGTGCCAAGGGAACAAACCAGGGGAATAGGGTTGGCATTTTATAATTTGGATTGAAGGCTTGAACATTGTTCACCAATGTTGAAATATTCAATTCGCACCACAGTTGTCTGCAAATCAAGGTTTGCCAAGATTTTCCAGACAAGCAACCTCATCATACGAAAGAATGATTAGTGGCGCGGTGACAGGCTAAGTCGCTACAGATGATCTTTAATCATTGATCACCAGCGGGAAGGCTTGGGACGGCTGCAGTGGTAATGGTGGCATTGAGATACAATGGATTGAAGACTATTGAAGATCATTCAACGTTTAAGGCATCATCCAATGCCGAATGTCAGTGTTGAAGGTACTTGTACAAACAAACAGCTTGTGCGCTAAAACATACCGATAGCTAAGCCATTGAAATTCTATTTCTACATTCAAAATTGTCCATCCTTCATCCAAGGATCCCATCGCTCCTCAGTTTCGCAACCTCCGCTGGCGACAAACCCAGCTCATCCGTCATGACTTCTTCCGTATGATGCCCTAGCTCCGGTCCAGCCCATTTCGGTTGAGATTCACATCCTTCCAATACAGGAAATGTTCCTGTCATCTTCAAATTCCACCCGGCTTTCCCACTGCCATTCCCATCCACCCAAACATCCTTAATTGCACCCCTTGCCTGCACCTGCTCACTCTCCACGATATCCTTAACCGTGACAACGCGTCCGACTGGTACACCCGCTGCAGTCATCGCTTTTATCACCTCTTCCGCGGTATGCCTCACTGTCCACGCTGAGATGGCCTTCTCGATAGTCTCCTGCCGTTCGACTCGGTGGTGGTTTTGCTGGTAGGAGGGTCCGGTAAGGTCTGGGCGTTCGACGACCTGCATGAGGCGGTTGTAGATGGAGTCGCCGTTGGCGCCGATGACAATGTAGGAGGGAACAGTCGGTGATTCGGTGTCGGGAAGACAAGGGTAGGCGTTAGTGGGTACGATTCCGGTTACTGAGGAGCCGGAGGGGCCCCGGATCTGGAGATAAAGATGGTAAGAGGTATAAAGAGTAGATTCAGGTCTCACAGCACGAACCTTGCCCTTGCGGTCGTACTCAGGCACGATACCTTCCATTAAGTTCAGCATGCTGTAACATATCAGTGAATGGATAATGATAATCGATTAACATACTTGCCTTTCCAGAATACTAACATCTACCGTCATCCCTTTATTCTGACCCTGTTTACGCTTTTCTCGACGAGCGAGTAATGCAAGAACCTACAACAATACGCAGCGTTTTCCAGGTTCAGTCTTCCAACAATTTTGTGGAAAAGTACTCACAGTACCGAATGCCGCATGTAACCCAGCTACGGAATCACCGAGACTAATATTAGGTCGTACAGGAGGGCCAGAAAGACCACCAGTTTGAACATCTGGGAAACCGTTGATATAACGGAACCCGGACTCGGCTTCGCACACAGATGCATATCCTGGCCGTGGTGCCCAAGGTCCAGTCTGGCCGTAACCGCTGACGCGGGTAAAGATGAGAGAAGGATTGTATGGATGGAGGTCTTCGGGACCAAGACCCCATTTCTCAAGTGCTGAAAGGGTGATTGCTTACAATGTATACTAGGAGGGCAAGTAGAAGGTAGTACGCACTGCCGGGTTTGAAGTTTTCTATTATGACATCGCTTTTGATAGCTAGCCGTTTGACAAGTCTAACCAATGATGATGAGGAAGATGAGGAAGAGGGAAGGATCAAACATAGACTGACTCTCGCCCCTCTGGTTTCCGCAAATCAATCGCAACACTCCTCTTATTCCTAGCTATACTCCTAAACCACGGACTTGTGCCATCTACGTCGAGCTCTCTCCATACGCGTAATGGATCTCCTGTTTTTGGTGCTTCGATCTTAATCACTTCTGCCCCGTATTGTCTGTGATACGAACACGTTTGGATAGAAAATCAAGACGCGTAGGAGACTGACATTGGAAACATGCCTTACCCAAGTAACTGGCCAGCGAACGGACCAGCAATGAGTTGGCCCAATTCCAATACGCGTATTCCGGAAAGAGGAAGGTCGTCGGGGTTTTGTTGAGTTGATATTGAGCTGAGTGAAGCTCTAAATAATACGGAATGAATCAGCCTTAGAAAGAGATAAATCTAAGTGGTACCGACCGACATAGCTGGCGTCGCGTAGTAGAAAGCGTTCGAGAGAGTTTGAACATCGCCGTTGGAACTTGGATCGAGTTTTAGACACCGGATGTATGTCGTATTTATGGTCGTTCGGGATGCATCGGCCGATAGTCCGTATGTCCGATACCTGACAGCGACAAGGATGGGTTTTCGGATTTTGAGTCCATCCCACAGTTTGAAACCCATTGAATGGGCGAGGGATAGATCAAAACTGGCAGACAATGGCGTTCCGAAACTGCACCGATGGCGATTATTACTACAGATTTCTGTAGTCGGTATCGGATTTCAGCCCGAAGCAGATGGTAAAATTCAATTGTGTATACCTGACGCAGCTGATTTGTCAAAGACTATAGAGATCGCGGGTTCAAGGACAGATGGAGGTATCCTCGCAAAGGTCGCAAAGGTAGCGCTCAAATATGTATCGGCGCTTATTTACACGTTCACATCGACCGCCGTAGCAAGCAAGTTCAACTTCAAGTAAGATCTTCATCGTTCAGAATGACTACGCATACATCCTCCTAAAAGACAGTACTTCTTTGTTTGGATAACCTTTCCAGCCACCATGGAAAAGATCACGATCCTTGACACTTTGTGACGCGCATGTCTCTCCACCAGTATAAAACCAGTCCTTTGTTCGCTGGGGGCATTTTGCCCTTCTACCATGTATTTAATCTATCTTTTTCGACGAGATTTACGGATATCCGATAATCCCATATTTCACCACTTGCAAAAACATCCTCAATTCTGTCATATCCTTCCGCTCTACATTCTTCCTCCAAACCAAATCGAAGTATCAGGTTTTCTCCAAGATCCGAAATTGGAATCTCCCTATCCACAAGCTCGTTCGCGCTTAGGCAAATTTTGGAGATGCGGGCCCCATCGAGCCAAGTTTCTTGCTGAGAGCATCTGGGATTTGAAGGAATCGTTGAAACACCGTGGAAGCGATTTAATTGTTCGTGTCGGAAGGATGGAAGATGTTGTTGGTCAGATACTCAAGCGGAAGGAATTTCAAGGCAAAGTAGGCGCAGTGTGGATGACGAAAGATTGGGCGAGCGAGGAAGTCAACGAAGAACTTCGGATTGAGCGAGCCGTGAAGAAAGAGGGCGACGGAAAGATTGAGTGGAAGGTCTGGGATGGAGAGGAGATGCTTTTAAACGAGTAGGCTTCAAGATTATCATAATATATTTTAGAGCTCAACTCTCCCATAGTAACGATTTTTCTACGTCTGATCCAGCTCAAGTCCCTGACGTCTTCACTTCCTTCCGAAAATCCTTTGAACCACTTCGGGACAATATTCGTGTACCACACTGTTCAACTCACTCGAATTTGCCTCCAATACCACCCAAAGTTCCTACCCAAGCTGCACCATTCACCATACCCACTAGCCTCGACGATTTCATCTCCTCTCTGCAAAAGCCCGTTCAAGATTGTGGACTCGGACCACCGGTTCTCAAACCTCAAGGCGCTTCAACCGCTCACCCATTCATCGGCGGTGAGACAAGCGCGCACGAACGTATTCTTCATCTCTTGGTCTCAGGTAGCTTGTCCACGTACAAGGATACGCGCAATGGCCTTCTAGGAGAAGATTTTTCTACTAAGCTAAGTGCATACCTCGCTTTAGGGTGTGTCACTGCGAGACAGGTCAATGCATACATGGTCGCCTTTGAGGACGGCAAAGATCTTCCTGATTTCGGTATTCGTCTAAATACTGAAGTTGATTTGGCGAACGCAGAAGGTTTTGGCAAAGGTGAAAATAAAGGTACATCAGCTGTCCGTTTCGAGCTTTTGTGGAGAGATTACATGCGATTGTGTATGAGGAAATTTGGGGATGGACTATTCTCTATCGAGGGTTTCAAAGAGCGCTCGAATGATACCTCTTACCACTGGTCGAATCTCTCTTCTCCCGAGACTCGTTGTACCTTTGATCGTTTTATCCGAGGCGAGACAGGGACTGGTCTCATCGACGCTAGTATGCGCGAACTGGCACTCACTGGATACACTTCCAATCGTACCCGACAGAATTGCGCTTCGTTTCTAGCAAAATGGTTAGGAATCGACTGGCGCTTGGGTGCAGAGTGGTATGAATGTATGCTGATAGATCACGATGTCGCGAATAACTGGGGAAATTGGGCGTATGTTGCTGGGGTAGGGAACGATCCTAGGGGAAGGGACGCTAGCGGTGGTGGTGGTGGAACCGAAGGAAGGAAGTTCAATCCTGTGAAACAGGCATGGGATTACGATCGTAATGGTGATTATGTCAAGGCCTGGATTGCGGAGTTCGAAGGTGTGCCGTCTGGAAAGGACCTTGGCGATGGGAAGAAAGGTTGGAGAGATGTTTTATTTCAAGGGTGGAAGGTGGATGAAATTTTTCGGCATACGAAGGATAAGCAGGAAAGAGAGTTGCGGGAAAAGTTGAAACTATTGGAATGGGTGAATAGGCCGTTGGTGAAGATTCGATATCAGCCGAAAGATCAGGCGCAAGGAAAGAGAGGATCTGATGCAAAGCGCGGTGGCACTCAAGGGACAAGAGATTGAACGTATAACACAGATCGAAAGCGGTCCAGGTTTGGATGATCGTAATATTCCAGTTCCTTCCTTTTTCCAATGTAAACCTCATGAGAACAATTAAAACTTCTCCATCGCTCAATGGTGATTGCGGCCTTCGGCATGTACAGGCCAGCTGACGAACTTATGCAACCTCAGACTTTATCTAACCGGGTCCATCTCGGAAGAACTATCTGCCCATAAAGGTGCTCGACGAGAAATGTATCCCTCTAGCCTGATACAAGCAGAAAGATGTTCAGTCGCTCTCGAATTCTGGCCAGTGGATGTTACAAGAGCTTATCAAAGCGAGGGGTTTTCCCTATTCCGCAATTTTATTCAATCACCACTGCTACTGAGGTCAATACCAGCAATGCTCCCGTTCCTACTCGAGCGCAAAAGAACGAGGGTGCAATCCTGGATTTCTTTTCCACACTTGATCCCAACGTCTCTCATGATCTTCCAGCAAGGTTTTCCGATTTGAAAGCTGAAATCTGGAATGAAAGCCTTTTGGAGTCTTGGAAAGAGGTTTTGGCTGAATTGGAGACGGAGACGGAAAAGATTGCTTCTCTAGGATCTAAGGTCAGATATATGGATCAACGTTGCAATTTCATTGTCGATTCCCCCGTGATACCATTTTTGGGCTGAAATTGTGTCTACACAAGGTCATACCAAAAGTTAGTTATGAAGAATTACGCGCAGGCCTTTCGGAGGACACTATTGCAAATGTCAAGCAAACCGGTGTAATCTTGGTGACTGGCGCTGTTCAAAGAGAGGTTCGAGGCTAGAGTATTCAATATAAGGCCAAGCACTCATTTCCGGGTTAGGAAGCACTTAAATGGAAAGAATCCATTCGGCAGTACATCAATGTAAATAGGAAGCTTGTTCGAGGTCGGTAGCTACTATTTTTCACTCTCTATTCATGTTCTAACCCCCCTCCTCACTCTATAGGATTCCCCTCGGATAACCCCCAGATATACGAACTATACAATTCCGAGGCTCAAACTCTCGCACGTACACATCCTAATATTCTCAACACACAGCGTGTACTTCTCTCACTCTGGCATACATCCGATCCCAACACAGAGATTAGCCTTGCCAACCCTATTTCTTATTTTGATCGTCTTCGTATCCGTACGCCAGGTGATGCAACATTCACACTTGGACCTCACGTCGACGGGGGCTCTATCGAACGCTGGGAGGACCCACAGTTTCGGTCATGTTGGCGTAAAATTCTACAGGGTAATGCTAGCTGGCGTGAACATGATCCTTTCGATGCATCTCCAAGGGTCGGTGCCAAGCAAGATCTTTATAATGCTGCGTGTGTTATTTTTCTTCCGTTCGCGGCTTCAGGTTGTTAATTGTTCGTTCAGAAACCAATGCTCTGTCTTCCGACCGTGGCAGGGATGGACTTCAATGTCAACGACGAGGCAGAACGAGGGGACACTACGAGTTTTACCAATGCTTTCGCTAGCCACTGCGTATCTTATTCTTCGTCCTTTCTTTCGTCCACGTCATTCTTCTTCAAATTCTCTCAGGGTCGAGGACTGGGAGATCGATCTGTCGAATCCTCTCTTCCCGGGGAGTGGAATGGGTAAAGGTCAAGAATTGAATGAAATCACTCATCCACACCTGCAACTGTACAAAACCATGGTTGCGATTCCGAAGGTGGAACCTGGGGATCAGATCTATTGTACGTTCTTAATTCATTGAAGAAACTTAATATTAAAATCAATATGAGAAGGGCACTGCGACGTGGTACACGCAGTAGAACAGCAACATAAAGGGACAACGGATTCATCGGTGATGTACATCCCAGCAGTTCCATTGACCATGTACAAGTGCGTGGTTATATCTAATATCTATGCTGCCAATGCCCTGCTCACTGTAAATACAGCGCGGGATATCTTCGAGATCAACGGATCCATTTTGAGCAAGGCCTCCCAGCACCGTACGTCTCGCCCCGATGCTCTTCCCTAATAACAGAATTTGATCCATACATATATGAATCCTTTAGTGATTTCCCTGGAGGTGAAGGGGAATCTCATTTTGTTGGCAGAGCAGGTAAAGAAACCATCCCCACATCTTTTGGGCGGCAAGCATATGGTTTTGACCCATTCGATGATACATCTGAATTCATCAAGAAAGTCAATTCCAGAGTTGCCGCATAACATTTTCGAAATATACAGCTCATATCGAGATAGAAAATTATCTGGTCGACGGGTTTTTTCATTTATAGGCCTCCTGCATATCGGAATCTCAGGTGTAGTACAGGAATCCCGGTCAAGGTTGTTTGTATAGTGTAAATTGGGTATACTACTAGTGAATAGATATTTAGCTTTGACTCTATTTTTGGATACTTCATTCTTCCCCTCACATATCATACATTGGTGGCATTTCACTGGTGTCCCATGATCCTGGCTGAAGCCTTTCATTGAGAACTCTTACAAGCTCTTCAGTTGTCATATCTTCTCGGGCTCTTTGATTTGAACTTCGAAAGGGGTTTTGAACTTGCTGTGGGTGGATCTCCATTGCAACTGATACTGGTATCAAAGTGGCAGGACTAGGAAAAAACTAGTTGGAAATGCAAAATTATCTAGTATGGAAAAACTTGCCTAATCTCTGTTCCGATGGTTTGGGAGAAAGAGCCCCTATGTTCTGGAAGATTATGAGGGACTACTTTGTTATTTGTTGCTGTAGTTACTCCTCTTGTTGATTGAGTGGTTGGTGCAGAAGTTACTGCAAATGACAACATAAATGGGACCAATCCATTTTTGTTTGATTGGCCTATCTGTTGTTGTCTTTTGTGTCGCAACAGATATGTGGGGATTATAATCAAGGTAATCAAAAGGATGACACCTCCCACAATACCACCTATCAGAGCACCAACTGGTACAGTAGTATGTGATCTTATAGGGGATAGGGTGGAAGTTGATATAGGGGAAGAGTTTGAGCTTGTAGAGTTGTCCTGAAGCAAAATAGCACCAATTGAAACTGTAAGTGCAGTAATCTGATTGCTTGCAGAGTATTGTTCAGATGGTGGGCCTGACCAAGAAGCTGTATAGATGTTGGTTCCATTTGCAGTTGCCAGGTCGATTATAGCATTGTACTAGGGAATTCAGCAACATTTTAGCACATTTCACCAAAACACACCTGTACCCCCAGAAAGGCCTCAATGTAAGTCCTTATTTCAGCACTTGTTGCATTGTGACTGTATGCTACTAGTAGACCACGAGCAAGCATATTATCACCCAATTTTTGAGCTATAAGAGTAAAACTTCTTTGAAGCCACCAATTGCAAAAAAAATAATGCACATACTACCACTAGCAATGATACCATTATCTGCTACCCAAACAGTATTTTGCACAGCTGCAACAATAGCATCATTGAGTCTAAATATTGAATCATTCAGTTCATGAGTTTTTCAATATGTATTTTATACATAAGCAAAATACATACAATGATTGCATTGTTGCATTTTGAGTAAATGAGTAAAGAGTTGCTAAACCCTCAATCATGAGTCCTGCATTGTAAGGCCACATGTTTCCACTTGTGCTACATGAATCATTTTCCCTAGCTGATATAGTGTCTTGTACAACACTGTTGATGTTGTACAGATGGGCCTTGATGAATGCAGCTGAACTTTGAGCTGCAATCAAATATGTTTGATTGGATGTTGCTTTGGCCAAAAGGGCTGATAAACTGATTGAAATTACTTTTGCAGAAGAAATACTACCCATTAAAAATATCTCACATAAGGAAGTATCTTGATTGACTGTGTTCAGCTCTGAAATAATATGTTATTTGAGAAAACACTTACCCTGTTCCAAGGCCATCTATAGATGGATTACTGATATCTGTCTCCTGGAATATTATTTTATTTTAGACATGTTACTTTCCAGGTTTTGTGTCTGCATTTTAGCTTACCCAGAATACTCCACCAGCCATGGTTACTAATTGTGACTTGATTAGATAATAACTAGGATAATGTAAAGATCTGGCTCACTGCCTTGACATGAAGATTGTAAAGGAAAATCCTTTAGTGTGAATGTATCAGAGAAGTCTGCATCAGTCAAAGCATATGCCTGATTAGAGTTCCAGCATTCTTCTGCATAGGCTAAGAATGTATCATTGTTGTATATCATGTATGCACGTATAGCTGCATATCCATTTGCACTGAAATCCTTGTTAGTGAAGTTATATATTTTCCAATTTGTATTGATACTACGTACAGGCCATAATTCATCTGCTTTACAGAGGATGAATAAAATGGATGATAGATTACTTTCATGACAAAATTCATTTGTTAAGGAGAACTGACACTGGTATTGTTTATTTAGTCACTGACAAGGAACAAATATTCAGCAACGAGATGCTTCTGCCAAGGGAAAATAATTTTGTACTGCATCTTCATATGTAGTTTGATTAACAATGAGATCAAATTCTGCCAATTGTGAATAGAATGTGGCAGAAGTTCCAAAAGATATGTTTGCCAAATCTAGCACAAAGAGTGAGAATTCCAAACAGAATTAACACATGTAATTTCATACCAGAGAAGAGGCCTTCACTTGTATTAGATGTACTTCTTATTTTTTCTATTGCCGCAGCAGCAATTTGTACCCGATCACTGACAGAGCTGGTAATGTTTGGTTTCTAGAGAAAGATAGTTTTGCTATGAGTTTAATGCACAGTGACATCTGCAAAACCTGGAAATTCAGATAAGGGCTGATAGCAGATCCCAGTAGATTCCAGCTATGCCAGAATATGTTCTCAAATGCTGTTGTATTTTTGGCTAGGAGCCTGACAATGCTTCCCCACATTGTCCAGCCAGTACCTTTTTTGTTACAATTATCCAGGTTTTGCAGATAAGGTGGACTATTGTACAACTCACACGCCATGATGCAGGTGGAGATAATGACTGAGACAAAACAAAAGAGTAAAAGATTGCAGTATAAAGTTGGAAGCAGGTAATTGGTGCGTGAGTGTTTTGCATGATATTACAGTGAGAGGAAATAGCAAGAGGCACCAGTCTATAGTGGTCTTACTTTTTATAATGTAGACTCGGAGTATAACGTGGACTATACATCAATGATTGACAGATTCATGATAGTTGATACTAGCAACAACCTGTGTGATGTATATTCAGCAGCTCAGTTCTACCCGCTTGCCCCTTTTGCCCATGCTGTAGTTTGTGGAAGTCTCATCCTTATGTACATGCAATTTTGATTTCCTTCTATGGTTGCAATTTCTCCTTACTAAATTGAATTACATTTATCTTGTGTGACTGACATAGGACATCACAAGATGCTGCAACTTCATGTCACTATTCTTATATGTTCAATCACATGCACTGCTTTATATTAATTTATATTCTGAAAGAACATTCAAAAATAGTGTCCAAAAGGCACCCATCATGCATTTCTCTATTCTAAAATTATACAATATTCTATAACATATAAGATACTTCTATCCAGGTTGGTGCCTCAGAGTGTCACCACTGTACATACCATGCCTGCTCAACAAGCAAAGTTACTGGTAAAAATAATTGATCTTTCAAAACAACAATTGACTCGCAGTTTTGACATAATGACTCTGAAGGAAAATTCTTTACCACAAATATACCAGAGAAATCTGTATCAGATGCATCTGCAAAACCTGTATGTTTGACTCAATAGCCGAAAGCAGCTCAGAGCACTTCAGAGCACTTCCCAGCAGCGAAAGCACCCAGAGCAGGCTTTGATTTTTGCTTTGGGTGCTTTCATTGCTGGAGAGCATTCTCCAGCCAGTATCCTTGCTCTGGTGAGTATACATGTTTTGCAGATGTGGAGTATATGCCTGATTAGAATTCTAGCATTCCTTTGCATAGGCTAAAAAGATATTATGGTTATATATCATGTATGCATGTAAAGCTGTATATCCAGTAGCACTGTTTTTTCCAGTTACTTGAGCTGGTCTTTGAATAATTTGTAATCTATAATGAGACTCACAGGCCATAAGTTATCTAGGATGAAGAGATAAATTGGTTTTGCAACAGAGTTCAGATGTCAGTAAGACTGATACTGACATTGCCGTAAATCAGTTGTAACTTGTTTAGCAGTGAAAGAGTTTGGTTGGCTTACAACAGATCAAGAAGGCCTGGACAAAATACTGCTTCCACCAGGGTAAAATAGCCTTGTACTGTGTTCTCATTTGTGGTTTGGTCAGTAGCTAAATCAAATTCTGCCAATCATTGTGAATGAAATGTGGCAGTAGTGCCCATGGTTGAATTGTGTGCCAGAACCAGTACAGGCTACGGGATCCTCCAACGCATGCAATTTCATACCAGAGAAAAAGTTTCCAATTGCATTACTCAATTCTATCACCTCCTCTATTGCGAAAGCAGCAATTTGTATCCAATCACTGGAAGAGGTTGTGATGTTTGGCTTTTGGAGACATGGCTTAGCTATGAGTTTAGTGCTCTATGTAGCAGAGCTGTGTGCAACCGTCAAGGCATTCACACACCATGATACTGGTGGAGATAGTAATTAAACAACAAAAGGGTAAGAGACAGCAACAAATAGTTGTGGATAAGTTATTAGCAGATCCATATTGGGCATGATATTGCGGTGAAAGGAGAGAGTATGAAGTAGAAGTCTGCAGAGGATCTCAATGCTTCACTCTTTATATCAGGCAAAGTGCTCTCGTTCAGTGGTATACTTTTAAAGAGACTATGAATCAAGATACGATGATCCATAAGCAAATGAATGGGGGGGACTCCTTGATCCGGTACCACCACCATCAAGGAAGCGCCCGACAAGCGCCGCCCCCCGTCGCAGCCCATAAGCCGACGAAGAGCACAGTGCGTGCTCTTCCAGAAGATTCAAACAATCTCTGGACCCTCCTTGATTCAGGAGAGGAAGCTAGCGCAGCTTCTACTGCTCTACAGAGAGCAGTATAAAATATTTGTAAAAATAAAATTTACGGCACACAGCCTTTAGACACGTAATGGCCACAAGTTGTCCCATAATCAACATGCCTCCTGGAGGGGGAAAAGAAAAGAAAAAAGGAGGAAATCATGCACTACGCCAACCTCAGACACAACGCAGCCCCGAAAATCGGACCTCGAGGCACTAACCGACCGCACGGAAACCTAACGCTCAAGGCGTGTCCCAAAACTAAAAAAGACGAAAAACCCACGACTCACTCCCTCCCGTCTCCCTCCCACCCACGAAACATCAGACATGAGCGAGGAAGCACCCAGAGGCCCCACACACGAGCCAAGAACCCTTGGCCTTGACGTCTACGGTGAAGAGGATAACCAGGTAACCCAGAACTCACATGGTTAACCCAGAACTCATACTGAAACAGGCTGCCCCAAACAAAAACAGGAGGCTCCACGAATCACAGTCCGCCCACCAGTCCCCAACCGGATCCTCGCCTAACAAAGCTAACAGGAAGATCCCGTACATGACCGGAATCACTACCCTTGGCTCTCGAGACCATAGCATGGAGATGGTGGAAATGGAACCCCCGGAGGACAGTAGGGAAGGTGAAGGAAGGTCGGGTGAATCCAACTATAATCCATACTCCGACCCCGGGAACACCTCCATGCACGCTAATGCGACAAGCCCAGATCCCTTCACAACCCCCCCTCAGAGCAGTCGACGAGCACCCGCAGACGCTAGTACTCCCAACCCCCGATCTAAACACCTTGCGGCAAAGGTCAAACGTACATTCGAACCTGTTCCCCTGTACTCGGTAGTCAAAGTGGGGACACTCGATGAAGAGCGGACAAAAGGAGTCCTCTTTGGGTATGACAACCCGCACGGTCCACTAGATTTCTCCGGTCCCCCATCCTCTGAAATTGCGCGCCGCTTTAGAATGAGCTCGCTCAACGAAGGATACTTCCAAAAAGCTGTCTTCTACCCCTCCGACGTCTTCAAAGGGATCTCCCCTGAACGAATCGAAACGTACCTATCCGGAGACTACATCGCAATTGTCCTATTCAATGGAGGCCAGTTCATGCACCAGGAGCTCCCTGACACAATGAGCAACATCCGCACCTTTCTCGAGGAAGCTGGATGCGAGGATCTTGAAATTAACTCTCCTTTCTACAATGACCTGAACGCCGACAAAGAACGACCCTCTGGGAGAGGGAGAGGGAAGCCCAACTGGAGACGAAGAGGCCGAGGCGGAAGCGAGCAGCCTCAACGTGGCGAAGACGCAAAGAATGACCGCTACAAAGGCCGAAATGTGGCATTCGCCTTAGTACAACCCCCAGCTGTCCGCACACTCATCCTGAGCCTGCAAACCTTTGCCCTTTCTAACATCCTTGCATTCCATGCCACCGAACCATCCACCGAGAACATTCCATGGGTTGTCTGTATCCTTTTCGTCACCTCGACAAAGGCGGACGCTGCGATGGGGGACAAAATCGAACACACAATCCGGAAAGGACTTGCCACGGATGAACGACTTGCAAGAGATCTAGCGAACTCCTCCAGGGTTGAGGGAACCACATCTGACAAGGTACAATCCTTCATCGACTCAACCGAAGTCCGCGATGCGGGTTACGAATCAACGGAGAAGCATCAACGATGCCACGTCTGGACCCTATACGCAGCCCCGTTTGCCAACAGCGAATCGTTCATCACCAGGGATGCCGACGAGCGCCTCATCCGGAAATACATCAGCACAAAACAGTTCGAAATGGGTACAATCGATATCTCAGGGGCATATACGGAGTGCAAGCTCTGCAAGTCCAACGAACACCAAACCCATGGATGCCAATACCGCTATCCGGAATACAAGAACTGGAAGGGCCCGAAACAGGAGATACACAAGGAGGTTGAGGAATATAAGAAAATGCAGAAACAGACGAAGGCCGCGCGCCGGGACCTCTAACATACTACCTAAACAGATGACCGCCGTCGATAGGATATGCTACATTCTTTACTACTTAAACCGTTAATGACCTTGGCCTCCCAAATACGGCCAATGGCGAGACATTCACATAAGTCCAATACCTAAGCTTAGGATTAGGAGAAGCCGCGTTAGCCACACGCGCAAACCTCCTTCACTTAATTTACTGACTATACGTAGGACAGGACGTGACTGGAAGTACAGCATAGCAAAACTTCATGAGGCCGATTCCTCATGAGGTCGAGCCATGCCGCAATGGTGAGGCTATTTAGCCTGGGGATCACCTGCCAGCAGTCCTGGCCTCCCGTTGTCTAGCTTCTGCTGTGCCTAAGAACACTTAAGCATTCAACGAGGAATCCCCCAATAGGATCATCAGCCATCAACCTTCGCGAGGTGATGTCTGAATCCACCTATTCGACAACTAACCGCTTCCAATACTAACAACCCCTCTACTAATGGTGACAACGACAGGTTTATGGCTACAGGTACTTCCAATCCTGGAAGGAGTGCAGCTGTAGCCTCCAACTACACTCCTGATGAAAGGAATGGAAGCGGAGTAGGAATATCTCGGGAACGAGACACCTCAAGAGCAGTGAGCTCAACGAGGGGCACCAGCGAGAGTGCTAATGAACAGCGCGTTCATTATCCCCCAGTGAGGGAGGATGGAGCTCAAAACAGGCTGGGAGACAACTCCCGAAACCGGCTAGTGCAGCCCGTGGGTCAGATTGACCTGATAGAAGGGACCCAAAGGAATAATCCGCCCCGGAACACTGTTTCCAACAACCAACTGCGAAGGCACTCCAATGATAGATGCCACAAAAGAACGAAAGTCTCTATTAAGATCGCAGCACTAAACATTAAAGGCCATGGTAACGTCAATATCGACCATACGAGCAATAAGTGGGCAGACATAAGACTCACAATGCTACAACGTCAAATAGGGATCCTGGTAATTGGTGAGGCACACATGAATGCCGAACGACGTCAAGAAATTGAACGAGTATATGAAAAAGACCTCAAAATATACTACACAAAACTCCCGAACACCCCAAATGCTGCAGGAGTAGCAATAGCACTAAATAAAAACATCACAAACTCTGAAGGAATCCAGACCTATGAAGTAGTGGAAGGACACGCTCTACTAATGGAAACATATTGGCATGAAAATGAGAAGATATCGATCCTAGCAATATATGCACCTAATGCAGACGCCGCCACTAATACTACCTTCTGGAAGAAAGTACAGGAATTTTTTACACGGAACCCAAGAATCCAAAAACCGGACTTTGTCCTAGGAGACATGAACTTTGTAGAGGAACCGCTTGACCGCCTACCAGCACGAAGTGACCCAGGAGTGATTACTGAGGCATTCGATGAGCTCAAACGCCAACTAAGACTCGAAGATGGTTGGAGAAATACATATCCCTCATCGTTGAAATACACATACAAACAAAAACGAACGAACCAGTTAACAAGACACTCGAGACTGGACAGAATTTACACAAAATCGGATAACATGCAACAAAGCTATGAGTGGCAGATCGAACAAGTCGGAATAAGTACTGACCATGATATGGTCTCAGTACGTTTCACATGTGAGAACACACCCATGACAGGCAAAGGGAGATGGATATTCCCTGTACACCTAATATATGATAAAGTCGTGAAAGAATTCATTGAAAATGAAGGCAAACTACTAGAGCAACAAATGGACCAGGTGGACCAAGAAGAAGAACGAGACCCAAATAACAACCATCAGACACTATGGGCAAACTTCAAACATCGGTTCACAAGACTGGCAAGGGAACGAGCCAAAATTGTTATCCCAAGAATAAACAAAGAAATTGCTATCCTGAAAACAAAAATCGACACCATTAGTGACGACCCATTACTGAGCGATGATGAGAGATCACTATCGACTGCAGTCCTCAAAGAGACACTGACAGCCTTGGAAAAACAAAAACTTAAATCTGCACGATCCACAGCCAAGGGCAATTACTCTATTCAAGGGGAAACTATATCCAGATACTGGTCCAACCTGAACAAAAACAAAAAAAAGCGTGACTTGATACTACGCCTCCAAATTCCACATGAAAGCAATGGAAACGGAGCAGGACCACAGATAGAACCAGTAATACATTATGAAACCAATACACAACGGATGGCAGATATGATGCGAAACCATCACGAACTAATCCAACAAGACACAGACTCAATAGATCAGATGGAGCGGGAACAGATTACTGAACAAATTCTAAACGCTGTGACAGTTAAAATCTCTGATGCACACAAAACAGACATGAAAAGGAAACTCACAACCACGAATGTAGAGGAAGCACTTAAACTATCAGCCAACTACAAGGCCCCGGGACTCGATGGAATCTGCTATGAGATTTGGAAAATAATACATGCAAGATGTAAGAATGCACAAGCACACAGAAAGAAAGCATTCAACATTGTTGAAGTCCTAAAGCGGGTTTTTAATGACATTGAAACTTTTGGAATGGTTAGTGGAACACACTTCTCAGAGAGCTGGATGTGCCCATTATACAAAAAGAATGACCGCGCACAAATGGAAAATTACCGCCCCATATCTCTATTGAACTCGGACTACAAAATAATGTCTAAAGCCCTAACTATTAAGCTAGCAAAGGCAGCACCAAGCATCATCAATTCAGCACAAGCTGGATTCGTACCAGGACGGCACATATATAACCAAATCTGGCTATCTAAACTAATTATCAATCTGGCAGAAACAACAGAGCAAGATGGGGCAATTATTGCACTAGACCAAGAAAAGGCATACGATAAAATCAAACATGACTACCTCTGGAAAGCATTAACAAAATATGGCCTACCAAACGAATTCATTAAAACTATACAAGCACTATATACCGATGCCTTCACATCTGTCTTTATAAACGGTCAAAAAAGCTCAACCCCATTCAAAGTAACAAGGGGTGTCCGTCAAGGTGACCCACTGTCATGCTTGCTATTTGACATTGCAATTGAACCCCTAGGAGAACTACTCCGAAAGTCAAATCTCAAAGGCTTACAAATACCCGGGAAAATAGAACGCCTAATCGCGACCTTTTTTGCAGACGATACAACAGTTTACCTATCAAAGGAGGATGACTTTGGGAGTCTACAATACATACTAGACCAATGGTGCACCGCCTCAGGTGCCAAATTCAATATAAATAAAACAGAAATCATACCCATAGGATCCTTTGAACACCGAGAAAAAATACGCCAAGCCCGATATCTCAACGGTGAAGATGGTACCCAAATACCTGGGCACATCAAAATTGCCCAAGAAGGGGAGGCAATAAGAACACTCGGAGCCCTAATTGGGAATGGTATCAGCCAAATTGAACCATGGACAAAGGTAATTGAGAAAATTGACCGTTCCCTAGAACAATGGAACCGAAGTAAGCCCACTATGGAAGGACGGAGACTGATTATTTCGATGATAGTAGGTGGCATGACCCAGTACCTGACAAAGGTACAAGGAATGCCTAAAGAAATCGAAAAAAAATTAACCAAGAGAATACAGAGCTTTCTGTGGAATGGGAAAACCCATGTTCGTATCAATGCAGAAACTGTAGAAGCCCCATTCGAATATGGAGGCCGTCAAATCCTAGATATACTTGCTAGGAACGAAGCAATAATGGTAACATGGCTACGTACCTATTTAGACATGTCCCCTGAACGGGCAACATGGACATATGTTGCTGATGCCCTAATTGCGCACCACACACCCAAAACATACGAGAACATTGATGACTTCTCTAAAATAAATATATTTCTACAATCCTGGAACACAGATAGTAGGAAACTGCCCAAAGACCTGCAAGACATGATCACTGTAGCAAAAAGACATGGACTCCGCCTCGATGGATTGGCCTTCTCACGAAATATCATCAGGCAAATGCCAATATGGCTACACAGTGAATCTAAAGAGATAAAACGACAACATAACAACAATGTCTGCAAATGCCTGAGAAAAAATCACGATGTCAAAACAGTTGGAGATGCAGAAAAAATAGCAAAACTGACTCACACCACAAGGCACACAAATAGACGAAACTGTGCCTGTACATCGTGCCGAAACATACGACAGAACACAGGGTGCACTCACCCAAACAGATGCTATGACAAAGCACAGGAACTCCTCAACCTACTCCCAGCAAAATGGAATCCCAACTCCCGACTACCGGAAGACTATGAGCCAGAGGAACTTGACCCGGCAGGATACAGAGATGGAAAAACATTTGACTGGAGGATTACTACAAAGGGAAATCTGGCTAACGCCTTCCGGATCTTCACAAACCGAGAAAAAAATACAAGCTTACCTGATACCGAAAGAACCCAGATAAATATAGGACCCACGATTGAAGCATATACTGATGGATCGTGTATACATAATGGCACAAACGATGCCATCGCGGGAGCGGGAGTATATTTCCCAAACGAGGAGTACTCACATCGTGCCATAAAACTCCCGGAATATGTAAAACAATCAAACCAAAGTGGAGAAATTATCGGAATCAAAGAAGCAGTAGAAACTGTAGATGAAGAGCGAGAACTCACCATTCATAGTGACTCAAAAACATACGTACAAGGCCTCACAACCCACCTACAGGAGTGGGAAGACAAAGGATTTATGGATATCAAAAACGCGCGTGAAATCGAAGCCACAGTAGCGAGCATGCGGAAAAGGAAGGCACACACAACCCTAAACTGGGTCAAAGGACACTCAGGGATTGCTGGAAATGAAAAAGCAGACCAATTGGCAAATGAGGGCCGACAAAAACAAACTCAAGATGAGATTGATCTCACAGTGGACAATGAATTCCGAGTCTCCGGGATACGACTAACAAGTGTCACGCAATCACTAGCAAGTAAATTCATCAGACAAAAAAAAATGAAATCAGCAGCCTACCGCAAAGCACTGGATCGACGGGCAACAAACTATGGGATAGGCAGAGCAACTGCAAGTGCAACCAACATCTATGGACACAACCCAACACCGGAAGCCATTTGGAAATCACTGCGACACAAAGACTTTGACAAAAAAATAAAATGTTTCCTATGGATGCTAACCCACAACGGATACAAAGTCGGAGAGTTCTGGGATAACATACCAGGATATGAGCCTCGAGGGAAATGCAAAGAATGCAATGGGCAGCCGGAAACCTTGGAACACATCCTAGTAGAATGTACTGCACCCGGGCAAAAGGAAATATGGGGACTAGCCAAGCAAACATGGGAGCGAACCGGACTACAATGGTCGGACTTACAATTTGACTTCGGCACCATACTATGCTGTGGCCTGGCAGACTTCAAGAACGCCGAAGGAAAAAGAGAAACAGGAAAATCAAGACTGTTTCGTATACTAATCTCAGAATCGGCATACCTGATATGGAAAATTAGGAATGAGAGAGTAATCAATGACAAACCACCACTGGCTGGAATGCAAATCATGAATCGATGGAGATGGACAATAGAAAACAGACTTTGGATGGATTGCCTGCTCACCTCGAAAAAATTCAGAAGGCATATGCCGCGGAAGGTGATAGAAAACACTTGGCAAAAAGTGGTAGAAAATAAAGAGATTCTCTCAGAGGTAATCCGAGAGACCGGGGTTTTAGTGAGTATACGCATTGACATGGGAGTCGGGTAAGGAGTTATGATATATGTGGTATGTTATTTATTGTCTATGAATCCTCTAACCATCGCAGATAGATTGGGAAGGGAAACAGTAGTTGTCAACACGCGGAGTCTCACACAGTGCGCGTACAAGCGCCAGTGCCTAATGCATTTCCTCGGGGGGTCACGAAGCTTGGCGCCATGCCTTGCAGTACCAGCGGCCAGAGGGGGGCGACATTGTAAAGCCCGCCCGAAGGTAAATAAACGCTCCAAAAAAAAAAAAAAAAATAAGCAAATGAATGGCAGTGAAAACGAACTGTGGGAAAAAGTTCAATTGACCGTGTGCTGTGCGGGAATGCAGTGAATATCTGATAACCAACAAAAAGGTAAGTAGAATTCAGATGAATTATATCAGTACAGAGAAGTCCATTGGGGCGTAACAAAGGTGTGTTGATCTAGATGAATGACACCATCGATGGATCTCCTCGCTTGACCTCTTTCCTGGTTCTAAAGTGCTGGCAGAACCAGAGTTATGGGTATATAGATGATACCAATTCTTCGTGTTTGTTGATCGTAACATCATAACGGTGGCGTCGCAGAGCAGTGTACTCAGAGCGGTTGGAAAAATTTGATTGATTGCCAGTATAAGCGGCCAGGATGCGAAGGAAGAAAGACAACAGGAGACGACTCTGAGAAGCGAGCGGGAGTAGCAGAGATCACAACAACTCAGACGATATCTCAAGATATATGATGAGCGAGCATATAAGGCTGACGATGTTTCATCACTTTATGTTATCCAGGCGGAAAGTAACTGTCTCGACCGCCGTCACCTACGGCATCGAGTGTGGCTATGGACTCTGTTTCGAAGTGTGCTAAACGAGCGGTAGGATGTTGCAGTGCCGGTGTTTCGGCAGCGGGCTGTGTCATTCGAGTATCTGCACTGGTGAAGGTTGTCGAGCTGTCCATCCGATTGAACACAAACTAACAACGAAAATTAGAATATATTTTCAAAAAATGAAAATGAAAGATCTCACTCCACCGAAAGGCCTGGAATAATCAACATGATCCCCTAAGCTCAGCGAACTGTTGTTGCCTATAAACGAACCCACATTGATACCTGCCTCTCCCGAACGTGCGCTGTGCACTGGATTTAAAAGACCATCTGTGTAATCCATCCGAGAGTCATCTGTCAGCGCGGGTGAAGGTAAAGGCAAAGGCGGCTGCAAGAATGGCATCACTGGTGGTTCCAATGGAGCGTCAGGAAGAGGGAGAGGTGGGTTAAGCAACGAAGACCGGGTTGGATAAGAAGGATAGTACGATGATGAAGCTGGAGTGAGAACTTGGGTCGATGACGAAACTTGTGTTGAACTGCGTCCTCCGCGAAGCCGCTCGATTAAGCCTTTCTTAAATGACTTGGGAGATGAAGGACGCGACGGAGGGACTGAGTGGTCGTTTATCTTCAGCTTTGGAATTGCGATCGACAATGCTTGAGCTGAAGCCGTTTTTTCGGATAGTGCACCAGGTGTTATCGAATGCGAATGCGAATTTGACGACCCTGAACCTTCACTTGCAGAATTTGTGGCGTGGTTATTACTCGTGTTAAACTTCATAGAGCTAATAGTCCCAGTGCTGTGCGAATGATCCTGGTTCAACAGTGTTGAATGCCCATGCGAAGATACATCCTTAGCGGACATAGGAGGACCCATACGCATAGTTTCCGCTGCCTGACCAAATCCAGGCATATTGAATCCTTGTGACCGAGATGACTGTATCGACGAGGCATTATACGTGGAGCCAGAACTCTCAGCCGAGCCAGAGTGATGTCCATGACTGCTCGATCTTCCGACGTCCTGACCGTGTCCACTAGAGCTACTCTCCCCAAATCCGAGACCATACCCAGGTGTTATATTGGTCGACACCGGTGAAGGTACTTGGGCAGCTGAATTTTCAAAGTCCCCATCCTCATCACTCAGTGGCGAACGCCAGGCTGCGGTAGACACAGAGGAAATAGTTCTATTGAGAGGTCTTGAGCTACTGCCCCCGCTAACAGCGCGCGCAAGGATTCCTAGTTTCCTTGTGGCAGAAAGGGATGCTCCACCCTGTTCAGCCATCTCCTCCGTAGAATCACCCGCAGTAGGTCCGAAACCTTGCGTTCCCGTACGTCTGCCGGCAATAGATTGACTTGTACGATTCCGTCTGATGCGCCCACAAATTAAAAATGCTACAAAGGTGGCAGCAATTAAGGCTACTGTGCCACCAATCGTGGCGCCGATAATGGCACCAGTATTGGATGCAAACCTCGTGTTTGGAGCTAGGGACGGAGAAGGTTTCGGGGGCAGCGTGGAGGAACTTGAGATGATAGACGAAGTGTGTTTGAGAGAAGGGGTGTAACTGAAACTTGAAAGAGTGTCGGAAAGGGAAGGAACCGCGCTAGGACTCGAAGATGAGGCGATGGTAAAGGAAATATTTTGAGTGGATGAGGAGGACGATGATAGTGTATGCGTAGTAAATCCTGATGAGTCTACTGTCTTGGAATCCGATGATGATAATGAGGTCAAAGTCAATACGGGGGCTGAAGAAGAAGAAAAAGTTCTGATTGATTTCATCAGACAGTGAGGTAAATGTTAAATGGAAGACCTTACGATGAACGGGTGAAAGTCGTAGACGGTGATATGGAGGAAGTAGATGAAGCGGAAGTAGTCACTGTATTTGACGAAGAATTTGGGGTTAAGGGTGGGGTTGACGAGGGACTTATCAACGATGTTGAAAATGGAGTAGAGGAGGACATCAGTGAGGGAGACGAGGAACTGATGGACGTTGTCGACGACACGGTTGGGGAAGTCGAAGTCGAACTCAGAGTATTCGAGGAGGGACTGGTGAAAGTTGTCGACAAAAAAGTAGAAGAGGCCGGGGCAGTCGTAGACGCCGTGACAGATGTGCTGGTCGGGGCAGACACGCTGGTGGTTGATGCACTTGTGACTGCGGCACCTAAAGAGCTAGCAGGTAACCAATTGAACTGGATATATAATTGTATCACGTACTCGACATAGACGACTGGGATGTCGAAGAACTGGATGATTGTGCCACGCTGAGGTCAACATCCACGATATGCGACATTCTGAGCTCGAGGTCGTCTAGTAAGGATCGCTTATGCCAAGAGCTAATAATGATTATCCGTCAACAAAATTCCGTCAAAATTCATGCTTTCATGAAATTTACGTGAACTTACGATGATGAATGCCGCGTTGTAAGCGGCTGGTTACTTGAGCGTTTAGCCGGAGCGTTGTGATCGATAACCTCGTCGTTGTTGACCCGTCTACCAGACCGTTCAGTGCCCTGAACTTGATTCATTCTCCAAGCATCTGGCTTCGTCCCTTCTCTTGTCCTCAAAGACAGGTTTGACTTGACATCACTCTGAATTTTCTCCCGCCGCCTCCGCCTCAGGTATGACCTATGTCCGCAAGAACTTTGGGCCGAGCAAGTATTCATCCAATGCAAATAATGAATGAAATATGGCTTGACGATGATCGTAAATAGTGGGAATTATCAGTAACGACTGTGAGTTCCGTTGAGAAGAACAAGTAAAGACTGCCGGACGTTTGTAAAATTCCGCAAGTCGATTGCGTTCGTTATAAAAATTTGGTGGGAATGAGAGAATATGAAAGCAAGCTGGTTAACGGCCACAGTGAATTTGACGACTGAATCCTGGTACTGATCAAGGAGGAATGTTGTGAGCTGATTCGAGTGGTAATTAGAGGCCAGCGACCACCATTAACGCTACGAGTTGGCCAGCGAAGCAGTCGGTAAAAGATCAAGTCACAATAGATGCCCCATGGACGTCGAACTGTGGCGGACAGTGGAGTAGGTGGAGTAGAGTCGATCAAACTGAGGCACCTTTTTCGTTTTCAAAATCTTTCGCATTGTCCCCGGAAAGGCCAAGTTTTATTCTCACGCTCACACAAATAACTTTTGTATACAAATCCCGACTTCCGACGCGCTTTTCAGCTATATTTGGTTCCCCCTCCTCACTTACCCCGAGACAACTGCTCAATAAACAACCTGAACTTTGAACTAATCGAGCGTGCATTGTACTTCTTCGCAGTATATACATAGATGCGAAAAGTACAGATATTTATTATTCTGATGCTGCTGTAGTAACCATACTGATACCACCATTCTCAGTGTACAGATCACATCAAGAACATGGACTATATTGAGGATATCATCGAATATATCCCTTCGAATTCTAGGAAAACCTTCGACGTTCGGCGTCTAGCCAGAAATGTAGACGAATATTCAGTTGTTCATCACGACTTCATGAAAGAGGGAAGGATACTAAGTATACATATACGGATACTACTAAGTAGCCAATACTGCGTTACTGGTTGGCCTGGTATCTCCAATCAAAATGGAAATTTGTGAATGAAACGAAGAAAAGTCTAAATTGGTTTTTTCCCTGTACAGGCTGGGTGAGAAGAGTGGCCGCTGTGGGGAGGCATTGAAGGTACATACCATAAGTATAGGTCGTACGAAATACCGGGGTCTCGGCCATAACTGACAGCCGCTTGTTCGTGGTCTCGGATATTGTATGAGGTACGCTATGTAGCGCTTGAATCTCGTCAGAATTTAAGGAAGAATACGCACTGCTAGTGGGAACGGTATCCATGAACGGAAATATACGGTGCCAATCTACATTGTCAATTGGAATGAAAAAACAGTAGTGACTAGAGCCAGTCGAAAGGACACTACAAATGTTGTAAAGGGGGAATTACAACTCATAGTAAAAGTAATAATTATAAACCTGGAGAGGATATTGCATCGAGGAAGCTTAGAATTTGAAGCACCCTGGCTGTGAGTCTTTCTGGTATCTTGGTCTATTTAAACAGTGATAGTACATACATCATACAATTATTCATCCTTACAAACTACTGCCTTGCCCTCGAAAGCACGCTGTACAACACCCATTAACGTACCAATCCTTCCTCCGGGGTACTCTCTGGTATTTGGACGTTCAAACCCGGAGCACACTCAACCTCAAACGCATGTTCAGTGTACGGTGGGTAACGGAGATAAATCTTATCTTCCACTCTGTAATAAAAGCGATAAGCAGACGATGGTGTATGAGCGGCGTATACGTACTCTGGAGGTATATCAAGTGAGGTCCGTTCGTACGTGAAGCAATTGAAAGTGTTTTCGAGTACTTGACGTCCATCTATGTCACCATCCATAAAAAATAATAATTTAGCGGTGTTTAGAAGGAGCGAGATAGTAGAGACTCTCACATCCGGACTCGCCCACCCCTCCAAATGGTAGTACTTTGACTAAGATACGAATGTGTGAGAACGGAGGATGGGTTTTGATACAGTGGAAGCCTTACCATCCATCTGCATAAAAGTATCGTTGAATATAAGATTCCCGCTCATTGTTGCCTTGAGCACTGCAATGAAATGAAACGTTTAGCTATTTTCATACATGATGCAATACGGGACTGACCATCCTGTTGCAGTTGCTCGTTCAGCGTGAATACATATAAAACAAGGGGATGATCACTAGAAAGCAACCTGAGTCAACAGAAGAGCATTATGGGAGACTTTGGGGTACAAACTTAGCGCTGATGTAGTCGCATGCAGCACGCATATCATCCACTTCCAATAACGTCAAGATAGGTCCAAACGTTTCGGATTCAAGCAAGACGTCGCCTGGTTTCACGAGCTGAATGTGCGGTCATTTTTACTTGGACTCAGTCCCAGGAGACGCGGAACCGAGACGCACCACAACAGTCGGCTCAATCCTACGCTCCTTCTCGTCCATGCCTCCACCCATCAACACCTTGCCTTGGGTACGCTCCAACAAGCTCTTAATTCGGTTGAAATGTTGCATGTTGATGACCCGGGCGTACGAGTCGGATTTCAACGATCCATCAGGGTAGAAAGATGCGTATGCTTTCTTGAGATTTTCTACGAATGATGCAGTAGTGGAAGGCGTGACGAGGGCATAATCTGGAGAGACGCAGACCTTCAAAGAATGTAAATTCGGGCGTATAGTGATGATTATATGGACGTGCTCACTTGTCCGCAATTATTGATTTTTCCCCAAAGAACTCGTCTTGCCGCTAGCTCCATGTCATACTCTGGGTCGATGATCACAGGACTTTTGCCTCCAAGCTCGAGAGTAAGCGGCGTGAGATGCTTTGCAGCAGCCGCGGCGATGATACGTGCAACAGTCCCGTTCCCAGTGTAGAAGACTGGTAGAAGGGGATGAATAAGTAAAGTTCCATCGCTACTTTTGAAGGCACCACTTACTGTGATCCCATTTCTGCTCAAGTACCTTCGTTACTTCTTGTACACCTCCACAGACAACTCTGACCGCGTCCTGATCAAGGTATTTGGGAATGAGCTGTTGTAGCAAACCAGCGTAATTCGACGTGACTTCGCTGAGTTTGAGGCAGATAGTACAACCAGCAGCGATAGCCCCGATAGTTCCTTGGATAGAAAGGATAAGAGGGTAATTCCAGGGAGAAATCACTGCGAGTTTTTGAGATTAGACACTTTTCGTTGAAATTGCTAGATGGAGAAGAAGCGCGAAGACGCACCTAAAACGGCGCCCTTTGGCGTTGGCGTAACCCTCGGCTTCCAGCCCTTCTGATGAGGCGGTAAATCAGGATGGTTCTCGAGGTTCTTCACCGCTGCCCATTCTGGAACTCTCTTAGCTGATATGATAGCTCTATCGAGCATCAAGTTGAGTTCTGTCATATACACTTCAAAAGCAGGCTTTCCAAGATCTGCATAGATAGCGTCTGCAATAGCTTTGTGATTCTCTTGCAACATCCGAGCAATTTGTAGAAGTTGATGTTGGCGCCATGCTAAAGAGAACGTTTTCCTGGTAGCAAACGTAGCATGTAGAGAGGCGTTGATCTGGATAGTTTATCTGTTCAGCATGGTAGCTGCACGTTATACAGCGATGGCTCACCTTTGGTATCTCGTCAAGTGGTGTATCGATCATACTGGCTAAGATATGGAAAGGAAAAGAGAGAAAAAGAAGGACTCGTGTTGGCCTGTGTGAACAACTGCTTACGAAGTAACTCCCGTCGTGGACGGTGGTGGTAAGTGAAGAACAAAGTTGGGCAGATTCTTTGAGTGAGGCTTGGGTTAAGAACCAATTGAGATCGGATCATTTCCGAATGTACCTGCGCCACATATGAGCACATGAACGCGTTGCATTACATGACTATATGCTGCATTTTAATTGCCTTCAGTCCAAGAAACAAGATTCAGTTCAAATCGTACGAGTTATACTTAAGTGATACGTCAACAAGGCAAGCAACCACTCATTCACCAGTGGTTCCTGCGATAACACTTCCATGAACGCCCCACTCAACACCCAATCCGAACATGATCCATCCAATCGCAATGATGCCTGCTGAAGCAACAAGGAAGATCCACCGCATTCCGTCCATGCCTGGTTTAGCCTTCTTCAGTGCCTTTTCATCAGACAGGAGCTTCTTCTCTTCGAACTCTCCATCATCGTCAGCACCATCTTCCTTCTCTCCCTCGTCTACCCTTGCAATATCGATGTCGGATCCGACAGATGAAGTATGAGCTCTTCTAGCCAAAAGCATTTTGACCTCTTCCTGCATCCTTGAAGGCTTCACCTGGCTCAATCTTGCCGCGGGCAGTGGTGTCGGGAACCAATTCGCCACTACCCATAGTGCACCAGAGACTGCAGTACAAACGAATGCATAAACAAGCCAAAGAGTGACTGCTGGGTCCAGAGAATCATTAGCTGTATCATCTTGAAGTTTCCCTGCCGCGGTGGTGATAATCACGATAGAGGCTTGCACGACGGATTCTATGCGTTTGATAGTGCGGTTGAATGTAAGTATTGCCCAAACGGAGAATGACTTACTCTTGATAGCAAAAGCAGTAGCAAACCATTGAGGATCCGCAATGATACTCCGAATGATTTCGACTTGGGGTGCAGGTGTTACACACTGTTTGCATAAATCTCTGAGTTTATTCGTGATCACAAACGAGAAAACCCCACCTGAGCTAAGGCGTAAAAGACATACGCGGCGACTGTTCAAGGGAGATCAATTATCTTTGTGAAGTAACAGAATTTCTCTGACGTACTGAATGTCGGGACCGAATGAGAAAACTTGAGCAGTAACATTGAGATAAGGAACATCAGCGCCGATACAAACACTAAGTGATGACAGATTGCACCGAGTCAGATTTGCCAGGTGTATCAACAGAAATATGTATGCTCACAAAATGAAACCCGCTGTCCATAAAGATCAATGACAATCCCAAGGACTGGTGTTAAGCATGCAGGAAGGAGCAAGTAGAAGCTCGACACCCATCCACCGATGACTGCACCCTTTTTCAGCCGTTGTTGTGCGAATTGGCTGGGGAATCATAGATTAATATGTTCACCTGTAACCTGGAAAAGGTCTTACGTCGAGATAGACACGAAGGACTGCACACCAGCATTTTCGAAGACAGAGAATAGAACCACGATCCTACATCAACGACCGAAGTAAACGTCTCTCTGCATACCACAAAGAAAAAAATTCACTAACCAAAAAGTAACCGGCAACTGCCTTACCGCTTTCAAACTGAACACACCACGACGAAGATGACCTTTCATTGTAGCACCATCCGTATGATCAGTCACCTCGTATTTGACAACCAGCCACTTGTCCAATACGTATACTGCGACCGCGCAAATAACGGAGAACAGCGCGATGATGGCGGAAATCCATAGCGCCCAGGCGTACGTTCCGAGGTTGGTCGCAATAATGTTGGCGGTGGACTGTCCTGTGAATTGAGCAAGGTTAGCCACTCCCCTGATAAGGAAAAATCAGATTAGACACGGTGAGCATTGGATGCGATTCGAAGGGACGATCACCAGATAGCTCCGATCGAAAATGCAAAACCCCCTCCTCGAGCAAAATACGTTGAGAAGATACGGTGTTGAGCGTTATCCAGTGAGCCATCACCAATGGCAGCGAGGACTTTCCCGACAATGAGAACAGGATAGTTGTTGAAGTTGTTCGTTGCACTTCCCGCCATGACAATGCTTCCGCTCAAGTGGAACAAAGCCATGATGACAGAGAATAGAGGCCCACCCCATGTGTCGATACAGAACCCGAGGCCGATGCATAGAAATGTATTAACCTATATGACTCGCAGTTATATAAGAAGAACGATGACAGAAGCATAACTTGGCATACCAGATTAGTGCAGGCAACTAGAGTAGCAAACTGGGAGTTGTTGATATGGACTTCCTTGATGATAGTCGTCTTCAAAGCACTGTATAACGAAGTTGTTCACTGTTTTAACTTCGCTAGGGAAGACCTACACAATCAAACCCTATAATAATCCGATATCAGAACGTACGGCTTCATCGCTATCTAGCAAGATACACGTACGTTCGACCAATGATTTCCGACTACAAAATCAACAGTCAGAATAACGAATACCGCTGAGTATTCCCCGAATGAAAGTACTTACAGCTTGCCAAACACGTTAGCGTCAGGATCGCTATCCTCCATCCAAGCGGTAGCTTTGGCTTTCTTGTGTTCAAAGACGCAATACCAGAAGATTCAGAATCCTTGGAAATTAATCCTGAACGTTTATCGGAGGCCTGTCGCGATGAATATTTCAAGGTGTCTTCAGTGCTGAGAAACTTCGAGTCAGCCATTGTTGTTGAAGCTGAGACTGAAGAGATGCAAGAAGGATGAGCCGAACTAGGATGTCCATTTTAAAGCGCTCGAAGTTCGACTGCTGTATAACGGGAGAACCGTGAGGTCGGATTTAATTCGAAGTACATAGACGCCGCGAGGAACCTTGGACTGAAATGGTAAGATATCCACGAGTATCTTATCAGATGAGATAATGCACGACTTATCTGATATTCTTCCATCTGGTTCTCGAGCCTTGATAAGTTCTTGAAACCTAAATACGACTAAAATTCTCAGATTCCTGCGAATATGGAATGGCACTTGAAGGTGACGGGTATCCGACAGCAATTGTTGGTACCTTTCATACCTTTCCTTCTTTGTTCGGCCGTAGAACCGCATGATTTCACATGAACAACTTGACTGGTAAAGGTGAGGATCTCTCTGATCTCTTCGGGGTCACTCCTGCCATGAGTTGGTAAAGTAACACGTGCATTTCTCTCATATAGATTTACACAATCTCCCATCCTCGATAACTTCCCAACGATCACCTCCGACCGCGATAGTTCCATATAAGAGCTGCTCTGGATCCCATTTGTCCTTTATAGACAGCAGGCGGTCATAGTGTTCACCGTAGAACGCGGCTTTCCAGTCCGGAGCAAAGGGATCGGCCTTTAGAGCGGCGATTATCAGAGAGGTTCAAGTTTTCAGGAGTATCTTGGACTACGAACCTCGTTAGCATAAGCCCCACCACTCGCACTTAATTTCTTCAATGGCTCGTCAAACAAAACACTTATTCGTCTTTGATCGTCCCATATCCGTTCTAAAGGATCGTCATCGTCAAAAAATCTATGCACGACCGCAGAAAAGGAACAAACAAATGATGAATGAATGGAAATTCGGAATACATTCGAGAAAATACACGCACAGAACCGGATTATACATCCTCTCGGCTTTTCTCCACTCCGGATGGATAGCGTTGTCTGAGTACCCTCCTGCTTCCCATGACGGCCTAAGCCCAATATCCCACACATAGGCTCCACCCTCTACAATGTCCCTGATTGTCTGCATGAACTCTGAAAATCCCTCCGTCGTTTCAAACAGCGTTCTCGGAAGTAGTCTTCCCCCAAGTTGATATCCCATTATGTCGAAATTATCGTAGCCTGCTACGGCCTCAACATATTTCGCGTGCTCAGTCAAGCTGAACTCGTATTTGATCCCAAGAGAATCGAGTGTAGACAGCCATGGTCTCAGAACAGACATAACTGTCGACGAAGAAACATTGGGTCCTATCAGAGGATCCATGCGGAATTTGTTGACATCGTAAGTCGAGTCGAGGAAAGAACCAGTGTCAAGGATAGATGGTATTATTTGCTGGTAAGCAGTGATAGCCTCCCAATAGGTGTCGCGAGAAATCTCTTCCGAAGAGAAAAATAGCCGCGCCTTGGTCACCGGTATGTCCGGATGGGCTTTGACTGTGACAGACCAGACTACACCGTACGTTCCGCCTCCCTGATAGGCAATGCTTAATCCAAGTGGAATACAAAATGAACGAACTCAACTCACCCCACCGCTCAAGGCCCAATATAGATCTGAATTTTCTGTCGGAGAAGCTGTAACAAATTCGCCTGTTGTGGTAATTACTTCGAACGCGAGAGTATGATCAGCTGCCATCCCAAGAACCTACACAAATTCATAACGATGAATGTAGTTTCAAGTTAGAGTTATACACAAAACTCACCGAACTTAGCGTAGAGTGCCCGCCTCCTTGAATATATCCTCCCGCAAACCCTACAGACTAATAAAGAAGCAAGCGGTCGGAAATATTTGGATAAAACAATGATATCAAGCTTACCGGACACTCCCCTGCGACTATCAGATGTCCGTGTTTCGTGGCTTCAGCATTGACCTCTGCACCTTGTACGCCGGCTTGTACCTTCATGGCAGGACCAGTGTATCCCGGAGATGAGTAGCTATCAAACCACTCCTTTTCCTTGAGATGGTGCATCCATACGGATATAGCTCCGGCTCCGGTGGAGCGCCCCATGTAGCTGAACATGGCTTTCAGAAAAAACTGTTATGAATGTAATATACCAGAGCGGGAACTTACTCGTGGCCAGTATTTTTCACCACAAACCGCATGTTGTGTTTCTTGGAAAATTCAACTGTCTTCATGACATGGATGGGCTCCGATACGTTTACTGTGTACTAAACATAGGATCCAACATAACACGGAGATTCTCTTGGGGTAAACGGATCACAACTCTTGTTCAAAAATACGGCGTCCATAATCGAGGATGGATGAGAAATACTGCACCGATAACACGATTAGTTCGAAATTATTTCGAGGAAAGAGCATGATACAGACTGCATTTCTGTCTGATGCCAATTCTGTTGAACGTGCTTGCATGCGTTTTTATCGTAGTGAGGATCATGACATGGGCTGCCTACAGGGACGGTCTTGATCAACCTTCCGTCTATCGAAGCGTTCAAAGCATTCCACATGTCCTCTGTTGGCCACGATTCGTCTCCAGGAAACGCTCGACAGAAAGGTGAATTAGAGTCTGGTAGGTTTTCATAGTTAAGAAAACCAAGTCCTTGGAGAACAAGATAGAGTGACGATGATAGAGATGTTGGCCACATTGTGGGTTGAGGACGGTAATCAAAGTAGGCATGGCGAGATAAAACTGCTTAAAAACTGCTGAGGCACAACAGAGCTTCGGGATCCCGCAACTAAAACATCTGCATCATCATATGAATTGGAAACTCGTCAGATAAGCCCACCCACGATAACGACTGAAGTACGACCAAACATGTCTTTACCCATGTAGGTGCATTTGGAACGTGAAAAAAGTTTTGCGGTTTGCGGAATTGATGACGATTGGCTGAAACCCAAGCTTTTCCAAGAGATTTACCCCAGGTCTTGTAAAAAGGGTCACGAACCCAGAACAAATGGAAATATTAGCCAAATGACGAAGCCGCACATAGATTTTCAATGAGAATGGGGCTATTTTGATGACCCGTAATCTTGAACATGCCTCCTTGTTCGAATAAAAGTGTTCCCATGGAATATAGTTTGCTATCTGTCCCGATACGGAGTATAAGTCGACTCAATTCCTCTAACAGTGCCAATAAGATGGACGGAAATGAGCGAAAAAGCTAAGGTAACAGAAAGTACCAATCTCATTGATATGCCATTCGTGCACGCAATGTAACCATCAAAAACACAGCGGGGGTACAAAATCAGGTCAGTCTTGCACAACATGTGTATGATACAGGTTTGACATCTGGAACGTATAAATCTGAAAGTAGTGATGTTATTCGCCTCGTATGAGTCGCAATGATAACTCACATACAAATTGACTTGGATGAATCGCGTTCCTGCTCGACTTCCATCCTCTTCCATCGATAACAAAATCTTCCATAATTTCTTTCCAATCGTCACTGCAGTTAATATCTTCTCGCACTTCGCCTTCGGGTCGCAGCGGCCTTCCTTGCTTGAGGCCTATCCTTAGCCTCTAACAATATCAAAACAGCTTCCACCACTTTGTCCGGGTCCTGGGAAGTCTGGAGGAAGAGAGTTCACGTGCGAGAGTTATGCTGATCTGGAAACCCTCTGTGTTCGATCATCCTGGGTAGCATATCATGCAGAGGAAAGTAGGTACGTGTTCAACGTGAATCAGAATAGACAGTCTTCGAACGCGGTCACAAATTTCCACGACCCTCTGACCAGCTCTGACCTCAGCTGGATGACAGCTTTTTCGGAAGATATCCTCGACGGGATATAAAATCAATGGTTTTATCCAAGTGGCATTATATCTGGAAGGAACTTCATATCGAAAATGGGCTCTCCTTTTTGTGATGACTGTTTTAAGGGTGAGGCCCATATATTTTAAATCGACAAGACCCAGACAAATTACTAACGATTTGTGTAACACTGGCATACTAGGTGTTATCCACGAAGGTGAATCCAAAGGACAATGGGAGAGTATCGGAGGTGTAAATTCCTACGTCGGTACTCCTTCCAAGGACTACGACAAGACCAAAGCTGTCTTGTACCTCTCCGACGTCTTTGGTATGCAGTTAATCAACAACCAGGTAGGTTGCTGCCATACTTATACCTCCATGCTGTGCTTCTGCTTCCATGCTGTTGCCAAATCAAAACTGAAGTGCTCATCATCCTACTTTGAAGCTCATCGTGGATTCTTTCGCGGATAACGGGTTTTTGGTGAGTCTTTTCGGACGATCCCGAATGAGGACTGCGTTGACCATTATGTGTTATCAAGACTATCGGGATTGATTACTTCAATGGGGACCCTGTGGGTGAGAATGCGTTGGGGGCCGGTGTAAGCATGTTCATGGTTTAACCTGCACAGTTTTTGATTGGACTAACAACTTCGTCCTTTCAAACAGATAGTTTTCGATCGAGAAGCCTGGTTGGCGAAACATCGATATGAAGAAACACGTCCTTTTGTTGATAAAGTATACGAAGGATTGAAAGAGAGGGGTGTTGCGGTTTTTGGGGCTGTCGGTTACTGCTTTGGAGGTTAGTAGGTTGCAATATATTATCCTGAAATTAGGCCCTGACTTGGTTCTTCTAAATCAGCGTCGTATGTCTTCCCTCTAGCTATTGAGAATAAGGTCAAAGCTGCTATGATCGCACATCCAGCTCGATCCATTCCAGAAAGCCTACAGGTTTGTTTATCTCGCAATTTTACTTTCCTCATTGTTGTCCGCTCTTGATAATTTAACGCCATTTCATCTGCTACCTAGGACTACTTCAACTTCTCCAAAGCTCCTCTCCTAATTAACTCTTGCGAATTCGACCCTACCTTCCCCCTCGAAGCTTGTGCGAAGGCAGACGATATTTTGGGCGAAGGAAAATTTGCTCCGGGTTATAAACGGGTCCACTGGGAAGGATGTAAGCATGGGTTTGCTGTGAGAGGCGATATGAGTGATCCGAAGGTAAAAGCAGGGAAGGAAGGCGCATTCAAAGAGACGGTCGAATGGTTTTCGAAGTATTTATAAAGGGACTTGATTGTCCATGTATATCGAAATTCGTATGTCACCGTGGACCAAAGGGGAAGCGAAGGATGAATTTGACACGACACCAGCTTTTAGGTACCAATACGACGAGGCAACTCTAGGAGAAAAATTCATCAAACGTTTGAGGTAAGAAGAGAATAGATTCATCTATACATGATATATACTTCGGGTGCATACATAGTGAAGTTTGAGGCTCGAAATGTCTCACATCTAGACATTTTGTTTCAATGTCGCAGAATATGTACTGGGCATTATCCACAAACATTATTGTCGTTTTCATAGCTGAAGTGGAACTATGTCCTGTAGCCACAGCGAAAGGCAGGAAGCTATCCCACTACGAGGAAATGACATACCTGCCCGCATAATCTGCAGACATTTGGTAGCTGTGCCGGTGTTGGGCTAGACATTGCACTTCGGATAGTATTGGGGGTGTACTTTCCAATGAAGTGCTTTGTCAATGAATGGCCCTTCATCCCCTCCCCCAATTCCCAGTTGTTGAACACACCACATCAGATCCGGGTGCCAACTGGATGAGCTGAAGGGCGATGGTCCCTGAAGCTGAAGCAATAAAACATTACAAAACAAGCTGAGTACATCTTATAGACTCTATATCATAACAAACACCACTGAAAAGATAAAAACTCAGAAAAAAATGTACAGCAAATGAACATCTCTAAAGACCCTCAAAAAGCTCAAGGTGAGTAATTCCTTTTTAAATAAAGAGAATGATAACGTTTCAACTGAGGAATATCACGTTTGGTTTGTTGGGATGAAAATTTTATTGAAGAGGGTAAAAAATAACGAGGTACTGAATGGCTGAAACCAGACTATATAGAGTCTAGGCCTATCTTACCGTTCCTGTTCGAACCATTTCAGGGCCCCAAGATGACGAGTTAGGACGAGTTGCCCCGGGCTTTTGCCTCTTTTGCTTCTCGCAGTACCAAGCCTCTTCACCAGGAGTGGGCGAGAGAATATTCATTAAATGGCCGCGGGTCAAATTTCCGGTCGTTTTCTTTTCTCGGATCTTCATCTTTGTAGCCTGAGTTCCCGTATACCTGTGCTCAACGAGCGTGACATTATATGGCAAGGCCGTTGTTGGACAAGGTTTCCACCTCTTCATGTATACCATGCGTCCGGTGCTTTCTAAACAGGGAGCAGAAGAATAACGGATGTTGGTAGAGAATTTCATCGGACTTGAAACTTGATGAAGGGACTATTCTTATCTTTCTCGTTCAAACCATTTCAGCAACCGAGGATGACAAGTTGCCTCGGAGTCTTGCCTCTCGCAGTACCAAGCCTCTTCAGCAGGAGTGAGCGAGTATATAGATACACCGAAACGTCGTGATTCACCCGTCATTTTATCTCCTCGGATCGTCATCTTTTTAGCCTGAGTGTTCCCGCATACCAGACTATACCAGATAGAAATCTATAGAAATGGGTTTAACGTGCGTGATTATAAGGCCCTCATCAGGCATGTCATGCGCCCGGTGCTTGCTGAACAAAAATCATAGGAGTAATGGGCGGTGGCAGAGAGGATCATCGGACTCGAAGCTTGAAGGAATATGGAGGACGTTCGAGAGAACAACAGAGGTTGCAATGTTGGAACACGTTCCATAAGCACGATTAAGCGCCCTTTGGCTCTGCATGGCAGGCATTAGCGCCTGTACCACAACATCGTTTTTGCCCCCGCGCACTTAGACAGACTTACATAGGCACCCTCCGACCACTTAAACAGGAAAAAGGAAACGAGGAAGTCGCGTTGGTCAGTCAATACGGTAGAAAAAGACAGAGACTTTAGGCCGCACGCAAAACGGGCGAGCATCCTCTCTCAACCCTCCAGTAACATTCAATCCCATTCTCGAGTTCGACATCTTTTCGCATGAGTTCGAGTGCCTCGATTGCCATCGCTATTTTGATTTCGCCACCATTTAATTTCCTCGAGATGTGGAACCTGTCGCCATGGACCAAGGGGGAAGCAAAGAACGAAGTCAACTTGAATAACGGCACTAGTTTTTAGGTACCAATGCAACTAGGCAACTCTAGGAGATTAATGGACAACCCGAGGTAGCAAGGGAATAGATTCATCTATATATGATATACACCTTGGGTACGTAGTGAAGCTCGAGGCTCGAAGTGTCTCACATCATCTAGACATTTTGTTTTAATGTCATAAAATATGTACCGAACACTATACCCAAACATTATTGTTGTTTTCATAGCTGAAGTGAAACTATGTCCTGTAGCCACAGCGAAAGGCAGGAAGCTATCCCACTACGAGGAAATGACATACCTGCCCGCATAATCTGCAGACATTTGGTAGCTGTGCCGGTGTTGGGCTAGACATTGCACTTCGGATAGTATTGGGGGTGTACTTTCCAATGAAGTGCTTTGTCAATGAATGGCCCTTCATCCCCTCCCCCAATTCCCAGTTGTTGAACACACCACATCGGATCCGGGTGCCAACTGGTTGAGCTGAAGGGCAATGGTCCCTAAAGCTAAAGCAATAAAACATCATAAAACAAGCTGAGTGGCTCCTCTATATCTTTCTACAAACACAAGTAAAAAATCACAAACTTAGGGAAAAGAAAACCGACATCTCTAGAGATCAGTACAAGCCTACAAGGTGAGTGATTCTTTTTTAACACAGAAAGATGACTGAGGTCACCGAAAAAGTTGTCGTGATTTTTGCTCACTGAATCGCCAGTATCGCTAGAACTGAAGACTACGAATGGCTTCATAAACGGAGGACCATCACTATTGAACAATGGCGGAACGCGAACGAAAAAGTTTCCCGATTCTCAAGTCCGTACTAGCATGAATTCATGATCGGCAGTACACATCGCGATAAGATAGAACACTACATATATTTTAAGTATCATAACAAAAACCGCCAGTCCATTGCAAGCCTTGAAATCAATGTTATTCAGCGTGAGCTTCCCGATCTAAGCTTCCTTGGAAATCCTATTGATCTCATCCATCCCTTCATCGTGGTCCCAAAATCCGACACCCTCGACGTTGCTATTAGCTACATTAAAGTTCTTGAACCCATTTCCATCCACATCGACCTCAACTCCTACTCCCCCTCCGAGACCTTTCAAGAACACCTCCTTCACCATCCGTTCATCCCGTTCGCGTTCCTTCACCTCTTCGCTACCTTTCCATAATAATCTCTCCATAACATGCCGCATGATTGAACGAACGATCAAGTATCCATGGCTTGCTGTTAGCGCCACTAACAGAGCCATAACCAAAAGCTCCTTCGTCGCACCAAGACCTTTTCCATGCTCGCCCCATATTCCGTCAATACCCTCCTTACCGGCTGTAGCAACCAAGTGACGATGAACACGCTCGATAGCAGATTCAGACCCTCCAAAGTCGGAAGAAGTACACTGCGAATGTTCGCGAGGGCAAAAGAGGTACACCAACGCGCTGTTGGTCAATGCAGCGAGCCAAGACAAGAACGCTAGCGCTTCGAGCCATGGTCCTATTGTATCTGTGCGAACTGGAGTGGGTCTGCGTTCGTGGACGGTGATTTTGAAGGCGTCACTTCTTAATTCGAGAAGATTGTTCAGCAGCGCCATAACGGGAGCTAATGGCCATATTGTTGACCAAAGCGCGACATAGCCAAATTGAATCACCATCTCGGAGTAATCGCCGAAGACATCGTATTCTGGTAACGCTGCTTCCGCCCGAGCTTGGTCAAGGAACTCCTTCTCCGCTTGTCCACCCTTTTCTTTCTCATCTTCGAACACCACCTTTTTCTTTCCGAGCGAAGACCCAGTGCCATTTGAAGGAACTGCTTTTTTGGTTCGGAAAGCGGTGATCTTGCGCAGAACGTACGGAAGCCCAATCTCAACAAAGGTGTTAACAATCTGGTTCGTGACTGTATAAGCAAACATTTGGTCTTTGAGCCTTCCAGGATTGAGTTTCGTCTCCGCACTGGAAGCATCCACATCCCAAAACTCAGCTTTCTGAGGGGCTTGGGACGAGTCAGTCAGGTTCGCATTCATCTGACTGCCTGTATGAGGCACGATTCCGTTGAAGAGCCATACTTGGACGATACGCATGAGGCCTTCACCGAAAGGAACGTACACGAAGGCGCTGAGGGCAAGACCGAGGTAGGCAACGAGTGCGGTGAAGATGAATGTTTTGAGGGTAAGAGAGGAATTGTATGATGAGTGGTGAGCGTGATTTTCCCATTGAGTAAAATACTGGGCACATAGTTGGAAAACGGCAACAAGTCGGGGCACTAATATCACGAAAAGGACCGTCGGACTAAATGACTGCAAAGTAGTTGTAAACAATGTAAAGGGCTCACTATAAGACAATCTGACTTACAATAAACTTATGCCCGGGACCAGTGTACAGTTGAGTGACGAAAGCTTCAAACACAAAGATTCCAGTCATGAGCGCGAAAAGCAGAGCAGCGAACCCTAGAATGACAGGCACACTGGCAAGCATCCTCAGTTCCCGCTTCCACCAAGAAAACTTTGGGTCATACTGTGCCCGCCGTTTCTCTACGCGGAAGGATCCCCTGGTCCCGAATCGAAGTGAGATTAACCGTTCTCGCACTCGCCACCATTCCACAAAACCAATGGACCATAACACGGTAAGTATCGAATAGATGGGGGAGTATGATGTACCAAAGAAGTAGAATGAGATGCCTATCATAGCTGGCAGGACGAGTGCGCGCGTGTAGGAGTCGAGGAAAGAGAAATAGAGTGCAACAGATTCGCCGAACTATGAGTACATATCAGTAAGGGCTATTAATGAAAATGCAATACACACACCTGGTCTCGTATCCGGCCATCTGAAACGGAGGCAATCTTACTCGTTGTCCAAGCGTGTATCCACTGCTCGTTAAACGATTTGTCGTGCAAACAAAATATGGATTCAACAAGATCCCATTCCGGCGATCCTGGGGTCACACCCAACCCTCCGTCAGAAGGAATGGATGTGATGTATGCATGTACCAGACGCAAACGGTCGGAAGGGGCTAGAGGCATAGATTCGTTACCATTAGTAATAGGCGTTACTGGAAGACCGGACAAAAAATCTGATTGCCTGTAAATGCTTGAGTATAGATAAATGACTAGCTCGTACAATACACGACTAACCTTTCCCTTATGATCAAGTTCTGCACCAGTTTATCTGGACAAGAGACAAAGACCAGAAGGTGGCCAAGAGAATCTCCTCTTCTCCCTACTGCCTTGAGGCCGCCATAGCTAAGAGTTTCCAATAGACGAGAATACTGAATTTCGGCCTTTCGAGCTTCATCTTTCGTCTGCTTTTTCGAGATGCTGGTCTTCTTCGACGCCCGAAAAGATATCACAAAATCAACGTCCATTCTTCGAGAGCTCAAGCAAGAGCCTGTTATTGTGAGAGGTGGTGGTACAAGAGTAAGAGTAAGGCGTATATTAACGTCAGTGGTGAAAATGAAGGGACTACATTATCACTGTCAGTGCGTCATTGGAACAACGCATATTTGGAGTGGGATTCTCACGAGCACAAGCGATGCATCTCATTCCCTCTAAGAAGTTAAAACTGATAATAAGCAGTACCCTCCAATATACTTAGCTGCTTCAGTTGGAATCAGTATGGTGCTGTAAGATTATTGTTAAAGATAATATTATGAAGACTAGTCTACTTCGCTCGAAAGTTGACCTTCTTCTCGGATTCTGATTTCCTCAATTGCTCCGCGCACCGCCGTCAGGCCACTCACGAAGCTTGCCTCCATTGCAACCTCTCCCCAAGTACGATTGTAAAATTTCTGATGGTATTCAGCTAGGTAGATGAAAAATTAGTTCAGTTCAGTCGCGTATTTAGATTTATCACGGAAAAGGTTAGCACTCACGGTCGGCAGAATCAATAGCCTTCCTTAATTCTTCAACCCAGTTATTTGCCAGCGCATCATAGCCAAGACGTGTAGGGTCATCTCGAGCCTTCTTCCTAAGGTCTTTGAAGTTGGGTACATGTCGTTCGCAGTAAATTATATGTCCTTTCCAAACAATCATTATTTGGATAGTGTCTTTTCGACGAGGAATTTTTCGCCATTCCTCTAGGATATCACTTCGCTTCATATAATTCAGAAGTGCGATTACTTCGGATGCGTGCATAATTTCTGCACCGTGCATCTGGTTAGACATGGAATAGGGAATACGCAGTCAGAGCGTTGGATGAGAGAGTATCAACGAGATTGTACTTCGAAGTAATGCTCTGGTGTAGGCGGGTTTGCGCGTCGTTGAAGCTCAAACATGAATCTGTGATCCACATAGAGTCGAACTCATAAATTCATATCTCCGAAAGATAACATACGTGAATTTAGTTAGCTTATCTTCTCTAGTCGAAGGAGAGGGAATGTTCATCGACCATAGCGCCCTACAGTGATACTCTTAAGCAGATTTCGAAGTCATCAATAGGTATATACATAACCCACCAATTGAGTATCGTAGGCTTCCACTTATCCGTCCAAGCCTTCAAGCGATCGTACTGTTGCTGGACACTTTCCGTGACCGGGGTGAGCACACTCGTTTTTTTGTGACCATATTCCTGAAAGACATTCTTCCACGACTCGTCGTCCGTCTCCAGTTTACTTTTGTCTGGGGATTTGCAGAACGCCTTGTGCGTCTTCCAATGCTTCTTTTGGCATTCTGCAGAGCAGTACCTTGCATTTCTAAGTATACAGAGAAGTCGAACATAGAGATTGACAGAATAAGAATGATGTGAAACTGACCGACAACGACTGCAAAGTTTTAGTTCGCCCACACGTTTCGTGACCTGACATTCATAGCAAAAGGCGTGTTTTGACATGGTTTTAAGTTCACGACTGGGATTGATTGTATGCATTGTACTGAATCGCAGTATGTATGATGAATCAGATAGTTATGAGAGGATAGCTGTTGAAGTGTTGTAAATGCATAGCAAAGAAAGAAGAAAAGCGGATGGAGCGCGGCGGGTGGGTCATATCACGTGACGTGACACACTCGTTCATACTGCCAGTCCGTCTTGCCATTGTCTTTTCACTATATATCTGTAAATTCCTGTTAATGTAGAGTTAGGCTAACGGGTACCGTCAGTACGTACAAGTATCTAATTGTTAGTGAGCTCACCTTGTTAGTTTAATCTAAGCTCAGTTGACTGTAAGACAACTGAATTGTGATATGTACCTGTTAGTTTAATCTAAGCTGCACTAAGTGAGTAAGTTAAACATAAGATATAGGCTATAGGCTCACCTCAGTTGACTGTAAGACAACTGAGGTGTACGAGTACGCCGCCGCGCGTGATAAATCTATAACTGTATAGTATATGGTAATAACACCGTCTTACGGGATTCCGACTGTGTATTATGTACGTACGGAGTATCTCCAACACCCCCCCTACTCCGTACGATGGAGTCCAAGCAATGAAATTAGTTTCGAATGGGTCGTACCATTGAGGGCCTTTGTGAATATGTCAGCTACATTCTCCCCGGATCGTATTCGTTGGATCCGAACTTCGCCACTGGCCACCTTCTCCCGGACGTAGTGGTGGCGCATCTCGATGTGCTTCACCAGCGCGTGGCGCTTGGAGTTCTCGGTGAGGCAAACTGAGCCGAAGTTGTCCCCGGCCATGTCCACAGGTCCTTCCTGACTGAGATCGACCTCGGATAGGAAAGACGTCAGCCAGACGGCTTGCTGGGTTGCTCTGGAGAGTCCGATATACTCCGATTCGGTAGTTGATAGCGCCACAGTCGCTTGTCGTTTAGAGCACCACGACACCGGGGCGCCAGCCATGAAAAAGACATATCCCGACGTGGATCGGTAGGTGTCCTGACAGCCTGCGTGGTCGGAGTCAACGTATGCGTAGGGTTTGAGGCCCCCTCCTGGGCTCGGTGTCGCCGTCGTTGGTGCACTGTATGTGATGGCGTAGTCGATGGTGTTGATAATATATCCCGCCACCCATTCCACGCACTCCCAGTGCTTTCTGCCCGGGTTGAGCTGGTACCGCGCGAGGAGACTGCCTGCAAATGCTAGATCGGGGCGGGTGCAAACCTGGCCCCAGAGTATCGCTCCCACTACCGACCGGTACGGTTTGTCAGCCATGAACTGCTGTTCCTCTTCTGGCAGTGGCTGCGGTGATTCATGTAGTTTGGCATTCGGAGGGAGTGGGGTACAGCGGCGCCGGACGTGTTCGAGTTCAAAGTGGGCCAGCATGCGCTGGAAGTACGCCTTCTGCGATATCGTGACCGCCTTAGTCGTCGGATGTTGCCTGATAGTCATCCCCAGCAGTACCTCCGTGTCCACTTCATTCGCTTCCCATCGTTTGCCTAGGTCCGCGATCGCCTTGTCCCGTCCTCCTTTGGTGGTTGAGCCCCCGCACACATCGTCCCCATACGTACTGGTGATAGTGTATTCTCCTCCTGTCCGTTTGTAGCGTATGCACGGGTCGGCGCGTGAGGTCTTGTACCCGTCGGCGTTGTACCCCGTAGCAAGGGTCTCTTGCCAGTCATGACTCCCCTGCATCGTCCCGTAGATAGATTTTTTGAGCTTGCAGACGAGGTGTTCCGTCCCTGGCTTAACAAAGCCTTCCGGCTGCTTCATGTAAACGTCGTGGGTTATGGGGCTGTTGAGGAAGGCTGCTGTGAAGTCTACCTGGAATATGGATAGTCGGAGTGTCGCTATGATTGCTAGGACAATTCGTACGGATTCCATCCGTGCCACACCGCCGTAGGTTTTGTCGTAATCCTGGCCTTGAATCTGCGTATACCCCTGAGCAACGTATCTCGCCTTTCGTTTGAGTAGCTTTCCTTCGGAGTCGAATTTTATGGCATACGTCCACCGCCCTCCCGTGAGGTTTGCCTCCGGTGGCAGGGGTGTGAGCTCCCAGCAGTCTTTGTTCATCAGCGTCCGAAATTCCTTCTCCATTGGCTCAGTCCAGAGGTCAGGTCGTTTCATCGCCTGCTTGAACGATTGGGGTACCCATAGGTCGCCGTGGGTTGCTGCGAATGCGAAGGGGGTCTGAGCAATGAGGGTGAGCGGCTGTTGCTCCGCTGGTTCATCCGTGGACCAAGCTTCGCCTCTGTTGTTTGCAGCCGACTCTCGTGTCCGGTATTCCTCACTGTCGATGTATCGTTGGGATGGGATGTGCCCCCTCTCACTGTGTCGTGTTGGTGCAGGTTGTGGCGGTTGCGGTTGAGGCGGCTGTTGTATCCCTATCCCCATCTGGGGTTCCGCTGGTATGGCTCGCTGATCCCCGTCCAGCTGTTCCGGAATTATGTTACCGCTGTCATGTCTGGTAAAGTTTGCAGGGTCGGTAGTGCGTGTGTTAAGGCCGGGTTCTGTAGGTTTTGTAACTGCTATCCCGGGTAATTCGCTATCTCCTGTTTCTTCCCCTTCCACTTCCACTGGCATACGTGTCCTATGCGGCCTTCCTTCCTCAAACGTTACATCGTGCGACTCCTCGATCTTCTTTGTTTCTGGCACCCAAACACGGTATCCTCTCCTGCCCATATAACCCAATAATTTTCCTCTCACAGCCTGCCTCCCTAGCTTCCCATCGGTCCTCCTTCTCGGTAGTGTCGCCCAGCAGTCACACCCGAATGGTCTTAGGTGCGAAATGTCTTGTCTCTTCTGGGTCCAAGCTTCAATCGGTACGGTGTCGGGGAACCTGGCTGAGGGCACGAAGTTGTCAACGTATATGAATGTCGATGATGCTTCTGCCCAGAATGAGTAGGGGAGGTCGGCGTCTTCTAGCAAGGTTCGTGTACCCTCTATCACCGTTCGAAACGCTCGTTCTGCCACCCCATTAGCTGCAGACGAGTCGTGTGGAACCTTCTCAATAGTGATGCCGTTTTCTCTGCAGTAGTCGTCTACGAGGCCATTGTTAAGTTCTCCTCCTCCATCTATACGGATGGTTCTCAGCAGTTTCCCGGTCTGTTTTTCGGCCATAATCCGATACTCGTGCAGCGCCCTCACCCCTGTTTCCTTTCGTTTGTTAGACAGGTAGTGTGGTACTCGGAAGGACGACCTCCCGTCGGTACACAGCATGAGGTATGTCACTCCCCCTCTGCTTTGCGTCCTGGCTGGTCCGAACAAGTCGATATGTACTCTCTCTAGTACTTCGGTTTCGTGTGTGAGGACCTCGTCAAACGGTTTCTTTGTCGCCTTTCCGTAGATGCAGTCTTCGCACATTCCGTGCGTGTCCTGGTTGGTGATTTTTAGGCCATCGACTAGTCCGCGGTTGGCCATGCGGATGATACGGCGTATAGCAACATGTCCGAGCCTCCTATGCCAGGTACTTATGTCTACTGGTCTGTCTCGTGTCCGCGAGTAGCTGACTGTCGTGCGTCCCGACTCCAGTATCTCAACTTCGTACATCTTGTTTCGACCGAATCCCTCCAGGATTGTCTCACCGCTTGGTGCCTTGACTGTCATTACCCCCTCTCCCCACTCGCCTCGCATTCCCTGCCGGTCTAGAGTTGATAGCGATACTAGGTTATGCCCGAAGGCTGGTGTATGCTTTACGCCCTGAAGCTGTACCGTTCTCTCAGATTCTCCATTACGCGTTACGAATTGGACGGTCCCGGTGCCCTGTATATCGAATTTCCCCCCTTCGCCGGCGATGGCGCTGCTTCCACCTTGTCCGTGTACTCGGGTATATTCTACGAAGTTGGATTTCCTAACCCAGCAGTGCTCGGATGCCCCCGAGTCGAGGAATGTCTTTATTACGGGTACGGCTGGTGAGTACAAGGATGAGGTACCGTGGCATGCGATGCATTGACCATTGGTTACAATTGTATGGCTATGTAAGTTGCTATCTACGCCCTCCCGTCTCGTATCTCGCTGACCCGCGCTCTTTAGAATGGGATGATTCTGTCTGGCCGCGGGGTCAGCGTTCGATTTGGGCTGTTGGGCGGGCGTAGACATACCATGGTTAATCCTTGGCTGTGCCGACATCACGTATGTTGCCATGGGTGAGGATGTACTTGCGTCGTCCAGTTCAGCCACGCTGGCGTTCGCCCCGGTCCTCGGTTTGTTGGTCTGCGCCTGCTTAGGCCATTGCCCTTCCATTCCTCCTCCTTTCGCCCAGCATTTCTTTGCGATGTGGCCAGGTTTGCTGCAATTGTGACATATAATTGCTGACCTGTTGCTGGTGCGAGACGGGTTCGAGTTTGGTTGTACGGACATGGGTGTCTGGGAATGTGCCGCCATCAACGCTTTCACGCGTTTAGTATCCCGTTCCTCTTCTCGGCGTTCCTCTTCCTTTTCATACCAGAGTGTATGGAGGTAAGTGAACGCTTCTGCGCTCGTGGTGCCTGGGACGCTCCGGACGTCCTGTTTCCAGCCTATAGGCATCGACGATATCACGATGCGGCGGAACTGGGCGTCGGTTGCTGTTCCTCCCAGGTCGTGGACCTTTTTTAGGAGGTTGCGCATTCTTTTTTCGTGGTCCTCCATCGTCGACGTTGGGTCGTACTTTTCCTGTCGAAGACTCGTGTCTGCTAGGTGTATGCGCTGTTCGTCGCGCTTCTCGAACCTTTTTACTAGTGACTGCCATATCTCGGAGGCCCTTTTCGTCTCGTCCACGCCCAAGCCGACGGGGTCCGTTATATTGGAGATGATCGCTCCCGCTACCAGCCTGTCGCAGAGTTCCCACTCTTCCGGGCAAGGTGTAGGGCTGAAGAGGGGTGTAGGGGTCTGAGTAGTTGGGTAAATCGGTCTGGGAATTGTACCGTCGAGGTACCCATTGAGTCCTTTCGATTGTATTGCGAGCGTAATGTCGCGCTTAAATGGCCTCCAGTTCTCCTCACCGATGAGCTGCTTATCATCCGGGAGTCTTGGTATATTTGGGCTGTTTCCGAATGACATGTTTCTTTCCTGGTGCCTCTGAGTTGAGTTTTCGTTATCTCGGGGTTGTAATTTTCTTTTCTGATCAGAGCTCGAGTCTCATAATCTGTTAGTTTAATCTAA